AAAAGGGTCCAGCCTGCCAGCCAAAATGTTTTATCGCAGGGTTGGATATTATAACTAACGTGCTCTCTAACTAGCGTCAAGGAATGAAATCACGAAAAGCCAGTAAGTGACCCACTGTAATCACCCGTCTATTTGCCAAAAACAATTCCCTTCCCTGAAAACATTTCTTGATAAAAAAGGAATTTCGAAAAGCAACTTTTCTTTTGTTCAAATTTTGCGATATTCTCGACAGTAGCGTGTACTGAATATTCCCTTTCTGCCTCTAAACGTGAGAGGAAGCATCTAGATGCGCTTAAAATTCCGTCTACCAGTCTTGAAAGCTGCACATGCGAATTTCTTCTAACAGCTCACATTTCAAGGGTCTTAGAAAGGTTTTGTTTTGGTCTTAGAAAAAGTAACGGCGAAGGACAGCTGCTCCGAAGAATTCGTTCTTTCTTACCAAATGAGCCTCATTTTTCATTTTTAGACGATTTTAGCAAATTTCAGCAAAGGTAATTAATGAATCATTAATAATGATCCTTAGCTGCTTTATCGGTTGTTTACGCTTTTCGTCAGCGAAGCAGCCAGGTAAGCAATCCAGTCAGCCGCAATCCAGCAGATTAGAGTGGCTCTTATCGCACCCCACGTTTCGTAATCCGCAAGAATTATTCAAGCCTCAATAATAGATTTCCGAATTAGAAATCACTGTCGCATGCAATTTTTTTGCCATAGAAAGCGAAAAAGAGATGAACTAAGGGGTGAAGAAATTTTCAAACAGAGATAAGGGGGTAGGAAACGTCACAGCCAATCAGAAACTTGAATTGGCTCCGTCAGCCAATCATAGGAGAGCAAAGACCCCCCTTTAGGGACTCCTCGCCACCCACCCTAGCCTTGGTGCTAAAAATGATGCAAAATCGTCAAAAAACGGGGCTGAAAATTGGCTCGCGTCAACGTATTCTTTTTCGAAAAATACTGATAGTACGCGTAGATAAGCCGTATTGTAATTCGTGTTACGAAACGTTGCCTACAGTAACACGATTGGCACGGTGGTAATTTCGCACCCACAGAGTGAATCACAGTGGGCTGCTTACAAGTACAAGGAAGAAGGATTCGTCGAAGTTCACGGAAACGACTTTCGAAGGTACTTTCCACGTTTTTGTTCACGTCTGGACCGTTTTCTGCCCGCGAAAAAATGTTCTTTAGATATCAGCAAAAAAAAATTTTTTCGCGAGTTTCGTGTGTTATCCCGCAAGGCTAGTTTCTGTGGTGATTTTGAGCTTGGGATTATATCCCGTAGAAGGTCTCCGCCCGGGCTTACTGTGGCACACATCTGCCTTATTCACTATGAGCTATTCTTGCTCAAGAACCAAAAGAACATTATTAATCGTCTTTGATGAGTTGCAAATTCGAATTCTTGATTGAAAATCGACCAACCAAAAAGGCCCAATTCGAGCCCGCTTCGGTGAGAGGAGTTAATAGTAATTATGGTAGTGGAGGCGGACTAAGGAATTGATTGAATAATTACGGCATCATTTTGGATGGATTCCTTTGCATAATTTTCCTTGAACAAGGTCTTCTTTCTTGAATAAAAATTTATTTTCAGATGCCTGATTTGCATAGAAGGTCGCTTTTAGGAGGCCAAAGCAAAAAGGTTTTTAAAAAACGACTAAGACGACCTCTTTGCTTACAGAAACGAATCTACAGTAAGAAGAGTGCATGTTATTATCGAAAATGGCAGATGTTTACGAAATCGCAGTCGTCAAAGTTTACGAACTGGCGTCTTTCTGCCACTCCTTTCCTTTTAATTGATGCTGCATATTTGATGATAAAAACGCTGGCCCTGCGCTAAACAGCCTGTATAGAAAACCTGACTCATGGTCGAAAAGGCCTTAATAAAAAGCCAGAGTCAGGTTTTCTACACAGGTTGCCGAATGTTAAACTCTGAAAAAGAAATGTTGAAGAAGAAGTTCGAAGCGCGTTGTCCGCCGAAAATTGCAGAACATTGCATTTTTTAAAGGTAGTGTGAGTAGCAAATAATGTCGCCTTGCCGCGAAGATTAAGAAAGAACGCGCAACACGGGGCGATATTAGCTTTGATGGTCTTCTGCGGCGGGGGCAGAGTCGTAACGGCCATGTCTGCTCGTATTCTTCGAGGAAGAAGCAACGCGTCAATGCGCAATCATCTGTAACGTTGCGTTGAGCTCCGAGACCGTGTTGCGCTCAAGGGCGTCCACTTCGTCCGTTTCTCGATACTCCCGAAAGTAGCATGCCAATTTTTCTAAGCACAGTGATGGAAGCATGACGATCTCGATTACGGAACTGCTCATTTAATAATCAATGCGCAAAGTAGTAATTTGTCTGCCGGACAAAATCAGCCCAAAATCATTAACTGAGCATTCTCTGCTGGATTCGGCAACCTGAGTAGAAAACCTGATTCAGGGTCCGAAATATATTAAATGAAAACCCCGAAGCGGCTTTTTAAATAACGAAGCCGCGGAGCGGCTTCCCAAGATTACCATCTCGATCAGTTTTTGATTTCATTTAAGATCTTTCGGACCCTGACTCAGGTTTCCTACACAGATTGCCGGGCCCTGATTATTTGATTCGAAAAAGTTCACGATTTTCCCTCAAGAAGCACTTGTGCTCTTCTCTGAAGAAACTGAAATTCGATCTGGAAAAAGAGAGTGTGCCTCGATTGAACTGTTCTGCTAAAAACCGCAGCTTCGATTGCTAGATTTTCGTCTTTATTGCTGATAGAAAGGATGAACTGTGAGTTCTACAGTGAGATGAGAATCTGTTCTTTGAAGCGAGTTCCGCATTGTATTTTTTAGCTGCTGCTAAAAGGGAAAAGTCCAACACGTTTAGTTGCTTCCCAAAATAAGCGCTTAGCTTTTTGAATCCCTTGAAAACGTATTTTACGTACTCGCGAAAAATAAGACAATGAAACCGCTTTCCTGGCCGCTTGGTCGAATATTTCAGAGGGCTGCTGTTGCTGGAGATCGAAGGAGACCAATGAACTTTGGCGGGAAGAGCTCTAAAATCACAGATTTCTAAGAAAAACGGGTTCGGGTTAGGGTTAAAAACTGTTATAAAACCTCAAGAATATGCCAGAAGAGGCAAGAATCGGTATAAAAATGCGACAAATTTGACCAAAACGATGGTTTAACCAAAACCAATCAGATTTCCGACCAATCTGATTTCAGAAAAAATTGTGGTGAACTTGAAATTATTTTTCGCATTTTTTGCCGACTCCAGCCATCACCCCAGAATAAGACTGTTAATTGAGTTTCAGGCAGCTTTCTCAGTAAACCTTTCTGTGACAATTTGATGTTAATGATTTTGAGTCAAAATTTTTGACTTTAGAAATTTATTTATAGAGATAGCACTGACCTCCCAGCTAATCTGGTTGTGTTTACCGTAACTCGAAGATGATTTAGAATGTTGAACCAGTATCTCAGAGATGTCATATTTACCCAATAGTACAGACGATATTTTCGATAATAATTCACTTCTGAAATGAAATGAGATCATTTAAAATAAGGCTCATCACTCATCTAAAAATGACATAAAGACCTTTGTGGAAATTCAAATTGGTGGGGAAGACACTTTCGCGAATTTAGCGTAATAAGACAATTTTGGCGACAAATTGTTTCTTTTTTATCTGATTGGCCTCAACAGTCAAGTGCGGGTTTCTGATTGGTGTAAAATCTGACCAAAATTTAGTCAAAATTATCCCATTTTTTGTTGATTCGTGCCTACTCCCCGAGACTTATAAAGGTAAAATAAGATTAAGGGTGTCAGTAAACTTTTCAACAAAAGTCTTTCAAGATCATTGGTGCCTTTGGTAGTCCTCGTTTCAGACTAACAGAGGTCTTATTTATTTTCGATAAAAAGGGCTGTTTTTATCAATTTCGAAAATATTAATTAATTAAACAGAAGATTAACGCCAACTCCAACGATACGAATTCATGCGGTCGCAGAAACAACAATAAAAAATTCGAATTTGCAAGTTTGAAGCTTTGAAATTGTCGATTCTTTCGCGCGAAAATTAGAGAAGACTTCATGCTCTGCATTTTTGGCATAAGCAAGGCAGCAATTACGAGTTCGATTGTGCGTCATCGACTCGGATTTGGGACGATTTAACTTTTAGAAGCTTTTTTATGCGAAATTTAGTGTTTGGGGTGTGATTTGGGCAATTTTGGGGGATGAAGGCGGATTTTTCTGAGGTTTTGCTTTTAGGTCATCGAGGTAAATAGACAGTTTCTGAGATTACAGTAATTTATCTTTAGCTAATTTTCTTTTAAATGCTGAGCTAAGCTGTATCAAAATTTTAAGGCCCAAGCTAAGCTCAGCCAAGCCGAGCTTTTACGACCTTCATCTAAGCTAAGCAAAGCTGAGCTAAGTGAAGCTGGGGAAGAGTGGGCTAGGCTAAGCTGGGATGGGCTACGTTGAGCTGAGGTGGAAATTAAATTAAGCTTAGCGGTTTTTTGGCGAAAATAATTCAGTTGATTCAACCCTAACCCTAACCAAAGTACTTTATTAAAGTATATTAAAATTATTACTAACTAAAGTTATTAAAATTAGTACTTAATCTAAATTAGATCTTCTTTTAAGTCAACCTATAAAATATATTTTCTTACGTGAAATTTGTCTTGACTTTGTTTGCAATGATAATAGTTTCATCTCGCCTTTTCTCAGCTTTCAGAACAGCCTGTTGTTAGAAGCAGTGCGTCAAAAGAAAGCGAATCCTTAGAGGCTGCTTTTAAAGGGTTTTGGATGATTTATCGGAAGAAGGCGAGTTTGTTTTAAATTACTCCTCGAGCGACGTTTATCGCGGCGATGCCCGCAGCTGGAAACTCTAATGATTACGAGAGAGAAGCAAGAATGGGAAGGTGCTTAATCCAAAACCCCGTTCGCGGCGTCGCAGGTCGTTGCCAACGATTTGTTAACTCACGGCACATCAGCAAACTCATCCACTAGCTCTTCAAATAATTAGATAAAGAAATATTGAGTCTCTCAATTTCAAATTTCAAGAGCTTTTTCTTGACGGAGGGATTTTTTCCGCTCTTCGATCGGCATCGGTAGACTAAAAATTGAGTCGAGGTTAGGGTTAGGGTTAAAAATTATGCGTCGAAATTATGTGACAACTACAGGTTGTGGATGCTTCTATTTCCATAGAAAATTGAAAGGGAGGTACTGCTAAAGCAAGGAGCATACTCAGTACTGTCAATTACGAATAACGCTGGTATAATCAATCGTCCCTGTCTTTCTAAGTCGTTAGAAGTCAGATACGGTTTGGGCGTTCTTATCAAAAATCTGAGAACTGTCGAAAGAAGAATACTTATTTAGCTGTCGTTTTGAAGGTTGCCAGTCGACAGCCACTCAAATAGACACTAATTAAGTCGAAAAATCGCTCTGTCTGGAAATGCATTATCAAATTTCGCCACACGTTTGGTGGTCATGACCAAATAGCCCTACTCGTGATGCGAGCTTTGATAATTCCAGAAGCGGCTACTTTAGATTACAGTCAATACGCCCGCAGTCCGAAGGACTTCCAGAAAAAAATAGTTTTGATAATTGTCGCGGTCGACTGTATGTACCGCAGAAATTGTGTCTGGGCAGAAACAGTTCTCTGCAAACGACAATTCTTTGTTCAACAACGTTGCGGTACATAAAGACTTTCTAGCAGACAAAAGCTTATTTTGTTGGGGACAGTCCCACAGAAGCCACAAGGAAAAATCGACATCATGATTGACGATCGAGTTTCTCTCCCAAAATTAATTTAGTGACACCCTTATTTTATTTCTAATGAAGAAATTTTCACAAAAATTCCTACCAAAATTTTCTAACCCTAACCCTTACTCTTACCTTTAGTAAAGATCCTTTACCCTTAACTTAAGGGTGTCCCTCACGACTTCGCGAGAATCGGAATTTCAAAATCTCGAAAAAATTGTGTGGGGCCCCCTTAACCCTAACCACAACCCACAAAAAATAAAAAATTAAATGCCTTGAAACAAATTTTGAGCCGAAAAATTAAGGGTTTCACCATTAAAAGTCAACGAGAAAAATATCAATATTGATGGATAATAATTTTAATTTTCCGGTTTTACTGCAGTTGTTATTCTATTTTATATCTAGGGTGGCAAAATTTGGGGCAAACATAGTTCAGTCATATTGTAAACAATTAATTTTATCAAGATATTAATTGCTTATAATGACAAACGCACTTGGCAAATGTACCGAAAACAATTAATTGATTGCAATTAATCCACTGAATCCGCTCAATTTCAAGCCCAAATGTTGGATCATTCAATTTTCTAAAACTAGGTGACTTGCACTTTTGTCTTCCTCTGCTGCTGGTGCTTGATCATGTTCTTGCGTCGCTCGAGCATTTCCTGAAATTTTTGATTGAGCTTGAGAAGCCTCAGAAATTGGCATTTTGGAAGATTGAATTGGTCGCGCTCAGAATGCAGAAAAGAAATAACTTCACCAAAAAATGATGTTATTTCCGGCACTAGACTTTTTCCTTTTCAACCTTTTTTTTAAGCTCTTACTAGAGTAGATCGTGAACCAATCAATCTTTCGGAAGTAAAATTGGTAGTTTTCGGCCTTTCGCAAAATTCTGATAAATTGGCGAATCCGTAAATCGTCAGTTTTGGTAGGAGCAATTTTGGATTTCACGCCACCTGTTTTTTGAACACCATTGGTGTTACACCAAGTTCCGATAAGAAAAGTGCTCGTTTTGAATGTCACGTTTATCTGAAGCCAATTTCTTAAGGACTTACTCTATCGCGCTCCTGATAGAGCAAAATCTGCAGATTCGGCTTCGCCGCCTTTTTCCTCTTGAGCCAGCCGAGCTCGGCCATTTTCGTCTTTTCCATTCGTTTCGATTTTGAACGCGCCGTGTCTCAAATTTTAATCGAGTCAGCTTAGCAAATCCGGTTTCTCCTATTATCCGGCTTCGAGAGTCTTAGATGAGTTAAGAGTTAATTCAAATCATCTCAAATCAACTTGGCGCGTGTTTTCGGATTCTCTTTCAGTTTATACTGTACTTTTTAACCCATCAAAGACTGTTTAAATAAGATGAAGGCTTGTTAATTTTCTAACTCGCTGCATGTATCACTTTCTTCATCTTTGGGCCACGTAGCTTTTCTTTTCTTTTCAAAAAACAAGAAAATGGAATTTTCAAATTCGGCCATTTACGAGTAAAACCACGTAGCCAAAGGATGCAACAAGGGGGCACATGCAGCAAGAAAGAGGATGAACAAGGCAACCCTTATTTAAAAATAGGGAAACAGAAGAGCTCCTTTTGACCCGGACATAACTGAAGCATCAGTCTGTACTGGGCAATATGCAAAAGAGAACTGTTTTATACTGTAAGCTTCAAATTTATGGAGAGTACAGGCAATGCCCCATCTTCAGGGTCAATAATGTCAATTACGTTTTCAATGCACTCAGCTCCGAAATTTGAATAGGAAATGATTCAGGAGGCAAGCATAAATTTAGAATGCCAGAAACGGGCATAACCGGTTCTTGATCGTGCACTTTTTTATGTGAAGGGAGGGGCGTTTACTGGCAGAAAGTCCATCAGTAAAGATGGTATTTACTGTAGCTTGACAAAGTTAGGCTTAGACGGAGCTTGACTGAACCAGAAAATATGGAAGCCTATTCCATTTATGCAGTAAAACCATCTGTTCTGAAGGACTTTGAAGAATAGTAAATATGAACAGCAGCTACAGTATGAATAACTTCACGTTCCGTCCAGTCGACTAATTTTTGCTGATCTGGCAAGTTAGATGTTCCTTTTGGGCAATTGCTCGCGCCTGTTCGTGGTAAAAACGCATTCCGACTGGTTTACCTCTTGAATTTGAAGTTTTCTTTAAAAAGGAGGCGCATTTTTGGAGCTCCATAAATTTCAAATTGAAAGTCTAAAACGCTTTAGTACTCAAAAAGACTTTTTTTTTAAGAAAAAAAAAATAATTTTTATTGAAACTTTTTGTAAAAAAAATGCTTAAAATCAATAAAAATCGGTAATTGTCACTGTGCCGAATTAGCCCTCAATTTACAGTCTAAAACAGCATTATTTTGCAAATGTCGCGGATCCGCACCCTTGTTTCAGGGTCAAATTAGCTTTTTCGCAAAGGACGATTGTGTCCCTTGGACCAATGAGCAGAAATTTAAGCTTTGAAAAAGGCAATGTGGCCGGCCAGTTGTGGCAACAAACACGGCTGCCCAATTTATAACATGCAGAATTGTCGTTTGCGTGTTCAGCGTTTTGCGGTCGCGCTTGTAATTGCACTCTGCTTATTCAAGGATTCAAGTGAGAGTGCGATGATTAGGCAAAAACTAGGCATAAAAAAGGGCCGTCTAACTGCCAGAGAGTTTTAGTTGGCAATCGTGTAAGAGGCGACTTTATTAAGTGCGCGTTTCTTGTTGAGTAACAGCTTGACTTTTGCGCAGAATTTTGCGAATTAGAATATTCAAAAAAACAAATAACAAATTGCCCTTCCAGAAGCCTGACTCAGGTTATTCCCGCAGGTTGCCGAGAGTAGTTATTGTTTTCGATGATTTTAGCATGCTAAAAACACCCTGAAAAGGTCCTGCCAACGCGTTGCTCGAAAACCGTGCAAGGGTTAAAAAACACGCAAAAAACGTCTCTGCTCTTTTCAAAAAAGGAGGGAATTTGCCCTTTTGGCTGTAACGAGCTCTAACTTATCGCTAAGAGCGTTAAATTCGTAGAAGTTCGTAAAAGTTGTTTCAGCACGTCAAATCCACTTTTCTCCCAAGAAGAACTTCAAAGAGACTGGATCAACAAGAGCATTTGAAATTTAAGGCCCGCCCTCAAACAAAAACATCTCCAAGTCGATTCCCCTCCATTCACTTTCTGCAAAATACAGGCTTTAAAAACAGCCGACTTCCGGGAAGAGACAGACGAGCGCCTTAAATCGCGCAACTTAAAAATAGCTGCCTTACGTGGCCTTAAAGATAACAGAAGAAAAGAAAGAAATTTTGGTGGTGATAAGCGACTCCTGCGTGCAAATTTCAAACAGTTATTTGTTGAGTTTCTGAATTGGCTCGTTTGTTTTAGAAACGCGCCGCAGATCCACCGTTCAACCAACCGCTTGAAAAAACAAGAACGAATTACTTATCGACGAAAATTTTAAAAAAAATTGATGCTCCGTTAATTGATCTTTCGTAGAGACGAAGTGGGATAACGCTAATGATGATGATATTTAGACTAAATAATTAAGCAGCGATATTCGCCAAAAGTACCAAATTCGCACATTTTACTTGGAAAAGAGTAGAAACTTGGGTTCGACAATCTGTGTAGAAAACCTGTGTCAGGATTTAAAAAGCTTAAATTTAAACCCCCGAAGCGGCTTTTTTGAAAAATCGAGCTGCAACGCGGCTTTTCCAAAATGGAAAAAAATGGGGAGGTGTCTGGAACCGACAAAAAATTTCGACAAATTTTGCGTCGAAATTTTCAACCAATCAGAAGCCTGGATTCGGCTAACCGGCCAATCATCAGCCGAGTAGCCGCCCATGCAAAATTCGTCGAAATTTTTGTCGATTCCAGACACCACCCCAAAAAATGACGATAATTACGGCGACAGCTTATCTATTAGGTCTTTGAAATCCTGACTCAGGTTTTCTTCACAGTCCTCTTGAGTCTTGAAAATGCAAAAGAACCGTAAGCGGGTAAACTTGACCGCCTTGCATAACATTAACTTTGCGATGATTGATGACAACTAGCCGCTCTGGTGGCTCGCGAATATTGGATCAAACTCGCGAATCTTTTAGAAGCGCAAAATTGGGGGCTGGAGTCGATATCAACAGAAAAACCATAATCGCGAATCGACAAGCTTGCTGCTCGATGATTTTGTTTGGGAAGATAATAAAGCTTACGGTCGCCAATGAACCTGATCCGATTAACAACGTACTTTTCCTCAAATAAATGAAACTCGATTATTTTTTCAATGGAAAGTTGAACGAATTAAATTTCAGCGCTAATTTTCTAAATTGTTTTTCAGTGACTTTTTTTCTGCTTTTTTTTTTACTTTTTCGAACCTTTGAACTTTCATTTTTCAAAAAAAAAAATGCGAAAAATGACTCGCTCCAGGAGGACCTTTCTATAAATTTTTCTTTTGAGACATACAGTCATGTTTTTGCCAATTACAGTCACGTAAAAAAGCGGCTTCTAAAAAAGGATTTTTGATGTAAAAAGCGATGTTTCGTTTCGAGTCTTTTTTAATTTCGGTTTTTTCCAAGCTCTGTTTAGTGTCGCTGACTAACAGTCACGCCACAGTAGTTATTTTTTGTAAACAGTAATAGAAGCGTCGAGCGAGAAGCATTTTTAAGAACAAAAATTACGACACAATGGCCGCAACGAAGCTCCAAGTCAAACAACGTTCCAATCCAATCATAACTCTCCGAATTTCTTTGAAAAAAAGGAAGAGAAATGAACTCGACCTGGGAAGAATTGAACAACTGGGTTGGAGACGATCCAGCTCGGAAAATTCAGTTTCTTTTTGGGCTGCCGGGAATTTTGAATACAATCATGCTAGGTGAAAAAATGAGTAATGAAGGCAAATAACATTGACGTTTCTAGTGAGTCTTTCGCTCATCGATTTTGTCTTTCCCGCGTTTTTCAGAAGATGGGCGATTCAAGATGCAAAAGTAAGCAAAAGTTTCTCGGCTTAATTTTTTCTGAAAGGAGTTTCCCTTGTAACGCGGTGATGGTTATGTTGCCAATGATATTTTCCAGCAGTTCCAGTAACTTAGCTAAAGCCGGATCCAATCCGTCCCGTGAAAACACCGGACAGGCGCATCCGACTGCGTGTCCGGAAGCATCTGTTAGTGTTTGCCTTGTAATACCCACAGTTACTTTGCCCATAAAGTTTATAGAAAGCTGTTCCAATCAGAAGACGAACCTGGCTAGTTCTGCTCGCCTTTTTCTCCGTCAATGGAATTCTCGTGTCTGGCTTCTTCGCTCCTTTCTTCCGAAAGTTCCTGCTCCGCCGCGTCGAATTCGGCCCTCTTCCCAAGCTCGACCGCATTTTATGCGAATTCGTGGCGATCTGCATCGTGGAAGATGCATACTTCTACTACGTTCACCGACTATCGCACCAGTTTCGATGGTTTTATTCAAGAACTCCTCAAATCTCCTAAAATACTCTTTCCAAAGTTGATTTTAGTTCAACTTCATCATTTCGTTTTCTTTTTTGAGATTTTTGCCAGAACAAAGTGCACTACCTGCACCACGAATGGACTGCTCCAACTGCGCTTTCCATTTCCTACATGCATCCGTTAGGTAAACCATTTCAAAAGCTCATCTACTCCTTTTTGCTTCAGAGTGGGTAATGGTCAACATGACGTTGACTTTCGTTGGACCGGTAGCGCTTGGAACTCATGCAGTTTCCACTTGGGCTTATTATGTCTTTATTTTCACAAAGGTAAAGAAAAGCTAACAACGTCTGATTTGAACCCATTCAGGGCGTGATCAACCACTGCGGCTACCACATTCCAGCGCCACATGTCCTTTCCTCCAGTTTTCACGACGCCCATCACCGCCTTTTCAACTGTAATTACGGCTCTTACGGGCTCTTTGATTATCTCCACGGGACGATCAGAAAATGAACTATTACTACTCAAAAATCTTTAAAAATAAAGATCAACTTGAAATCAACAAGGAGTACCAGAAAATAAATGCATGGATCGATGAAGAAAGACTACCTATTAGAAACAAGAAAAGCTCTCTTTTCATTATTATTTTTTTTTAATTTACAGTCATAGTGGAATTAGAATAGTAGGGTCTTGTTTTTTCGACAAACTCACAAATCTTTTTTCTCAAATGATTTTTGAACTTGAAAGCGACTCACTGAAGAATCTGAGCTCTCCATCGCGGGCGCAAAATTTCTGGGCAACGAAATCCACGCCAACTAAAACTCAAGATACAGGTACTAATTCCAAAAGAGAGCTTTTCTTCCTCCGAAGCGGACTTGATGATTCTGATCGCGGATTTTTAGGAAAAGAAAAAGAGAAACGATTGCCGATGACGCCGACGAAAAACAGCTCTTTTGATAGAACAGTGGAGCGGTTTTTCGACGAAGAGCTCACTCAGGAGGACTTAAGGTGACCCCTTCAGATTACGAGTACGTTAGTGTCTTTTTAGCCGGGATTGCTACATGGCTTCGTTGCTGAAGAATCTCACTTGCACAATGAAGAAGTCTCAAACACAATAAAGCTTTTTATAACTGTATCTTTTATGTTTGATAAATAAAATTTTATATTTATTGCCACAGTATAATAAAATTGAATTAAATTTATAAAATGGAGCTTTTTTCAAATAAAATTATATTGGATCTGTACGTTTTACAGTGATTTGTTTACAATAAAGTTCAAAGTTTGAATGGGTTCGCAAAAGATTAACGATAGTGTATCGATAGAAATCTTAACCGAAACCAAAAACGAAATGCGCATCACAATATTTTTGTCAAGTCGCAGAAAAAGGCGTAATACCGATTTTGGAACTTTTTAGCATAGACGGAGAGAAAAAGGAACTTTTAAGCGGTTACGCGAAAAAAAGAGGTCTTTTTAAGCATGGACGACTAGAAAAAGGAATTTTCTTTTTAGGAAATTTCTTTCAAATTAAATTTTAAGGGTGTTTAAGGCCTGTCGGCCTAATGAAACCCTGTTTAAATGAAAGAGGGGCCTGAAAGGCTCATTTTAAGAGGGGTTTCTCTAGGCCGGAAGGCCTCTTACACCCTTAAAATTAAGTTTGAAAAAATTTCAAAAATTGAAATTTCCTTTTTTCCGTTTTCAAGCCTAAAAAATCCCTTTTCTACCCGTCCATGCTTAAAAATTCCTTTTTTTGTCCGTCCATGCTTAGAAGTTTCAAAATTTGTATAACGCCCAGAAAAAGAGTATTTCTACAATTTCTACTATGGGCCAAATTGCTTCATCTTGTATCGAGAAACCTGAGGTTGTTGAGTACCAGAGGGCTCGAGAGGTAAAAAAATAGGTAAAAATGAATTTAAATATAGTTTCAAGGTGGTCTATGAGGAAACATTCTCCTCAATGACGCGGAGGGAGATGCACGAGCAAGGCTGGTTTGACGACTCCAGCCAGGAACAGTTTTCATCAGAGGAGTAAAAGAAGAATTTGGCGCTCGGAATTCTTTCATATTACGTCTTTATTTTTACCAAGGTAAAGAAAAGCTAACAACGTCTGATTTGAACCCATTCAGGGCGTGGTCAATCACTGCGGTTACCACATTCCAGCGCCACATGTCCTTTCCTCCAGCTTTCACGACGCCCATCACCGCCTTTTCAACTGCAATTACGGCTCTTACGGGCTCTTTGATTATCTCCATGGGACGATCAGAAAATAAACTATTGCTACTCGAAAAATCTTTCAAAATAAAATTCAACTTGAAATCAACAAGGAGTAGTTAATAATAATAGGAGCAGATAATAAATGTATGGATCGATGAAGAAGGACTATCTATTAGAAACAAGAAAATCTCTCTTCTCATCATTTTTTTTAATTTACAGTCATAGTGGAATAAGAATAGTAGGGTCTTGTTTTTTAGACAAACTTACAAATCTTTTTTCTCAGATATTTTTTGTTTGGCAGTTTTAATTGAAGAAGTCTGGTGGCGGTTTTGATAAGAATGTTATTAGAAGTCAGTTTGTTTTGGAACTTGTTGTAGTGCTTCTTCGGCCGGCGGCTTACTCGAGTTGCTCGTCAATTGCTTCTTGGCGCCCATGCTCAGGTAGCTGAGGTCGACTTTCTTCGCTTCGGAGGAAACGAACGAGTAGAACGGATTCGTACGAGGCATTGCTCTCGGCCGCGCAGGGCCCGGTTGCACTTGGTAGCCTTTGACAAAGATTAGCGGCCTAATTTCTAAAAATGATCAAACCTGTAGGGTTGGATTTAATCCTCGGCGGCGGCACTGGCGGCTCCCGAACAGTGGCGCCGGAAGCGATGGAAAGGCCTCCGATGGACTCTTGGCTTCCGAAGTTCGGATTTCGCGAGTTGTTGAGATTCATCGCGTTGTGAAGTCGCTGCGGGACGAGATGGATGCCGCTGCGCTCGGCTTCTTGCTGCAGCCGCACGCGGTATCGTCGGATCACCTTGTTCGATGGCTCCAGTCGCTCGGCTTCGCAAATGTCTTGGAAGGACTCGTCGACTTTGCCCATTTCTGCGCGGGCGCGACTCCGGGCGTAGAAGGCTTGGAACCAGCGCGGCTTCAAGTTCAGCGCCGAAGAGGCCTTTTCTTCCGCTTCCAGTTGGTTTCCTTGTCTTCTAGCGCATCTGGAGGCTCCGAGAAGAAGTGAAGCTTTCAGTTCAGCGGTGTTTTCGAGTCCAGAGTTGAGCAATTCTGCGGAGAACCTGGCAAGGCCGAGTTTGTAGAGCTCCCAGGCTCCCGCGATATTCTCGACTTTATATTTGATGTTGGCGTCCTCTAGTGTTTTGTGAAGAAGGAGAAAGAGGAGCTCTACTCGATCGGCGGCCAGGGCCCATGTGGCAGCTTCTGGGCGAGATCCACTTCGGAGTAGAAGAAGGGCGACTTCGCCGGATCGAGATGAAATTGCTCTTTCTAGTGGCCGCATGTTTGAGCTATGGAAAAAGGATTAAAGGCTGCTCATTTTGTAAGATAAGAATAATGTAGTAATTTAAAATTTCTAATTTATAATTTATGAATGCTTCATTACCTGTCGTATTCAAACTGGTCACAATTTCTACTAAGAAGCAGCGAAACTGTGTTTTTATCTCCCCCAAGGGCTGCCAAGTGCATCGGATTCCGTCCAACAATATCTCTGTGCGAGATTCTGGCTCCTCGATCCAACAAAAACTGCGCCACTTCGCGATGTCCTTTGAAACAAGCAGCGGATAGCGCGGTCATTCCTTCTCGATCGGTTGCTTCGAGATTGACGCCGAGCTCGACGAGTCGTTGACAACAACGAAGAGAACCGTGGGCGGCGGCGATGATCAGCGCGTTTTTCTCGTCGGCGAGTTTGACGTCGACTTGGGCGCCTGAAGACACGAGGAAATCGACGCATTCGAGTTGATCTGCTTTTGCAGCGACTCCAAGAGGCGTGAGACCTTGTTCATTTCGTCGATTCGGATCTGCAGAATAAGAAGCGATTAAATGCTCGACCATTTCGATATTTCCTTCGATCGAGGCCATCGTCAACGCTGTTTCGCCAGTGATCTGGTCGCATACGTTGATCTCCGCTCGACAATTGGCAGAAGGGTAATTGAGCATGAAATCGACGACTTCGAAGTTGTTTGCTCCAGCCGAATGAACGAGCACTTGCTGGCAAACTTCTTTCTTTGTTACTTGTTTCGCATACGGTGCCCAATCCCTAAAATAGTGCTAGAGTTTTACTTTATCATCTGGAAAATACCTTGATAGCAGAAAATCTATACACTCTGTTCTGGCGACACGAGCAGCGTGGACGACTGGCGAGAGGCCATCCTGATCTACTTGGTAAATATCGGCGCCAGCGAGATGCAGCTGCTCCAGAATTGCGACGTGGCCGTTTTCAGCCGCAAAAGATGTCGCAGTTCGGCCGAGATCGTTGGAGGCGTTCTTGTCGGCGTTGTACTCGAGCAAGAGCTTGACAAATGGAAGACAACCTGTTGCGGCGGCGACGACCAAGGGCGGAGCGTTTTGTAGCGCCGTTGTCTTGCTATTTACCGGCGCCCCAGCGGACAAAAGTAGCTTTTTAACTATCATTAATGCATTCAAACAAGTCTTTCCTCACCTTGGTAACTCTTAGATTCGGGTAAAAGAGATTCCTGGGCGCTAGAAGTCCACCAGCAATGTCGACATTGGAAGACATCAGCCACAGGACATTTTGAACAGAGGAAGAATAGCCAGTCTTCGATCTATGAAAATAAAGATATTATATTTTAAGCGGGGCTCTTTCTAACCTTGACCCCCTGAAGATGTGACTCTTTAAAATGTGATGGCCAAGTTCGATCGTGGCGGAAAAATGGTGCGGCTTTCCTTGTCGGGATAAGAGCAGGGCGAGCAGCGCGTGTCCGTCACGTGGGTCGATCGTGAATCTGTTTGCTTCGGGATCTGTCAGGCAAAGCCACTCTCTGTAAGCTGGATGGAGGAAGACTCGTCTTCCGTCTGTTCTCCTTGACAGTAAGGATCCAACGGAGGACATTCGCTGTCTGAACTCGGCTGATCCAACTTGAGAGTCGACATAGCCAGCCTGAAATCAAATTTTAGTGAAGTTCACCTTGTGAATTTCAATTTACCTGAATGGCTTGATAGATATGCTCATCCCTAAGAGGATACAGCGTTGCTAAACAAATCGCGAGAATGGGCTTGGCGCGCTCGAAGGAAGCATTGGTCGGGAACTGCAGATTGCTCAACATTGCGAAGAGCTCGTTGAGGTCATTAGGAAGTACAGAAAAGGTTGAACTGCGTAAGGTCAGGCGACGAGCTTCGATTAGGTCTAAGACGAGTTTCATGTAGAGAAAGTTCCCTCGAGAGCGCTCGACAAGCCGCTGTAAAAGCAGCTTCTGGGCGGCAATGCGATCTTGGGAGCCATTAACGATTACTTCGGAGCAAATGAATGGAGCTAGAAAATTGGATTAGATTAATGGACAAATGGGGCAATTGGTGGCAACCTTTTTGGAGGCGAGAGGAGCAGTACTGGACAATATCGTTGAGCAAGTTTGCATTTGTCTCAATATTGTCGATGGAAATGATGGATGTTGGCATGACGTCAACTAAATGTCGCATTTGGGTGCGCACAGTCAGAACTAGCTTGAACTGTGGTGGGAGTTGGCCGACTAGCTTTGACAGGAAGATGGGAATGGTTGGTCCGAAATCGGGTCGGTGGAGCTCCGCGGAGTCGAGAGAGTCGATCAGGATGAGGAGGGGAGAACGAGGGATGAGGCCGTCTCGGGTAAGTTGGACAAGCGGGTAGCAGATGCCGTCGACAAAGGCCGAGTGCGAGTCTTTGATGCAGTTCTGCGGAGAGAGGTATTCTTGGATTTGGGAATTCTTCTTGACGTATTCTTGATAGGCGCGGAGATGGGGCGACTGGACCAAGTGCGCGGCGATGGAGCGGACAAACTCGGGGACAAGGCACGTCGCGCTGTTGTCACTTTGGCAAAAGTGGTAGGCCACCACTTGCGCCGCCAGCTTAGCAACAGACGGCTCCTCGAATTGCTCGTTCAAGTTGAGATTCAAATTACGCTGCGATTGAAAGTGCGAGCTCGCCGAATTCACGCTCAAATTCAACTGATGCAGCGACATGGAGGAGGACATCTTGGCCGAGCCGGTACCAGAACGGGCGTAGCCGCCCATGCCCAGCGCGGACCATTGCTTGGGCGAACGGGGGGAATGAATCTTTCGCCCCGTCGAGTATTTGACCAGTTCGTCGATGATTGTTGTTTTGCCGAATCCTGCATCGCCTCATTTTTAGGTTAATAGGATTGATCCGCTAATACAAGCGCGCGGCTCTTTTCGCGAAATTGTCTCGTTTTTTAACGTCGAAGTAAACGAACCATATTTTCTAGTAAACGAGTTCCTATCTAACTTAATTTTCTGTTAACCCTTTCCTACAATGGCGACTGTTCGTACAGAAGCGATTCTAGCAGCAATATCGTCAAATAACCACCCTCTGCCGATCAGCTCTTCCCTTCCTACACTTCCAGGCTGTTCAAATCTCAAAGGCCGGATCGTTTCTCGCAACTCATCAGCTCTCTTTTGGCTGCTGTGAAAGTTCGCCGCCAAGGATAACCTGAATTTTGGAAATTGAAATCAACAACGACTAACGAAGAAAAAAGCTTACCTCGAGTGCTCACGACGTAGATTTGTCTCTGGTATTCGAGCTGAGACGGAATGTGGGCGATCTAGTCCGCTGGAACTAGAATAATAACATCAAATTATAATATTTATTCAAAATTATTAGTATACGACCAAAATTGATTAGCATTTCTTTAAAAAAAACTAAAAAAGCGCGAGAATCCTTCACTTTCGCCATTTTTTCCCGTTTATTCTGAGTCCTTACTGTATTATCAGCATTTCATTCTTAGAGGCACGTACCAATATTTTAGCCGCGTACGTTCTTTTTTCAAAAATATATTTTCCGAGTGCGATCTGTTCATGGCAACTCGTTCTTGAATTCGAATATCTATCTCCGATTTTATGCTTCTTATGTATTCTCGCGGTTAAAAAATGAGCGCCAGAGTCTCTGCATAAATCTGACATAATGAATCGCGTCCTCTGAAGGTCGAGGAGATACTCCCAAGAGGCGGTAAATGTACCGAGGGACGCTCGTTAGCGAAGATCGCTCCCGCCAGACTGCAAATCTAACACAGAAAAATAACCTAATTCGCCAGTTGGACATTAAAAATTCATCACTCGATTAGATTTGAAAGCCGCAGAAATAAAAAAATCGAAATTTCGAATAATCATCTGCAATAAAAATAAATCAAAAACAATGACAATAAATAGATGTCCTCGGTAACCTGTGAGAAAAACCTGAGTCAGGGTCCAAAATTTTAATACCGAGTTTAAATGGTAATTTGGGGAAGCCGCTCTGCGGCTTCGTTTAAAAAAAAACGCTTTTATGAAAGATATTTCAGGACCCTGAGTCAGGCATTTTACACAGGTTGCCGAACTATGATAAATAGACTTAGAATAGCAATCAAAAATATAGATATTAGAAAAAATGAAAAATAAAGCTCTTACCTCATTTGGGAATCTCTGGTTATACTGAACTCGGCATAGGCAAAGTCTTCGGCTGGAAAGTTTCTCTGTGAATTGAAGGAGTTGGGACTGGTGCTGTTGCCGCCCTAAAACAACAGCTTTAGTAGGCCGGGATAAACGACATAAAGGAAGCTGAAACGTAAGAAACGGGCCGATAGACGTATGCGAAGGGAAGTGATTATGCCGCCCTCGTACTGAAAGAAGGCACACATTGATATTAACACTGTAGCCCGTAGGACACATGCATTTTACTATTTGACAGCTATGGCGTCTCTCTGACCCGGCTGCGCTTTTATAATTTCAAATTGATTGATAAACCGAAAATATCTGCAAATACAGCTTTACTACTGTTTATTTCACACACTTTTTTGGGCATTTTTCGACTAAAAATTCCGCTTTTAGACCAATTTTTAGTCTGAAAAGCGAGGAAAATTTGAGTTTTTCATTAATTTTTTGACAGATGAAAATTTAATTCCATTGGAAATTACAGTAAACTACCAGTAACGATACAAAACACCAATCTGTGAAAAAAAAGAAGAAAAGGCTCTTATTTCTCTTTGAACACAGTTTGAGTTGCTTACTCGGCGTGAAAAAGCACAACATTCGAACTTGTGAAATTGATGAGGCGGAAAACCGTCTCTTTTTCTTATTTTTTTTCCACTGTCTTTTACTGCTCCACTTCAGCGCTTGCTAAATCCGATCAAGGGTCAATTTTAAATTTCCTAAGATCATAATTTTCGCTCTTTTTTTTTCTTGTGTTTGGCCACCTGAGTCGACAAAAAAAAGAAAAGAGCGCTACATGAATGATTTTGCCCCTTTTTTAAACTTTGCACGCCCATTAACTTGGCGCAAATGGCATCAAATGTCAGTAAAAAGGCTGAACTTTGACTTGACAGTGCATTTACCTTTGAGGAGTGGTTCAACAGCTGAGACGATTCCACCCGCGATGAGCAGGATAAACTCTGGACGCTGCCAAGTGGCGTTTTTCGCGCTGATGGAGGTCCAAAAACCTGAATTTTTGCTTTCAAAAATTGCTCAGAAAAACGATTTTTTTAAGGATCCCCCCTCGGCCTTGACCAAATTTTCAAACAGCGATTTCGCCCCTTATACCCTTAAGACTCTATCCGATATTGGTACCTTAATGTAGCTCAAAAAGAGGTCTAGTGCAAAAAATTGTTAACTTGGGGATACCCTTAAGTTAAACTAAAAGACTCTTTTTTTTGGCAAGAATATATTTTTGGCTATTTTTCTTTCTTATTTTTTTCCTAATGTAAATGAATTCCAAAAACGAACCTTTACGGACAGCTGTGGGAGTTTCTGCGTGGAGCTGGATAAATTTTCCTTCCTCTGTGTTGGCCCAATCTTCGGCGAGAGGCTCAAGATGGCTGCGAGTGGGGATTTACTCGAATATGTTAAAATAAGCTTTGGCTCTCTTCAAAGTAAAAAGTCACTTTTCTCGAAAATCTCAAAAAGCGCAAGTTGGCCACTTGCCCTTTGTTCTAGCGTTTTTTGCGATTGAAAAATCAATAGCCCATGCTGGTGGGCGCAATAAACAAATGCAGGTGCATTTTTAATGCGAAAATTTGATACAAAATCAATGTCTCGTATTTACGCCGATGAGCAGGCAGAGATGAGCTCATTTTTAAATATTTGCTGATTCAAAACTCGAAAAGTAAAAAACCCATGCCTAGTTCTTGCGAATTGTCCTCTTGAATTGTGCCATCTCCTCGCCGGGGATCACTCAGCCAGAATTTCTGGTCGCTAAATAGAAGCATTAGTACTCATTATCAGATTATATTGCAGAAGCAATAATCCAATTAGGGACACTTTATAATTCACTGATAAAAAGGCTTCGAATTGGATTTATTTTGGAAAAAAATGCAAAATATTATCAAGGGTGGTCCTTAATTTCTGAGCTCGCCAACCTGCGTAGAAAACCTAAGTCAGGGTCTGAAAGAGTTCTAATGAAGAGCCACTACTAATCTTAAAATTTCAATCTATCATAAAATATTTTAATAAAGCTCTTTCAAACCCTGACTCAGGTTTTTAACGCAGGTTGTCGAGCCCAACTTAACTTATTCAGATTAAAAGAGGCCGCTCCTCTTCAGTGAATCTAAACTTGGAATCAACAAGGACTCCCGTATTTTCCAAACCTTTTTAAATTGGTGTTATAAAAAAGGTGAATTACAGCATTACTTACTTGTTGGGAGATGTCTGGTTCTCTTTGGTGATGGTTTCATCGGAGACTGAAACTGAAAATTAAAAATCGCGCGGATGATCCCTTCTCGCACAAAGGAGCTCAGCCCACAAAAGAAGATCTTTCTTTTCTTTTGCGCGCTTTTCTTTTTACTTATTAACTTCTGAGTTATTGTACCTTCTAGCAAGCTCTGCTCGGTGATGTACTTGTGCGAGTTGTCGGAGCTGATCAAGTTGTGTTCCAGTTTTCGCAGCGGTTCCCGCGGCTTTGATGAACTTTGGCTTGAAGAAAAGACGATTCCGGATGTTTCTTCCAGCGCTTCTTCTAGAGCTCGGCTAGCCTCCTCCACCGACGGTGGCGGTGGAGTTTCTGAAAGCATTTTATCCAAAAAAAATCATCAAATATTTGATTTTCGAGAAGCCGCTTGCGGCTTCGAGCAAAGAGAATAAAATAGCCACGCCTAGCGCCGCTAGAATTTCTCTTTGACTCGAAGCCGCAAGCGGCTTCTTGATTTTAACTACATTAAACTTCATTTTGCTCGGGAAAAGAAGGGTATCCCTAATAGAAATGGGCTATTAGTTAATATGTAAAATTAACTAAAAAAGATTTTGAATGACAAAGAAGCCATAAATCAAAAGTTCCTCAATCAGCTCAAATCTGACTCTTACTTCTTCTGAAGTTTCTCAGTTTTTTTCTCGCGCTTTTTGGACTAAAACACATTCTTCCCAAAATGCCAAGAATGTTCTCTGCTTGTTACTAAGTGTCTTGGAATTCTATTAGTTATTTTATTGTCTGAGAAAAAAAAAGAGAGGATCACTTCTGCGAGACGCTTTCTCCCTTTTCCACTCTCAGATGAGCTCATACTGAGCAACTAATAAAAGCTCAACACTTCTTGACTCGAGCGAATTGAATTAAGAATTAGTCAAAACTTGAACTTCTCAATTTTTAAACTCACAAATCGGAGATATTCATTCCCGAATTTTAAAAAAGAAAATAAGGGTATCACTACTTTAACTTTAAAAAAGAATACTTACCCGGAAGTAGGCTGAGTCAGGGTCCTGGAAGATCTTTAATCATCGAAATCTATTTTTAAATTCTAGGGAAGCCGCTCTGCGGCTTTGTTGAAAAAAAAAAACCCGCAATGTGGCTTTATATTATTAATATCTTTAAAAGATCTTTCAGGACCCTGACTCAGGTTACTACGCAAGTTGCCAAGCCTAGTTCCGGGTAGGTTTCCCTTTTTAAAGTTTAGGTAGTGACACCCTTATTTTTCTTAAAAAAATAACCGATCTGCGGCTTTTTATAAAAGCTTTTTTAGGACCCTGACTTAGGTTTCTACTCAGATTGCTTATCCCAAAAGTTAACATACCAAATAAAATAAAACCAAAAATCATGCAAAATAGTAAGTTACAGTACCTGGTCTCGGAAGCGGTCTTCTAGTAGGAGTCATATTCTGCGGCGTTTGTGCGTTGCTCCCATCTTTCTCTGAATTATCAATTTCGATTATTAACGATTCTTTCTCCAAAATAACTCTGGCTTCCCGGTTATTAACCTCTCTCTCTCTGTTTAGCTCATAAAGAAGATGAAAATAGAGCGATAAGGCTCTCAATTTTTGCCAAATTTCAACAAAGTTTCAAACAAAAAAAAAGAAAGAAAAAGGCACTCTGTTTTGAAGTGGAGTCCTTAATCCTCTAAATTTAGATCACCAGGGCCTTTCAAATCATCTTCATCGCCCGCGGAAGTTTACGAAAAAAATCATCAATCAAAAATCGCAAAAATGATTTTTTCAAGTTTTCAGCTTTTGGCGGCGGCTTTTTTTGAAGAATTTCTGAAAGAAAATGAAAAAAATGGAGTGTTTTCAGTGTTACTGTCAATGCGGGGCAATTTCTATTTACTGGCGCTCAGAAATAATCGATTCTTAATTAATTGACAAAAGATCAAAGGAAATTCTGACAGGATCATCCAACGAAGAAAAAAAAAGGCAGGGGATCAGAAAGAATCACCCATCGATCCGACTTTTTGAGCAGAAAATGAACACTTTTCTAAAAATTGAATTCCAGGCGCTATTTTTCGATCTGGAGTGATCAATCTTTCCAAGCGTAACAATCATCAAAAAAAATCATCGAAGAATCTGATCGATTTTTCCTTTCTTTCCCGATCGAGATTAAATCTTCCCGATTTAACGGTTTTACGCTTTTTACTTCCCTTTTTATTGAGGCAGGAAAACAATTTCCAGAAGTCAGAATTTATAATTCAACAAAAAATTACTAAAAATCTAGGCTCAGGAATCTTAGTACAGAGAGTCCTGAAAACCCCTTGAAAATAAGCCGCGTAGCGGCTTTTTAAAAAACAAAGCCGCACCGCGCCTTCACTAGAATTCGAAAAAGACCTAACCCTGAGTCAGGGTCCCTGTCCCTGAGTCAGGTTCCCAGCTCAGAAAAATAATCAATCAAAGTCTTTATTTTTCAATCAAAATCATTAGATTGGTAATAATCACAAAAGCTCTAGAATTCAAGCTTAATTTCCATGGGAACTACCATTCACGATTCTCTGTATAAAAATACCTGTAAAATTAGCTTGACTCTGAAGCTGTCGCAATTTCTTAACTCCATCAAGCGCAATATTCATTTTTTCTTTCTTTTTACGAAAATCTCTGTAATCTGACTGTAATCTTTTCTTTTTCTTTCTTTCTTGTTTTCAACTTTCTCTTTTCAGAAAATTCAATGCGCCAAACTCATTTTTTAAAAATCATTTTCGGCGCGTGGGAAAAAAGAAAAAAACGAGAAGAAAATTTTTCCCGTCGGTGATTTCGATTGGCGATTCGGAACCCCGACTTGCGGCGCCCTCCCAAGGAACAGCTCGAACCAGTTTTAGAATTTGCCCATTTCCGCTTTTCCTCTTTCTGCGTCATTTATGGCTTCCTGTCTACAGATAGAAGGCACTATCAATTACAGTAACAGTTGTACGCGATTCGTGTCGAATCATTCGACTCAAAAAATCCTTCAATCTGGGCGCTGGAACCTGAATCAGGGCCTTGAAAGACCTTTGAAGAAAGGAAGCCCCTGACTCAGGTTTTCAGATTCTTCTACACAGGTTGCCGCTCCCAGGTTGAGGAAGCCTTTCTTGAGTCGAATGATTCGTCTCGAATCGCGTACAACTGTAATTGATCATGGCTTCTAGTGATTTTAAGGGTGTCACCGTCTTAATATTAATGATTCAAGTCAAGAAAAGTTTCCTCTTTTATTCTATCTGTGGATTAGAAAACTTAGACGTACTGTAGGATGCTCCAGTAGACAGAAACAAGCAAAAAAATTTAAGGGTGTCACCTGTATTATCTGCCAAGAGTATTTTTAACCGCCTTTGGGAAGCCTTGTGAAGATGATTACCTAAAAAGTAAAAGTCCCTGAGAATCCTGCCAAGCTGAAATATTCCTCTGAGCATTTCAATTTTACAGTTTTACAGTTAATTTCCAAGATTTCATAAAAATAAAAAAGAGCGTGTTTTCTGCAAGAGTGATTGCGCTGCGCCGCGTGTAATAAATTTTCGCCCGATTTCCGGATTAAAGTCAAATAAAAAGCGTGTGATTTCAGTGAGTGGATTAATTTATTTTCCAAAAATTCTTGTTTGAAAAGGATCTTCAAATTCCCGAAGATCAAAATCCTGGATAAGCCCTCGAATGTATTGATCCATTTAATAAATTACTCGAGACCGTTTCCAACAGAGCCTGTTTACTTGGAGCAAATCCTCTTTTGCTCCACATCAAATACAGTAATTGCAAACAGTCCTTCGATCAAACCGTCAAAAAGCTATTTAGATACCCTTATTTCGAGCTTGAAAATGAGTGTATAAATAGTTGTTGGTTAATAATGATCTAATTATTATCGAAAAGGGGATTTACGGTTATGTTTTTGGATAATTATTTATGAGCACGACAAAGGCAGAAAAAGTGAACGAACCTTTTCCCGAGAGGGAGGAGAAGGAAAGCGCTCTTCGTAGCTTCTTCATGCCATAATTGGTTTTGTTGCTCTCTAGAGTGGATTTTCGGTTTGCTGCTAATTCGAGAAAAGGGTTGAGCAGAGAATTTATAGTTGAGTGCACCTGCTCAAAGACATTCCATCGCGGGAGGGGCCAATCGAAGAAGCCAGGCTGGGCCCGCTGGGCAGACTCACTCAACTAGCACAAGCAAGTACAGGTGCACGTTTCGCCACTTCCGCTCCAACCCTCCACTTTTGGAAAGCGAACATTGTCAATTTCAAACAAAAATTATTCTATGCTTTTCGCGATTTCGGAGACAACAACGATTTTTTAAGGGGCGGGTCGACGAGAATCAGAATTTTTAAACCAATTTTCCCGAAAAACCAGATTCTGTAAATATATTTTGACTTATCACGTGAGAACAGAAGGGTATTTAGAAGACAGCGGCAACGAGTTTCCCGAGTTTTTGCAGGAATTTCGTGCACTCCATTACTAAATGTGACAGAAAATAAATAGCGAAAAAATCGGAAAATTGGCAAAATTGCAATTTGGGGTCCACTTTGAGACACGATTACGCCCATTTTTCTTGACAAATTTTTTCTAGTTTTCGCCGCTGTATTTTTCAAACCCTTTTCTAGTCACCTGACCAATCAGAATTTTTCATTCAATGCTGGTTTTTCCGGAATTTTGGTTGAAAAATCCCGATTCTCGTCGACCCCCCTAAGCCAAATATTCAATGGATTTAGTTTTCAAGTTCTTGCTAATTTCGTTGAGTAAATCCGTGAAAAGGGTACAAACGGAGAGGAATTGACCGTTAAAATTGGAGCCCCTTATCTCGTTTGCTATAAAAATCCTGCTTGAAAAGTGATGCAGCCTGTCTGAATTCGTTACTTTTCAATTTATCCTCCACAGAGCATAAATTTGACTAAAATTTTGTAATCTGGATAAATTGATCTTTATTGAAAGTAGTTTTTAAAAGCAAGAATTAATTTAAAAGACAAGACAGTATTAAGTTTTGCACAGTAAAAATAAAAGTAGTAATTGTTGAAGAGTTCACGATTGGTTGAGTTGAAAAGAAGTGAGTTTACGAACTGTGGATGACATTGTGTGGATCTTCCTTTTTTCATAAATAAATTAAAAATGCTCTTTGGCAGATTTGACGGAGTCTTCAGGGACGCCGAAGTTGATACATGAGCGCACCGAGACAGACGCTGCCGAAGATTGCTGCGAAGAGCGTCAGTTTCTGCTGCATCGCCGCCATTTGCTTCTCGTGCGTCAGGAGTTTCTGCGAAATGATAGTTAGTAAACTTACCATATTTTACGATCATATTTGGTATATTTGAGGTCAATTGAGCTCAGATAATAAGGCTCAAGGTTCTTATCTTGACCTTTCTTTTGCTAATCGAGGCCACATGGTCCCTAACCCTAACCGAAAGCGACAAGTAAGTAACAGATTACTTACTCTGTTAATCTTGAAGATCTGCTTCCTCAGCTTTTCATTTTCCGCCGTTTTGTCGAGGTCCTTGAGCAGCTGTTCGTTCAGATCCGAGAGCTCCTCGCTCGCCATCGTCATCGCTTCAAAATTCGACGAGTAAATGCCCCGGATCGTCGGTCGCTGAGGTGTCCCTTCGTCGTCGCGGGAGTCTGCTCTGATCCTTCTCGCCGGCGCCTTCATTTCCAAATTGTCGAATTCGTATGTGGCCGGCAGATGAGCCCAAGGATCGCTTCTCCCTGTGTGTGCCGTTCTTTTGTGCCTGTAGCTTTCCCGAGCGGGCGAAAAGCTCCTCGGCTCAATTTCCGCCTCTTCTTCTGCTCCAAAAGGGGAAATGACTTTCGGCGCCTTCATCAGTTCCAGAGTCGAGTTTGTTCTAGCGCCGCTTCTTCGCCGACTTTCGGAATCGCTACTGCTCCCCCCGCTACTCGCTAAACTGGCTTACAGTCAATGTTACTAGCAGCTTTGAATTTGGGGCTTACGTTATCGACGATGGAACTTGCATGCTTCTGTTGATGTTCTCCGAGTATTCCTTCTCGATCGGAAGTCTCGACAAATCAATGTCGTGCATTATTGTATTTTAAACAATTTCTGAAAGAGGGAATCATGTTATCCATCTGCTTCGAGAACAAAAGTTCTAGAGGAGCAACTGTAACAGATATTAGACACAAGCATATGTTTTCAGAGATCTTACACCCATAGCTATCACATTTTTCAAGTTCAGGCGACCTTTGAAGGGTCAACTGACCTCAATTGACCCTAAAAAGAACATGACCCTGACAAATGTTAAAGCTCTGGGTCAACGCTTTCTGAAAATATAATACTGAGACATCTCATCAGATATAAATCGTCCACTAGAGCTTTTTCAGAGATAATTTAGATAATTGGGCAAGCATGTTTATTTAATATATTATTTGCAGCTTGACGGTCAAGCGGAGGTATTGTTGAAAAATGCAAAGATGACTTCTTCCAGAAAAAAACAGATTTTCTAGTGAAAGACTGCACTTTGATAAAATACAAACTGTTGTTTATAATAATAAATACAGACGGATAAACACTTTGTCGACTTTTTCTTGTATTGCTTGAATACGAGAATTCTTTTAGTTTTCAACGAGTGGAAACACAAGTGACGTTTTTCGCTACTTTGAATGAAATAGTAAAATTGGAAATTGAAAATAGTAAATAAAATAAAATAGTCATTTTTGAATTTCAAATAGTAAAAAGAGGGTCGGGAAATAGTGAAAAATAGCAAGTTGAGTTTTAAAAACTACCCAGTAGGTAACATATTGTTGTGGTACTGATTCTTTTAGATGTTAAGTTGGAAGGATAGACACATCACGTGGTCGGTTTTCTAGCTGAGTTAACATAGTGACAACCTTTTTTCTTACGAATGGGATTTAAACCTCTATTTAGTCCCTAGCATAGCAAGAAATAAAGGGTCCCCTTTATTATTTCAAATTTTGGATTTGAAAAAGGCTTGATGTTCAAGTCCAAAATTTTCAATTTAAAAGGGAGACCCTTAATTTTTTCTTTGAGAGGAACAACGTTCATACGTTCGATCAAATTAGAGTGTGACCATGATAACTCAGTTTCAAAAGTCGATTATAAAAGGCCCGTAACAAAAAGGAGTGTGCTTGTTTTAGATCTGAAACCTCAAAATCGTTCTTGACAGAATCAGTTTTCGTGAGTTTAGTAGTTTTTCTTTTTCTTGTGAGATACAGTGGACTGTCAGTGTATGCAGGGTGACATAGAAAAATTACACGCGCGGAAAGAGAAAGGGAGAAGCCAAATCAACAATTTAAAATTGGAAGAGTGTTTTTAAGTTTCAAGTGTTCCGGTAAATACAATTCTGACGGATAGGCGTTTTTTAGTTTCGATTTTTGTTGAATTTTTTAAATAATTATTTAATTTTTTAACGACACTTGAAGAATCCGCAGTAAGTACATGTTCCACGAGAAATAATAATTAATTAAAAATGACAAAAAGAATACTAAATGATATTTTAAACTTTTAGATAAGCTGAATTGTATTATTTTTTAGTTAAAATTTTAAGTAAGATTTTAGTCGTATCCGACGCTGGATTCGACTCGTTTTAGCGCTCTGATTAGTTTGTAGATGATTTTCTGCGCCCAGTAGATGTTGAGGACGTCGAGCAGAGCCGGCGCTAGAGTCTGGAGGATGCGTGGCCAGAAGGGCACGTCGCCCAGGTCGACGGAAATCACCGTGCCCCAGAAGAAGGGAGCCGTCAGCATTCGGCAGGAGATAAATACGATCGAGAAGCTACAAAACAGAAATTATTGATTATCGAATTTTATGACTAGAACTAGTAGCAAATCAAGGTTAATCAAGGCAAACAGACTCTCTTCGAAGGTCATTTGGGGTCATGCAGGGACGGAAATGTCACCTGACTTTATATAGCTCATTCTTGAGGTTATCCTAAGTTATGTGACCTTTTTCTGAACGAAATATGACATTTTAAAGCAACCTGACCTCAAGATACAAGATCATTTGAGGTGAGATGACCTCGGATAGGTCAGATGATGCGTCAATTTTGAAGCTATAGCATATGGAAAGATTACTGTACCTAATCTTGAGGATGTCAATAAATAAAACAGGAACTGAAGGTATGTTGTCGGCTAGAACCATGAGGTTGAGGAAAGGCGTTGAAAGCTCGGCAATGAGTCTGTGATTCGCAAGGTAAAGAAGCTGGTCATTAGAGAGGATCCACCAGAAAGACAGGAATGCCGTCAAGTGGTGCCCGAGGAAGGAGTAGCGCTCCTTCGGACTTTTGTTGTCCCATTCTCTGAAATAAGGCGTAATTACTAGCCTAACTAACAAGTTTGATTTGTAGCTGCTGTATTTCATTAAAAATCCGGCTTTTCTAGGTTAGGTGACCTAAAAAAGGTGAATTTGTGCAAACTTACTTGCATAAGAGAACTTTGAGTGGAGTGACACTCTTTGGTTGTATTCTGTCATCAACCAAGTACTGAAGCGATTTGTCCATTTTGGCCATTTCTTCGGCCGAGTAGTCTGGGAAAAAGTGGTGTCTGATGAGAGGTAGGGCGAGTATCAGGATATCATAAGCAAGAAAGCTGAGAGCCTGGATCATCGTCTGTCTCAATTAAACTGTAGTAAACCTAGCATTTGCGGACGAAATCGCGTCATTTCTCGTTCTTGTCTAGAACTGCTAGACACGGGCCCAGAAAAGAGAGAGAAAAGCAAGCGAATTCTGAGAAAAAATAACTGATCGAGAAAAAGGTACTTGAATGATCCGATTCCTGAGTGATAAAATGAGCGAAAATCGCGAGATTGGCGAACTACCATTCACGGGATCTTTAATTGTCTCTTCGTCGTTGTAAACAATCCAGAGGGATAGAAAAGCAAGCGCTAGAATTGAAATTATTGGTGGTGGGAGGAAGAGGGGACGTACTTGTGTTGACATAGGTTGAGCAGCAGGTGTTGGCCATTCTGAGGCGGGAGAAGAAGTCTTTGTCTTTGAGCAAAGGGACGATCGAGGCATGGGAGAGGATTGACGGGAATAAAACGAAGACGGCGCAAAAGTGGATAGGTATCAGAACAGCCAGCTAGAAATGAACCGTTAGGACCAGGTTTCAACCCACATAAGCGGGCTTGTTTCTTGTAGTATTTACTGGCTAAAACAAAGAATTCTTGCTTTTGGTTGATACGGAAACCCCCATTTAGACCCCTTTCCAGTAATTTAGGTGTCCTCGGGTCGATATAGCAGTTAATTTATGATGAAAAGTGAGTCTTACTAAAGAGAAGTTTTCAGTCGTCAACATCTTGCTGGATAAATTTTCATGGGCTTCTAGGCGATCGTTTATTTATTTTGGTTCTTCCTTTTCCTTCCTTTCTTTTTTTCAACAAAATCAATCTAAAACAGAAGAACTTGTTCATTCTTTAAATTCATGAACGATAAATTATTGCAAGCTGGAAAAAGTCAGCCTTTGAGGCCGTGAGCAAATCTGACTAGTCTGCCCAGAGCAAGGAATTCGCTGCGAGAAGAACTCAATAAAGGCGGTGGTTTTGGAAAGCGGCTTTAAGTTTTTTGGTTTTTCGAAGAGGTTTTTAGTTTTCGAGTTTTTGCTCGTTTGAGCTCGGCCTGAGTTCGACGCCGTCGGAGTCTTCGTCAGAGTCACTTGTGTCGCTGTTTTTTCTTTCGTCGTCGTCGGAGTCGCTAGAATTTTGAGTTGACACGCGAGCCAATGAAATCAAGGACCCGTTCGAGAACTAGTTAAAACCGAAAAGCCGCTTGCGGCTTCGAGGAAAAGCCACGAGAATCTACCTTTTAAGGCGTTTTTTTTACTCAAAAGCCGCAGGCGGCTTTCGCGACGCTATCCTTGACGGATTAGAGCTCTTTAAGGACCCTGACTCAGGTTTCTACACGGGTTGCCGAGTCCATGTGGAGATATAAAGCCAGTAAAAGTTTACCTGTACTGCGCTCCTAAAGACAATAGCGCGGAGGGCTCGTTATTTGAAATTTGCGAGGTTTTGGAAGCTGAATTTGAACTAGAGTTTGAATCGGCAGATCTGACAGCAGCGGAAAGATTGGCAGCGCTTGGGACTTTCTTTGGAGAGGCGTTCTCTTCTTTTTGGCTTTTTGGTTTTGGTTGATCGAGTTTTTCGGCTTTTCCACTGAAGAAAAATGTTAAATCCAAGTGGTTGAGGGTTGAACTAGATAATTTAATCCTTCTCCTGTCAAGAGCTTTTTTGAGTTTTTATCAAGCAGCCAAGCAGGTTTATTTCCGCTCAAAAACAACGACCTTGGCTTGGCAACCTGTGAAGAAAACCTGAGTCAGGGTCCCAAAAGAGCTATTATAAATTTGTTTTTCAGTCCTTCCGAACCCTGACTCAGGTTTCCCACACAGGTTCCCGAGCGTTAGGCCAGTATTAACCCCTAAACTACTCATTTCTTTATAACTGAGTGTTTTGATTAATATTCAATTTTTTAAAGAAAATTAAAGAAATGCGACTTCGAAAGAACGCCGTAAAATCAGCGAAAAAGACTGAATTAAAATTAAAAGAGTGTTACAGCCCGAAACATGAAAACTGATGGCCGAATCGTCGATTCAATCTGTCCACCGATTTAAAATTTATTAATTAGCATCGATAACGCCATCTAGTCGCCGAAATCACAATCAAAAGTAGATTCAAATGAAAGAGAGTATTACACGATTTTGAAAAAGTTCAAAAGAAAAGTTAACATCCATTTTCAATACCGCTAGAAAATTATTAAAAAAGAGGTAAAAAGGGAGCAAATGAAGTACTGGGTACAGAATTGGCTTTTGCGGCTTCGCGCAAAAAGACAAAAAAGAGCCGCTCTTTGCGCGGCTTGAATTTTATTTGAAGGGGAAGCTTTTCTTACAGTAAATAAAGGTATCATCAAGCTAACTGTAGAACTGATTCAACTCGAGAATACGCTTGCGGCTTCAAAGAACAAATATAATAGCCGTGCTTCTCCGGCTTTTTAACTTTTTTTGCTCGAAGTTGCAAGCGGGTTCTCGGCTTGAGTCAGTTCTACAATTAAAATGGCAATGGCCTTATTTTAGGTCAGCAAAGCGTCCCTGTAAAAGAAAACTTAAGCCACATAAACTGCGGCTTTTGCACGTCTTTCTGCTCAAAGCGGCAGAAAGCGGCTTTTCGATTCCGTTAAAGATCTTAATTGGTGTTCAAAGGATGTAAAAAGATATTCCTATGTTGACACCCTGAAAATGAACTTTGGATTAAAATTGAAGATTCTGATTTGAGATCAATGCTCGAAACGAGTTCGACTTTGACCGTAGATTTGTCAAAAAAAGAGTCGGGAGAATTTGATTTACAGGTTTTGCTGGCCTGATTCTCTAACACTTGATCCTTCACTTTTCGATCAAGTCGAAAGTAAAAGAATAATTGATGAGAATCAGATGGAAAATCGGCGCCACTCTAATCAACCAGCAAAATTAATAGTCGCGGTCAATAGTCGGTCTTTTTTAGGTAAAATCAAGTTCTCATAACGCCGCCAGATCTACTCAACTGCAGCACTGCCGTACGCAAAAAAAAGAGGAGAAAAAATAAAAATTTTGAAGAAAAAGAAACCAAGAAAAGCTTGATGTTGGAAAGAAAATCTCGAAAAAGTAAAAGGTCAGTTCAGAGATTTGAAGATTGAAATTGATTTCCGGCGCTAGAAAGCTGGAAAAAATGACGATAGATGAGCTGAATAGAATCAGAAGCGAAGAAATTAGATTAATTCGTAAGTCAATCGTTAAATTGTCGATAAATCTTCAGCGAATCCGCCCTAAATTGTTAACTCGCTTGCTGGGCTCATTAGCCTGTGTAGAAAACCTGAGTCAGGGTCCGCGGCTTTTCATTGGAGATCAATCAGACCTTGACGCAGGCTTTCTTCACAGGTTACTGAGCCAAGCTCGCTTATTTCGAGAAGTTAGGGGTTCCCATTTATTGAAGCTTAGGGTGTCTCTATCAATATTTCTCTTTACAGACTCAAACTTACGAAAACTAAAAGCAGTCGGAGAAAGTTTTCAAATGAGCGTTACTAGAGGTAAGAAATAACAGTCATTTTTACAGTGTAAATGAACGAAATTCAGCGAGCGAGAATGAAACGAAAATTGACAAACTGATAGAAAAGTTTATGCATCACGAACGGTAAAAAGGACCTTTTGAATCTTACTGTAAAAACGAAACTGTTCAGGGTGGCTCAATTCGCGCAAAGGCGAAAATTCTTTCTCGACGTTTTCATCTCGAACTTGGAGCACAGTTCCGATCACACGAGTTAGAATCGACAGTTACAGTCAGAGACTCTGACTCAGAGTTGTACTTTTTTTTATCTTGAGCTTTAGATTCGTCTCAGGCTCCAGTTTTCAATATTCTTCGCTGAGCTCTAGCTCAAATTGAGTTTATACTCAAGCTGACCTTCATTTCATTTGAGCTGAGCTGGTTCAATTGGAGCTGAGCTAAGCTGGCTCGAATAGCGCAGACTCAATTTTAGCGCTTTTGAGCTGAGTTGGCTCAAGCTGAGCTAGCTCATATTCGTGATTCTGAGCTGAGCTTCAGCTTCAATTGAGCGAGCTCGTTTTTAGCGCTATTGAGCTGAGCTGGCTCAATCGGAGCCGAGCCCGACTAGAAAAGCCTGATTTTTCAGCTGACTCAGAAAAAATTACAACTCTGGTAACTGTAACTGCAAGTCTGTAAGAGTAACTTGCGACAGATCAATCTGGTTCATTAATAAAAAGTACCATTAACTGTAATAACTGTAAAAAGAGAAACTAACCACTCTGACTTTCTTTTTATTGCTCCCGCGAGGAGCGAGGATTGTTTCTTCTTTCTTTTTCCATTTTCATCAGAACAAGGGTTCACTTTCGCTTAATTTACGGCCCAATCGAGCTGTCCAAGATCGAAAAAAGAAGAAATAAACCCGTTTCTGAAAGCTTCGACTTTTCAACTAAAACTGGTTTAGTCGCGTCGTTTCTGATCGAATAAGAGCTCTTCATACGTTTTTTTTTTAATTGGGAATTTTATATTTTGAGCTCTAAAAATACTTTGTACACATTTGCTATTATTACTGATCTAGAAATTTTGATTGGGTACTGTAGTCTACAGTCTGTAGATAGACTCAGGGTTAGGAAACATGACTAAGGGTATCCTAATCTACAGTGGCTTCTTTTGATAACGAAACTTCAATCCATGGCTTCTGATCAGCTAAGGAATAAGCGTCAAAATCAACCAATCAGGACCTTGGATGGAAATCTTCATTATCGGAAAAAGCAAGCGTAGAAAGTTCATTTGCCAGATCGGAAACAGAACTAAGGCTATCTCTTATCTACAGCGGCTTCCTTTGATAATGAAAATTTCCATCCAAGGCCTCTGATTGGCTGTGATCTACCGTGGCCCTAATCGACCAATTAGAAACCCTTGATGGAAAGGTTCATTATCAAAAGGAGCAAGTGTAGAAAAAATAACCATAAGTTCTTTTTTTCCGTGGCCAATCAAATTGCTGCATAGTTTCTCAGCCTAAATGCAGCAATTTGATTGACCTATTTTAAAAATTCTTAAATTCTTAAAAAACGCATTCCTGATTTCGCTTGAGCGCGCCAATAAGAAGATCCGCTTCTCTCTGCCGTTCCCTCTCGATTTTCATTTCGGCATTGGAGACCGAGTTCAAATACGCCGTTTCGTCTTCATTGAGCCCCCTGATTTGGTTTTCTGAATGGATTTTTAGATTTTATTAGCAAAAGTGAAATTTTTATTTCAAAAGTTAAAAACTCACTCAGCGCCAATGAGTCGTTCAGAGCTTCCTGTTCCGCCACGCGATTTTCTTCTAGCTGCTGGTGAAGTGGCCTCAACACAAAATTTAAAAAATGACCAATTTTCCGGTCAAAAAACAAAATCTTTTAATAATGACGAAAATTGCAAAACGAATGTCAAAAAATCAGCCAATTTTCGAAGAATTTAATTGTTTCAAACTAAAAATAATTAATTTAACCCATTCCGAGAGCAAAGCCAATCATCTGGTCAGTGAATAAAATCTATAAAATTCAAATGTTTTGATGAAAATTGTCCAATAATCGACCGATTTCTGAATTTTCCGACATTTTTTTGAAAATCAAAATTTTTAAATTTAACCTTTCGGGCAGTTCGAACAATAATTTGGTCACAGAAGCGAGTTTCGCATATTTCAAAAAATATTAAAAAATATTCCAAATTATTGGTCTATTGATCGCCGACGAGTTAATTTTTTTATTAATGAATTTAAAAAATTTAATAATAATTAAAAATGTATAAACTATCCAAATAAATTTAACTGGACAGAAAAATAAAAAAAAAAAGAAAAATTAAGGGTGTACCTTGCGTTTTTGAGCTGGTCAAGCGGCGCTTCTTTCGGATCATTCGGTTTTCTGACTCTTTCCCATTCTTTCTGCCTAGAAATTCGATTCTGTTCGGCTTCTTTCTCGGAGAAAAATCCAGACGACATTTCTTCTCAAAATGGGAGCCAGTTTTCGGGTGAAATCGGCACTTCAATTCTCTAAAAGAGGAAACAACCCAAAATCGATTTTTTTTTTTTGCTTTGCGCTGAGTCACCACAATGGCCCCTCCTTTTTATGACTCAGCCGCCGTTTTCAGCGTTTCCAATTGATCCCGTCTGGACAACCTGGGCTCGGCAACTGGAGTAAAAACCTTAGCCAGGCTCTGGAAAAGCTAAAATAAAAAGCCGCGTAGCCGTTTTTTAAAACGAAGCCGCAAAATGCTGGGCTCGGCAACCTGTGTAGAAAGCCTGAGTCAGGGTCTGAAAGATCTTTAATGAAAAGCCGCGTAGAAAATCTAAAAATAGATTAGATAGGTAAGATATGCGAAGGCGCATAGCGGCTACGTTTTAAAAAAAGCCGCTACGCGGCTTTTCAGTAAAGATCTCTCAGACCCTGACTCAGGCTTTCTACGCAGGTTGCCGAGCCAAGCGCTTTGCGGCTTCGCCAGAATCTAATGTTTTCGAAAAAAGTTGCTATGCGGCTCTTTGCCGAGCCTAGATTCCTCATGACGGGGGCAATATCCCTTCCTTTTGGGATTTTTTTTCATTTTCAAATTTCTCGCCATTTTTAAAGCATCTGAAAATATTTTTATTTAATTTCTTGAATATTTTTTTTCAAAAAACGCTTTGAATAAATTGAAAAAAAGTGTCTTCAGCGCTACGATTTTGAGTTATCGCTCGACTGGTAGCGATAATTGTCTGGACGTCTGTCTGACTTGAGACAATCGCCAGAATTTGGAGAATTAGATTGATTTGGCATTCCGATGATTGGAGTTTTTCATTTGAGAGTTTGAAGCTTTGAGTAACGCTAATCCCTTATTAACTCGAATTTGACGATTTATTTTTCAGAATTTTGCAGAATCATGAACACGAATTTTCCTAATCACCAGTTGATTCATCAGAGCTCTTCTTTCAGAAAATTCTTAAGGGGGTACGCAGCCAAATCGAAATATTGTTATTTCAAGCAGGCTTCATTCCCATCTTCTATGTCTGCTAGACATTTTTCTAGCCGTCTATCAAGGAGAAAATGAAGGTAGAAATAAGCTTGGCTCTTTCAACCTCTTTCAGGACCCTGACTCAGGTTTCTGCACAGGTTGCCCAGCCAAGCTAAGTTCCACCTTCATTCCCTGATTGCCAGCTGGGAAAATGTCTACCAGACAACAGTGACTTAGCTCTGCTCGAAAGAATCCTTGATTTCGTTGGGTACACCCTTAAAGTCGTCATTTGGCGATGGACACTTGATCCCTTCATTTTTCAGCCCGCAAAAGCCGTCAGGATTCTTCGACAGGTATTGCTGGTGGTAGTCTTCGGCGTAGTAAAATTGCTTTTCTATCTTTATCTCCGTCGCTAAAATTTGAAACAAATTTAGAACCTCTTTTCCATTTTTATTTTCATACTTATCAGGTCGTCTTTTCTCGATTCGATTTTGGCAAGTTGCTCTTGGAAGAGAATTTTAGTCTTCAGCGCTGTCAGGAGCTGTTCTTCATTTTGGGCGAAGACGACAGAGCGGTATTGGCAGCCGACGTCTATTCCTTGTCGATCGCCTTAAGAATGCCCTTTTGGGAACTATGTTTTTGGAAAGAAAGGGGCAAACCTTGAGTTGGATCGTGATTTTCGAAGAAGAGCTGAAGCAACTCGCCGAAGCTGATTTTCGCGGGGTCAAAGATGATTCTCACTACTTCCGCGTGTTTTCCTTTATTTTCTTCCTTCATTTCGGCATAGGTGGGGAACTCAGTTGTCCCGCCAGCATAGCCGACTTGCGTTGAGAAGACTCCTTCTTGCTTCCAGAAAAGCCGCTCTGCTCCCCAAAAGCAACCCATTCCTGAAACGGGGAATATTTCATCGAGGGATTAACTTTAAAGTTGTGATACCCTTATTTCAATAAAAATAAAGAAAGTCTCTCTCTTTTGTCATTTTGATTTTGAAAAAGTGATTTCTTCTTACCTAAAACCGTTTCTTCAAACCCTTCCGGCCAAGGAGCAAACATTCTATTTCCATTGACGTGGTGAACTTCATTAACTTTTCCAACATTTGGCAGCTCTATAAACTCGCATCCGCCGCTGGAAAACAAACAAAACAAAAATGATGCTAATTTCAACACTTTACTGGTAGTACTAGTGCCCATTTTTTTAAAAACAGGGCCGATAAAAAAATAAGACAATGACGAGATGAGTTTTTTACGGATCGTTATATTTTTTGAAGAGCGATTACATCATTGTCAAAATGGCAAGCAAATGGTGCCACTCTCACGTTCTCCATTTTCGCTACTTGTCATTCGAAAACGAATACGTGAACCCTGCGCTTGGCAACCTGTGTAGGAGCCTGAGTCAGGGTCTAAAGAGCTAAGATGATTTGAAAGTATTCAAAAATAGATGAAATGAAATGATTCTGTTTTCAAAAAGCCGCGTAGTGGCTTTTCATTTGAGCTCTTTAAACCCTGACTCAGGTTTTCTACACCGGTTGCCGAGCCCATACGTGAAGCGCTAGATGCAATAATTTACGTGTAAAAATGTACGAGTCGATTGTGACCACTCATGCTCCTCAGACTTCCTGTTTTCTTCCTGTTTTAGGAATCCAGCGCGCTCTTGTTGTCTTTAGTTCAATTTAACGATCAGAAAAATGACTGAGAGATCACCAGCACCTGGGAACAGAATCTGGTCAAAAATCTAGTGAGATGATCAATAAGAAGTTTTTGCTATTTCGAATTTAGATTTTTGAAAAATCTAGGGCACTAAATCAATCTGAATTCAATTAATTTTCCAATTTTCAATTGAGACAATTGTTTTTCTGTTGTCGTCTCCGAACAAGGGATAATGTTCAGAACAATTCCACATAGCGGTCAAATTAAATGTTCCCCCAATACACAAAACAAAGCAACATCCATGATCAAGTTGTCACATGAATTTCAACCAGAAACTGGGCTCGGCAGCCTAGGAAGAAAACCTGAGTCAGGTTCTGAAGAGTCTAAATGAAAAGCCGCGTAGCGGCTTTTAAGAAACGAAGCCGCAAAGCAGCCTCACTAGTAGTTTAAAATAATCGAAAATGGTGATGTTGCTACGCGGCTTTTCAGATCCTTCAGAACCTGACTCAGGTTTTTTCACAGGTTGCCGAGCCGAGTGAGTGAAAACCTGAGTCGGAGTTGTGAAATTGTTTCGATTTTTTCAGTAAAATCAGCAAGAAGCAATTTCAATCTCGAAATCGACATTTGCCGCATCCGCTTTCGACGACTTTTGGATCGAAATTTGCAATTTTCAATTTAAGTCGTGAAGGGCGTCCTCAAAATCGAGCAACCGGTCGGGTGCCACCGGTTTATGCATCTTGGGTGACGAGATCAGGTACTCAAGGTCAGAAATATTTTCCTTCTGAAGGAGTATTGAAGTTGATAAGCCCAAACGTGCTATCAGAAACTTTCCGAGGGCGCCAGAACGCTCCGTCCGCCAGAATCGCGCCTTCCTCCAAAAATCCGCATCTTCGGAAACATTTTAACACAAATATTAAATAAAAAAAATCATAAAATAAAAACCGACATTTTTCCTGAATTTTTCGTAAAAGAGCATAAATTTGAAATACAATTAAAGAGATGATTCTTTTACTCGTCGGATTCTACTTTTGCAACAGGAAGAGGACTAAAACTTGAAATAAAAAAGAATAAAAGAGAAACTTTAATTCTTAGAGAACCAAGTTTGAGCAACCATTATCTCGAGAAGAAAACTACCGGAAGAAAATTAAAGTTCAGTTGATTTTTTCATGGAAGTAAAATTGGCGAAAAAGCTCTTATTAATCATTTTAGACCTTTTTCATTTTAGTCAAAGGGTTTTTCGGACTAAAAACTGGGTAGACCTATTTTGACTAAATTTTCTCTGAAAAACGTCGTTTTTTGGGGGTTTTTTATAGAATATTTTTTAGCCAAAAAAGGTCTAGTCAGTTTTTAGTCCAAAAAATATGAGGCGAAATAGTCGACCCGACTTTTGTACTTTAAAAATAAAACATAAGCAAATAATGGAATTTGTAAAAACCTAGGCTCGGTAACCTGTGCAGAAAACCTGAGTCAGGGTCTGAAAAATCTCGCGGCTTTTTCATAACAGATTTTTCAGACCCTGACTCAGATTTTCTGCACAGGTTTCGTAGCCAAGGTTTAGTCTTGATTGTCGAAAATCCTCGCAAAAGACAACAGCCGCCAACAATCTCTGCGGGCAAAAACGAACCCTACGAGAAGGCGAAAGCATCAATTTCAGCATCAGTACAGTCAGCAACTGCCAACTAAGCCTATTTTCCTTGACTGGGAAGTTTTCAATCACGCCTCACTTTATCAGGCTCCCTTTTTCGGAAAATTGCGAGACGAACGGGCTGGCGATTCAGGACAAAATAGTTTGCGGGCATTTTCGGAGGGGGCAAATTGGAAGCACGTTTCGGCTAGAATCGGACATTCTAGACGTCGAAGTCTACAGCAAACTCAAGAAGTCGGCGGTGAATTTGACGCTCGAAGCCGTTGGAGATAATTTAATGGCCAGAAGCAGCGCGAATTTCAAAGAAGAAACCAGGAATTTCACCTTTATGTTGGACAAGTTCACTAAAGTGACGAATCGCATCACATTCAAAGGTAATCCAAAAATGGGCTCTTCTCCAAAAGTTATCATTATGACACCCTTATTTCTTGTCATCGAAAGTTAGTTGAATGCTATATCTGAATTTTCCGGTCGGTAATTTTTATTTTAAAAAATTTTTTTTACTAATAAATAAAATTATGGGTTTGAGCTAATTTCTAGCGAAAAGAATAAGGGGGTCATTATGAAAACTCGGGAAGTTCAGATTAATTCAAGAATTCGCCAATTTCTGCGAATTTTCGAAGAAGCAGTAGCGCTCCTTCTCCCACCCCAAAATTAAAATCGAGGGGCACTCGTTTTGACAAAATACAAAAGCTGAAACTTTGAAGCCCTCCATTTTCAAGTTCATCCATTTTTTTTTCTAGCGTTGTTGTTTTTCGAAGCGCTTTGACGACGCTGGGACGGGGAGAGACCACTCCGCTGGTCTGGGTTCCATGTAATCCCGCTAGCTTCACGCTACAGCGCAATAAAAATAATAAATTGCGCCAGAAACGACCAGCTCTGCAAAATTACGTTTTTTAAGTCGGCGCAGAGGATGAATGGCCCAGCTTTATGAACATCAACTTCGACGCTACTTTTTCCAAAAATATTTCGGACGATGTCGATTCCGGCAGCGGGCAACCGGGTTCCTCGACAACATTAACAACCACCACCACAACGACAACAACGACACCAACAACGACAAGTCAACAACACACAACAAAAGGCCTCCTTTTCAAGATAGCGAGATCATGAACGACCCCCCATTCGATTACTATTTCCACAACCCTCTTCCATTCAACCCTTCAAAGTCTGGGTAAAATCATCAACAACAACAAGTATTCGTCTTTCCTATCAAAAGAGCGACTACGACAAATTGAATGATAGCTTCGATTTTGAGATCGGCAACCTGAGTTGAAAACCTGAGTCAGGGTCGAAAAAGCTAAAATGAAAAGCCGCGTAGCGGCTTTTTGAAACAAAGCCGCGAAGCGGCTTTTCCTTTTAGCTCTTCAGAACCTGACTCAGGTTTTCAGTAAAGCTTGCCCAGCCAAGACCTGTGTCCAAAACCTGACTCAGGGTCCTTAGACAGATCGAAATTTATTAAAATTTCTGGCAAAGCCGCTTCGCGGCTTCGTTTTTGAAAAAGCCGCTACGCGGCTTTTCATTTTAGCATTTTAGACCCTGACTCAGGTTTTCAACACAGGTTGCTGATCTTGTTACTAACAAGTTGTTAGTCAATAAGTAAGTTACTGAAACTCTGAAAAATGTTTTCTGTTTTGACCCAAAAAAGAACAAGGGAGGGAAAGTGAAAGAGCTGCAGGCGGAAGTGGAATCCCTGAGCGCGGAAGTGGCGAATTTGAATGACACAGTGTCGGAAGAGAAGCAGAACGTCAAGGATATCATCAAAGCCGAGATTGATGCGGCAATCAGCAAAATCGAGAAAGGTGAGTCAGACGAGCGTTCTCAGCGGTTCTAGTAATTCCTGCGCAATTCCTCGAGTGTTTTGCTTGCCCCGATTTAATCTCGCCGTTTCTAGAGCTAGACACACTCAAACTCGAGGACGACGCCTTGGAGCAGCGACTCGCCGCTCTTGGAAAAACTCAGCCCAAAGACGACCTTGGTAAGCTCAATTCCAAAAGTGTGAAAAGCTAAATTTATCAAACTCGCTCTTCAGATAACATACCCCACCCCCAAGTTTTCGCGCATTCCTCGGTACATTTTCCGTAATTTACTCTTCCTGATTTGTTCAAAACCCCCCAAATTTACGCCGCTTAACTTTTCCGCGTGCGCCCTAATTTACGCTCGCGGCGCTGATTGGCTTCGTCGGTTAACTTTCTGAGAGGCTCTCAGTGAGAGCGCAAAAGTCTTGTTTTGCTCGCTCCGGGCAAAGAAAGGATGATCTTTTATAAAAAGCCAGATTCCCTTCCAGACTTCCTAGGGCCTAGGCCCTAGGAACCAAGGGCAGCCCTATCTCATGTTATCTTTGATAAAATTATTGTTAATTGTTACAGTGAAGTTTATAAATAAATTATTTATTTTTTAATTTATTTGATAGAACGTTATGCTAGTGTGATAGATGAAAACGACTTCTGTCGAGCAAAATCCTGACCACATTTAAATTATGTGTCCAAGGCTTGGACTCCAAGCCACGAAAAATTTCCAATTCTAGAGCCTCAAGTTCCTGAAAAAGACTGAAATCCCTTGGTTTAATTTGGCGCTATGATTGCATAACGCGCCCGTTAACCTTACGACCACAAACGGAAATTTCACCCCCCGACCACAATGTGCCATATATGGCACATCTCCTTTACTGCCCTCTAGAAGCTATTTTATAAACCAAACCCGAGCCTTATCCCAAAAACAAACCGAAATCAGACTCTGGAAGAGAATCTGAGGCTAAATTCGAACTAAAATTCTAATCCAGACCCAAACAAAATTACCCAAAAAATGCAAAATTTTGCCGGCGGAAGATATCCTACCGACCACAATGTGCCATATATGACACATCGTCTCTACCGCCTTCTTGAGACCGTATTATTGGCTGAAACCGAACCTTAATCCAAGCCCAAGCACAAATCAGATTCCTTACCCAAAATATGATGCAGACACATGCCAAAACTCAATCCACGACCCAGGAAGTCAATTGCTTCTCCGGAAGAAAATAGTCCCCCCGACCACAATGTGCCATATATGGCACATTCTGAATGCATTTGTGTGCCATATATGACACAAGTGTAGCGAAGCTAAATTCGCTATTCGGTTGCATTTGTAGCGAAGCAGCGGTCATTTAGGTTATACCACGTGAAAGGTCGGCGAAAAGTAGGGCCTTAAAGGGGGGTCGGCGAAATTCTAACATCAAGTTAAAAATGAGTTACGGGCCTTTTTTTGCCTTGGTGCCATATATGGCACACTTGTGGTCGTAAGGTTAATCGGTCATTAGCGTTGGCGCGCATTTCAGCGGGTCGCGAGTAAATTTGGGCGCACGCGGAAAAGTTAGGAGAAGAAATTTGGAAACGCAAGGAAACGCAAGGAAGCGTAAATTTCGGGGGTTTTGGAAAAGTGAGGAAACGTAAACTTGGGCGAAATACCACGAATTGCGCGGAAATTTAGGGGGGGGGGGTATGTTAGCCCAAACTGTCTAAATATTGGCACAAGCTTTCTGAGAAGCATATTTTTCTTTTCAGGAACTCGACACTTTTCGGAACCTAGAAATTTTATCAAACGATTTTGAAAAAATCAAGATTCTACAGTTACTGTAACTCTTACTGTACTCCTCTGATACATTAGTAAATCATCACCGATTGGTCGATTCTTGAGCATTTTTGAGAAAATTATCTTATCAGCGATGAATTACTGATTAAATAATTTTCTCAAAAATGCTCTAGAATTGACAAATTGGCGAGAATTTACTAATGTTCCAGAGGAATACAATCTTATAAAAAATTCTTATCGAAAAATTTTATTTTTTATTTAGACATGAAAACCCTGCTTCTGATATCAATCTTATCATCTCGGCAGGGGAGCCAAGAAAACGCCGATCAGAATAAGTAAAAAACGAAGAAACCCTCCCATCTTCTTTCCGACGCTACGAATTACTGTTCTACAATTCGTAAGAGACTGTGCATGCCCAACTGTGTATTTTCGCTACTGTTAAAATTCAATCTTGCTCTCGAAAGTTACTTCTTCCTGCTCTGGAATCCTTCCATCTCACTACTTCAATCAATAAAGCTCACACGGCCCTGTACATTTGTCTGGATTACAGTAGAGGCTCGGCAACCTGTGTAGAAAGCCTGAGTCAGGGTTAAACTTAACTCAGGCTTTCTACACAGGTTGTCGAAGAACGACAAAAGAAACAGAGTCTTACTCAGGGCTGGGCAACCTGTGTAGAAAGCATGAGTTTAGTTTAACCCTGACTCAGGCTTTTTACACAGGTTGCCCAGCCCTGAGTACTACTGTATGAAGAAGACTCTGTTTCTTTTCTTTTTTTCTTTTGTAGATTTTTGGATAGATTCTCCAGTGGCGCTGATTGGCCCGAGGCGAATCACTAAATTTGAACAGAGCAAAGACGACTGTTTACTATTCTCCCAGAGATTTACCAAGAAATACGAAAATACGCGAAAGAAAAACTTCTTCGAGAAATTCTAGAAAAAATGAAGAAGAATTATTAAAAAGATAACAGAAAATTTCGATTATTTATTTAATTTTTTAATAGATTTTATTCGATGAAGGGATAGTATTACTGTATGTTGGAAGCTGTATTTGAAACACTAAATACACTGTTTTGTATTTACAGAAGGAGAGAGTTAAGTTGAACTGACCCAAGTGGCCTAGTTCTTGAGTTTTGTTCCGGAAGTGATTTAAAACGACTCTCTGTATTCATATTCGTAACTCGCCTAAACAACATTTTATGTTTTTCCAAGAATATGTTAAAACTCGATTTTAAGGGGTACCCATCATAAGAGCCCTTTTTTACAATTATTACTATGAGTTAAAATAGAGACACCCTTATCTTATTTTGCGTATGGAACCAAAATTATGGGATTCTCTCAAAGAAAAAGAATTTGCTGACCGTATACTCCCTTAAAAAACGATGGTTCATTAAATCACCTTACTCCAAAACAAAAGACAAACCTAGGGGTCTATTTGGGGTGGTCATTGGTAGCCCTTCAAACCTGTTTCGCGGCGCGAAATAATACCATTCTTTGCTTACTACAAACAAATCATCAAAACCACTCTTCTCGTATCATAAAATCTGACTAGCGCGTGATTCTATTCTATACTCTCGATTTTCACCAATTGATCGGCAACCTGTGCAGAAGTCTGAGTCAGGACTTCGAAGAGCTATTATGAATCATAACTTATGATATTATTTTTAATGTTCTTTTAGGACCCTGACACAGGTTTTTTACACATGTAGTCGACCCAGGGACAGCATTTTTAGCAAAGATAACGGACTCAGTGTAATTTGCGATATTCTAGAGTTCGATAATGTTTGGTTGAATGATTGGCTTGGATCAACCTTTTCCCCGGCCGAAGAGCGGAGTCGCCGATCTCGCGCAAAATGAAACGATGGAACTTCCGGCCGCTGGAGCTCGTAAGTCGACTTCCTGCCTTTTCACCTTTTGAAATAAGTCCCTAGATGGAGATGTAGCAGACACGGATTTTGTGCCCCTGGACGAAAAGGTCTCCCAGCGCGATTTTTTCATCGGTTTGAGTTTGGCTGTCAGCAGCAGCATTTTCATCGGAACAAGTTTCATTCTCAAGAAAAAGGGGCTCCTTAGACTCGAAGCTAGGGTAAATAAAGACAAAATAAACTTGAATAAAGATGTTCACGTCAGACAATAACCCCAATTTTTAGGGTGCTGCTCGCGCTGGTGCTGGTGGACATGCGTATCTCTTCGAGCCCGTCTGGTGGGCTGGAATCATCACAATGGGAATCGGCGAAGCTGCAAACTTCCTCGCTTATGGCTTCGCTCCTGCTACACTAGGAACCGTTCGCAACTCGAAACAAGCACTTGAGTTTGATTTATTATCGAAGGATTGTTGCGAACGGGAAACAGTAACACCTCTTGGTGCTTTGTCCGTCCTAGTGACCGCTGTTTTGAGCGCAAAGTTCTTGAATGAAAGGTTGAATCTTCATGGCAAGATGGGATGCATGCTTGCTATCTTAGGGCCGGATTGACAGACGAACTGAAAACTTTTGAGCTACAGCCGGAGAAAGATTGCCCGATTAAATTCAAAACCCACCTGGGCTTGGCAACCAAGTTGTCGAGCCCAGGTTAGCAAGCTTCTATCTTTTTCGTCTGAAAATCCAATCGAAGGAAGTACGATAATGGTGATCCACGCGCCAAAAGACGAATCCGTCAACGATCTCAAAGAGCTCGGGATGATGATGATGGAGCCAGGCTTTTTGCGTAAGATGATTATCGAAAAACGGGCTGCTCAGTGATTTAGTTTACGCTGGAGTTGCTCTGGCGGTCAGCATGGTGTTAATTTTCAAAGTGGCGCCGAAGCACGGAACGACGAATATTCTCATTTACATCATCATCTGCTCCTTGCTTGGCTCCTTCTCCGTCGCCTGCGTTAAGGGCGTCTCGCTCGTTGGGAAAGAGTTCTTCGACGCTGACTCGCCCAATCCGTTCACCGAGCCACTGGTTAGCTTCGAAAACTTGAGATCAAATGAAAATGCCTGTTTTAGACGTATTTTTGATTGTCTGCCTGATTCTGTCGATCTCGACGCAGATCAACTATCTCAACAAATCGCTCGATATCTTCAATACTTCCATCGTCACGCCGATTTATTATGTTATGTTTACGACGTGTGTGCTCACCTGTTCCGCGATTCTGTACAAGGAGTGGCAGGGAATGTCGATTATGGGCAAGGGATGCGAAATTTTCAAAGATATTTTGAGCCAATCGAGCTAAATAGGTCCATTTCGATGGCGGGCGCCTCTGATACACCATAGTCCGAGCGAGACCGTCATTTTTTGGTCAATCCGAGGTCGTTGATGAAGATATTCTTTATCAGCAGAACCCTCTGTAGGTTTTAATCAAAAATCCTGCAGAGCTATCTTTTGATAACGAAATCTTTCATCGAGCCTGCCATCAGAAGTCTCATTGGTCGGGAAATTCCTTGTCCAAGGACTCCTGTGTTAGATTTTCGCTTGAAACATACAGACTTCTCTTTAAAAGGAACATTTCCAGGACCTTTTATTGGCCGAGAAAAATTAAAAGTTAACATTTTGCATCTCGAAAAAGACATTGTTGGAACCCTGGCTGGATTCGGAGTCATCATTATAGGTAATTCAAAAAAACTCGTTCTTATCTTAATTTTGAAATAGGCACGCTCGAACTCAAAATGTTTGGAAGGCTGAAAGACGAAGGTCCGTGGGGTTGAAATAAATAGCCGATTTCGATTTCGGAGGAAGACAAATTTGACCCCATTTTTAGTGAATGATTACGGGGACGAGCTGCCCAGTGCGGATGCTCAGATCACCGAGTTTTTTGACACAAGGGTGACCACCAAGGCCTCTGTCCGGGACTTTGAGTCTGCCTGCACTAACGCCAGCCAAGTGTAACTAGAACTAGTCGATTTTACAGTATGTAACAGTCCACATACAGTTTGTACTACAGTTAATTGATCTTGACAGTTCAATCTTCGAATAAGAATGTTTTTTTTCAATAATCTTCAAAATCGAAATTGCCAAATTGATGATTTTTTACTTCAAAAAACACTCAAATCTTATTAAGGATGTAGTCGTCTTTGTTGCTCGTTTTGAGAGTCGACGACTAAAGCCTCGATTCTGGGCGCGGCAACCTGTCTAGAAGCCTGAGTCAGTGTCCTAAGAGAGCTCCGCAGCTTTTAATTAAAGCTGTTTCAGTACCCTGACTCAGGTTTCCACACAGTCCCCGAGCCCAGCCTCAATTATTGCTGACTTCTTCCAAATCAAAAATCAAAAGGATAGTTTTGCACCAGTACTACTTTTACCTCTCTTCAATTCATTAAAAAAAAATCGCAAAAAGTCTTCAAAAAAGTGCCATGTCTAACAAAAATATAGCTCCGCTCAAAAACGCCTTTAAAATTTGTACTTTTTTCAACTTTGCTCAACCTCGCTTTTTCCTTTTCTTTCGACAAAAATGAAATAAAAGTTTAATGAAAAAAAAAGAGTTCGAACGTCAATCAGGGATTTTCCTTTTGCATGCCTTCCGCAACGTTGATGACAGTCAGCTTAATATTAACACAAAGAGACAAACCACGACAACGCAAAACGGATCGACCGCAGAGTATTCCCATCTTCTAGGTCCAGGGCTTAAAATATAGAAAAATTCTTCCAGAGTTCAAAGCTCAAATCTTTAATTGTCATTAATGATAACTTATCATAGAGAACCCCTTATTTTAAGGCGAGAAAATCTGCTTAGAAACCTGAGTCAAGGCCCTAAATGAGAGCCAGTCTTCTGACTCAGGTTTCTACACAGGTCGCCGAGCCTAGAATTTCTATCGTAGATTATCGAAGAAAAGTAGAGTTCTTGAAGCCTATTCCTTTAATTATAAATTATTGAAAAGCCAAAGAATCAGACGAAGAGGAAAACAATCCAGACGCGTAGAAGCAGTCTGTTGTGGATTCGCATTCAGCTTGAAATTGAAAGTTCCGAAATTCTATCCTTCGCGACGAAAAAAAAAAAAGAAACTCAATTAATCAAATATCCCTGTATGAATTCTCTGCTATCTTCGAAGTTGGCTTCAATTGTTTTACGAACGCATTTTTCCTCCCTGAAACAACCATAACTATCTAATTTCTGTATTTAATAATTTTCTTGTAAACACGGACAAACTTGGCGAAACTTGGGTACAATAAACCAAAAAAAAAACGACTTTTTCTCGACTGACTTTTTATGTGCTTATAAGTTTTAAACAACTCAATTAATAATTATGCATGAATTGATTTTCCATATGAGATTTTTTAAAATCCTTATTCGACCAATCAAACTGCTCAAAAAAGACTTTCTTCCAATCAAAACTCATGAATTTTCTTTTATCGCTTACCTCAAAATCAAGGGTTTTGATTGGAGGGAAGCCTTTTCTGACCATTTTGATTGGTCAAACAGGAATTACAAAAGAGCTTTTCGTAAGAGTAAATTCGTGCATAATTATTAATTAACTCGTTTCTGTATTAATTTTTATAATTTCAGAAAAAATAAAAAAAAAGAAGATGGGTTTTCAATTCAACTTTGACATTGGCGAGAGCGAAAAGTGCGTTTCTAACGATTTTGCACCGATCGGTGAAATTGGTAAAAACGAATCTGTTCAAGAAAAAGAGATTCCCGCGGGAGCAGAAGAGGCCATTGGGAGGGCATTTATTATTCACGCCGACTTGCCAGCGAGGTTGCAGGCCCGCCGCAAGTCCAAGCTCCCAGTCCGGAATTTAGAGCTCGTCGAAAGTGGAAATGTGACGATGGCCTATTTAGAAGACAAAGACGAAGAGTGCGACGTCGAGAGCGGCGAGTACGAAGGCGGGCGCGTCCTGTGGGAAGGCACCAAAGATCTTCTGGCCTTTCTAGACGCTAGAATTAACTTTCAACTGGGAGGGAAGCGCGTCATGGACCTGGGATGCGGACAGGGACTGTTGGGAATCTACGCGCTGAGCAAAGGTGCGACTGAGGTCCATTTTACCGACTACAACGAGAAGTAAGTTCTGAACTAGGTACAAAGAGCTGCGTGGAAAACCTGTGTCAGGGTCCTAAAAGAGCTTGTTTCGAAAGATTTGAATACGAAGACATTTTTTACAAATGGCTTTTGAAGACCCTGACTCAGGTTTTGACTCAAGATTTTGATGATCCTTTCAAAGACAATTCATTTTTCATGGAGTTAGTGTTATAGATAATGTGCTGACGAGTGTTCTGGTGGAGAATGGATACGATTCGGAAAAGAAAGCATCGGGAATCGGGTTCATCAAAAGTTTGCCCGTAGTCTTTTAGCGTGATTTTCGCAAATGTGTAAATTTTAGATTGAAAATTTTTAACTTTGAAAATTTGACAATCCCATAAAAGCGAATTACAGCTTCGAGCGGCGACTGGGCGGAGCTAGCCAAAGCAATTGAAAGCAAAGGAGACCAGTTCGATGTGATTCTGACGGCAGAAACTATATACAACGCGGATTACTACTGCAGATTATTCGAAGCAATAGATAGCTGCTTGGCTCCGAAGGGAGTCGTTTATCTTGCCGCCAAGAGCCATTACTTTGGCTGCTCGGGTTCAGGTGACATTATAACTTATATCATATAAGTTATATGGAATTAATTATTTATGATAATTTGATAAGTTTTAATTGATTTATTTGGTTGTCTAAGTTCTAGGGGCTTTTATAGAGATCTAGGGACACTTACTGACATCTAGGAATGACTAGGGACATTTTGAGACATTTTGGTAGATCTGTAAACATCAAGGGACATCTATAGACATCTTAACACATCTAGAGACATGTAGGCACGTCTAGAGAAATGTAGGCACATCTATAGACATGAAAACCCATCTCGAGACATGTAGGCACAATGCCTGGCACATCTAGAGCGATATAGGCACATCTAGAGACATCTAGAGGTATCTTTAACACCTAGAGACATCTATAGAAGCCCAGAAAAGACAAATGATCTCTAAAGACATTCCAAAGTATATTTAACATTCGTGTGACTTTTAAGGAGGGGGTCGACGAGAAAAATTTTTTCGCTTTTTCAAAATTTTGATTATATTTTTGGATTCCTTAAGAAAAAAGGAGCATTTTTGGTCTCCAGCTTTTTGTGCATTAGTCAGCTTTTTTTAACAAAATTTACAATTTTGAGTCTGGAATTCGAGATTTTACAAGATTTAAAAGTTGGTTATTTCACCAATAAACAATCTTAATCCGATTTTTATTTACTAGATATTGTTTTTAAATCGTTTTATTATTATTTTCAGTAAAAAATTCCGAGTCTCGGCGCTTTTGGTGAAATTCTTAATGAAAAATGAGCAAAAATGACGATTTTTAGGAAAATCGCATATTTTGAGTCAACAGAAAAAATTTTTTTAATAAAAGCAGCCCGCTATATATTGTCGCCGCCGTATTTTTAAGGGTTTAAACTAACTATTTATATAATTTGACGAAGAAAAAAAATTCCCGTTTTCGAGATTTTTTGGTTACGAGTAACCCCCACTTTGACCCAATTTTTTGACAATTTTTCCAAAAAAAATTTTTTTCTAGTTTTCGCCGCTGTATTTTTCAAACACTTTTCTTTCCACCTGAAAAGTCAGGATTTGCCTATCTAAGCAGGATTTTCCGGATTTTTGGTTACAGAAATCCCGATTCTCGTCGACCTCCCCCTTAAACTTTCACCAAAAGTTGCTAAATAATTAATATTGTTGTCTAAGTTTTCGGCTGGATGGAATACGTAAAAAAAGAAGGCGGCTACGCGATTGACGTCATCTGGAGCAGCTCGGGCGATGGAGAATTGAGGCGGGACATTCTGAAGATGATTAAACTATAATTACTCTTCGTTATCGCCGCTTTTATAGATTCAAATTCTCCCGCGCGCTACTGGCTGAAATTCAAAACGAATCGAAAAAAATGAAAAAAAAACACTTCTTTTTTAAGAGATACTTGAGTTCGAGAAAAAAGAATGAAAGGCGGGAAAGGTTGGAACATGATTCTCGCCGCCGATCTCAAAGGCGGAATCGGATTGCGCAACGATCTACCCTGGAAAATTCCACAAGATCTCAAGCACTTTCAAAAGTTGACGAGAGGCTCGGCTGAGAGGGAATCCGTCGTTGTCATGGGCCGGAATACTTGGCAGTCCATTCCGGAGAAGTTTCGACCGCTAAAGGTAAAAGTACCTTCGCATGGAAACATCAGAGACATTCTATCTTGTATAATGACATCCGTAGCCTTCTATGAACATCAATTGACATAATTTGACATTTCAAACAGTGTTGACACGTCTATTAGACATCTCAAAGATATCCATCAATATCTAAAGAAATCCATAGACATTTGGCATAGACACCTTTAGACATCAATTTTTACCGCTAACTTCTACTGGCATTTATTGGTATCTATTAGTTTTACCTATGTTAATAAGTACGGGGCATCGACATTCATAGACAGCTTGACCCATTCGAAACATTTCTAGACATTTCTTTTCTAATATTCCTGGACTTTCAGCGGCATAACTGATTGGCACGTAGACATGTCCTGACATCAACTTCATACTGTAGCGTAATGACGGTTACTGTAGCTACCGCTATTAGATTGAAGTCTGAAGCCCGGGGCGATAGTATGCCAATCGAATGACTAGTTAATTACTCTAGCTCCCTATCTACTCGAGCAGTCAAATAAAAACCCAACGAAACAGGGAAAATCCTAGCTCACTTTTTTACTCACTTTTTAAACTCATATTTGTGCGCAGGGAAGAGTTAACATCGTCATCACCAACACGCTGGAGAGCGAGAACTTCGTCAAATGCACATCGCTAGAAGAGGCGATCGACTACGCCGAGAAACATCACTGCGCCGCGGCGAAATGGATCATCGGCGGCGCGACGCTCTACAATCGAGCGCTCAAAGACGCTTTTGTCGATGAAATCTACTTGACGCGGGTTCAGCGCGACTTCTGTAAGTCTCCCTTTATTGAGCCATGTGCAAAAGACAATTAATAATACGACCTCAATTTATTACTCTTTTCAGGTTGCGATACACACGTAGCAGACCTTTACAAGCTCTTGGAGGCTGAATACCGACTCGAGCCTTCGCCAAAATTCACGTCGGAGACATTCACGATTGAAGAAGACGGCCTCAAGTTCAATTTTGAGCGACACGTCAAAAACTCTATCCAGCTTTAGATCCAGTTTAGAATCACTGTTTTGTTCAAATTTTCACAGACACAGTCTTCTTGCCAGAATTCTACCTCCTTTATCAACTGCCGAACACACCCTTTACCCAGTAATAATTTGCTCCTCAATTTCGCTTCGCTAGAATGCCGCTCGATCATTACGCACACGGGCCACTGTCAGCCACGGGGCTGATCAACAGAATCGAACTCGACGAAATGGACGTCGATCCATTACCTGCCAGCCAAATTCAGAATGCGCAAAACAGTCAGAACTCATCGAAAGCGGAAGAAATGGAGAGCGAAGTTGCCCTCGACTCCCTTGTTAATCAGAAAGCACACCCTAATCATTTCAAGCTGCTAAAAGTGCTCGGTCAAGGCACGGATCCATAGAAACTATTTAAGATCTGTAGATCTATGGACATCCACAGGCTTCCAGGGACATCTACAGACATTCATAGACATTTTAAAACATCAAAACACATAGATAGAAAGTAAAGAAAGAGTTCTGTGCATCCGTTAAAAAGGTTCTTTCGGAAAGGTCTTTCTGGTGCAGAAAAACGAAGGCGCTGACCGCGGAAAATACTTCGCCATGAAAGTTCTGAAAAAGGCGGCGCTCAAAGTGCGCGATCGAGAAAGAACGAAACTCGAGCGCAACATCCTCGCCATGGTCAGACATCCATTCATCGTCGAGCTGTATTATGCGATGCAGACTGAAGGCAAATTGTATCTAGTGCTAGAATTCGTCCAAGGGGGCGATTTGTTTACCCGCTTGAGTAAAGAGGTAACTTCTTTTAATACACAAAAAGTTTGAGCTTTTCGGTAGATAATGTTCACGGAACGAGATGTACAGTTCTACCTCGCCGAACTTGCCACTGCCCTAATTCATATTCATTCTCTTGGAATCATCTATCGCGATTTGAAGCCCGAGAACGTCCTCGTCGCCAAAGACGGCCACATAAAGGTACTCCCTTTTCTTCTTCATTCAACTCACTCCTTTCCGAACAGCTGACGGATTTTGGCCTATCAAAAGAATCGTTCGAGCACGCCGACAACGAGAACAAAGCGGGCTCGTTCTGCGGCACGGTGGAATACATGGCGCCCGAAGTGATCAAACGCACGGGCCACGACCACGTCTGTGACTGGTGGAGCTTTGCTGTACTCATGTTCGAAATGCTGACGGGCTCGTTACCCTTCCGCGACAAGAACAGAAAAATGACGATGCAGCTGATCTGCAAGGACAAACTGGCGATGCCAGCGTTTTTGACTGCCGAAGCGCAATCGTTACTCCGCAAATTGTTCAAGAGAAAGCCACAGAATCGACTTGGAGCAGGTAAACCATCTTGGTTTTTCCTCGCGCGTATTCGACCGATTTACATACCAAAGCTTACCTCTTAAAATCATGTTTATTTCAGGCCCGGAAGGTCCAAACAACATCAAACGCCACGAGTTCTTCCAAGGAATCGACTGGAACAAACTAGTGCGGAAGGAAATCAAGCCGCCATTTATCCCAACCATCGACAGAAACGACCACTGCGGAACCGAGTACTTCGACAAAGACTTCACCCGTCGCGTCGCGCAAGATTCGCCAGCTATTCCAGCCTCGGCCGGCGCAAATCAACTGTTTCGCGGCTTTTCGTTTACGAGAGGGAGCCATGAAAAGAATCCTATGTCGCCGGGGGAATTGACTGAAAGTCACTTTAGAAATAATGCTCCGGAAGGGTTCTTTTTGACACAAGCATCGAACAACGAAAAGAAAACATTCCACACAGAATACGAGCTTTTAGATGTCATCGGAAAAGGTAAAAATGGAAGTATTCTAAAGCAAATTTTCTGGGGTGAGGGTTCTAGGGTTGAGCAGAGCTTCCTCAAATACAATTCTAAAACGATAATAGCTTAAATTTCTAGGCTCATATTCGGAAGTCAAGAAATGCCGCCATAAAAAGACGGGAAAGCTGTACGCTGTCAAAATATCAAAGAAATCAGGTTCTACTCATCCCCTGGACAATGGAATGCGCGATGATGAAATTGAAATTCTCGTGCGCTTCAGTAGCCATCCAAACATAATCACAGTCAAGGTAAGATTGGTTTTCTCTTTAAAAATTTATAAATGTTTCAAAAAAGGATTTCTTCATGGAAAAGGCGGAGAATAACTTTGCCGTATATCTGGTGACAGAGTTGATGGAAGGCGGCGAGATCTTCACAAAGATTCAGCAGCAGAAAGCGTTTTCTGAAAGAGAAGCCAGTGCGGTTATGAAGACAGTTGTTTCTACAGGTGAAAAAGTGATTTTTTGAGAACATAGAAGATAACATACAATCACGCTTTCAGTTGCCTATCTCCATGAAAATGACATTGCTCATCGCGACTTGAAACCGTCGAACATTCTGTACGCGGACGAGACTGGCGACCCGTCGACGATCTGTCTCGTTGACTTCGGCTTTGCCAAGCAGCTTCGGCATGAAAATGGGTAACAAAGGCTCCCGATATTCGTTTACTCATGGTTTTATTAGTATGCTGATGACACCGTGCTATACGAAGTCGTATGTGGCGCCAGAAGTTTTCAACAAGCAACAATACGACTTGTCGTGTGATATCTGGTCCCTTGGCTGCATCATGTTCACGATGCTCGTTGGAAAGACCCCATTTGGTATATTGCCGTCGGATTCTGAAGAAGTCGTCGCGCAGAAACTCGCCTCCTGTGAACTCAACTTTGACGACCCCAAAGTCAACGTTGCTCTTTCTCCACAAGCCAAATCGCTTCTTGAACGACTTCTCAGTATTGACAGCAAATCGAGGCCAACAGCGAAACAAAGTGAGCTCACTTCATTATCTTTTCGTTTGGACTTGACATTTCTTTAAGTTCTGGAAGACGAATGGATCAAAAACTGTAAAAAGCTTCCATCAAAAAACATCGCGGCGCTGGAATCACCCGTCGACATTTCAAAAGGGGTTAGCAGTGCGATAAAAGTCGTCACTAATTCCAGTAGAAACTCGTCAAAACAAGGAGGCATCTCGCTCCAAGCTCCCGTTAGTTCAGGTAATTCCACGAAATAAGAACATACTGTAAAAGTCAATTTAGGGTTATTCAAGCGACGTTTGAAAAACTTCGGCAAAAACTTCCCAAGTTCGTTAAAGTTCTAAAATCCTTCTCTTTCCTATCTTCCGGTAAACTTCCCATCCTGGACAAATGAGTTCATTTTCAATTGTTCAATCTCAAAAATTTTCAAACCCTGTCTTCCTTTCTATTTCTTTCTTATTCTGAAAAAAAACGGATCTTCGTTATATCCTTTCGTGACTGTACATATATTTAAAAAGGATTTCTGCCTAACAAAGCTCCAGCTTCACTCTTTCTACATTCTGGCATGTACTAGCTCAGTATGGACCAAGACCTTTTTAACTGCTGTAATAATCTTTCCTCAACTATCCGAAAATTCCAATACAAGTTCATTCAAAAATTATAAGTTATTGTAATTTTAAATCATATTTCACAAATAGTCACAAAATAGCCAGTAAAATTTTGATGCGATTCAATATCGGGAACTGCAAAATTATGTAGATATATATATATATATATGAGTTCGTGATTTATTGCAGAAGCAAAGTGGCTTAACGTTTTCGGAAGAGTATTTCCATTATCAGAGCCTCGCCTTGAATTCGCTTGAGCATCCTTAAGAACAGACAAACTTACTTTTTCTTGTGAAACTGCAGAACTGATTAAAAACCGAAAAACAACCCTAATCCCAACCAATGTTCCAGAGATAACCGAAAATGAGAAGTTAAAAGTAAATTGCATCAGAGGCTCCATTACGCCTTTAATTTTGCCTCTGAATGGTATCACAATATGAATATATATAATATATATATATAATGGAAAAGCATGTTCGAATACAGAATGAATAAATACGGAATGAACAGTAGATACAGTAGTTATTTCATTGAAGTCCCGGATACTGTTTGTTTAATGCAGATTTTCATGGGGTTATAACAGTGTTTTTTTTAGGTTGACCCTGACTTTGTCCCAACCGTATTCAAAACCCTTATGTGGTAGCCCCATACATCTATACATTTTCTGAAAGCCCAGACTCTACTGCGTTGCCTCGACTGGGTCTTGTGACCCTGGGGAGGTCATATGACCTCAAATGACCCCTTTGAAGAGAGGCCAAGCGGAAAATAGTCATTTTTTAAGGAAAACAAGCATAAAATTGCTTGGATTCTAGTATGGGTAGACACTGACATAATGCATTTTTAGAACCGCCAGATCACGGGGATCATTTCGACTATTGATTGTAAGGGGGTAGCTCATGCCCTGAAGCAAATTAAGGGGGTCGGAAAACCCGAGGGTCAACCTAAAAAAAACAGTGTTTATGCCATCCAGTTCGACTCATGGGGTTAAGGACTCTCGGGCGCCCCTCAATTCAACGATTCCCCGCCTCCGCAAATTATGATTGGCCACATGTGTCGCTCGGATTTTTTTAACTATTAAATTAAAACCAGGTTTCCCTGACAATAAGAGACTTTAATTATTTGTTGAGAATAAGAGATAATCTACAAAGACTACAGGTAAAGACACTCATCCTAATCCAAGCATTGATACCAGAAAAAAAAGAACATCTAAAAGAAAGAGAAGACGCTTCTGAATCATCAACTGGGCTCGGCAACCTGAGTTCAGGGTCAGGGTCAGGGTTCGAAAAAATTTTTCTAGCGTCTCAAAGTTTACTGAAAGTACCAGATACGTGAATTCAAGAATTTCAACTTTTATTCTGGGCGTGCTATGATAACGATCGATAGCTTTTCTTGGAGCTCATTAATCACTTAATTCATCGAGGTGATATTTTTGGAACCAGCTGGTCACTCTGGCGGTTCGTCGCGGTTCAAGCCTTTAGATGGGTTGAGATCCGGCAATATGTATATCAAAATGCATATTTTTTGATAACAAGTCATTCCAACAGATTTTCTAACAAAACCACTTGGTTGACCGATCGGTTAACAGCGGTTCAAAACGGTTCACGCTCTTATTATCAACAAAATGCTGAAATATTATTATCAAAATGCTTTTCTACACATGAGAAGTCCCTTAAACAGATTTTTGAACGAAACCACTTGGCTTAGCAACCGGTTCACAGCGGTTTAGAGCGGTTCACGCTATTTATATCCACAAAATGCTGAAATATGTTTATCGAAATGCAGCATTAGTCTAAAGAAGTCTTTTGAACAGATATTCGAACCAAACTACTAGGATCCATGACTAGTTCGTCGTGGTTCAAGACAGTTCATCTTTTATCAATTCAGTCTGCGACGGGGCGAAGCCGATCCGAAGGGGAGGCCAGTCTCGTTTATTCAATTCAGTCTGCGACGGGCCAAGCCGACCCGAAGGTAAGGCCAGTTCCGTTTATTCTATTCAGTCTGCGACGGGGCCAGGCCAATCCAAAGGAGAGGCCAGTTTAGTTTTTAAATTCAGCCTGCGACGGGAACCCGAAGGGGAGGCTTTTTCTTTTAAACGATTCAGTTAGGGGCCAAGCCGACGAATTCAATAAACGGGACACTTTTGCAAGGACTATGTTCCGGTGAGTGTTTGAAAACCCGCAACATTTTCCGCGGGCGGGCGCGGGGGCCGATTCCAAAATTTTGCGCGGTTGCGGGCGGGCGCGGGGGCTGATTCCAAAATTTTGCGCGGGTGCGGGTCAAGCCCCTTAAATCAAAAAATCAAGGAAGGGTTAGGCTGAGACGGCCCCCGCGGGATTCAAACATTTTTTTTCAAACACTGGTTCCGGTTTTGTGGGCATTTGTTAAGCTCAGAAAATTCGAGAGGAAGAAATATGGTGTTTTTTTTCAAAAAATCAGGAGTTTTTTTCTAAAAAATCAATGGTATATATATGGTTTTATTTACCAAAAATGGTAAAAAGGCAAAAGAAAGGCGTTTCGATGATAAAATTTGCTACTATTCGACGAAAAATTTATCGAAGTAAAAATTTTAAAGTCCTTTCTTTTGGAGACTCTTGTCCACTTTTGTGGATATTTTTACGAAAATTTGGGACAAAAAATGTCCACAAAAGAGGAAAATAGCTGTATCTGCTCTAGAATCCAAAATATTTTGTTAAATTAAAGATAAAGACCATTATATTCCTTGTGCTCTGCGCATTCAAACTCGCCCCGGAACAGAGTTCGAAATCTCAAAGGAAATGCCGACTCCCACTGCCAAGTGACTGCCAGCCATTTTAAATTTCAACTGCCACTGCCAAGTGACTGCCGAAATCGGCATTTGCCACTGGCAGCTGCCAGTTGACTGCCGAAAACTGCCAACTTTTATACTGTTTATATATTTTTTAAAGTCAAACCAAGTGAAAAGCAGTCTTTTCGACAAGTTGAACATATAAAAGGAACTTTTTCCAAAATATGAATGTCTCTTTTGATAGAAAAAATTGAAGAAAATAGGTCTCTGGAGCAAGCTTTGATCATTGACGTTGTATCTCTTTGTCGTTCTAGAAAGCAAAATAAATATCTTTCGAAGTGGCAGAATTAAAATTTGAAATTGGCAGCTGCCAGTAACTGCCAGTATTTGAAAAATTTAACTGCCACTGCCAAGTGACTGCCAAAATTGTCGTGGCAGTACTGCCAGCAAATTTCGAACTCTGCCCCGGAAGACAAGTCCGAGTCAAATTTTTTTTCCGGTCAAAGTTCTCATGCCCGTATCTCAAAAACTGTATTTATATAGTAGTAGTATGATTTATCATATCAACTCATTTCAAGTAAAGTCTACATTATTTTTTGTGGTGAATCTTCTGGGTATTATTGTTATTGGCTAACTTTAAAGTTAAGATCTCACAGAACATTGACACCCGTACCCCTCCCTATAAAAACCTATACGGTCTTTAAGCCGTTGAAAATCACACAAAGACTCGAAGCTAATTTGATTCTCCTATCAGTTGAACATTATGTTCTTGAACATCCGATAAGCATTATATTTTTCAGACTGCTCTTTTGAAACGCAATGGCGCGAACCAAGCAGACCGCCCGAAAGTCCACTGGTGGAAAGGCCCCACGAAAGCAGCTCGCCACCAAGGTAATCAAAACCACGCGTGTTCTTCCTTCAATAAATTAAGGCTGCTCGAAAATCCGCCCCATCCACTGGCGGCGTCAAGAAGCCCCACCGATACCGACCTGGTACTGTCGCTCTCCGAGAAATCCGCCGATACCAGAAGTCCACTGAACTCCTCATCCGCAAGTTGCCCTTCCAGAGACTCGTCCGTGAGATCGCCCAAGATTTCAAAACTGATCTCCGCTTCCAATCTGCTGCTATTGGAGCCCTCCAGGTTCGAGATAATAAAATACAAAGATGATTCTCAATTTGGTTTTAGGAAGCCTCCGAGGCGTATCTCGTCGGTCTTTTCGAAGACACCAACCTTTGCGCCATCCACGCCAAGCGTGTGACCATCATGCCGAAGGACATCCAGTTGGCCCGACGAATTCGAGGCGAACGAGCCTAAAAACGCACCAAACTCTCATCCCCTCGCTCACTCGTATTCGTTCCTAGCTACTCCCTCTATTTTTTGGCACCGTACCTAAATTTTCTTTTTATCGTGTAAACCTGCCGACAACATCTAGTAACTACTCCCTTTCTCGTGTGATAAGCGTTTTTCCACGACTCCAGGTCTTCGAGTCTCGATTCAGAAAACTATTTTTACCAACCTCAAGCGCAAGAGGCTTTTTGGCCAAGAGTGATCGAGGGACTTTTTGAAACTGAAACTAAAACTCACATTTTAACATCTTATGTTAACTTTGCCTACTTTCAGATGAATAATGCCGCCATCGCTATCGGAATCGGACATTGATGAGACAAAGAGAAACGACCTCAACGCCGCTGCTTCGATTTTGATGCCTTCGCAGCGGGACAATCTTCGATCTTCGGGCTCGCTGGACTCCACAACCGAGGTGTCCCCAATAAAGCGTCCACGATCGCAGCGAGAAAGAAGCGTATCGAACCCAGTCCTCCGTGTGAAAGAAACTGTCGATCTCTCGCCAGAAGCCTCCCCGCCGTTCCCAAGAAGAAGCGAAAACGGTCTAGAGGGAGGCCCAGCAAACTGGACAAATTGAAGGAGGGAGACGGCGTCCTCTTGAAGATTTCCTCCGACGACGTCGGAAAATATAAACTCAAGAAGTGCCGATTCCCCAGACTAACTTCAATAGCGTTTCTGGGGGAAGTCGCTGACTCGTTCGAAAACTCCGTGTAAGTAACTACTTTTCACGACATTTCTTTGCTTATGATTTGGTTCAGGAATAATCATGAAAGCCGCGCTCGACTGCTGAAGAAGAAGTATCCATGGACGGAAAGCGAAGACGAAAAGCCCTGGTTCTATCGACCAAGAGGACCAGAAGATGTCGAAGCCGCCCTCAACGAGGATGGTTCACCGTCCTCAACGCCTGTTGAATACGAAGGCGAATTCTACCCGACGGAAAAGATGATGCCCAACGCAACTGCTGCCGAAATCGTTCGCATCGACCACTACCGAGACCTGGTAAGATAACACTTCTTTTCATAAAGAATTTAATCAAGAAAAATTTAGTTCAAATGGGAAAAGCGCCACTTGAATTACGCGAAACGAAAGATCGAGTACATCCTGGACTACAAACGAAAGCATAGACAGGACTTGTACTTGGTCAAATGGTGTGGAATTCCAGAACTTGGAAGCACGTGGGTTCGTCCAATCGACATTTCTACGCATCGGTACGAGTTTGGCCGGCAGATAAACCAATTTTGGGAAGCAGCAAAGAAGATCATCCCGCACAAGAAAATGCCCATCGTTCGTCGATCCAACTACGAAATTCCGCCAGAATACTCGAACATGATCTTGGTCGACTACGTCAAAGAAAAGCGCGAAAAGATGAAAGAAATACTCGCTGAAAACCCATTAGGAGAGAATCTGATCATAGAGAATGAGTTGGACATTTCGAAGAGTCCCTTTTCTTTCGATTTCATAAAGCAAAACACATTCATCGGAGACAAGTCGCAGCTAACGGAGTATGCAAAAGAGCTAGAAGAACAGCTTGAAATTGCCGAAGCCATGGGGCATTTCTGCAAGGAAGAATGTGGCGAATGCACGGTCAAGTTCTACCAGCAAAACGACCTCGGCATTCATAAAGCCAGCTGGAAAAAGTACAAACATTACCGGCACGTGACTGCAGAAGAAGGCGATGGACACGAATACTGGAAAGTCGTCCATCCAGAGAGCTACCTCATCTTCGAGTGCACTGACAACTGCGTCTGCCGCAAAAACGGAACGTGCAAGATGGACCAGTTGTCCAAACTCCGAGCTAACGTCAACACCACAAAGTTTTCGATCTTCAAAACGGACAACGACCGGGGTTGGGGATTGAAGGCGATGCAGCGCTTCAAACAAGGAGAAGCCGTGATTGAGGTAACAGTTGTTTTCTTTCAACAATGTCTTATCAACTTTTAGTACGTCGGAGAATTGATGCTTGAAGACACCTTCAAGCTCGCGGAGAATCAAATCTGGGGCAAAGGGCTCATGTACAGCATGAACTTGACCCAGAACGACAAGAACTTTCCCGCCTACGTCGTGGACTCCTCGAGAAAGGGTAACCACAGCCGGCTGATCAACCATTCCTGCGACCCGAACCTGACGACGTACAAGATCATTAAAGACGACCGTAACATCAACCGTCCGTGCCCAGTCCTCTTTGCCAACAAAGACATTGAACCTGGCGAAGAGCTGACCTTCAACTACAAGATAGAGGTCCAAAATCAAGACGAAGACCCTTCCAACGAGAACGGTTCTTCGGAAGGCGTCGCGGACGAGCAAGAAAAGGAAGACGATTTCGAGATTGTCTTCACGGTAAATCAAAGTAGCTTGAAATCAGTTTTATTAATATTAAATTCAATAGTGCCAATGTGGCTCCAAGAAATGCAAGGACCGCGACAAGTCAAAGAAAACGAAGAAGCCTGCTAAGCAATTGCAGAAAAAACGAAAACTTGAGCACAGGAATGGACCTTTCAATGAAAAATGATTGCAACGAAAAAATCTCATTTCAAAATCAACAAAGAAAGATCCTCGAAAAAGCTCAAAACCATCGCCCAAGAAGCCAAAAACGGACGCCGAGAGCAGCTAGCGAGTTCAGCCTTGAAAATTGAAGGTGCAATGCGCAAACGAACTACGACCCTCCCCTCCATTCGGCCGTTTTTTCTCTGTACATACTTTTTAACTTTAATTTCTGTAAAACCCGACCCCCCTTTTTTCTTGGCTCCGTCTACTGCCAATTTTGCTCCATCAAAAGTTTACAAAACAAAAAATAAATGATGGATTATTTTATGGATCAGCTCGATCAACATTTGCATCTAGCCGATTTACAGTTACAGTGCCTGCAGTTCTTTCAGAACACTGTATTTGCATCTGAAGCATCAACAAACTCGTTCTTCTTATTTCTTTCCTAGTTCTAATTCTATAAAATTCATCAATTGCATATTCAAAAAAATCAGTCCCAAGTGTCAGTTGAAAAAGTCTCAGTATCGCAGTTCTTCAGAATGCAAAAAGAAATACCCGGCTTCTACTACGATCCAGTAAAGAAGCGTTATTTCAAAGGAAGCGCACCCAGAGCAGAGCCGACCATTCAAGACACTGCCCCGCTGCCTAAAGAGCAGCCAATTTCAATTCCGCAATATGTCCGCAGCCAGAGAATCCGCCCAAATCGAAACTATGATCCCATCGCTCGTTTTTCCCAAGTCCAGAGCGAGATGCGATTGCCACCCAGTGTCCAGGATGTTAAAAAGATCTCCTTCTCCCGCTGCGGCAAAACCTGGTAAATAAGGCTTTTTCTAAATGTTGCCGTGCCCATTAACTAGATCTTCTTTAGCATTTCGTTGAGTAAATTCGGTCAAGCTCGGGTCATCCCGCTTCAAAAGTTCAAAACCTCAGACATAGATGAGACGAAGTCGTTTCGTTTCTACGACGCGGTGACGAACGAGCAGCCAGTGTGCGACGCTGATTTTGACTTTGTTCCCGGCCAAGTTGGCGGAATGATGACTGCGATGGCGTTGACCCCTTGTCATAGCGTGCGGCAGAGTTCTTCGTTCATTGGAGTTTGTAGATTCGACGACGACGGGAACGAAAGCGTCGTTTCTTATAATGTAGGCGGCGAAGGTAACTACGATGGGCGATACATAAGAAGAGGAGGTATACAGCAAAGAGAATGGCATTTAGCTACATTCTTTTAGACATTTAAAAGCATTTACTCAACACTTGTGGCTTCCGAAGACGCTCTCTTTCCTCCATTTATCAAAAGTTGTACAGGCCTTCAATTAATCTAATTTCTCTCAATTCAGGAGGTTCTTACGCCGATATAAAATTCATCAGCGAGTCGAAGTTAGTATATACTACCGGCCGAACCACCTTTCTTGCCGAAAACGTCGAACGTCCTTTTTACATGGAAAAGACGAGGCGAGACAATCCGACACTCATCCGGAGACAGACACAGAATTCACGCTACCCCTTCGAAAGCTGCAATTCGACAATCATAGCCGTCACCACTGGTAGGGCCATTTTTATTTCTCAATTGTTTACATTAAAAATAGATCCAGCGATTCGAGAGACGCACAGTGGAGGAAAAATGGTTGCCGAAGCTTTCACCGATGGTTTCATCCGTCTTTGGGACGTGTCGAATGGCAACCAGCCGTTCTTCCAGACGATAGCGATGCCTCCTCAATGCCGGGCTAGTTCGATGCACATTGAAAATTTCAATTTAACGGTTGCGTTCTACGGCCCACAAGCTAAATTGTGTACCTATGACTTGCGTTCCAGCACAGTAGTTCCTATCCTCACAGGTAAGATGATTTTTCTTTGGAGATCATTACTAACCCCATTTCTAGCGCCGATCTTCAACGAGAACAAAAAGCAACTAAAGCATACTGCCAGCGAATGCGGCCGCTACATCGCCTTTCCAAACCAGTGCGGAACGATTCGACTTTACGAGTCGAGGAATCTTCGACCCTTCGCAGACTTCAAAAGCGACCGCTTCGACAGAACAGATGACCAAGACTTCATACCGGGTGCAGCTTTTTGTGGACAAAGACTTTTTTCTACGACAAGAAGCGGATTTGGAAGCTTGGAGCAATTTAATTTAATACTCAATCATCAGCACTCTTTTCTTTTTAGAATGGATGATCCGACTGAAGAGGAAATCGTGTCATTTGAAGAAAGCGGAAAAGAAATCATGATCTTGGACGGGGATTTCGGAACGCCGGCGAAAGGACTTTTCCGCGACGCTGATGGAGATGTATTTTACGTTGCGGTGAAAGATGCTGAAGGAAGATTGCCAACTGGCGACTCGCTCTTTTGCAATCTCGTCGGGATTTTCGGAGTGGATGACTCGCTCCCAAAGGCGATTTCCGCCGAAGGAAAGGATTGACATTTTTAAATAACAGTAAATAATTGTGTACGGTTTCTGATGAAAATCCTCAGATAAGAATGGATGACGCTGAGTCTGGAAGAATACGTCTTCAGCAAAAGTTCTCCGAAATCCCTCACTCATGTGAACTTTGCCTATGACAGCTGGAATGGACTGGAACACATTCATACTGTGTTTGGGAAAGTTCACGGGCGTATTCATCCGAGAAATATTCTTGCTTTAGGTAAATTCAAACAAGTCTATCCCGCATTTTCTAGCCCTATAGTATCAAAATAGTTAAAATTGAAGTAGTTTTTAGACACTGGTTTTAGCGGTTGGCTGGTAAAAATTTCTGATCTGGACGTCACGAGGCCACTTTCAAACTACGGCAAGGAATGGACAATTCATCAAACCGAAGGAAATCATCAAGAAGGAGAAAAAGACGATCTAAAGAGCTGGGCGACGAGCATGATCTTTATGATCACAGGCGAGAGCATTCACTGGCAACGATCAAGCGACACACATCATTCCCGCTGTCAGAAGATGAAAGAAAGCTCGAGGAAAAAAGAAACGAGCTGGCGTCCTGAAATCGTCCAAAAGCTCTCTTCCTACAATCGTAAAACAGCTGATAAACTGCTAAAGCTGCTGGAAAGCGGCATCCCAGTTCAATTTGACTTTCTGGACGAGTTCAAAAGCCATTGAAAAATTAATAAAAAAAGGAAGAGAAATCTTTTCATTTGTCGTTCTTTCAATTTGAAAAACCAAACCAGTGTTGAAAGTAAAATTTATTAGCAGCTGCGTTGTTTATTTCAGGGTGTACTTGAGTGTTAGGTAGAATGAGTAGAGGCGGATTCGGCGACGCCTAGAATGATAATTTTCAAATTGAAGCTCTTCCACTTTAAGGCCCCCTTGAGAGGCGGATTTCCGCGTAGTTTACATACTGACAACCTTATTTTCACCGAGAAATGATGGTTAATGTGCAAACTTTTCTTGAACACGAGAAAATAAGGGTGCAGCTATCTTATTATAAGATAATGTTTCATCAAATTCAACACGGCTTTTAATCCTACCTAATAGCGGTCTTGAGTGTTTCTTTCGACATCTTTCTTTTCACGAAAATGATTTTCTCGCTCTTTGCTTTTGAAAAAAAGAAGAGAGCGAAAAAGAATCGTGGCGCTGAGGATTCCCCGCGGGATTCATTCAAAAGACCTTTCTCTCTTATTTTACACGGCGCCACACTACATTTCTTATGTATTCTATTGATTAATATTTCGCTCAACAAATTGGCTTGCATAAATTTTGCAAAGTAGTTAAAAATGATCCGTTGATTTAATATTTTTAACTTTCAGTTGAAATCAAGGAAGATCTCTATTATGATTAAATTGACGATGGACTTTTTTTAAGAAGGATTGAAAGTTGAGCGATGGAAGTCGTAAACATTCCGGAGAAGGGGCGAGGAATGATCGCCACCGAGGACCACAAGGAAGGAAAAGTGCTGCTTGAAGAAGAGCCAATTTGCTCAGCGCAATTCAGGATTTGGCCTCGTTAAATTTAAACACTCACTTACCGATTCACTATTCATTTGCTTTCATAAGAATTTCAACTCGATTCATGAAGGATTTATTTCAGTATTTTATGTTTTATTCCCTACAGTCCTGATTTTCGTTGCCGAAAGTGTAATATTGATAGGCTTACCGCGGTGTTTTTCGATTTTCAAGGTTCTTTTGAAAAATCTCCCCATACTTTCAGAACATATGCATCAAGACAAGCCTTGAAAAACTGCACTTGCAGAATTTTCGATATGAGTCATCTTACCTCTTTTTTTGGGGAATTTTTAGCGAGAAAAAAAGCACTAGTTTTATTAGAAGCGGCTTTTGAGTGCGTGCTAGATGGATTTTGATAATTTGATGCCTACCATGTGAAAGATAAGCGCAAGATGCATCGATACATATGAAATTTATTATTGCGGAGTGCTTCCTTCATATGATTCTAGAGCTCCAAAGTTGACGCAAGCAGCCAGATACGAAAATCCAATATTATCAACTTCTGATATAAGCATGCTATGATGATGTTTTATAGCTCAAATTGAAGCTTATTAATTACTGAACAAAATGGGGTGGTATTTTTTGACCAGCCGGTTGTGCTTCCGGTTCGTCGCGGTTCTTGCCCGGAAATAGGTTAAAATGTAGGAATATGTATATCAAATGAATTCATTTTCAACAGCGAATCTTTTTTACATATTCAGAAGTTCAACCGCCTGGTTATTCTTGCGGTTCATGGTGGTTCATGGTGGTTCAAGCGCAGAAATGAACAAAATAGCAGCAATATGTATATCAAATTGAAACTTGTAATAAGTTCATTCATAAAATCATTGAATAAGCCCGAACCAACCGGTGACTCTCGCGGTAAATAGCGGTTCCAGACGGTTCAAGCCGGTTGAAGCTAAAAACATGCTCAAAGTGGTTCAATATGGTTATCAAATGAATTCATTTACAATAGCGAGTCTTTCTAACACGTTATGAAATTCAACCGCCTGGTTATTCTTGCGGTTCATGGTGGTTCAAGCGCAGAAATGAACAAAATAGCAGCAATATGTATATCAAATTGAAACTTGTAATAAGTTCATTCATAAAATCATTGAATAAGCCCGAACCAACCGGTTACTCTCGCGGTAAATAGCGGTTCCAGACGGTTCAAGCCGGTTGAAGCTAAAAACATGCTCAAAGTGGTTCAATATGGTTATCAAATGAATTCATTTACAAAAGCGAGTCTTTCTAACACGTTATGAAATTCAACCGCCTGGTTATTCTTGCGGTTCATGGTGGTTCATGGTGGTTCAAGCCAACAAATAAACAAATAGCATCAATATGTATATCAAATTGAATCTTGTATTAAATACATTCGTACAATCATCAGGCCTGTTTATACAATTCAGTCTGAGACGGGGCAAAGCCGATCCGAAGGGGAGGCCAGGCCCGTTTATACAAAACAGCCTGAGACAGGGCCAAGCCGACCCGAAGGGAAGGCCAGGCCCGTTTATACAATTCAGTCTGAGACGGGGCGAAGCCGACCCGAAGGAAGGCCAGGCCCGTTTATGCAATTCAGTCTGAGACGGGGCCAAGCCGACCCGAAGGGGAGGCCAGGCCCGTTTATACAATTCAGTCTGAGACAGGGCCAAGCCGACCCGAAGGGAAGGCCAGGCCCGTTTATACAATTCAGTCTGAGATGGGGCCAAGCCGACCCGAAGGGGAGGCCAGGCCCGTTTATACAAAACAGCCTGAGACAGGGCCAAGCCGACCCGAAGGGAAGGCCAGGCCCGTTAATACAATTCAGTTTGAAACGGGGCAAAGCCGACCCGAAGGGGAGGCCAGGCCCGTTTATACAAAACAGCCTGAGACAGGGCCAAGCCGACCCGAAGGGAAGGCCAGGCCCGTTTATACAATTCAGTCTGAGATGGGGCCAAGCCGACCCGAAGGGAGGCCAGGCCCGTTTATACAAAACAGCCTGAGACAGGGCCAAGCCGACCCGAAGGGAAGGCCAGGCCCGTTTATACAATTCAGTCTGAGACGGGGCGAAGCCGACCCGAAGGGAAGGCCAGGCCCGTTTATGCAATTCAGTCTGAGACGGGGCCAAGCCGACCCGAAGGGGAGGCCAGGCCGTTTATACAATTCAGTCTGAGACAGGGCCAAGCCGACCCGAAGGGAAGGCCAGGCCCGTTTATACAATTCAGTCTGAGATGGGGCCAAGCCGACCCGAAGGGAGGCCAGGCCCGTTTATACAAAACAGCCTGAGACAGGGCCAAGCCGACCCGAAGGGGAGGCCAGGCCCGTTTATACAATTCAGTCTGAGACGTGGCCAAGCCGACACGAAGGGGAGGCCAGGCCCGTTAATACAATTCAGTCTGAGACGGGGCCAAGCCGACCCGAAGGGTAGGCCAGGCCCGTTTATACAATTCAGTCTGAGACGGGGCAAAGCACACCCGAAGGGGAGGCCAGGCCCGTTTATACAATTCAGTCTGAGACAGGGCCAAGCCGACCCGAAGGGAGGCCAGGCCCGTTTATACAATTCAGTCTGAGACAGGGCCAAGCCGACCCGAAGGGAAGGCCAGGCCCGTTTATACAAAACCGCCTGAGACGGGGCCAAGCCGACCCGAAGGGAGGCCAGGCCCGTTTATACAATTCAGTCATCGACGGGGCGAAGCCGACCCGAAGATAGGCCAGGCCCGTTTATACGATTCAGTCTGCGACGGGGCCAAGCAGACCCGAAGGGAAGGCCAGGCCCGTTTATACAATTCAGTTTGAAACGGGGCAAAGCCGACCCGAAGGGGAGGCCAGGCCCGTTATGCAATTTGGTCTACGACGTAGCCAAGTCGGGTCGGCTTCGCATCTACTCAGACTGAATTGCATAAACGGGCCTGGCCTCCCCTTCGGATCGGCTTGGCCCCGTCACAGACTGAATTGCATTAACGGGCCTTGCCTCCCCTTCGGGTCGGCTTCGCCCCGTCACAGACTGAATTGTATAAACGGGCCTGGCCTCCCTTCGGGTCGGCTTGGCCCCGTCTCAGGCTGTTTTGTATAAACGGGCCTGGTCTCCCTTCGGGTCGGCTTGGCCCCGTCTCAGACTGAATTGTATAAACGGGCCTGGGCTCCCCTTCGGGTCGGCTTCGCCCCGTCGCAGACTGAATTGCATAAACGGGCCTGGCCTCCCTTCGGGTCGGCTTCGCCCCGTCGCAGACTGAATTGTATAAACGGGCCTGGCCTTCCCTTCGGGTCGGCTTCGCCCCGTCGCAGACTGAATTGTATAAACGGGCCTGGCCTCCCCTTCGGGTCGGCTTCGCCCCGTCGCAGACTGAATTGTATAAACGGGCCTGGCCTCCCCTTCGGGTCGGCTTGGCCCCGTCTCAGGCTGTTTTGTATAAACGGGCCTGGTCTCCCCTTCGGGTCGGCTTGGCCCCGTCTCAGACTGAATTGTATAAACGGGCCTGGGCTCCCCTTCGGGTCGGCTTCGCCCCGTCGCAGACTGAATTGCATAAACGGGCCTGGCCTCCCCTTCGGGTCGGCTTCGCCCCGTCGCCGACTGAATTGTATAAACGGGCCTGGCCTTCCCTTCGGGTCGGCTTCGCCCCGTCGCAGACTGAATTGTATAAACGGGCCTGGCCTCCCTTCGGGTCGGCTTCGCCCCGTCGCAGACTGAATTGTATAAACGGGCCTGGCCTCCCCTTCGGGTCGGCTTGGCCCCGTCTCAGACTGAATTGTATAAACGGGCCTGGCCTCCCCTTCGGGTCGGCTTGGCCCCGTCTCAGACTGAATTGCATAAACGGGCCTGGCCTTCCTTCGGGTCGGCTTCGCCCCGTCGCAGACTGAATTGTATAAACGGGCCTGGCCTCCCCTTCGGGTCGGCTTTGCCCCGTCTCAGACTGAATTGTATAAACGGGCCTGGCCTCCCCTTCGGGTCGGCTTCGCTCCGTCGCAGACTGAATTGTATAAACGGGCCTGGCCTCCCCTTCGGATCGGCTTGGCCCCGTCCCAGACTGAATTGGATTAATGGGCCTGGCCTCCCCTTCGGGTCGGCTTGGCCCCGTCGCCGACTTAATTGTATAAACGGGCCTGGCCTCTCCTTCGGATCGGCTTGGCCCAGTCTCAGACTGAATTGTATAAACGGGCCTGGCCTCCCCTTCGGGTCGGCTTTGCCCCGTCTCAGACTGAATTGTATAAACAGGCCTGATGATTGTACGAATGTATTTAATACAAGATTCAATTTGATATACATATTGATGCTATTTGTTTATTTGTTGGCTTGAACCACCATGAACCACCATGAACCGCAAGAATAACCAGGCGGTTGAATTTCATAACGTGTTAGAAAGACTCGCTTTTGTAAATGAATTCATTTGATAACCATATTGAACCACTTTGAGCATGTTTTTAGCTTCAACCGGCTTGAACCGTCTGGAACCGCTATTTACCGCGAGAGTAACCGGTTGGTTCGGGCTTATTCAATGATTTTATGAATGAACTTATTACAAGTTTCAATTTGATATACATATTGCTGCTATTTTGTTCATTTCTGCGCTTGAACCACCATGAACCGCAAGAATAACCAGGCGGTTGAATTTCATAACGTGTTAGAAAGACTCGCTATTGTAAATGAATTCATTTGATAACCATATTGAACCACTTTGAGCATGTTTTTAGCTTCAACCGGCTTGAACCGTCTGGAACCGCTATTTACCGCGAGAGTCACCGGTTGGTTCGGGCTTATTCAATGATTTTATGAATGAACTTATTACAAGTTTCAATTTGATATACATATTGCTGCTATTTTGTTCATTTCTGCGCTTGAACCACCATGAACCACCATGAACCGCAAGAATAACCAGGCGGTTGAACTTCTGAATATGTAAAAGATTCGCTGTTGAAAATGAATTCATTTGATATACATATTCCTACATTTTAACCTATTTCCGGGCAAGAACCGCGACGAACCGGAAGCACAACCGGCTGGTCAAAAATACCACCCCATTTTGTTCAGTAATTAATAAGCTTCAATTTGAGCTATAAAACATCATCATAGCATGCTTATATCAGAAGTTGATAATATTGGATTTTCGTATCTGGCTGCTTGCGTCAACTTTGGAGCTCTAGAATCATATGAAGGAAGCACTCCGCAATAATAAATTTCATATGTATCGATGCATCTTGCGCTTATCTTTCACATGGTAGGCATCAAATTATCAAAATCCATCTAGCACGCACTCAAAAGCCGCTTCTAATAAAACTAGTGCTTTTTTCTCGCTAAAAATTCCCCAAAAAAGAGGTAAGATGACTCATATCGAAAATTCTGCAAGTGCAGTTTTTCAAGGCTTGTCTTGATGCATATGTTCTGAAAGTATGGGGAGATTTTTCAAAAGAACCTGCGAAATAGAAAACACCGCGGTAAGCCTAAATATTGATGACTAGCCAATTGGAAAGTTGGGGCCGTAAACTCGGCTACAGTTGCTGTTTCCACTGTATGTATCCGCTTGAAGAGCCGGACCAGTGCATTGCCAGGCTAACGCAAGGACAGATCATCTCTCTTCCTGAGAACAGCTGGACGACGAACGAATACGAAAAGCCCAGTCCGGTCGCATGCCCGAAAACAGGAGTGTTATACTGTTCGGAAACATGTCTCAAGAAAGCAGATTACGATTACATGCGCTTATTGCTTCGTAAGAACCCCTTCATCTTCCTTTACAAAACTTAAGTTCTTTAGCGAACTGGGAGGCAGTAGAAGAAGTAGAGGATTTGTGGAGAGACATGAATTTTCCCCGGAAGAGTCAAGCGTCATGATTGTCATGAAGATCTTAGCCATGCGCTACTTGGATCCTTCCATGGCCGAGAAATTTGAAACATTTGGTAAGTAGTGAGTTATGAAAATATAGATAGCGCTGTTTTAACCCACTTTTCTAGCATTGAAAATGTACCTTTAGACACCATTAGACTAAGGGCCTTAGTCCTCCATGTTGTCAACAAAATATTATTAATTCTAAGACTAACTTTACCTCTAACCTAACCCTATTTTCACTAGAAAAGTTGATTAACAAGAGCACTTGATATTTCGAGTCAATGCTATATAAAATTCATATTTCTATTTATACAGGTTTGTTGAAAGCATACTATTTGAATTTGCCACTGATCTCGAAACTCAAGTTGCTTCGCCGAAAGAAGACCAGATTGTTCACAAGATGTTGGACGGAAAGTTTGAAACGACGATAAGTTTGCTGACGACAGGGCTGGCGAAGATTTTCGAAGGACTGACGGAAGAAGAAGTGAGATGGGCATTTCTCCTCTGCGGGCGGAACCAGCAGGGGCTTGGCACCTCTGCCATTATCAGATGGGTGAGTTCAGAAGGAAGAGTCGGATTCAGGGGTAGAGGTCAACAACTGTTTTTCTCTTGAAATTAAGTGGCACTCTCAGCGCTCGGCTACCTATCAAGAAGCCTGAGTCAGGGTCCTGAGGAGTCAAAAAAGATCGATTGAGGTGCTAATTTTGGCGTCGCGGCTTCCTTTTGAAAAAAGCTGCAGATTGAAGCTCTTTGAGGACCCTGACTCAGGCTTCTACACAGGTTGCTGAACCTGGGCCACCCAAATTTTATTAATGACTTGTCTAAAGTTTCTTGGAGTTACCTCTCGATCATATGATGCGTCTAAAGACTGTGTCACATGCAAATGGGTGTGTATTTACACTTCTCTTCAGATACAAGCACATGACGATGACGCCTTCGTGGATGAACTGTACGACGTGTGCGAGGAAAGCTGCGGCATCGAATTCATGGACAACGAGGGTGTGGGACTGTACTCGAAGCAAGCAATGCTGAACCACGATTGCGAGCCAAACGCTGAAATCAAATTCCTGCACGACAATCACAAACTCTCTGTTGTCGCAACGAGGGACATTGAAAAGGGCGAAGAAGTTTGTATTAGGTTGGTTCGTTTTCGCAAATTCAAAATGCCAAGTTGGAATAAAAAAAATAAGCGACAGCGATTTTGGGTCGTTCTTGAAATCCTTGTTTTGCATCAAAATATGTCAAAATAGTCTAAATACAGAAGTGGCTCAGAAAAGCATGGACCCCGCTTTTGGTTCGACCCATGAAACCTTTTTTCATCTGAAATTCTATCTTAAAATTATTTTTATTGACCTCATTCTATTTCTCTATTTATCCGTCAGTTCTGTTGCCTCAATCCTGATTTCCAGCAATGCTGTTTTCCGGGAATGTCGATTTCCGGCAGCGTGGGAAATCAGCACATTGCGGAAATTAACAGTCACGGAAATGTCTATTTAGTTGTTGAATCCAAAGTTTTATATACAATTTGATTCAATGCTCTTTGATGAAACTATATTTGAAATTTATTTCTGAAACAAAAGAAAGGGATGAAAAAGTATCAATCTCTGATGGCTAGTCCGCGTCAGAGCGATATATAACCGAGAAGAATAAAGGCGAGATATTACTCTGTCAGGCATAATTTTCACCTTGTCGAAATGGTTCGTTTACTTTCTACCTCGTGGGTCGGTCGTATTCAATATTTTCTCATATAAGGGAAATAGCAGCGCGGCGCCGCGCAACTTGGAACTACACTTTTTTATTGAAGAAAATTATATAGAAAGGTACTTTTCTATATAAAGAACCTTTTCTGGAAAGCTCGGTACTTTCTTCTGAGTTGCGTTATTCTGATTTTTCGATTTGGCAAAGCTCTGTTGTTGTGCTAATCTTGGAGAAGTGGGGCGTTGGGTCTCCTCTTTCTGATTCCGCAGCTGAAAAAATCAGAGAGCACAAATTCAGCTTCAAGAGAATTTTTCGGACATTTGACGAGACGGGCGCAACCATCTATATATCGATCAAGACGTCTGGTGTTTACTGCTCCGAGCGTTTTTTCGTAAAAACGGTTGAATTCACCTCTTACTCTCCGCTCTTTCAAAGTCTTTCTCCGGTGAGTTTCATTTCTTTTTAAAATCGGCCTACTTGCCATAAGTTGTAGATGACGTCAAACTCCATTCTCGTCCATATTTACACAGTATTTTATCCAAGAGTTAACAAATTATGTAAGACCCTTATTTTTACTCTTGCTTTTATCATCGAAACTAGATAAAAGGATTTAGCCTTTACTTTGATAAGATGAATTAAGGTTTCTTTCCTTTAGGCGACTTTTCTTTTGGATTTAAAATAGTGACACCCTTATTTCATCTCGTCAAAATAAGGTTCAAATCCTCTTATCAATTTTCGATGGTAAAAATGTTAGTAGAAAATAAGGGTGTCACGATCCTAACTAAGAGTAAAGTCTACCTACTGAATGACATTTGCAACCCCTAAAGTTGCTAGTACAACCGGTTGCTTTCGCTCTTAGTTGTTCATTCTTGTCAAAGAGAATGCATAATTGAAGCTGCTCCCTCCCGGGGAAAGGGATGACAGAGTTCGAAATCTATGGGAGTAAAATTGGGAGCTCCCAAAGGGAGCTCCCTTTTTTGGGAGCACGGAGGGAGCAGGAGCACAGGTTTTCAGGGCTGGGAGTAAATTGGGAGCTCCCAATTTGCTCCCAATTTCAAAAATTTTTTGAAAATCAACAATTTTTAGTCTAGAATCTAATCTGGGCACCGAAAATAAGAAACGCTAACTTTATAGTATTTTTCTTAGAAGAGACGTTTTTTTGACTAGATATATTTATAAACGTCTCTTTTAAAATTTCATATAAATATATAGCCAAAATAACATCTAGTTTGATTTTAATAATTTCAACAAAATGTATTTTTCTCAGATTATAAGCATTATTATTAATATGTATACCGTGTTTGCTAAGATTTTTATTAGAAGAGACTTTTTTTGATTCGATTTATTTTGAAGTGTCTCTTCTGAAATTTGATATAAATAAATAGCCTAAAATTGACCTAGATTTTGTTATATAATTTTAATAAGAAAACTAGGGTCGGCACCGACCACCGACCAAAACCCGACCTGGTCGGGTTTGGTCGGGTTGATTTGGGTATCGACCAACTCAACCTGTGATTTTTGTTCTTTGTTTGGTCGGTGGTCGGGTATGGTCGGTCGATGGTCGGTTTTTGGTCGGTCTTGGTCGGATATTGAACGGTTGACGGTCGGGTTGGTCGGTTTCGGTCGGAAACCTATTCATTTCCTTCACCCATCGAGTATAATTTAAGTGAAAACTAACAGCGGATCATTATTTCTTTCGGATAAAAACCGACCCGACCCGACCAAAAACCGACCACCGACCGACCAAAAACCGACCAAAAAGTAAGGCGACCCGACCAACCAAAACGACCACGGATTTCGCCAAATTTTTGGGAGACCGACCAACCCGACCTGGGAAAATGGTGGTCGGTGCCGACCCTAGTAAGAAAACATTGAAGTCATTCACGAAATTCGCCTATTTGCCATTATGCCTATTTATACTTTCTTTATCATCGCTTTATAATAACCATACAACGATGGTGTTGCTACTTAGAGTTTACTTAATAAAATGAAAAATTTTCGAAAATTTTTGAAATTTGAAAAAAGGGAGCAAAATTGGGAGCTCCCAAAGGGAGCTCCCTTTTTTGGGAGCAGGGAGGGAGCAGGAGCACGGGTTTTTACGAGGGAGCTCCCTTTTTCAGGGTGAGGGAGCAGGGAGGGAGCGGGAGCACGGATTTTCTACCAAATTTCGAACTCTGAGGGATGATGTCTTTCTAAATGCTCGTCGATTCGGATGTCCGAGCTGCATTTTAGAAGGACTCTCTTTGCTCTATCTGGAAGTGGCGCTGCATCAATGTAGAAATTCATTATTTATTTTGCATATTCTTTTTTTTTCGCTACTATTTACTCTCGCATTTGAGAGAATTCGGAGTTAGAGAAGAGTTAGCTGCTCTAGAATGGGGAATGTTTTGATTTGGGATTGATTTTCTTCTAGAGATCGGACCCCTGGCCCCTCAGTTAATTCGAGCAGTGCGCTACTGGAAGACGTGTTTGCCCGGGGCAGACAGACTCAGTTCAAGGTTCGCTAGAAGAGCAGCCAGACGCAGCGAGGAGCAATTCGAGAGAGAAGGAGCCGACCAGCCAATTCCCGCCCCGACCGGTCGTGTGATTGTCCCCGTCTGTCCGAACTGAGCTATCTGCGCCGCGTCTGACCAAAGCAAAAGCGCTGCAATCAACGAAGAGAATGGGCAGAAGCAGCCACGCCAGGTGCAGGGACATTCAACCCGAGGGACTCCTGCAGCGATGCGCAGAGAGATTCTACCGGGACGCGGCCAGACTCAGCTGGTTCATGGATTGGGCGCTCACAATCAGGCAAGTAAACTAAAAGATGAGCTCTAGAACTATGGATAGAAAAAGTGAATCTTGAAAGAGCGATGAAAGTAATGTGCCTTTCAGCCTCTCATTGTCGGTGGTAAACGTCTACATTCAATCCCGCAGCAACGACTACCACGCGAAAGAAAACGGGCTCAAGCTCGTCAACTCGGTCGTCTGCTTCATCGCCTTTTACGGTCTGATCTCACTCAATCCAGCAGGAAACGGTAGCCCTACATTCTTTCCACCCTCGTCTGACCCTGAAACGAGAAATTGCAAGTTAGGATAAAAAGAAACGAGCCTGGTGGCTTTGAAACTGCCTCAGGGCAGTTACAGAAGTCAAACTACTGTTAACACACTAATATCGAAATTGACGAACCTTTGGCTTTTCTTTACAGGCTGCCAAGACTAGGGCCTATGCTAGAATATTTCCATAGGGTTGAAGCTAAGTTAATTTGTGGCTATCTGTTAACAGAAATCTACAAGAGCTTGCGCTACAAGCCGGACAAGCCGGAAAAGCGGAAGAAGAAGCGCATCCGCGTGCTCAACTACGAACCCTTTCCAAAATACACAGAGTCTTCTGGCAAGTCCTCCGCCAAGTCGGAGGGTAACTGACACCTACTTAATAATTTTTCCTCTCCTACCTTCTTCAGAACAATTCAAAATTCAAAGTCAAACCGTGTCAAAATCAAAAAGTAGCCGCGTTTCTTTCAAAAAACCAGAATTTTTCAAAAAAGGTGAAAAAATCAACTAAAAAAGTATCTCAAAGTTACCAAGACTAAAAATAGGTGTCAGATAAAAAAATAGGATAAAAAGAAATTTAAAAAGTTATGTTAATTTTACTCAAAAGCTGCTTCGTTTTCAAGGTGAAACATTCAAAACAAACAACGTTCTATCAAACAATATTTTATTCAAATTTATATATAAACAAATAAATAAAAATCTTATGAGAAAAGTATATAAAAAGAAAGATCAAATAAAAATGATCAATATTCTGTTTGAAATCTGCAAAACTGCTTCTAACTTTATTAGGTGACCTGTTCAAACAAAAAAACAACCAACCAGCCGTTTTTTCTGAGCTCATTGTTATTAGCTTTTTTAAAGAAAATAAATTTTTCTCATGCGCATACTTTTCCTTTTATGATTTTTTGCAAAACGAGGATTTCAAAATGAACGTCTCTAATTCGCTTTTGGGCATGGATACATTTATAGTAGTTTTCGTGAAGCTTTGTTTTTACATAGATTTTTCTCTTAGAGTTAACATTGTGACACCCTTATCTTTCTTAGCAAAGGAGTCTTTGAACCTTTATCTTGCTCGTATTTAGAATTTAAGGGGGTAGCCATGATTTCAGACTTCAAAATCTTTGCGGATCTGGTAAAGATAAGGGTGTCACTCTGTTAACTCTAGTAACGTTTGGTTTTCACGATGACTACTTTGCCTAAGCCCTTAGTGCCTATTCGTAATAATTCTTGTTTATGTAGCTATTTGGACGGACACACGCTAAACAGATCGAAAAAGACAAGGCAAGAGCAGTTATCGGTGAATTATTTGTTTCACTGCGGCTGCGAAATGTGCAAGGGCCAGAATTCAGACGATGAAACGTAAGTACTTCTATTTTGAGACTCGATTCTTATAGCTTATGTTTGTCGAGATAATCTTACATCAGAAAGAAAGCATTGTTTATGGGGTGTGGTCTGGGTATTTATTTGATCGGGCAATAAAAGTACACCAACTCAAAAAATTTCCCTAATTTTTCACACTCTTTTTTTGCAGGTCTGAAGAAGAAGAAGGTTCGGAAGAAGAGACTGTTTATGAAGAAGAGTCGTTTTCGTAGATTCTCCTCGTTGTCTTCAAAGTTCAAAAATACTCAACTCACTCGTGCAAGTCATTAATTTTCAATTCATGAATTAATGATTTCAATTTTCAATTGAGCAAAAAGCGTCACTGAATAAACAGAAGGAAATGTTACAAGTAATTGAATTGCTGGTGAAGAAAAGCTAGAATTTTATTGGAATTTAGTCACGCAGGCAGTGCCTGACGAAATGACTGAATGAATCTGACGTAATCATCTTTCAATTTCTTTTTCCTTTTCATTCAAGGGCGATTTTTTAAGACTGCAGAAAGAGATCGGCAGAAGAACAAAATCAAAGAAGAGATCATTCCACGCTCCGAAAAATGTCCGACCACAATATTATCTTGCTAACAGACTCCTACAAGGTCTCCCACCATCTTCAGGAATGTGCTCTATTTCTTACTCTTAGGGTTTCCGGGTTATTGTTCTCATAGTCTCAACATAGTGACACCTATATTTTTTGGCTTTTCGAGAAAAAAAGATCAACGAAAATAAGGATGTCACAATGTTAGATCTAGTCGACAATGATAATTTTTTCTTTAGACTTAACAAAGTGACACCCTTATTTTTGCTCAAAATAAATTCCGACAGTACATTGCACATATTAGTCTAAATGTTACTTTGAAAAGCAAAAAAATAAGGGTGTCATTGTGTTTACTCTCGGACAAGATCTCAACTATCACGATGTGGACCTCCTTAATTCAGTACTGGTACAAGTAGAAGAGCACAGTAAACAGTACCCTCCAAAAACGTCGTACTGCTATTCGTACTTTGAATCGCGCGGTGGCAAGTTCAAGAACGTCATTTTCTTCGGCCTCCAATACATCTTGAAAAAGTACCTGACTGGCGTCCAGGTCACTGAGGAAAAGATTCAGGAAGTGATGAAGGTTCCGATATATCACGGTCATCCACGGTTTCCCCCTTTACAGAACTAAGATCAGGCGCTCGCCTGGGAACCCTTAATAACCCCCCAAGACTCAAGACATGTATTGTGTGAGCTTTGGTTTCAATTTCCGTCAAATTCTCGTGCTCATCCTCAAATCAGCAAAAGAAGTTCTCTCCGCACACTTGGGCTCTGTTCCGTTTAACGAGGCTGGCTGGAGATACATTTTAGAAAAACATGAAGGTAGACTTCCGATTACTATCAAAGGGACTTGGTTACTTTTTTGAGGTCATTTCAGAGGTCACACGACCTTTCTAAGGTCATGTAGTTTATCAAGTATCATTTGGGGTCACTGAAATAACCCACCTTAGCGAAAGGTCACGTGACCTCGAAACTCTTAAAAAAAATTAACCCCAAAAAAGCTGTACCAGAAGGAACAACCGTTCCAGTGAAGAATGTACTCTTCACGGTTGAAAATACGGATCCAGAATGCTACTGGCTGGTCGGTTACTTAGAAACGATCCTGCTCCAGTGCTGGTATCCATCGACCGTGGCCAGCTACAGCCACGAAATGAAGAAAGTAATTCACCAGGCGCTCAAGGCGACTTCAGGAAACTTCAGCGATCTGGATTTCCAGCTTCACGACTTTGGCTTCCGCGGCACTGTAAGAATAAGAACAAAAAAGAGGCCTTTTAATGAGTTTTTCTAGAGTTCAATCGAAAGCGCTGGACTGGGCGCCTGCGCTCATCTGGTCAATTTCAAAGGGACGGACACGATAGCTGGCTTGACGACTGCGCGAAAGTACTACCACAGTAAGTGTGCCGGCTTTTCCGTCCCTGCTTCTGAACACTCGACGACGACAGTTTGGGGACCGAACAACGAAAGACAGGCGTTTCAGAACATGCTCACTGTCTTTCAGGACGGAATAGTTTCCGTCGTTTCTGATAGGTAACAAACGAGAGAAACCGTCAACAGTGACCAGTTTATTAGTTATGACATCTACCACGCCTGCCGGACGATCTGGGGTGAGCAACTCAAAGAAGACATCATCAAGCGCGGCGAAAACGGCGGCAGACTAGTGGTCCGTCCCGACTCGGGCGACCCGGCCACAGTTGTTCTCCAACTACTTGAAATCTTTGAAGAAAAGTTCGGAACGAAGAAAAACGCGATGGGATTCAAAGTGCTTCCCAATTTCATCCGAATCTTACAGGTAGACACGCTCAGTCGAAAAATACGAAAATAGTTTGCTAGGGAGACGGAATTAATCTGGAATCAGTTGCGCACATCTTCGAGCACTTGAAAGAAAACGGATGGTCAGCTGAAAACATCGTCCTTGGCTGCGGCGGCTCGCTTCTTCAGAAACACAATCGAGACACGCAAAAGTTCGCCTTCAAATGCAGCTTTGCCGTCGTCGATGGAAAGGGCATCGAAGGTAAATCAACTACTATAGCTTGAGACAGAAAAAGCAACAGCCATTTAGTCTACAAAGACCCAATCACGGACAAAGTGAAGAAGTCGAAAAGAGGGAAGATGGCGCTGGTAAAGAATGGAGACGAGAAACTCGACTTCGAAACGATCCAACATGCGCAACACATGAATGGGGACATTGAAGCCAAAGACGTTCTTCAGCCCGTTTTCCAAGATGGAAAGCTTCTGGTTGATTACACTCTAGGAACGGATTTACGACGCAATTTCTTCAAAGAGGGGCTCGAAGCCTTTGTAAAAACCTTAGTCAGGGTCCTGAGAATGCTCTGAACCCTGACTCAGGTTTTCACTTGTGTTGCCCAATACTAGATAATCTCAAATTACAGCAAAGTAAATCCTTTGAACAGACAGCATCAGAGAAAGAGTGCGATGCACTTTCGACTACTGAAAATAATGGAAAAAATGAAGATCTTCGTTTTTATTCAAAAAGTCCTACCTAAATTTCTGCCAGCAATGATCAAAAATGAAAGAAAAAATGCAAAACCTGTATATTTCATGATTTACCTTCTCTAGCTACCCTATCTATCCTTGCATTGCCACGCACAGTTGATTCAAAGTCGCGTGTCAAATAAATAAAAAAACCTAAATAATTTCAATCGTTGTCTTTCAGTTTTTAATTTGTTTATTTATTCTTGTGAATTTAATCAAGTCGTCGGATATGTGAAGTGAATACGCTATCCTCGAATCGTCATTGAATATTTACTCTGCCTTGGCGAAGGGAGATTTCAACCTTCTTTCTTCGACTCAACTTCTTTCCTCCAAGTTTCAAGATTCATTGAAAACACCTCTCAAAACTTTAAGTAACCAAGTTCTCAAAAAAGAAAGTCTCAAAAACGCAAAAACAAAACTTAATTAATTGTGAATTCGAAGTTCTTTAATCAAAATTCCTCATAAAAATGATCTCATATTTCAGGTTCATGATGCAGGGCGCGTTATCCCGTGAAGTTGCCGCTCCTCGCGCCCTCCTCGCTCGAGAGGATGACGCGCAGAATAATAACGATGATGCTCAAATTGTAAGAATCGCCACTGCTTTGATTTGAATCAAAACTTTCTTTTTAGATGAGCTTGAATGCTCAACTGGTTGAGGCGGAATCGGACGCCGACAAGTTGCGAAGCCAACTGTGGGCTGAAAGGTTAAAACACAACCATGAGATACAGTCACTCAAGTAAGAATTTTTTCCTCTTTTCTCCGATTTATATTTCACTTTAGGGAGACATTCGAGACTGAGATGCGAATCAAAGATGCCCAGATCGAGGAGGCTCATCAGAAAACCATGAGCCTTCAGTATGCTCTTCTTGACGTCAGCAAGATCGAGCAAGAAGTAAGTACTTCGTCTGATTTCAAATTAATAACATTAATTTTTAGGTCGAGCGAGCCAAGGACATAAACGACGCTCTGGAGGAGGAATTGTTGATCTACACTCAGCATATAAAAGACGTTGAGGCCAGGTAAGCAGCTAGCCTCGTTTTCTTCCCTTCAAAAGTGTTTTCAGAGTCAATCGCACCCCCTCGCCGATCCCACAAAGCCGAGTAGATGAAGATGATGATGATGATGAGAGAAGCGAGGACAACATGGTAAAAATATTTCAGTGAGATTTCACAATAATTTTTTCTTTTAGGAAGTCCATCAAGACGATCGAAAAAAATGCTCCATCATGTAATCATTATTCTGTCACAGTTCACTATATTTCACAAATTACCTATCTAGCTTCACTGTCTATCCTTGCATTGCCACGCTCTCACACTTCTTCACAATGATAATTCCATATTTCCCGACTATTTATCAACTTTTGCGGCGCTAGAATGCCTTTGAAAATAAAGATCAAGGAGTGGAAGACAACGGCCAAGTGGAAGTGGGATGTGGGCGAGCATGGCGACCAAAAGTGCGCAGTTTGTCGAGCATGGGTCAATTTTGCATCTCGTTGTTGGTTTTTATGCTTTTCTTTCACCTGAAACCCTTATCAAACATCTAACCCATAAAAGAGTCGATTTCGAAGCGACGTGCAACACTGGAATCTGCAAATTCCCAGGCGACGATTGTCCAGTAATCCGGGGCGGGTGCAAGCATCCCTTCCACCTGCACTGCATCAACAAGTGGCTCACCTCACAGGAAGAAAATCGTCAAGAGAAAGTGTGCCCTCTTTGCCGCCAAGTCTGGAGCTACAAAAACGAGGTAACTGCAACAATCAAATTCATGATTTTAAATTCAAAAAATCAAGGAAGAGGACAAAACCGAAACAATGACGGGAGAGGCGGAAACTGCGGAAAACGGAACACCTCAATTCGTCCTTCCAACGCCCATTTTCAACGACGACGATTGAAAAGAATGATTTTTTCTTTGATCTTTATTCGCCATTTTTTAATGATCCACACATCTGTTTCTAGAGTCTTACAGTACAGCATACTGCCTTCACGAATTTTAAATTTTCTGGAAATGTAAGATAGATGTTTTCAGAAAAATTGATGCTTCGATGCTTTTTTCTCCCTTTTTTCTGCATCATCGTGGATTCTAGTGCTTCAATTCTGGAATCGGAGGAGATTCCAGACTACAGGAATCTCAGCACCATCAGTTTTTCTGTCATCTTCTGGGGCAATTTGACAGAAAATCTTTGCAACTTCCCTTCTGCGATTTCTTCAGCCCTCGATCGTGATGAGGACATTTCCCGAATCTTCGTCTACGATGTTCGTCGATACACATTATTGCCGAAAACTATCGTCGACTTCAGCATCGTCGGAAAGGAAGAAATCAAGAAAGAGTTGGATGAAAAAGGGGGTGCAACGATTGAATTCGAATTTCGGCGCGAGTTCGGCTTGAATTCAACCTTTTTTGCGCCGAAATGGGAAGATCCGCAGATTCAGTTGCGCCCTGAGCTGGCGATCTACGTCGTCGCCGGTGTTGGCGGACTATCTTGGTTGGCAGGGATCGTGGCTTTATGGATGATCCCTTCAGAACTCTGGCCCGACGAGAAGAGGAAGAGAAGAGGTCGCTTTTCAAGAGGGACGAAGCAGAAAATCACGTGTTTCGTCAATAACTACTTTCGGCCGCTAGGAATGACTCTCAGGTGAAAAGACAAGCAAACTAGAATTTCTAATACAGCCAGATGTATCTATCAACCGACTGACATCTCATTTTAGCATGCTGTTGGTTTGGATCGACTTTGCGAAAAACAGAAACATCATTTTCGACGTCACCCTTCGCCACCAACTAATTTTCCTCGTCCTGATGATTTTCGGACTCTTGCAGATGATCGTCCTGCCGATTTGTCATTTGCGAATCGCGACGTTTTACAAGCCATTCTTCAAGTTCTCCTCCTTGAGCTCCAGACCTCTTCACATTTTCGACGTCGTCAGCGAAATCGCGCTGGTTTTCTTCATCGCTTTTGTCGAGCTTCCTATCCTCGTCTGTTTCTACTTCTTTTTAAATATTTTCCAGGTCTGGGCTCGGCAACCTGTGTATCAAAAATGAGTCAGGCTGAGCTTTAATTAAAAGCCGCTTCGACCGAAAAATGAAGCAACCCTGACTCAGGTTCTCTACACAGGTTGTCGAGCCCAGGTTCAGGTCTCCGTCATCACCATGCCGCAAGTTTTCTTTTACCTCTGTTCATTCCTCTCCAAAGCACTCCAATTTCTCAAGGCAGTGCAAAATCGCCATGAGTTAAAAACGCGTCAGAACGCTTCCGATTCTATCAAAAGTTCAATCAATTTTTGAGCATTTTGGAAATCTCAGCCACTTTTATTCTCTGCTACGAAATGCTCGACTATCAACTTGGTATTTACTCGAAACTGGAGAATAAAGACATTACTATTTTAAACGCGGGGAGATACTGTTTAAGAACCTCGCCAGATGGATTCGGATCGTTTTACAATCTGCCAAATTCGATTAATAAAACCTGTCTGAGTAATTTGGAAATGATCGTCTTTGCTTTCCTTGTTCTTGCTATTTTCCTCAGACTTCTTGCCTTTACCGGGGCTTTCTATTTCCAACCCTCACTGTACATCCATCCCTCCTCTCGAAAAAGCGGAGGGAAGCCCTTAAGAATGCCAAATCATTTACCTACTTCGACTTCTCACTGCCAACTTATAGAATAAACTCATATGTATTCGACCTTGCTGTTTCCACAGCTTTTTATTTTGTGAATAAGCATTGAGACACCCTTATTTTATCTTCCCAAAGTAAGGCTAAAACCCTGATCTTGTTCCTCTGGCCTAAAAATTTAAAATATTAAGGGTATCAACACTCTAACTTCAAGTTTTTGGCTTTCACCAGAGCTTAATCTGACTCTTTTGAATGTTTCCGCAAGATTGAATAAGGGTATCACTCCCTTATCGAGCCCTTATATGTCATTTTACGAAGGCCACTCCGTTAACTTTACGAATCACTTCAGAAAATGCGTTTCGTGAGAGCAGCAAATAGCAGAATTTCAGCAAAATTGCAGCGAGCTTCAAATCGTGCCCAGAGCAGTCTCTTCCGCTCAATTCTTTCTCAGTCAAACTCTCAAGCGATCAAAACACAAGAAAGAGCATTTGGCGTTCCTCTGGTGATTGAACAAGAAATGGGCGGCGAAAGAACTTATGATATTTACTCGCGACTACTGAAAGACAGAATTATTTGCGTTTTTGGTCAGGAGCGCGTTCAAAACTTGAGATGAAACTTTTCTTTATTCAAAAAACAACTAATTTTATTTTGAATTCGGAAAAGGTTCACGACCAGTTGGCAGCCGCCGTCGTCGCCCAGCTTTTATTCTTGGCCTCAGACAAGCCCGACCAGCCCATTAAAATGTACATTAATTCGCCGGGCGGAGTAGTTACGGCCGGAATGGCGATTTACGATTGTATGCAACTAATTCCTTGTCCAGTGGAAACTTGGTGTTTGGGCAACGCCGCTTCCATGGGATCCCTGCTTTTGACAGCTGGCTCGCCGGGTTGCCGATATGCACTGCCAAACGCACAGATTATGATTCATCAGCCGCTTGGTGGCGCGCAAGGACAAGCTACTGATATTCTTATTGCTGTAAGTCGACTCTTTTGTGATTTTTTAGGAAAAATCAGTAGAAATTTCGACAATTTAGGCATCTACTCTGAGGGTTTCCCTACAATTTAGGGAACATCTTAGCGATCTTTATCGAATGCCAATGATTTTCTTTTAGGCAAAAAATATCGACAGAACGAAGAAGACCCTGACACAGACCTATGTAACCCACAACGCGAAGGGAAAAACATATGAAGAGTTTTTCAATGCCATGGAAAGAGATAATTTCATGACAGCCCAGGAAGCCCTCGGTCAGTTCCTTCGTCCACTCAAGAAAAAACTCTTCTTTTTTAGACTTTGGCATTATCGACAAAATCCCAGAAATGACCGTTCCCAAGCCCAGACCAGAATTCCTCGAGGAAGAATAAATTTAAGCAAATTCAAAGCTGTCTTCATTCTCTCTTTTCGTTTTTTTTCTGAAAATATTACTAGCCACTTTTCAAGATTCAAAAAGTTCTCTTCGTTGTCTTCAAAAATTGTTAGCTAAAATAAAAGGCGAGCAGGGCCGGATAAGGTCATTTTTTAGCAAAGCATGGATCATTGTTCTTTCGCGCCAACTCTTTTTCTTTCTCTCTCAGATGATCTCATTTGGCTGGCATAACATTAAAACGCGATTGTTTGAGAAAGAGAAAGGCCCTAGCGCCGATGATCGAAAACTCCAATATTCAAATAGAGAATGTTTGATTTCCTCTATTTTCCTATTGCAAGTTAAAATTTCACCGGGATCGTAATTATTCAAGAATCGCGCTGCCAGAGCAAGAAAACTGGCTCTCTTGCATATTTTTTTGCAGAAAAAGGATCAAAATTTTGTTCTTCGATCAGAGAGAGAAAATTATTGATTGAAATTTTAACTGTCCGTTACTATGGGCTCCTGGGGTGGCCATGTTGTTCCAGGATTGCGTTGCTAATCGCTACTTATTTACTGACACCCTTATTTTTCTTCACAGGTATAGAGGTTAACCTCGTATCAATAGATTTTTGGTAAAAATAAGGACATCCCTATGCTATTTTAAAACTAAAAATCCGAAGGAAGGTCCACTTTCTCTATGCTTCAGAATTAGCATGGTGACACCCTTATTTTTCTTTACAAAAATAAAGTTTAAACAGTTATTTATTGGTTAATTAATGAATAAGGGCGTCGCTATGTTAAATTTTATTGAAATTAGTCAGCAGAAACGGCCACATTTTTTAACATGTAGCCTGTTAAAAAATGAGTAGTTACACGACTTTCTGACAGATTAAAAACGACTCGTTTCCGCTATTGACAGTAATAAAATCATTCTTGTTTTGGCAACGCATTTGAAAGGAGTGTTTTTCCTGCTTTACGGCCTTTCCTTCTGCGCCTGCGTTTCCGCCATTGACTTTTCCAAAAGGCGCAATCAACGAAGAGCGCTTTTGCCGAGCTCTGCCGGCGTCATCATGATCTTCCTCGGCGTCATCGGCTCGATCATAGGTACAATCAAAGAATCAACCTTGCAACTCTCAGAAAACGCTGAATTCTAGAGCTCTACTGGCCGGGCAATGCACAAGGACTCCTGCGCGACCCTGTCACTCACGAATTCTGGTCGGGCAACAATTGGCAGCATTTTACAATGTATGCCGACTTCGTGATGACGGGATTTTTTATTGTTCTCGTCTCTCGAGGACCGCGCTTCATAAAAGGTAAAAAAATTGATTGCCTCTATTTCACACGTGATCAATCCGGAGCTCCGTTTCGTTGAAATTAAGAGGGTAGAAATGATTATCGTGAATCTGTATTATTCTTATGCATCTTTTTATTCTATCTTTTCAAAATGTTTTCATTTGTTAGTGACACCCTTATTAATTTCCACAAACAGAAAAATCAATTCTTTAGGTGGGGCTCAGCTTACTGTGTAGAAAACCTGAGTCAGGTTGAAAAGCTGAAATGAAAAGCCGCCTAGCAGCTTTTTTAAAAACGAATTCACGAAGCGGCTTCGTTCTTAAAAAAGCTCCGACGCGCCTTCTCATTTTAGCTCTTCAAAACCTGATTCAGGTTTTCTACACAGGTTGCCGAGCCCAGCCTGAGTCAGGTTCCTGCACCAGGAAGTCTCTTAGCGACTTGTCTAAAGACGAATCTTTTAAATTAGCCTGAATCGGTAATAAGGGGGTTCCTTCGTTAATTGCACGAGAAAACAGTGCGAAAGCTCAACCTGATAGAAAAAAGCGCAAGAAATCACCCCGAGGCATGGTGCGTGTTCCGCGCTGCCCAGTCTGATCCCATTTTTTCTCCTTTTTTATTTTGCGTATTGATTAGTCGGCCCCGCCGAGAAGAGGTCATATAATTACATTTAATTTCCAAAAAGCGGGCATGGCAACTCGGCTTTCTTCCGAGTTCTCCTCTGACTCACGTTTTTGAACGCTAAAGCACCAGCGGCGAGAAAATTGGAGGAAAAAGAAAAAGACTTGGTCATAAAGAAAACAGACGTAACTGCGCGTAGGAGAGAAACTACACGTTTTGTTTGAATGAACATTACTCGTTTTATTTGATTCAAACGCAGACAGAGAAAATTGAGGAAATACGGAATTTTCTGTAACGAAGAGATAAAATTATGGCTTCTTACGGTGGACATGCGCTCCCAGGCAGAGTTAATCAATAATTATCCGAGCGTGAAAATTTACATAAAGTACACTGTCCCATTTTGACATGGAGCTACTTCTTTTTTTAAATTATTTTTTGGGAAAAATATTATTAACTCGCATTGAAAGGCATAATTTTCTTTTTCTTCGCCCTTTGGATTGTGATCAGATTGAGTTCAAAATAGTTAAACTATTGATTATTAATTATTATTAATTGAATTATCCCGAAACTATAAAAATAAAAGTATTTCAGCGAATTATTTTCTGAAAGGTTTACCTAAGTGACACCCTTAATTTAATTTTCTTCTGGAGATAAAATAAGGGTGTCACTTAGGTGAACTTTTCGGAAAATAATACGCTGAAATACTTTTTTTTTATAGTTTCCGACATTTCAATTAATAATAATTGATAGTTAATGTTAACCTCGTTAGTCTCTCTTTGAGAGTCTCAATAAAAAATCCTACAGAGGAAAAAGTAGTATTTGAACTCGGCAATTGACAAAGCTTATCTTCCTTTTCAACGCGTCATTCTCGCCGCAACTTTTTACGAAAAGACGGGATCGTCATTTTGATCGCTGTCGCTCTTGGCAGCTTCGTTGAACTCTTCTGGCCTTGGAACGGAAACCACCCGCCTTTTGGGCGGCTTCGTGACCCACTGAACCCGGAGCTTTTTATAAACCCATGAACTGGCAGCACTTTACTATGTACTTCTTTTTCGGGATTTACGGGTGCGCGAGAATAATCGAACACGGAGCTCCTTTTTTGACCGGTGTGTGAATTTTTGACTTTTTTATCATTCGATTATTTTATCATTCTAGATTCTTGAATAGGTTCGGCAAAATGAGTAGGCGGACAAGTTACGGAGCCTTTGGCCAATCAAAACGTATTTCATCTTCCCTGCACCAATCAAAAGTTTTCCGTCTTCCACGAGCCAATCAGATGCCACAATTTTTCTTTACTGAAATTTAAGGCACCTGATTGGTTTGCAGGAGACATACTGATTCCTGATTGGTAGGGGGAGCCTATAACGCTGTTTGATTGGCCTAAAGGCTTCAGAATTCCCCGCCTTCGCACTTAGTCCCCTCCACTTCATTTATCCCTATTTTCTTCATTCAACTCTTAATTCTAGGAATTGACCGTCTGAGCGGAGCCCTAGCCTTCTTCATCGAAGGCTTCCTCTTTCAAAATCACGTGCATGGCCGCTCCGAAATCGACAAACTCATTCACATCCTCATCGTCGTCATTTGCTACGCTTCCGCTTCCTGTAAGTCGTCTTTCTTCAAAAGTTGATGAAAATAATTTTCAGTTTTTTTGGTCTCGTTCTTTGTCAAATGCCGCAGAAGATTGTACCTCATCGACATGGTCACTGGTATTCTTGTCTTTGCTCAGGGAACCTGGTTTATTCATGTAAGTTTCTATTTATCTGTTATTTTTAGCGGATATAGAAGTTTTTAACAAGAAGTAGTTCAAAAAGCGAGAAGCCGGTTGCGGCTTCGAGTGAAAAAAAAGTCGATAAGCCGCACTAAGCGCGGCTTTTTCTTTGCTTTACAATAATCGCGGCTTATTGGCTCTTTTTCTACTTGAAGCCTCTCATTCTCGCTTTTCCGATCACTAGTAAAGAATGTTTTACTGGACATTAAATAGGCCGAAAAATGAAAAATCAGGAACTTACTAAAAATTTAGGTCGCTGAGATCATTTACGGCAAGCACGCATGGCCAGGCGTTCTGGACACGGAACAAAGAAGCGCACGGAACAAAGAAGCGCACGGGGACATGATGGAAGACGGGCACCACGAAGAAGGCCACATGGGAATGGACTCCAGCGAGCACATGAACATGATGTTCGCGGTGATCTTCTTCGCCTGGCACATTGTTTTCGCGATCATCGTTAATTCGCTTATTGCTTTTGGAATTTACAAATTGCTCAAAAAGAAGGAAATCCTCGATTTGGATTTTATCAACGACTCTGTTTCCGACCCGGTAAGTCATTGCAATTTGCAACCAAGAGAGTGATTTATTTGCCAATTCCAGTAAAAATGTAATTCAGGAAAACAACAACTCGTACGCTGGAATGAACGGCAAAAGCAAGAACGTACAGTACGAGTCGCTGAACATGTCGGACAAGAGCCCGTTGCTAAATGGCGAAGATGACGACGAGGAAGAAACGGACATCTTCGCTCGAGCTTAGAAAAAAATACACAACAGCCTTATTTCTTCTCACGAAGTCGCTAAGTACACAAAAACACAACTTCAATCTGCCATTTTAAAAAACATTGAATTTGAAGAATTTTAATTAATTTTGAATTAATTAATTGATTTCTGAGTATTTCACTTTATTTACTGTTTGACTGACGCTCTCTTACGCCTTTTCAAGAGTATATTGAATCAAGATCGGCGATTGGTCAACAAAGGCGGGCTTTTCAAAGAAGAAAAAAGCGCTCGAATTCGAAAAAAACTGGAGCGTTTTTTTCTTCTTTGAAAAGTTTTTGATTGGTGGCGTAAAAACTGCATTTTGAGAAACACCTATTTTATTTATATATTGCTTCACCTTCTCGCTTCATACTGTAATTATTAACTGTAACTCGACAAAGTTTGATGAATGAAAATGACATTCTCGGGACCAAATCCTGACCCCCATGTTTTTTGTTCTCATCTGAAAGCCCGTGATCTGGGGAGTCGAATGGTATATAATTGTCGGGCTGAGTCATCGGTAATGACGTCATTATGGATGATTGAAGGGCCGTATGGGGTTAACCTATAGCTACCCCTAATTTTTAATTGAATATAGGAACCTATATCGATTTTGGGCTCATTCGAAAGCGCAGCTCGAAATCTACTAGCGGACCTACAAATATTGATCAACCAACCGGTTTTCAATTTTTGACCACGTGGTTAGGTGGCTCTAGAATTTTTTCCCCTGGGAATTTTTCCTCCCGCATGTGTCCCGCTAGTAGATCTCGACCTGCTCTTTCAAATGAGCCCAAAATCAGCATACTTTTATTAGCAAACTTAAAAGTTATAGGTGTCGGTTGTTTTCAACCAATCACAGAGGCCCTATGACGTCATTTCTGATGACTAAGACCCAAAACCTATACCATTCGACTCCCCAGATCACGGGCTTTCAGATGAGAACAAAAAACATGGGGGTCAGGATTTGGTCCCGAGAATGTCATTTTCATTCACAACTTTGTGCCTTCACCATTTTTCTTGAAAATTAAAAGTTTCTAAAAGTTAGTAACAAGTTCGACTTTTGACCATTTTCTTTGTTCAGTCTTTCTTTCGGAGTGTTCTTATTTTTATATGGGAAAAGTCCGCCGCCAGGTTAAGAGGTTAGTCCCCGGTTTTAAATGGTGTTGTACTGTATTCTGAATACATGTACGGATGAATTACGGTGTCGGCGAAATATATCCTAATTGGTGTTGTAATATTCTTTTCCTATCTCCTCAAATTATCAAATCAAGGAGGTTTATGGTGTAGAAAATGTAAGCACAGAACTTTTCCATAAAAATATTCATTAACCTCCTTAATTTAACTCATTCATTCAAAAAGAAAAAACCAAGATGTCCCGAATTAATTCTCCACATTTTTGAGTCTAACGGGGTCTAGCCCCTAAGTCTCTCAAGGCAGTAGACCCTGTTAATCCAAAAGAATAATTCTCTGAGTGCCTTTGTAATTGTGACACCCTTAGTCCATCTGACGTTACTGGCCAGTAGGAATCAGCTGAAATAAGGTGTCACTATGTCTCAGATAACTTCAGAAAATGAAGGTCTTTTCTTACCAGAATCAACAAAGTAAAAAGCCTCTGATGAAAATATTTTTCCAGATAAAATAAGGCCTTCACAATGCTGAATCTGTTAGGAAAAGACCTGTACGGTCTGAAATTACCTGAATACTTTTGGCTTTATTTTAAAAACAGCGAGAAAAAGAAGCAAAACATAAAAATATATTTTCGTTCATTCATTTAAGCATTGGTGATGTTTTCATTCAAAATTTTCGGATTGAATAAAAATTCACCAGGAATTGACGATAAAGGATATTATTCAGATGGTCCTGGTGGGGAGAGTTCTGGCTGAAGCGGCGAGCTGGGCAGCTCACAATGTCAGGCGGCGGTTTTTAAAAACTTGTTGACTTTTCAGAATGTGATGTGCTCTGAGTCAAAGAGAAAGAGTCAGCATTTTCACTCATGGACATTTAAGAGCGCCATAATAACCGCCTGTATAGCGATTTTAGGGACAGTGCTCTACTTTGCTCTGGCACCGGCGGCCGAGGCTGAATTCGACTCGCAAGCATGGGCAAGGGTACAAACAGCTATTACAGTAGTTCAGTTCAGTAACTGTTGTTTGAAAGACCCTTTGGTTATAAATAATGATGAGCTCATTTTATATTCGATAATTGAAATTGTAATCAAGAGCGTTAGAAATTGGAAATAGGTGGCGAATTTAGAGGGATACCCTTAATTTTCAAGGCTAAACTCTTTGTAAAATTTGGGTTTCCCCTCTCATTTCATTATATTTTTATCAACAGGCCCTGAATCTAACTGTATCTGAGAGTAACTCAAGGGCGAAATTGAACTGGACAAGGGCAGAAAAAGAGGGTCAAAGTCCAATTGTCAATTTTCTAAATCAGATAATTTTTACCCTGATTTTGAAAAAGATATCGAGCTTTTGATGCGTTTAGTACCCCGATTTTCGCTCCAAGCAAAATGGAATCATCCTCTTTTCGAACTGCCGCAGAACAGGCTCACTTCGCTGGCGGATGCGCACGATCCCCAATTCATGTGGAATCGCTATCTCAAGGTTTGTATTTGGCATTTTATTTCAAGTCTTCATTTCAAAATTAGCCTATTCTGATTCCTCGACCAGTCGGTTCTGAAAACCTGCGCCAAGTGCAAAAACACATCGAGAACTCGCTGACTGAGCTCAACGCTGGCTGGACCATCGAATTGGACAAATTCAGGGAAAAGCCTCCCGCTCCTTATGAAGAGGTACCCCCTTAAATATGAATCAAGTGAAGGAACTTTCTCTTCATAGCAAGAGTTTACTTCAATAATCGCGACGCTGAATCCAAAAGCGCCAAGAAAACTCGTCATTGCCTGCCACTACGAATCCAAGATCATCAAGGGGGTAAGTTCAAATCGACTGCAACTAATTTTCCTACTGTTATTCTTTGAAACAGGGCGAGTTCGTGGCTGCGACAGATTCGGCGGTTCCGTGCGCGATGATGCTGAATGCGGCGCGAGAATTAGACTTGCTCCTCGCCGCGCAGAAGAAACACAACCCGGAAATCACCCTCCAACTCATCTTCCTCGATGGCGAAGAAGCATTCGTCGACTGGACGGATACAGACTCCATTTACGGAGCTCGACATTTGGCCGCCAAGTGGGCTAGGACGCCGTTTCCAACTCAGAACAGGTAAGTTTGTCGTGCCGGTTTCTGATTGGCTTACGATGGCGATACTGTGTTCTGATTGGCCAAAAACTTACCTTATTCACTTAGCGAGCACAACGTATTAGACTCGATCGACGCGTTCGTGCTCTTGGACTTACTCGGCGCGCAAAATCCCCAATTCGAGTCGCACTTCAAAGAAACTGAAAATCTGCACTCCCAGCTGAGGAGCATCGAAAAACGACTCCACCAGAACGAGCTGCTCTCCGCTCATCTCAAGGAAAACGCCTATTTTGTCACTTCCAAGCGCTATGCTGGAAGGATATCAGGTAATTCAACTCTCTAGTCGATGATAAACTAGACGCTCTTTATTCTAAATCCCCGGAATTCATCGGTAACTCTTATTTCCTAGACGACCATCTGCCCTTCCTGCACCGCGGCGTCCGGGTAGTCCACTGGATCTCGACTCCCTTTCCCCGCCAGTGGCACAAGCTCGAAGACGACGAGTCGAACTTGCACCGACCTACAGTTGCCAATCTCTGCAAAATTCTCAACATTTTCATCGCCGAGTATCTCCATCTCTAGTTCCCCCTAGAACTCTTTTCTTTACTTCAATTTCTGTCTAGCAACTTTTTGCAATTCTGAACATTCGACCTGTTTTCTCCTGAACTAGCTACGAAGAAAGCTGCAATAAATTTAAACAAGAAAAATGCACAAAAAAGTGATAAGAAACTTGCAATTTTTTGAAGTTTAGTTTTCATTTTCAGTTATGAGCAGTTTTCAAAATTTACAGCAGCAGCAAATTATTACAGATAGATTTTGTCTTCTTCTTCTTCTTCAAGTGATGAATATTTCTAGCGCTCTTTCCGCTTGTGCCCGGCACAAGGGACAGTCTCGCAGTTTCTTTATGCAGCTGGGGCAGCTGACCAAGTGCGAGCAAGGAAGAATCACCACTGTGGCGCGATTCGTCAGGCATACTTTGCAGCTTTGGGAAGACAGTTGCTCCGATAGAACCTGGCGGAGCTTGTCGTCTGGAACATCGTCTACGTCTTTTACTGGCTCGGGAGGTCGGCCACGCAGTTCTTCTGATATCGGGATTCCAACTGGACCTGAAATCAATATTTTTGTAATTTTTTTTTTGTTATTCAGTCGAAAAATGACCTGTTGGCATTCCAACGTCGCCAAATAGCGAGTCGTCATCGTCCGTTAAATTAGCAAGAATATCTTCCGCGGCTTGGACGGACATTGGATCATTTGCCGACTCGGCCAAAATGGCGAGAAAGCGATTTCTGTACTGACTGGCGTCCATGTTGCAGACGCTGCGAATCCAGTCGATGCCCTTTTCGACGATGACGTAGGCGCAGAAGGGGCTGAAGCGGGCATGCGCGTGCCAGGGCATTCCAGTCGGTTCCCACGAGTGGAGCACCAAGTCGCAGTGGAAGCATTTCACGTGGTCGGATTCGCCAGTGTAAAAGAAGCCAGCGTCGGCTAGCTCGGAAGGCAGTGGATGAGCGCGAGTCCAGTTGTTGAAGCTGATCCGGCGATCGTATAAAAATCTTTTATCCGGCGTGTTTGGCCTGAAAAGAAGAGTTCAAAAAATGATTTTTCTGTTAGGTAAGGTTGATAAATTGTTGAAGAACCGCAAACAAAATCTTTATTCAGTGTAACTTACTGTGATCGTCTGGGAAGAATAAAAGGGCAGTCTGGACTGACCCGACAGTGTTCGGAAAACGCCACATCGTGAATTTGCCACTGTGCTAAAACAACGGAGCAATATTCGCAGCGGACCTCGTCGTTGCGCCCGGTCCAGACGAAGCCTGCCCAGGCTAGTTCTTCTTTCGTCATGTTGGTGTTGGAGGGATAGTTGTTGAAGGACGCTAGACGGCGGTAGTAACCTTCATCCATTCGTGGATAGCGGTGGGCGTATAATCCGTTTGGATTTGGAGCATCTAAAAAGCGGTTCAAAGGGGTTCATTCTGAGTACAATCGACAATCTGAAAACTTTAACTTTTTGTATTTCAAAGTCTGCGCTTTTCCGTTTTATTATTTGCCCTGTCTGTGGATACAAAACCATGTTTTTAATTTTCTAAATACCTCGTGCTCTCTGACTTTCTCGGCTTGTTCTCAAATCTGAAACATTCAACCAAGGAAAAATCTTATCACTCAAAAATTTCCAGCAAAATTCGATTCTTTGAAGGAGCATTTTTAATAAATAAAAATGAAAAATGTTTTGGGCCACCTTGGCGCTCGACTAAAAAATAGCCTAATTTTGATTTTCGACATAAAAAATGCCAAATACCCATAATTGCCCATCCATCAAGCTGTCTAGCAGACAGAACAAATTTCATAATAACAAGAAATCATAATTTTCCCGACTTTTTTTTCTCACCTCCTGTTTGAAAACGGGGTAATGACTCTCTTCTCTGTAGGTTTCTTTCTTCTACTGTCATTTTTTCTGTATTTTCGTATTACTGTCTCTTGTTGATTTTTTCGTCTCTTGGACTATGAGGTTTTTTTTCAATTTTCTTCGTTGATTTCTTCGTTGAATTCTCTCAGCTTGACTTTGAGCGGCTGTAACGATTCCGTCGAGTTAAATACTCGTCCTTAGATTCCCGGGACTCCTCATCGGACAGCGCTAGACAACTCAAGAAACTCCAGGTGACTAGTTTCGCGAAATTTACCTCAGTAGCCAAGCCCAGCAGCGAGTTCGAGACATCACGTGAGCCAACTGCTGACACCATAACTTGCGTTTACTTTTTCAAAAACCTTCTTTGTTTAACTCGAAAAATATAAAAATACTCGTTACCTGCGAACTTTTTTTCTTAAAAATCAGAAAATATTTTTAGACAACCTTGAAAATAAATATATCAAACTGAATTTTTGTCTTGAACTGATAAAAAAAAAGAAAAATTAGTTTGGAAAAAATTTTGCTGCAGACATAGACGACTGGGGTCGAAAAAAAAGAGAAAGACATAAAAATCTTCCCTTTTTCTTGATATTTCAAAAATTTCTCCCTTTGAATTACAACTTTCAGCTTCCTGAATGGCTACTGGGACCGGCTGAGTCTCTACATCGCCGGGCTGTTCGGCATTTTCTTCGTCTCAGAAATCATGGTTGTCATTTCTCTTGGAATTCCAAAGCCGCCGCAATCGTCGCCAAAGAAAGAACAAAAAGAAGAGCTGCCTCAGCCGGCCATCATTGTAAGAAATAACTTCCTTCATTACTAGCCGCTTTTCTTTCCTCTTCACAGGAAGCTCTCAAATAGGAAACGATATTTCTCTAACGTTGTTCAGGCGCCGGAGATCAACCTTCGCGATCACACAAGAGCCATCGCCGCGTGTCTCAAGCGCAACGATCCGAACAAACGGGAGAGCCGCTCGCCGGCATCGCTCAGTTCGTCACTCCGCCACCGCATCAAGTCACCACAAAAGTTGGCATCACTACTTTTTTCTCACTGACGAACTAACTCCTCTTTATTAGGCCAATCAACACTGAAAAAGACCTCGAAGAATACCTCCAATCCTTCGTCGGCCCGGATAATAAATCGACCTTGATTTGCCCACCAAAAGAGGTAAAAAACTGATTCAAAATCAGCGTTGCTGAATTATCAAAATTGTAGGTGTGGCAGTCTCCGATTCGCTTCTCCGACTACCCGAACAAGTTCAAGTTCCAACTGTCAAAGACGCCTCTATCCAAGCCGGCGAATCCTCATCTTCCGTTCGACACCACTGGCGTCGAAGAGACCTCGACCAATGCATGGATTCAGCTGGGCGTCACCGCCAGGGTTTGAAATCTGAAAATTTTGCGTGAGCACGAGCACGCGTGAGCACGTGGGTGCTCAAAATTTAGTGAGCATAAGCACGCGTGAGACTTTGTTATGGAACTTCCGCAGGGGCTAGAAACCCGCTGCGGCAAAAAGGGATCCCAACTGAGTGGAGGACAGAAGCAGAAAATCGCCATCGCCAGGGCGCTAATTCGAAAGCCAAAAATTCTGTTGCTGGACGAGGCGACTAGCGCCCTCGATACCGAAAGCGAAAAGGTACAAATTGGCTTTTCTAGGAAACGAAAAAAATTCAAAAATTGAAAATCGGTTTAGATCGTGCAAGATACGCTGGACAAGGCGCGGCAAGGGCGGACTGCGATTCTGATCGCGCACCGACTTTCCACCGTTATCAACGCGGACGTCATCGCCGTCGTCGACAACGAAAAAAATTTTTTGATCGCGCGCTGATTTGACTCTGCCACGTCAAAACCAGATGGTGCTCTTGTTGTGCTGAGCACCGCGCGTTCAAACCGACTTCATTCGCATTCCTGCGTGCAAAAAGGTAAGAGCAGAGATATTTTTTAAAAGCAATTAGAATTTCTTGGGGGATTTTGCTGCTTCAACAATATTCAAATATTTGGTAAAAGCCGCTGCGCGGCTTTTTATGAGAGCTCCTTAGATTCCTGACTATGGTTTTCTACACAAGTTGCCGGGCCAAGTTGTATCTCGAAGCCGCAAGCGGCTTTTCGATTTTAGAAAATTGCAAATCATTTAATTTGCGGTTTTTTCAGCCGATAATGGCGAAGCAGAAGAAAAATCGGAGGACTGTTGCCGAAGTTAGAATTGACCGACTAAACCGCCGAGAGGGCGGACTGTTCTCTGGAAGAAAAAGAGAAGAGAACGAGAATGAGATGGATCTAACCGGAGACAGCCATTGGAGCCTTAGCAGCGGGTCGATCGATTCAACTCGGCGCGCGGATTTCAAGGTAATATTATTAAAGGTTAAATAAATAATTTCTCAATCCTTTGTAGCACAAGAGCCAGACCCATCCCCTCAAGCAACTGGCCGCCAAAGAAGCGGAAATCTGCGCCGCCAACGACAAACTCGCCGAGCTCCAAAACAAAATCGAAACCTTCGAGAGCCAGGTCGACACGCTCACCTGTCAAGTCAACGATCTCACCAAGAAACTGGCCGACTGCGAGGGCGAAAAACAGAAGCTGTCCGATGTGCTTGATATTGTCGAGCAGAATGTGGCGACGCTCACGGCTCTTGTCGAAGAGCTCAAAAAAGGTAACTACAACATCATGGCTTTTAAAATTAACCATTTTTACAGAGAACGAAGCACTCAAAGCAGAGCTCGAAGCAGTCAAAAAAGCCGCCGAGGACGCCGCAGCCGCCGCTGCTGCCGAAAAGGCCGAGCTGGAATCAAAGGTGTGCACTCTTGAAGCGGAGCTGACAACTGCCAAAGAAGAAATCACTCGACAAGAGGCCGAAATCGCCAATTTAGATGGTAAGGCTTTATTCGCTGCTCGCCGCCGCTTTTTGAAAATGGCGCCATTTTCTAAACTAACTCTAACTCTGTTTTTTATCAGGCATTGCTTACAAATATTGCGAAGACGCGAAAGCCCGCACCGACGATTTCAACCAGGCGGCGGCGCAATTGGCCTCGGCCAAGGAAGCGCAAGATGCTCAGAAGCTCGAGATCCAGAAAGCTATCGATATTCTCCAAGCCTGCCTTGTAAGAAAACTAACTTCCACTACCAAATAAACTAATTCGATCCCTATTTACAGGCACAGCCTGATATCGCCGATACTAAGCAAGAAGCAGCCTGCTCGTCATCGTCTTCTTCTTCGTCTTCCTCTTCGTCATCGGACTCATCGGACAACAAATCTGTTGTTGATAATGGATATGTCGAGCCTCCAGGTAATTTAAACGCCAAACTTTAAAATACACCTATAATATAAGCTGAGTTAGGACTAGGCTCTAACTGTTAGGGTCAGGGTATTTGGGGACCTTTCAACCAATCAGAGACCAGATAGTCTCGGACACCCAATCAAATACCATATCATATTTCGTGATAGCGAATCAGGAGCCTGTTTTGGCCCTGATAGCCAATCACATGCATCCATGAATATCCCTGTTGTTGAGTCCTGACTGTAGTTGATAAAGTCATTTTAGTCGTCGATGAAGACATGATCATTGCCGAAAAAGTGAAGGACGCCCCAAAGCCACAATTTTTTCCACCAAAAACGGAAGAGAAAACACCCGTCGTTCCAGAGCAACAGGCTACTCAAAAGTCTCCACCAGCTTCACCGTAAGTTCGGCCAGACCGTTCCTCTGATGATCACTCTTTTCAGGACTCAGGTGCAAAGCACGGAAATTCCCTTGGATCGACAATCGCTGAGCTCAGTGGGATCAAAGAAGAAGCAAAAGAAGCTCAACCCGGTCCTGCGTGCTCTCGGCTGCTTCGGCAAAAACTCGCGGGGAGAAAAAGACAAAACAGTTGCCAAGGATTAAATTGAATAAATTCCAGCGGTTTTCATCTTTTTTTTAATCAAATGACCCTCGACTGTAAAAAGAAAACACGGCCTGTTTTACTGTATCCTCTCTTCCCAACTCAACTCAAAGAAAAAAATACTCCCCTTAAACAATCCTCCCTCATTTGAGCCCATAAAAATCATTCCCTTCTTTCATTACTTGAAAATTTTACTTTAATGTTAGCCTCAAATTATTCCCTTCCACTTTTAGAAACATTTTACTGTTCTTTTCTTTCATTTCAATTTTTCAAACTTTCAAGCTTTCATCTTTGTTAAAATAAACTTTATTCCAGTCGGTAATAACAATTTTGTTTGTACAGCAATTCGATTATCAAAAGCCTCTCTTCATAACATGAAAGCAAATGCAGTTCTGGAGATAGAAATCGTTATCTAAATTCCTCAATTTTAAGGGGGTATCGCTCAATATTCAGGCCCTGAAGAACAATGTCTTACCAAAAACAAGGCCATGAGAATATAGCCGGCAGAAGCAGTGAACATAAAAATGAAGCCAACTCCAAAGGCACGAGTAAAGACAACAATCAAATACAGTGTCAAGCCAATAGTAGCTCCAGATCCGAGCACAGAGAACAAGACCATAAACTGTTCAAAAGGATCATTTCCAATTTTGAGAAGAAAAAAGACATGATGAGAAAAATGCGCGCGCGTGAGAAAAGTTTTGTTGCCAATTCTCATTTTGAGTTTGCTCCTTTTTCCTGGAGGAATTTTTCAAATTCGAAGAAAGTGTGTGAAATCAATAAAATTGATGCGAGGGATTCGACGATTGAAGGGAGGAAATAATAGTATTCCATGGAGTCGAGCTTTGAAAAGAGTGATTTTTAGCTTTCGGTCGTAAATTTCAAAGAAATAAGGGTTTCTTGCGGAAATTTCTGGCAATTTTCGTGCTGTTGAAAATTCTACATATGGTATTCCGTTCATTTTTTCTCAGGCAAATAGGCTCCTGTCCCATGCTTACAGAGTCCTGTTTCAGTCAAACAGGTATCTGTTTCGTACAAACAGATTCCTGACTCAGGCTCACAGGCTTCTTATCAAGGTTCTCAACAGGGGGCCCGTTTTCTTTCGCAATGGAAGCCCTGATAAGAGGCCTGTATCTCTGAAACAGGGTCCTGTTTGAACGAACCCGAAACCTGTTTGTTTGAAACAGGAACCTGTGTCGCTAAAACAGTAATAAAAATTTTGCGGAATAAAAAATTCAACTCTTTCCTGATTCGTTCCAGTAATAAACAAGAAAACTCCGAGATGCATGAACATGGAAGAAACCGACAAAATGAGAATATTTGAATTGGTCGAGCAGCTCCAGCACATCCTCTTTTTTCCTTGTTTTCAAAATCTCTCAAAAGTTAAAAAAAATCAAAACCGAGGAATTTCGAGCTTGAAAAGAGTCGAAAAAGGAAGGGAATGCACCTGCGTGACTAATTGAAACTAATCGGCGGTTTCTGTGATTCTAACGTATTCAATGATACAGTAAGGCCTGCTCTGCTCTTTTCCCAGTATCAATAAATCTATATTTTTAATGTTTTTTATTAGATAGTAGTGACTTGTTTGTACAGATGATTATTTCATTATTATTATTTTTCGTTGAAGACTCCTTGTTGGAGTGTAAAAAGTATGCTGCTCTGGAAATTTTAAACTTTTAAAATTTGAAAATTAAAAATTGTTAATTGCAAAAATTGAAAAATTGAAATGAAAGAAGAGAACAGTAAAATATTTCTAAAAGTGGAAGGGAATAATTTGAGGCTAATTAAAAATTATAATTTTAAGGAAATGAAAGGAGGAAATGATTCTTATGGGCTCAAATGAGGGAGGATTGTTGAAGGGGAGTATTTTTTCTTTGAGTTGAGTTGGGAAGAGAGGATATAGTAAAACAGGCCGTGTTTTCTTTTTACAGTCGAGGGTCATTTGTTTAAAAAAAGATGAAAACGATTAAACCGCTGGAATTAATTCAATTTAATCCTTGGCAACTGTTTTGTCTTTTTCCCCCCACGAGTTTTTGCCGAAGCAGCCGAGAGCTCGCAGGACCGGGTTGAGCTTCTTTTGCTTCTTCTTTGATCCCACTGAGCTCAGCGATTGTCGATCCAAGGGAATTTCCGTGCTTTGCGCCTGAGTCCTGAAAAGAGTGATCATCAGAGGAACAGCTTGGACGAACTTACGGTGAAGCTGGTGGAGACTTTTGAGCAGCCTGTTGCTCTGGAACGACGGGGTTTTTATCTTCCGTTTTTGGTGGGAAAAACTGTGGCTTTGGGGCATCTTTCACTTTTTCGGCAATGATCATGTCTTCATCGACGACTAAATGACTTTAGCAACGACCTTATCAACTAAAGTAAGGACTGAACAATAGGGATATTTATGGGTGCACGTGATTGGCTATCAAGGCCAAAATAGGTTGCTAATTCGCTATCACGAAAATATGGTATTTGATTGGGTGTCCGAGACTATCTGGTCTCTGATTGGTTGAAAGTCACTAAATACCCTGACCCTACCAATTAGAGCCTAGCCCTAACCCTAACTCAGCTTATATTACAGGTATTTTATAGTTCGGCGGTTAAATTACCTGGAGGCTCGACATATCCATTATCAACAACAGATTCGTTGTCCGATGAGTCCGATGACGAGGAGGAAGACGAAGAAGAAGACGATGACGAGCAGGCTGCTTCTTGCTTAGGCTCCTCAACAACAGTTGGTTCTGGCTCAGGGGCTGGCTCAGGTTCAGCTACAATTACATCCGGCTCAGGCTCGGGCTTTTTCTCTGGCTGAGGCGGTGGTACTACAGTATCCTTGTATTGCGTGCAATCAACATTATTTTCGACGGGAGAAGGGACGGCGATATCAGGCTGTGCCTGTAAATAGGGATCGAATTAGTTTATTTGGTAGTGGAAGTTAGTTTTCTTACAAGGCAGGCTTGGAGAATATCGATAGCTTTCTGGATCTCGAGCTTCTGAGCATCTTGCGCTTCCTTGGCCGAGGCCAATTGCGCCGCCGCCTGGTTGAAATCGTCGGTGCGGGCTTTCGCGTCTTCGCAATATTTGTAAGCAATGCCTGATAAAAAACAGAGTTAGAGTTAGTTTAGAAAATGGCGCCATTTTCAAAAAGCGGCGGCGAGCAGCGAATAAAGCCTTACCATCTAAATTGGCGATTTCGGCCTCTTGTCGAGTGATTTCTTCTTTGGCAGTTGTCAGCTCCGCTTCAAGAGTGCACACCTTTGATTCCAGCTCGGCCTTTTCGGCAGCAGCGGCGGCTGCGGCGTCCTCGGCGGCTTTTTTGACTGCTTCGAGCTCTGCTTTGAGTGCTTCGTTCTCTGTAAAAATGGTTAATTTTAAAAGCCATGATGTTGTAGTTACCTTTTTTGAGCTCTTCGACAAGAGCCGTGAGCGTCGCCACATTCTGCTCGACAATATCAAGCACATCGGACAGCTTCTGTTTTTCGCCCTCGCAGTCGGCCAGTTTCTTGGTGAGATCGTTGACTTGACAGGTGAGCGTGTCGACCTGGCTCTCGAAGGTTTCGATTTTGTTTTGGAGCTCGGCGAGTTTGTCGTTGGCGACGCAGATTTCGGCGTCTTTGGCGGCCAGTTGCTTGGTGAGCTCGTCGATTTGGGACTGAAGATCGGCGGCTTGGGCCTCCTTGGCGGCTTTGACTGCTTCGAGCTCTTCTGTGAGCTTGTCAACCTTCTTTTGCAAATCTGGCTGGATTTGGTTGGAGCCAGTATCGCCACCCTTGATGCCGTCGTTGCCGCATGGAGTCTGGGCTGCTTCTTCTTGGAGAGTTGCGAGCTCGGTCTTGATCGCAGTCAGCGATGTCTCCAGCGAAGTCATCTGCAACTTAAGGGTGTCTCGCTCAAGAGTGAGCTGCTGGATCTGACTTTCCAAAAGAAGTGTGTTCTTCTCGGCCTCGATCTGAAATGAAAACGGGTTAACCAACGTACACACGTGTTAAAAATACTACGCCAATAGGTTAAAACTCTCAACCACTAATAGAATATAAAACTGAGATTACCTTTTGTTCTTGCCACACTTGTTCTTTTTCGGCCATCTGGGTGATCAGTTTAACGAGCTCAAGAGTGTCAGATCTTTGATTCTTCGAGTCCTTGAGCAGCGAAATGGTCAACTTGCCGAGCTCATATTCGTGCTGTTCCGACCAGTCTTTCAGGATTGCTTTGGCGAAGACGGCTTGGGAGTTTTCTGAAATCAAGAATTATAGCTTAGTTTTGAGCGAGCTGAATTACTTCGAAGAACAGACTGCTGCAAGAATCGCTGTCGGCCATAACCCCACTGATGCTCGAAGCCGGGCTCAACGTCAAAATTAACGATGGAGTTGGTCGCTTCGTCGTAAAGAATCACGATCGAGGTGGCTTTGATTCTGAGCGATTCGAGATCATCCTTTTGTTCCTTCGTGGCGTTGTCTTCGTCCCACTGGAATTATTTTCATTTAACAATTTTACTCTGCAAATTAACTTACTCGGAAAGTAAAGGAAAAGTAGTCGTCCTTCTTCTGATCTTCGGTAACTTCCCAGCCGCCCATCTGGTGTCGGGCCAAGAGACCAAATTCGAAAACAATTGGCAAGTCATTGATAACTCCATCAGACTAGAATTCGTCGATAAGAGTTCTTGTTCATAAGAAAATAGAGGAAAAAGGCTCTGATTTTAGGAGATGGTGCATGGGGATTTTCACCAATAAGAAGGCGGTATTTTGTCTGTCAGCCAATAAGAATTTAGAATTCTTATCCTATTCTTGATTGGGGTTTGGGCTAGGGTTAGGGTTAGGTTTAGGGTTATCTTTGCATTTCTACAGTATTAATACCAGCCAACTAGATAAATGTGGGCATGAAAAATTTCATTTTAATTTGAAAACTAAACAACAAAAAAATTCAAGTATAAAAGACAAAAAGACGCGCTAAAGCATCGTTGTTCTGAAGAAAAGCTCGGATGATGGTGGCTTTTCGTTTAGTAAAGGAATTTATAGTCCCTGCTGTCTCGTGTGGTACGGTACGAGTGAGTTTATGACCCAAGCTCATTTTGGCGACAATAACGGGTGGATAACTTGTCTTGTCACCGGAATTTCTAGGCTCCGGTGTAGTTTATTTGATGCGTGCTTCGAAAAATCAAATCTTTTGGGGAATTTTCGAGGGCTCGAATTTGATTTTTTAAGGGGAGGGAATAAATGGATTTTGGCAAGGTTAGGGTAAGATTTTCAGCTGGATTTTCATAGAGCCTCTTTTGGGTTAGGGTTAAGTTAATGGATTAATGGGCTAAGAATCAAGTTTTACCTCCATTCTTCGGAAAGAAATGCGGTCCTGCTCGGCCTTGGCAGGAGAAATAAGCTTCTTGTCCATGTTTTCAAGGTTGCTGACGTGGATTTCGAAGCGATTGGCTCCATCTTGGAATTGGCGGTCGTGGTCGATCGTTTGCATGGCAGTGTCATTCTTAAAAATACCATTCTAGTGCTTTTCGGCGCCGGGTTCAACGAGCGCGTGACTCCATCTCTCTCTTTCTTTTCAAGCTCTTTTGACCGTGAAGTTGAAAAACCATTCAAAATCGAGCTTCAAAACAAAAAAAAAAACGAAAGCGAGACTATTCGTTTACTGTAATAACACTCTTGTTGATTACCTTGTCCCAGGATTTCTTGAGATCTTCTGCTTCCTGCAACATGTGCTTGTAGTTGTCGATGTCCTTGACGAGCTGGGCTTTTTGCTCGCGCAGGTGGGTCATCGTTTCGTTCTCGATCTTCAAAGACTCGGCCTTGGAAATCGCCGTGTTGATGTTCCGGACGATCTCCTCCATCTTGCCGACCTCGGCCTTGCATTCTTCGAGGTCATTCCTCAACTGTTGTACCGTTGTCGATGCCATCCCTCTGAAAACACGAAGAACTTTAAAACTGGCCTCGGAAACCTGAGTGGAAAACCTGAGTCAGCTTTTCCTGAAAAAGCTGAAATGAAAAGCCGCGGCTTTTTTCTAAAAACAAAGCCGCAAAAAAGCCGCTTTCTTAGAATTTTCAAAAGATTGCAATGCCAATGCTTTGCGGCTTCGTTTTTAAAAAACAGCTTTTCATTTTAGCTTTTTCACGAAAATCTGACTCAGGTTTTCTAAACAGGTTGCCGAGACCAGTTTCAAAACTTGTCAAAAAAGGCGAGAAAGGGGAAAAACGAAGATGGAGGAAAAAAGTCAAGTTACGAGTTCGGGTCCTTAGGTCTCTTACTAACGATAAATCGTAAAAAAATGTTGAGCGTACACGGCGTTTTTGGGGTGAACCAATAAAACCGAAAATAACGATAAACTACTAATAGCTGAAAGAGCTATTTAATAAAGACGCTGAATCATCGATTTACAGTCCAGCTGCTTGAATTACAGTAACTACTGTAAGAAAAGTTTGTTGATTCTCCTCGTTGATTTCAAGATAAATCTACCACTATTGAAGGTGGTAGTAAAAGTGGAAAGAAAGAAGGCTCAGGGGAAAAAGAAGGAGGCTTCGACTTTTAAATTCTCTGGCAGGACTGGTTCTCCTCTCGACTCCTGGCCCTGGACAATTATCGTTGAGAGCGTGTTTCGTCGAGGAAATTTTTTGAAGCTTTTTACGACCGCACCGCTGCCGGTAAGATCTGCCCTCTCTCTTTCTCATTCGAGTTATGCGGACCTTGTGCTCGTTTCGTTTAAAGAAAAAGAACAGGACTTGGAAATGTCTCTCTCAAATACGTATGGTGGTCGAAAATGATCGAAATATTTGAAATCGCCCGAATTGGCGCGAATAATGATGATAGTTTTTTGGTGCGTTGGGAATTGAACTTTTTTAAGTGCCGAAATCTAATAAAATTTATGGCTGAGTCACTCTCTTTAATGTTCACCCGCCAGCGACTCGAGCTAGAGAGACAAGAATTCCACCACTCTTTTTTAGTACTTAGCGCATAGTAAGACGAAAAGGGTGAATGCGTCCGGCCATTCGAAGATGATGTCTATTTGACTTTCGCCAGGAGAATGGAATGCTATTGTCTCGCTCTTGCCACACACAGATGATTCGTACTCTACTCTAGCGTGACATCTTCGTTTTTATTACAATCAATCATCGACAAGAAGAAGAGTAAATTCTTCCATGTCTTCCTGATTGTCCCAGACAAGCGATCAATAATAATTGAGAAGGTAGTAAGGTCTTCCCTTTGAAATGTTTTCCCGAGCTCTAATTTCTCATTTTAGACATTTTTGGAGCCATATTTTTGGTTTCCCAGTTTTCAAAAAAAAAATAGCAATAAGTAGGTCCTCTTTTTACCGAGAAAATTCCATCAGGGGGTAACCTGGGCTCGGCAACCTGTGTGGAAAACCTGAGTCGGATTCTGAAGAGCTAAAATGAAAAGCCGCGTGGCGGTTTTTTAAAGACGAAGCCTCGTTGCGTCAATCACTTCTATTTTTTAAACACTGGCGAAGCCGCTTTGCGGCTTCGTTTTTAAAAAGCCGCTACGCAGCTTTTCATTTTAGCTCTTCAGAACTTGACTCAAGTTTTCGACACAGGTTGCCGAGCCTAGAAGGTAACCGTTTTAACGGATTTTACATTCCTAAGAAAGGAACTCTTTTTAGCGAATTTTCCTTGGCCAGAAAATCCGTTAAAATTGGGACCCTTTTGAGGAATTCGAGGTCCGTTAAAATGGGCACCTCCCAGAGGGATCTTTAGGACCCCAATTTTTTATGAAGGAGAGTCCCTTAGTTTATTAAAATTTCGATAAAGAAACTGATCTAACTCATCAGAGTCTGAACTTTAACTTACTTTTTCTTTGGTTTGCTACTCGGTGCCATCTCTTTTTTCTCTCCCTTTCTCAGAGCTCTCGAGTCGAGATAAATTTAAAATATAAAAAAATTTGGCTTTGGTGTGTTTCAAATGACGCGCTTACTCCCCATTGATATCTCATTTATGTGAATCTCCCGTGAAAGAATGGAATTGTTTGCTCCGGCGGCGATGAAACCGGTCGCCACTTTTGTTCAGTTTTTACACGAGTGGACGGATCAAATGCGCTTGAGCACATTCTAGGGCTCTAATCAAATAACTCAGTCCATCACTTTTCCTCGCAAATTGTCGATAAATAAGGATATAGAGGCGTTTAGGTAACATCTGAAGTAAACCTGAATTAGGGTTGAGGAGAGGCTAGCATAGCGGCTTTTTTTCTAAATAAAGCCGCAAAGGAACTTTGCGAGAATTTTAAGGGGGCGGGGGTATAATGGGATTTTTTGGCTATCTTGGTTAAAAAAATCTTTATTTTTGACCCCCTTAAGGACCCCCCCGTCAACACTTTTCGAAAAAATTATTTTCGGAATTTCAAAATTTCAACCCCGGAAATGTATTCTACGGGTCAAAAAACGATTTTGAGGCTTCATTTTTTGGGGGTCTATCTCGACTCTAACACCCTCAAAATCGCGTTTGAAAATTGGACTTTTTGAAGAAAAATGACGAAAAAGTCCCAATTTTGCTAAAATTTTAGATTTTTTTTGGTCAAGAAGTGCGCCGAACATGTTTTTATGATGTATTAAACTTCCAGGCACACTAAGAAGCAAAAATATGGCTGTTTTGAAATTTTCGATTTTTCTTAGGAAAGTTGTTGACGGGGGGGTCCTTAAATAGATTGAAATGGTGAGTTTGGCGAAGCCGCTTTGCGGCTTCTTTAAAAAAAAGCCGCTACAAAGATAATTGAAGCTCTTTGAAGACCTTTTCTAGAACTCAGATTTTTCGCCGAGCCCAGTTAATAGACTTTTAAGTTAAGGGAGTAGACTTCATAAAAGCTGATTTACGAGAAGCAATAACTGTAAACCGCCTTTTTGACAAAATAAATTGTTGCTTACTCAATGACTGGATCTTCCAAAATCGTCGAAATGCGCTGTCTATTAATTCCCTTTCTCATTTTATTCCTCCGCAGTTCTTCTTTTTTATTTTATTTTCTACGCTCCAAAATACTATTTACGATATCAAAATCTCGGAGACACGGGCTTGACATTGCGCGATGACTTCCGAAGCTCACAACTCGTAAGTTTGATCGATGCCGTTTTTCGAAAAATAGCTTGCCAAGAAAAACAAGAGTTTCCAGCAGTTGTTCTTATTCTGGCGTATTCTTGATATGAAGGAATAAATCATTGCTTAACAATCATGTGCAGAGTTGCAAATTTATGAAAATTTTTTCTAAGCTGAGCTAAGGTTTAAATTGAGCCGAGCTGGCCTCTTTTAAAAACAACTGAGCTGAGCTGGGTTTTTTCAAAATAATTGAAATTAGCTGGGGCTTATCTGATGATTTTTGAGCTGAGCTGAGCTGACGATTTCTCAAACTGAGCTGAGCTGAAAGAGCTGATTTTGAAAAATAGACAATCAAAATTGGTTCGATCAGCTCAATAGACTGAGCTGAGCTGAGCTAGCTGAGCTGAGGTCAAAATTGAGCTAGCTGAGCTGAGCTGGCTCTTTTCGAAGAACCATTGAGCTGAGCTAGCTGAGCTGAGGTCAAAATTTAGCTGAGCTGACCCTCATCTCCAAATTGCTGAGCTGAGCTGTTGCTCAGCTAGCTCAGCTCAGCTAGCTCACAAAATTTTCAACTCTAGTCATGTGGAAAATTTGACGAGAAAGATCATAAATTCGACCAAAAATCTGCCGATAGTTAGTTCTTATTCTTTTTCAGTTTGAGCTAGACTGAAAAAATTGGCGCAATCAGACAAAAAAAGGCGGGCGCTGAATTCAGACTGTAGATTTGGGACACTTCGCATTTGCATTTTAGAGAAAGCACCGTTTACTGAAAATTTATTGTTTTTCTGAAAATGGTGGGGGGGGGGCTGCGGTCCTTAATAGCAGTTTACAGTAGGAAGAGTAATGTTTTATTGTGTGAGTTTATTTACAGTGATTGTTAATTTTATTGAAAAGTATTCAAGTAGACAGGGCCGAGAAAAATCTTTTCGATGCTTCTTTTCTTCTTCAAAAGGCTGTGGCTAATGGCTTCACTGGATTTGCTTTGTCCGCGGCAGTCGAGGAGGGATGAGCCGCCGAACTCGCCTTCGTTGATTCTTTCTTTGCTTCCTCTTGCTTTTCGCTCTTTTCAGCTTTCGGGCTCGGTTTCGAAGGAGAAGATTCAGTTACAGCAGTGTTCGCGTGTTTCAGAACGTCTCCTACTGTCCTTTTTGTGTGAAAGACCTCGATTTCCGTGGACTTTTCTTTGCTGCGGTCTTGCAGCTTTGTTCGGATGTGAAACATTGATTTTCCTTGACAATCAGCGCCGTCAATGCCTAAATTTAGTTTTCTCTCTCAACTTTGAAAAGAGAAAAACTGTGCTTACTTAAAATTTGATCGCCGGGAAGGACAGAAGTTTGCTTAAAATCGACTCCAGCTTTGACTTTTACCCATTCAACGGATTTCAGAGCGCCTGAAGAGATTAAAAGTTGTAACTGTTGTAACTACTAGATTATTTGGACTTTTCTTAGATAGAGGGCGCAATTTAGGGTTTTGGCCAATCAGAAGCCAGTATCTCTTCTGTAAGCCAATCTGGGCTGGGCAACCTGTGTAGAAAACCTGAGTCAGGGTTTTAAAGTTTTAAAATGAAAAGCCGCGAATTTTAAAACTTAAAAACCCTGACTCAGGTTTTCTACACAGGTTACCGAGCCCAGAAGCCAATCAGAGACGTACGAAATAAATCGGATTAAACTGGATTAAACTGATTTTGGAACTTACATTGGCCCTCCGAATCGAGGTAGAAATCCACTTGGAAACGGTCAGTCACGTCGATCTTATACTTCTCCCCGGTTTCTATAAATGATATGTCCGTTTTTTGTCAAACGAGTGGCAAGTTTGAATCCTCGTAAAAAGCACTCTTTTTGCCTTACTTTTATGAATTTTTCGCATATTTTGGGGGACAGTGATTGTCCCTCGCCCGCCATGCTGCGCCAAGTTTTCTCGGAATTTTCGCTCTAGAATGGTCTGCGTCTTTGATTTGGCAATTGTCAGTTTTTCCGGTTTTGAATCAATGACGACTTCTTCTTCTAGCGATTTGTCCAGCTGCGGTGCTTCTTTTTCCGTGATTTTTTGCGCTTCTTTTGCTTCTTCTGAAAATTATCAGAATTATTTTCGCGTTTCTAGTTTTTTTTTTTAAAGAAGTGGCTGAACACACAAAAGTGACTGTAACACGAAAAAAAGCACGCGTTTATACCTTCTTTGGGGACGTCTGAGTCAGAAGCAGTCCTCCTAATTGATTTTTCTGACAAGTTAAAATTTAACGCCGCGAATTTTTACCTTTTTCTTTGATTCTGGCCAAATCCTCTGGGTTGAAGTTCCAGTTCTTTGGCGCCGAATCGGGCTGGTCGAAGGAGACGGTTTTGCGGACGCTTGGGCGGACTACGCGTTTGTTTGGCTGGTCGTTGTTGATTTCAGCGGCGCGGTGAATTATGCTTTTTCGCTAGAATTACTTTTTGAATTTTTGAAAGGGCAAAGTGCTTACAGTTCCGAAAGATAAGTCTGGTGCGCTTTCTATCTTTGGCACTGCTTCTTCTGGCTTGAAATTGGCTTTTACATAATAAATCATAAAAGAGACTCTTACCCTAAATTGTCGATGTATAAGCAGGACTACTCCCTAAATTGTTAATTAGGGAAAGTCACGTAGGCAATCAAAGTACGTGACTTCCAGAAAATCGACATTTTTGGGAGTTTTTGTACTATTTTACTGACAATTTAGGGATTCCCAATTTTCGTCAAGAGGCTATTTTAAAAAGTCTATTTATCAAAAGATCGGAATCAGTTGAAAAGCCTTCCTTGGGAGGAATAGGAGCTCCATCAGTCGTTGGCGAGTCTGAGTCCTTGGACAAAAAGCCTCCTGGAGAACTGTCAGATCTGACGATGATACTCTTTCGCTTCGCTTCAACAAATTGTAGGTCAAATATTTCGTCGTCGACTTCTTCCATGATCGTCATTCTCTTCGTACGGCTTTCGCTCTAATAACGACTTTTAGATTTTGCTTTTTTGATTTTATTCTTTGTGATTGAAAGTTTTTCTCGGCGACTGGGTCTATGTCTGCGTTTGCACAGGCTCTTCAAGCTGAAGTTGTTTACGGGCTTTTCTTTTGAAAATTGGACAGCGCCAGTTTCGGGAGCTGTGTTTTTGAATACCAAACACATTCGACTAATAGTACCAAGCAAGTGGATCTACAGTAGATGCCCTACGACTCGTAGGCTACGAGCGATATGGTAGTAGGGGTCAGAAGTGAGGCAGCCCTATTCCTAAGCCTAACCCGGTGGGCTACGCCCCCGGGACACCCTAAGGGCCTTACGGTTAGGCCTGACCCGACCGATAGCCCCGCTACACCGAACGATATGGATGTTGATTTGTTACAGTAGGTTCGATTCGAACCTTCGACGAAAGGGGTAGTAGGGGGTTATCAGTCGGGGAGCCCCTAAGCCTTAGCCCTTTGGGACCCCCCCTAAGGCTTAACACAGGGGGCTTTGCTCCCCCCCCGGAAACCCTCAGTGAGTACCTCTATATCCCCTAACCCTAACCCCTAACCGAGAAAAATGTTCAGACGAACAGTCCTTTTTGGGTAGCCCGCTACACCCTTGTGAATCACAAGTTGTGACTATGTTTTGTCAACAAAGTTTCAACTTGTTTTGAAGCAAGTTGGCAGGCATCAATCTTTGAGCAAGGCTTAAGAATCTCGCCGAATTTGTGATAATGTTGATTTGCTCAAACAAAGTGTCGAGAGTTCGCAATTTGTTGTTTGTTCGTAAATTGAACGTACCTTGCTTGTCGTCTCGTTGCTCCCCAGAAAATTTGTTTTGTCGTTGGTTTCCGTCTCTGGCTTGATTCCGATGCGCTGCTGAATCGCCAGAATCGTCTTTTGATAATCTGTTGCCTTGCGCGAGCTCTTCAAGTCCTCGAGGAATGTTTCTAGCTCATTTCTGCTGGCGGTTTTGAACGAAAACGAGACTTCTTTCTTTTTCAAGGCAATCGTTACATCGTGCATCGACTTTTTCGCCAAGGATTCGCCGTCTAGTCGTTCTATTTTGTCGCCGACTTTGAGGCCGATTTTGTCTGCTACAGCGCCAGGCTTAAATATATCGATGATCATTTAAAATAATTCAAATCGAAGGTCCAATATTTCGTCATTAATATTTTTCTCGTTTTTATTTTTCTACAGAGCTTATCCATAATAGCGACCTTTTTCATCAAGCTTCTGATTGGCTGAAACAAGTACCTCCTTTATTGACCAATCAGAAGGCCGGATAGAAGTTGATGGAAAAGTCCTTAATTAAAAGATGTCAATCTAATCAAATTTAAAAAGAAGAGCCCCTTTTAAACAAACTGTCTGTTTTAATATTTGTTTTGCGATTAGTGGACAGGGTTACCTGAATCCTGTGGATAACATATTTCCCAACATGTTCCATCACGCCCAGGCCGTGTTTTTCGTCCGAGCCAAGCTGAATCAGCACTGTGGTAATTTCGTTCTTGTAGTCGTACGCGCCGTTGAATTCCCACCTGACGTCTTTGCCGCTTTCGATGACGGGGTAGTAGCCGCAGGGGCGAACTAAAGTTAATCGTGTGAGAATTACGTACAGTAAATGTTATAAAATTTTTAAGAGCTTCCGTTGACAAGTGGTCAAACATACTTGTCAGCTTTAAACGGGTGCCCTTGAGAATGGCTTCAGAAGCTTGCTTCTTGAAGATTTCCAGCGATTGCTCCAGAGTGCATTTGTCCAACGAGTATTTATTGACTTAGATGCGATTCTCGATTTAGCTGACAATCAAATTGAGAGCTGATAATCACGAAAATGAGAATTTGAACCGATTCCTGAAAGAATCTGATCGCCAATTTGCAGCTTCTTTCCAAAGGGATTCATGGTCGACTTCCTTGTCTTCAGATTGAAAGAAACATCGTCGACGAAAATGGAGAGGCCATTTTCAGCCCCGCCGGCGAGGGAGAAGCCCGGCTCATCCGGATTCTTGATAACGAGTGTCAGTTTGGTCTCGGCGAGGTCGGGCACGCGCTCGGCGAAGGGGCGCTGATGCTCGTGCTTGAGGATTTTGCGGGCGAGGGCGTAGATTTTCAGGTGAGCGGGAGCAGCTATCAGTTCTTTGAGATGGCGGACGAACATGTCCAGATCAAAGGGTGGAATTTCTAAAGGATAAATACGATAAGTGATGGGAGCAAACATCCAGCGAAGACGGAAAGATGGACTGTCCCCTAGTTTCCTTCCGCCGCACCTGGCTCTTTCCCAAATTAAACCAAAAGGAGGGAAAATACGCACCGTCGTTTTCTGCATCCATCATGTCAGCAATTTTGGATAAAGTTTCCTCGTCGAATTTGTGGTCTTGGAACATAGTCTTTCTCACGTAATTGATTCCAGAGCTCTTGCTGAAGCCGTAGGTATATGTGTCGAAGGCGCTTTCTGTTTCCTGGGCCAGATCCTTCAATCAATGCTTTTGAACTAAACAAGGGGATACCCTTATTTTTATCGACCAGAAAGATTCAAGTAAGATGTATTCTAAGTTATAAATTATAAACAAAACGGTTTTAGGGGATAGAAATCATAAATAGCGCTTTCTTCCTCTAAATTAGCATAAGGAGGCCCTTAATTTATCCTGCCAAATGAAAATAATATTCTTTATTTAGTAAAAATTCCCTTAATAAAAATTATTTTCGCTGCCAGAACAACGTAATAAAGAATATTATTTTTTGCTTGGCTAAATTAAGGGTCTCCTAGTGTTAATTTTTAGAGAAAAGGCGGTATTTATGATTTCTATCCCCTAAAACCATTTTGTTTATGATTTTGTTCCAATTTTGGGATAGCAGTCATAAATACCGTTTTTTCTCTAAAGATTAACACTAGGAGACCCTTAATTAATAATTTAGCCAAGCAAAAGAAAATAATATTCTATATTTAGTTGTTTTAACCGCAAAAATAATTTTTATAAAAGAAATTTTTACTAAATAAAGAATATTATTTTCTTTTGGCAGGATAAATTAAGGGCTTCCTTATGCTTATTTTTAGAGAAAAAGAGGTATTTATGATGTCTATCTCCTAAAAACCGTTATCTTCATGATTTTTCTTGCAACCTTTTAGGTTAGTGGTAAAAGCATTTCCTGGCCCATGCAGTTGCGTATTTCTTCTCTATCATCCTTGGATAGTTTCTGGAAGTCTAGCGCCATCAAGTCGAGGGATTCGTTCGGTAGTAAACGAAAATGGATCTGAAGGGGCAATAAAACGTCTCTAACTTTCTAACGCGGGAGCCAAAATGCAAATTTGTTTATTCCGGAATACAAACAATGCCCAAAGACAAACACATTCCCATCAAATTTGTAACCACGTCATGGCCAAATGAGTTAGACTAGCATGTCGTAACGCGCATTTCTCTTGCTTAAAACTTCTGCTGAAAAAAGGAGAAGCATTCAATTTTAAGACTTCTGTAAGAGTTTTAAGACTTCAGAATAAATACAAAAACTGGGCAAAGACTGAATTCAGGAATTATAAAACAAAAAGACATTCAGCTAAAACTTGTAGACGCTATAAAGCCGATATTTTTGTCTTGACGTAGATACACCCTTATTTCATTATCCCAATTTGGAGTTCTTCCAAATTGTTCTTCATTTTATTTACCTTAGCCGCAAGGTCTACCCCCTTAAATTTGAATTTTGGATCTTCAAGAACTATAAGCTTTACACTTCTTAACGGGGTCATCATCATAAGAAGCAAACAATTAGAGTCAACAAAAAACTCGTGTTAATGACATCTATCACCTTAAATATTAGTACATTGAAATATTTAAGGGGACAAATAAGGATATCTTGTTGATACTATCAACGATTAAGGGTGTCAATATCCCTTTAATTTTTCAAGAATGAACGCAATACTGACACCCTTAATTAAATTCATTTTTGACCCCCTTAATGACATCTATCCCCTTAAATATTAGCACACTAAAATATTTAAGGGGACAAATAAGGAAATAAACCATTAAGGGTGTCGATATCACTTTGATTTTTAAAAAATGAAAGCAATACCGACACCCTTAATTGATTTCATACTTGATCATCATGTGTTCTTCTTAGTAGTGATCTTCCGCTGCGCATCTTTTCAAAAAAATACAAACAAAAACTCTTAAATTTTTTCTCTGGTTTCTTTTGTTTTCCGGAACTGATAGTTTGGATAGGAAAAAACGTCAGATCGAGCGAAATAACTGCAGCGATTTGAAGCTGAGCTAGACACACACATTACTTTCATTTTGGACAAATGTTAAAATTAACTGGCGGCGGATAACTGTCGAGACAAAGAGGCCTTCTATTCAGCTTCCTCTCAAATCTTCCGCAAATTTTGGTTTCTCATGAACTTTTGCATCGATTCTGAGCCTGTCAGGGCTTCAAGCACCGTAATACGCGGATAAAAAGTGACATTCCATAAATTCTCTTCCTTGATTTCAAACGACGATAGATTCTCATAAATTTCTTCTGGTCTTTCAGAGTTTTTTGGAGAGATTAATTTTGGAAGCGGATTTTGAGGATAAGGTTTTAATTGGCCGGGAGGCCAGATGCAGCAATCTTATTGGCTGCCAAAAATCTACTTCCAAAATTAATTTCTCCAAACTAATCGTTTCAAAGTTAATTTATCCTATGATAGCATAACACATGCATGGTTTTATGGCAGCCAATATGATCGCTGCATTTGGCCTATCAACCAATCAAAACCTGATCCTCAAAATAGGATTTCTATGTTGCTATTTCCTATTTTCGGTCTAGAGTAAAGACCATAATTTTAAGAAATTTCTGCCGCTGTAAGCACATTGTATTTTATGTTATATGAATAAACATTGTTATGCGTATGTTATGTGAATAAACATTGTATTTGGGAAGAAATACAAGGAAGGAAATGTCTGCAGAGGGAGAATTAAGTTCACGTGAAATTATTGCTCTGAGCAGTCGAGGACGAAATTCTTGATTTTAATGTCGGTGCTGCCCCAGTTAGCTCCGGCACCGTCGCCGAGTCCCATCCAGTAATTGTTTCCGGCGTTCCATTCGGCATCACTGTTAGTTGTAGAGATGACTGGAACTCCATCGATTCTCCAAGTGTTTGTCCACAAGTTTGTTTCTTCGTCGAAGCTGTGCTCGAACTCATACGTTGCCCAACCGTCAGCTGGGCAACCGCTTAGCCAAATGGAATATATGTCGAATCCCAAAGTCTGGACAAATGGTCCATTATGGGTTTCAAAATCGTAACTAGTGAATGATCTGCTGGTACCGAGGCCACTAGAAATAATAGTAAATTTTACATAAAAAAATAATTGGAATTCCAGTTATTCAGAATTAATGATTACGGTATAAAATTTCACTCACATCGTAAAGTAGATAAAGTTTCTACTCATGTATAGCATAGCAAGAGGTTTATCCGCAGTGGAAAGTTTTGACTCCTCGTCTTCCAAGTTTCTCTTCTTTTTATTCTTCTTTTTCTTCTCCAATTCAGCAGGGCCGACGCTGGGGCCGCCGAATCGAAAGGTTTCCCGATCTGTTATGTGAAACAGGTAACCATTTGAGAAATCATCGTTGCAATCCATCTCGAAGCTGGTCTTGAATGGCTTGGAGACGTCGATCTGAGCGAGGTTGTCTCTTGCACCAGAAACTTCCGGAACTGGGCCGATGAATGTTTGGCTGCATAAGCACAGTTTGAAATTTTTAATTTCGATTTCAGCGCCTATCCAGTGTTCTTCACTGCCGAGTCCGATGTGGAAATCGTATCCAGCGTGCCATTGATCATCGCTGTTGGTTGTCGAGAGAATTAGTTCCCCGTCGGCGGTCCAAGTGTTAGTCCACAAGCCCGTATCTTCGTCGAAGCTGCGCTCGAACTCGAAAGTCGTCCAGCCTTCTCCTGGACAACCGGCTGCCCAACTCGTAGCGACACCAAATCCTCCAGCCCAATGTTGGATGTACGATGGTATATAATTATCGAAATCGCCGTCTGTGAAGTCTGTGCTATCGTCCACGCCACTTAAAGAATCGTTAATTTTCAACATTGAAAAGATGAAGTTATAATCACTTAAGTTATTAAAATAGCCACGCATAACAATCTCAACTTACATCGCAAACCAAACTAATTCTTGATTGCGGGCTATAGCGGCAAGTGGGCGGTCACTTGATGAAAATCGAGGGTCTTCTATCTGCGCCGAGTCCGGATCCACCACGGAGCTACTGAATCTTGGCTTTTCTGTATCAGTGATTTGCATGATATAACCGGTGCTGAAGTCATTGTTGCTGCAATCGAATTGAAGGCTAACTTTGAATGGCTTCGAAATGTCGACGTCTGCCATGTTTTCCTTTTGGGTAATCATCTCAGGAGTATTGCCGATGAAGACAGTGCAAGGACCAGTTTCAACGCACTCCATGCCTTCTTCGGTGCAAGTGCAGAGCTCTCCAGAGCCTTCAACCTCCTCTCCGATTCGGACGTAAAGTCCGTCGGCAGTGATGCATCCGCATGAAGTCTCGTCAACACAAGCTCCGTCCTCGAGAACTTGGCCTTCTGGGCATCCGCACATTCCTTGGATCACATTGTCGGTGCCGCATCGATCTTCTTTGCTAACACCGCGAGCGACGTCTTCGCAAGTCTGCGCTTCGAAGCAGCTGTTGGTGCATCCTTTGTAAACTTGATCCGCTGGGCATTCCTCTTCGCAGTTCGTAGCCGCTGCCCAATTGCAGATTCGATCGAAATCGGCGGTTCCAGGAGTCTTCCTCTCGAGGCACGCGGAAGCGTACTCGCCGATGATACCACATTGGAGGCCGTCTTTGACGCAGCTGTTGAAAAGACAAGCTTCATGAACTTCTGTTCGATCGCCAAGGAACTCACAGCCGCTGAAGATATTTCGATAGAAACTGGAAAGTGGGTGTCGGAGAGTCGGTTGACGAACAGCTTCACATCTCGAGTACGCAGCATTGTATTCTGTTGTCGATAGGTCTTCGCAAGGAGTCAATCGCCCGCCGTGCGAGCAAGTTTCATCATCATCAGTTTGGAACCGATCTCCAAAGGAGGCTCCGTCAGCTTCGTAATCAGCCCTGAGAAGACGCTCATCAGAGTAATCGCCGTCGTAGTTACCGCAAAGACCGGCCATCTCATTCTTGTAGCACCCATTGACCCAAAGATAGAAGGACCAAGAACTGTAGTAGAATTGGGCTCTCAAGCCATTCCAGGTTTTGACGTACACACTGTAAATATTTGGGCCATCTGATGACGATCGATAGAGATAGATCTCGTAATCATCAGTGACAATCGTTTCTGTTCTGCTAATTTCTGAAACGGCGTCGATAATTTTCTCTCCTGTTTCATTGTCTTCTAGAGTAACTTCAAATCGAGCTCTTCTGTAGTCATCGCTGTCATCTACGTTGCGAATGTAAAGAGAATACTTTTTCGCATCGCCAGCAACATAATCGCGTCCGTGGAAGTCGAACCAGATCTGGTCCGTAACAGCGCCGATAAACGGAAGCCACGGTTTTCGATTTTTGATGTCTACGTTGAAGCCAGGAACGTCGTCGCGATCAGGTGCACTAGCTAGATTGTAGCGGCAATCACCGTGGAAACCGTACTGGTAGCCGTCGAAAGTTCTGATGTAAGGATCATTGTGAGCTCGGCAATATGCAGTTCCCCTGTTTTCGCACGGAATTGGTGTGCAAACGACTCCATCGGAAGTACACTCGCAGTTCTCTTCGTCGGTAGAGAACGTCGAACCTTGTGAGTAGTAGACGCCATTGTGGTCCCAGACGCATCCGCAATCTTCTTCGAGGATGCAGCTGTCGCCATCGAGAATATATCCGGGCTCGCAGACGCACATGCTGTCAAATTCGTCAATTGTCGATCCGCATCGTTCGGCATCCGACATGTGTCGATTGACGCAAGTTCGTGTGGCGGCGCAAGTGCTTGCACAACCCTCGAACTGGCTATTAGCTCCGCATTCCTTTTCACAGCCAGTTTCGCTGGCCCAAGAGCAGACATTACCGCGAAGATGAGCGGGAATTGTGTTCAAACAAGTCTTGGCGTAGTTGGCAAGAGAGTCGCAAAGAGAAGAGCGATCCCCGCAGCCATCAATGAGACAGCTGAGATAGGCGGCGTTCTTATCAGCGGTGCAATCGTGGAAGACTCCTCCGGGGATATTTTTGTCGAGAGGGACGCACATGTCGGTTACCTCATCGATATCATCGCATTCGAAATCGACAACTTCTCTGCATCGTGGGTCAGGCTCAGCGAAATCATTTGCCCATTCAATGAGTTCTGATTGATAAGCAGTCCAGTTTGAAAAATCCAATTCCGAAAATTTCGACGCGACTTCATCGAATTTATCGTATTTTACACCATCGTAGTTCCCGCAAAGACCGTCCACATGATCCATATAGCAATTTGGAAGTGTGAAATCGAGGATATGATATCCCGCATTAGAAATAAGAGCGCCGAACCAGGTTGTAACTCTAATTCTCGGCGAAGTTTCGAATGTAAAGTCATCGGTTTCTATATTGTTTGTGTAGGAAGCACCGGTCCATCGATCTTCAAGAACAGTTCGACTACTATCAACAGATAAAATGTAGCGAGGAGTTTCATCTTTTGTCTGGCCTTCTGCCGGGAACTCAAATGTCCATCTTCTTAGGCAGGATACTGGTGTTTCACCGTTCCAATTGCCACATCTTTCTTGACCAACTTCGAGTTTAAACGCGGGAACGTTACGGAACTCATCATCGCCCTTCGATTCAGCAAATGTGTATCTGCAAGCTCCTTGGAAATGGTGAAATTCTCCATCAAATGTTTCGTAATGTGGATCTCCCCAAACTCTGCAAGTAGCCACTTCTGTCGCAACACAATCACGTGGACATGCGTCTTCGTTGATACACTCGCCTTCGTGCATCACTTGTCCGTCCGGGCAGCCACACATTGCGTAGATGGCGCGTTGAGAGCCGCATCGAGCTTCATTTGAAATTCCATCGACGACGTCATCGCAAGTTCGTTGTTCAAGGCATCTGTTCGTGCATCCTTTGAAAACTTGACCAGCTGGGCATTCTAGATCGCATCCAGTTGCTTCGGGCCAAGAACAGACAGTCTTAAAATCGCTGCTGTCTGGATTCTTTCTGACAAGACAACCTCGAGCGTAAGATTGAATGAATCCACAAGCCCAGTCTCGCTTGATACAACCGTTGAAGAGGCAACCGTCGTGATAGTAGTGTTTGTCGAGGAAGCCGCAGGATTGGAAGACATCGGCTTCGGAGTTGCTGTCATCTAGAGCCGCGCATTTTTCCTCAACAGCATTCAATTCGTCAGCAGGAAGGGCCTCGCAGGGGCGAAGTACTTTCCGTGAGAGCAGAATGGAAGAGTCTGAGTCTTGAAACTTTCGCCGAGCGCGTCCGGATCAGTTTTGTAATCGGACGCAATTTGTGTCTCAGATGCTTGTGAATCGTCCCAGTTTCCGCAAAGGCCGAAGATAGCGTCCTTGAAGCAGTTCGGTACTTTAAGTGTCATATCCCAATACACGTGATCGTAGAAGATCTCCACGCCGTTCCACAGGACGATAGTGACATCTTGGCCGTCTATGTCGATCGAAACATCGTCAAGGTTGACATCTTCGTTGTAGAAAACCTTCCCTGTGGCTCGATCAAAAAGTCTTACATCGAGATTCGTGTTATGGTAATCGTCGGAAGTATCCAAGTTATTGATATGGAGCAGGTATCGTTTTGAATCTCCAAAAGCGTAGTCACTCGAATGGAACTCGAGCCAAACTTGGTCAAGGACAGATCCGTCGCCCCATTCTTCTTCAGTAATATTCCACTGAACTTCTCTTCTGTTGCTGAAATCAATATTGAATCCTGCTCGAGCAGGCGTGTCTTCGTAGCTGGCGAGTGAGTAGCGGCAGGTTCCGTGGAAATCGTAGGCGACGCCGTCGAAGGTCTCGATGTATGGATCGCTGTGGACTCGGCAGGTGCCTTTTTCTTTATCTTCGCAGGGGATGGGGACGCAAACAACCACACCGCCGCTTGTACATTCACAGTTGTCTTCAGTGGTTGAAAATTCTTCCCCGAGCTTGTAGTAGCTTCCGTCAAAGTTGCAGCCGCAGTCTGACTCGAGAATGCAGACACCATCTTCGAGAATGTATCCGTCTTCGCAGACGCAAAAGCCTTCAATTTCATTTTCTCCTCGACATCGCTCGAAATCGTCCAAATGACGATTTTCGCAGGTTCTAGTGGCGGCACAAGAATCCGCGCAGCCATCGAATTCGGAATTGGCGCCGCATTCTGGCTCGCAACCGAACTCAGCGGCCCAATCACAGACAGGTGCGCGATCTTCTGGTGCCAGATCGTTGAGACATGCTTTCGCGTAGGATTGGAGTGCGCTGCATCGATCAGTTCCGTCGCAAACTTCCAAAACGCAAGCTGTGTTGAATGGTGCCTGATCGACGGAACAGTGCTCGTTGAAGAGGCCTTCCGAATTCTCTGGGTCGATGGGCTGGCAGGAATTGATTGCGTCGGAAACATGAACGTCGCATTCGAAGTCGTGAATTTGGCGACATCGTTCGTCGGGAACTTCGAAACTCGTCGCCCAATCCAAAGGTCCTGCTGCACATCTCTCCAGTTGTGCATTTGATGAGTCAAACTAGTTTGGCTGAACTCATCGTACTTCTGTCCGTTGAAATTGCCGCAGAGACCCTTGACGTTGTCTTTGTAGCAATCAGGAACCCAGATGTCGAATTTTGCATCATTTCGAGCGTTGTAGTACGCCCTAACGTCAAAATAGGTTCTAATATAGACACTATCCCAGCCGACGTAAAAGTAAAAATCTGGATTTCCGTAGAACGATCTCGTGTAGGAAACTCCAAGCTGACGATCTTCGAGGACAGCACTGCGCATTTGCCAGCGCCAACCATCCGCGGAAACGACGTATCGTGGGATTTCATCGGGAGATTGGCCTTGGCCAGGGAACTCGAAAGTGAATCCGCGAGTATGCGTGTACACGCCCGTTCTGAAGTAGTCGAGATCGGCGACGATTTTGAACCAAGGCATGTTTGGGTATTGAACGCTGTCGACTTCGACCATCGTGTATTCACAGCTTCCCTGAAAGTGATGGTATTCCCCGTCAAAGGTGGTGTAGTGAGGATCACCCCAGGCCGTGCACCGTCCAAATCCAGCTGATCCTGAAGCTGGGTAGCACTTGTCGGTATACTGTCCTGTCTCGCAAACAGCAGGATACTGTTCTTGACAGTTTCGACGGTAGCTATATCGATAGCCTCCGTACGTGGCAGTGCAGGATTCATCTCCTTGATACCAGTAGAATCGGTTTTCGTGAAGAGCAGCACTCATCGCTCCAAAACGGTTCTTGTCGCCGTCAGGTTGGGCGAGCCAGCTCCCACGAAGGTAGCAATACGCCAAAGCCTCATCGTAGTCCATCGTAGTTGGGGAGATGTGGTAGGCGAATTCTTGATCCTGGTAGGCTTTGTTTTTGGCGAGTTTTCGAATGTCCTTTTTCAAGATTCAAATTGTGATACAAATTGTAATTAATCGGTACGACAAAGAATTGCGTTTGGTCTAATCCGTTTTGAAAGTAAACATAAGAATTAAGAGAAATATATGAAAAGTTATTACGTAGCCAAGTTTCTTATATCAACAACTTTTTGTTTCGTAAATTTTCTTTAGCATCATTATATGATCTAATATATAATTTATAGCTAAAAAAGGTCTATTTCGTAGATTTTTCGGACCTAAAGCCAAAGCAATAGGCTTTCCCCGGACCCCTGCTAAGCGTTATCAATTATTCATCCTTTTTTATGATCTACTACCATGGTCCATGGTATGATATTAAATATATTTGTCAATTTACGTATAACATTGTTGAAAATAAGGACCAATTATTCTATAATTAAGCTGGAATTGGTATGATATCCCTAACCCTAAACTTTAGGGCCTAAAGCCTAACCCAGCCCCCCCGTGACCCTCCAATAGGTACTCCCAGTCCCCTAACCCTTATTCTTAACCAAGAAAAAGGCTTGATACCATACCAATTCTAGCTATATTATAGAAGAATTCGTCCTGTACCAATTCTAACTGCAACCTTCCTCAATATTTCTATCCTTTCTTATCTGGTTTTATTTTCTCAGCTTGAACCTTTCCTTGACAGATCGTTCAGGAACTCGAATTTTCTTACCCTCAACACGATTGTGGGAAGCGAGGCAAGCGTATGAGTCGATCCAGTCATCGAGCATATCCGCGAATTGGTTCAAATTCGTGGCTAGAGAGGCTCTAGTGTCGAAGCTCCTCATCTCGACGGGCTCGTAGCTTGGATTGGTGAATCCCGAGTCGCATGGGCCGCTGTCCTGGTAGAATTCGACGGCTCGTTTCGCTCGCTCATATCTGTTTTCGAAGGCGGAAGCGTGCTTCTTGCTCGCTGCTCCTAGCGCTGAAAAGAGCTCGGAAGCGTACTCATCGGCCGCTTCCCAAAATTCAATGAATTGGAAATCCGCGCGGGCGAATTTCGCCCCGTGAAGAGCCAAAAAACTCGTCAAAAACTGCTCTCTCATTTTCTTTCAAACCAGAGCTAAGTTGTTTCTTAGCTTGGAAAGAAAGTGATAAGAGTGAAAAGTGGGGCGGGCGTCGCTTATATAGGGGAGGTAGAAGGCCCCAAGCTGCTTTCGACTTATTGACCTGGCGGCGGCGCTGAGTACGGGGCGGCGCCCGTGTTTTGCATCTGGCGCAAGGTTCTCATCCCACGTGCCTATGTCCACCACGCGGGTAAGGCAGCGGCAAGAATTCGGGATAAGAAGGTTCAAATTTGAACTTCTCGCTATCGTGAGGTTTTCCAAGCCCTGTAAGGTTCTTAATCTAAGCCTTAACTGGCTTAATGAGGCTACTGACAGTAGTCTTAGTCTAGTTAAGACTAAACGATGAGTTACAGTCGACTCTGGCAATTACGAGCCTTTTTTTGTCGGGAATTTCGTGAAATACTCGTAATTCTCCGAGTTGGAAAATTTGGCTCGATTTTCTCTCGATTTCATTTTTAAAGACCCTCCATCAAGAATTGCGAAAATGGGCCTCCTTGAAGTTAGTATTTCTCCGAAGCTATCTTATTTACACCCTTAATTTAATTGGAACTCGAATTTAACACTCGAATACAACCGCTTCCCTTATGATGATCCCGAAAATCACGGTTGTTCAAAAAATCTAGTTCTACCTCCTCAATGAAATATATGCCGTTAAAGATCAGGTTGATAGAATCAAGCTTACAGGCCGTTAAAGATCAGGTTGATAGGATCAAGCTTTTTCAGGGATTTAAGCTGAGGGAAACCCTTAATTTTTTTCAGGAGAGAGCTAAGGCTCTAAGCTACCACCGTACCCCTTTGGAAAGTTTTTTGTCAACGAAAAATTAAAATAATATTCAGAGACTTTCATAAAAAAAATAATGCAAATTTTCAATCTGTTAAAGCTGCTTTAAAACCATCTGAAGAGCCGGAGACTCTTAAGCCAAAGATTTAACCCGGTAACAGGCGCGTGGCCGTCTCACGGCCACGCGTGGAAATGAGTTGCCAATCGCATGCCCGGATCCATGTTTTCACTCAATCACAGACAGGCAAAAGCGTAGGCAAAATCGACCACCCTGTTAGCGGGTTAATGATTAAAATCAAGCATTCTCAATTTTTTCGAAAAAAATTATTTTCGGTCGATGATCCCTTGTTTTCAAAATTGGCGGGTTTTTGTCAAAATACTCGTAATTCTGCTACTCGTAATTGCCAGAGTCGACTGTAAATCGAAAAAATAAGAATTTATGCGATGATTTTGGCTAAACAATAATTAGTTATTTTCAGATTTTTAAGTTTTTCTTAGTCTAGTGACTAGACTGTGACAATTTTCCCAAAATTTTGGGATGGTGTCTGGAGCCGACAAAAAATTTCGACAAATTTTGCGTGGGCGGCTACTCGGCTGCTGATTGGCCGGTGAGCTGAATCCAGGCTTCTGATTGGTTGAAAATTTCCGCGCAAAATTTGTCGAAATTTTTTGTCGGTTCCAGACACCATCCCAAAATTTTGGCGTATTTTTAGACCAATCTCGTCTTTTTGACTTAGACTGTCTAGTAGACGTCTTATGAAAGAGAAAAATTAGGATATCGCTATTGCAAATGAAATCGAAAAGCAGCATCTTCTTTTCTGATATCTACTCCAAAATAAGCTTTTATCTCCCTATGTTTTCAGTATACACACATTTTAAGCCACGTGATCCCAATTCGCAAGCAAGGATGTGCATCTGTTTTATCTCATAACATTTAAGGGTTTTTTTAATTCGCGCGCTTATAGTCAAAATACATTATTTTCCCCGCCGAAGAAATTAGTTCTTAATTTTTTAAGAAACTAAATATTTCAAATTCTTTAAAGTCGCATATAATCCTCAAAACTGAACTATGTAAAAAATGTCACAAAAATTGCCGACCCCTGTAGTGATGAAGAATGCCCTTTTTTAAATTCTTTAATCATTTTTTGAATAGCTCAGATCAAAATCAACAAAAATGTATTTACCATTTGTACCTATCGAAAAGAAAAAGCCACAGAAATTGACCTTGAAGTTGGCACTACTAACATAACACACCGGACCTTACTATTCGGGCAAAAAAAAGTTCATGTCGCATGAATATCTCGGCACGGCAACCTGCGTAGAAAACCTGAGTCAGGGTCTAAAAAATCTTTAATAAAAAGCCGCCTCGCATATTTTACTGTATCTAATCTATTTTTAAATTTTTGCGAAGCGGCTTTTCATTTTTTATTTTTGGACCCTGACTCAGGTTTTCTACACAGGTTGCCGAGCCTAGATGAAAGTTCACTTAATTTCAAAACACTTAATTCTCAAAATTAATTTTTTGGCAAATGAACTTTTTAGCAAAGTTATCGTTTCTTCCCCCCAAATCCGTCCTGGCGCAGTTGTATAATGAATTCGAAGTATGCCCGCCCCGAAAGTAGAAGCTTGTCAATTCGAGTGGGGCACGTTCCAGAGACGGTTCAACTCGTAACAAGCACTCTGTTTTTAATCTTCTTTTTTGACGAGTTTTACAATTTTTCAAGTGCTTTTCTTCTTAGAAAAAGATGTAACTGCTGAAATCGGCTTTATTCAAGTAAGAAAGAGCCACATCAAGAAGGGAAAAAGAAAAAATAAAATAAAAAATTATCAATTTCAGCAAATTTTTATGATAAGAAATTTGACAACAGTCTTTTCTCTTCAAAGAGTTTATTCGAAGATTGACATAATAACCCACATCGAAGTCTTCATTTGCCCATTCCTCCAGTGCCAGTCGCTTCAGTAGCAGTTTCTTCCGGATAGAGGGCGTCGTAGAAGCTCGAAAAACCCGGCAGCTTCTCAACGAGCAGTTTCATCCCAGCGTTGACTTCCTCGTTGGCCAGAAGTTCAGTAAGAGTATCTCGGTCCGCGTTACTCAGGCCTTCGATCCAGCTCACTTGGGTGGATTCGCCTTCTTGTCCAGGCACACTGGAGCCGGAAAAGTCGCCCATGTTCATCTGAAAGTCGGAAATTAGGACCAAAAGTAACCAAAATAGGACTCTTTTTTTCTACCAAAAAAATAATTCTTGGCGCTAATAAAATTGCTTTCGTGCCCTTTGTACTGTATTACCGGTAGTAGGGGGTTATCATTCGAGCAGCCCCTAACCCTAAACCTAACCCAGAGGGCAACGGCCCCGGGACCCCCACCCACCTAAGGCCTAAACCAGTGGGCTTGGCCCCCGGTCCCCCCTTTAGAGTTCCCAGTCCCTAATTCCCGGTATTACCTGAATATTGGCTGTATTCATATTGATCATGATGACACTAGTTTCACCCCCAGCAGGCTGATCCATCGCCTGTACTCCGACAGTAGCAGTAGCAGAAAGAAGAATATCAAACAGCTTCATTTTTGACGCTCCCTGAAGATTTATTTTGTGAGAAATATGTAAAGTCGAAGATTTATCTCACCACTTATCTCTCAAGTGAACGATTTTGAAATGAACATCGACGCACCAGATGAGTATTTATGAGCACAAAAGGATCGAGAACAGATTAAGGAAACAAAACTTTACGAAACTATCTGGCCAGCTACTGTATTTTCAGAAGATTCGGGAAGCTGCCAGCCTTCGTAGTAGAATGTGTATCTACGTGACTTTGAGTCCAAGATGGTAGTTGCTTGCTTTATCTAAAACGAAGCTGTCAGAAATCAATAGATCACGAGGGAGGTCCCAGTGCTTCGATCCGCATCACATCATATGATAATTTCTCGGCTAGAATTTGAATTAAATTTGAAGAAAAAGAACAGAATAGAGAACTGCGCGCTACTTTGATGCAAGTTGCTACTCCGCTCAGCAAATTCTTCAAAGTATCATGAGCGAGGAAACTCAAAATACTCTCCAAGAAGAAGAGGAGAACGGAGATGACTCGATTTTCATCGAAAATCCGTCGACCTCGCCGTACGATCTTGTTCTCCAGCAAAACGGAACAGCCCTTCCTGGCGTTCCAACGCCCTGGGAGTCACAGTCATTCGATTATCCGACGGAACCAACTCCAATTGGAAGAATCATGAGAGCCATTTCCAGCGTTCAAGACAAGTGCACAGCAATGCCCCGTAATATCATCCTAAAGGGGGTAAGCGTCGATAATGCTAATCTTCGAGGACAATTTTCTCCGAGAATTAACGAAGTGATACCCTTATTTTTTCAATCAAACTTCCGAAATTTGAAATATTTAAAAGCAAAAAATAATAAAATAGTTCCTTTATTGGATAAAATCTGCTCTTTTGAAGAAGATTTCTGCTCTAGAATTCGTCCAGAATTGATAAAATCCCTATATTAGAGTCTATAAGAAAGGTCCACAGTAAATTTTTGTAAGCAAAATAATGGTGTCCCTGAGTTAATTTAGGAAGAAAAAAGTCTCCAAGACAACCCTATTATCAACGCCTACCCCCTTAAGTCGCCAACACAACTGGTCATCATCGGCAAAGCACTCTTCCTCTGCTTAGTCGGGGCGTCGTTTCTGTTTCTAGCATATCGAAGAGTTTCCTATTTCCCCGGCCTTTTATTTTGTATCAAGCTCGTCACTATCGCCTCTAGCTTTTTGAAGACGAAAATCAGTGGAAGCCTCAAGGAAGCCTTTTTCGTCTTCTCAATAGTCATCAACCTCATTCTCATCGCCATCGCAGCCTATTTGATTGCGACGCTAGAATTGTCAATCGACAAAAATTTCATTCTTCAATCTTCAAATATATTCACATGCCTCATTTTGCTCTTCTTCCTGACAGGTAAAACATGATTCTTGGAAGGAAGAAATACGTCAAATCATACGAATCAATCTCCTCAGCCTTTCTCTACTAAAGAGTTCATAAGATGAACTTTCAGAGGGTGCCCATAATTACTAATGTTGTAGGCTAAGCAAGCTAAGCTACGAACTGAAGACTGGATCAATCTTTTAATTCGCGAAGCCGCTTCGCGGCTTTGTAACTAAAAGCCGCTACGCGGCTTTTCACTAAACTTCTTTCAGCCTTGGCTCAGGTTTCCTACACAAGTTGCCGAGCCCAGAGTTTAATTACCTATTTATTTTTCAGAAATTTCGCTGAGCTAAGCTAAGCTCTTGGTTTAGCCATGAATATTCTAGCCTCATTATCTAGTTTAGAATTTCCTCAAAACATCCGTCCACTAAACATCATCAATTTACTTTTACTCAATCTCGTCGCTGCGATTTTCTTCCAAAGGTAAAATAGAAAACATCCTTTACTTGATTCAATATTCTTTCGAAGACATATCACGGGAAAGATGATCATCAAAAGTCTCAGCTGGGTTCTCGAAAAGATCATTAGCTACGCTGATTCCGGAAGCTTGTGGATTTATGGTGGAATGGAGGGCGATGCATCGAGCTTTTGTGCTCCGTTTTTTCAACGCACATTTTGGTAATGATCGATTTTTGGTATTCAACAATTTTTCCTCTCATTTTAGTTTTCGGCGATTTTGAAAGTGTTTCATTCTTTTCGAACTTTCAACTTTCTGATCGAGTTTTTCGCCCTGCCCCTTGCCGCGTTATCTGGAATTTCCTTCCTCGATTGCCAATGCTTCCTTGAATCGTTTTTGTTTTCAAACTTGGAGGAAGAAGAGGATCGAAGAATAGAGAACTTGAACAGTTGCAAGAAACTGGCCAAGTTCTCCAGCGAGTTCGGAAGCATTCTTTTGTCGAATTTGATCATGTTTGCAAAGATGACGATCAAAAGCGAGAATTTGATCATGTGCTTCTTGATGAGCGTCTTCATCCACCTGCTGATAAACAACTTCGTCTTGCCAGAGAATCGGCGACTTGATCTTCCAGGGAAAATCAAGTCCAGATCTTCGCCAAAGCCAGTGATTGAAGAACTATTAGACGGCGCTTGTGGAGCTATTTCGTCTTGTTTGAGACTTTCAGGGTTGATTTTATGCACAATTCCGACGCTGGAGCTTTTCAAGAAAGGGTCGCGAAATTTCTTTTTGAACCAATAAGAAACGCATTTCAGCCAATAAAATTGAGGAATTTTTGGATGAGCCAATCAAAAGTCTATATTCTCGGTTAGATAAATCGAAAGCCCGAATTTCAATAATGACAGTCTGAAAATTTTTAAGACCCATTTAAAGAGTCTCTTCGACTTTTTCTACGAGCTCGTTGGCGAGAAACTGAATCTCCCGGAACTGGACGCACTGGACCTTTTGGGAGTGATATTCTCGCCCATGTGTGTAGCATCAGGCGTGCCAGACGATGAGGCAGCGTTTTGCGGAAAGTTGACTGGCAGCAACCTCTTCTTTGGCAACTTTGTTTCCTTCCAATTCCTCGCCGAAGGAAAGAGCCACCGAGAAGATGGCCGGCCCAAGTGCGATTGCGAGGGCCGCGTTCACTGGGCCACGGAAAAATCAGAACTCATTATTACCTCATTACTTCTCGGCTCGTACTTTATCGGCAAGGTCTTTCAAACGAAAAGGACGAAGAAGGATTATCGACAGACGAAATGCGCGTTTTGGATTGCAATTGTCGGCGTCTACATGCGGACTAATATTATTTCACTCGTGGTATGATATATACGTATTTTCTCCTTGAGTCAGCATAGCTACCCCCTTATTTTTTGATATTCAAAATTAGTTTTGGCCTTTATCTTGTTTTTAAAGGTTTTATTTTTGCTGGGAGATAGCTGTAGTGGTTTTATGCATATAAAAACTACAAGGCGGTTGGTGTGAGCTTGATAAAAAGTGTATTGGTGTTTTTAGAAGTTTATAAAAGTGTGTCGTGTTGTGTGTTGTGTAAGGCAGAAGCAGGTTACTTATATAGTGCTTGTGTTCGCGTGAATAGAGCTTTAGTTCACGCGAACGAGTTGTAAGTAAGGGTGAATAAAAAGTATTCTTTGGCGGGCTATGTGTAGATGGAGATGAGTAACTTGTAGTTTGAGTTGAATTAGCAGTCTGTGCTGGGTAGAGTGACTTGCGCTGTAGTGGCGGTGAGTGTACTCGTCGCGGCGGCGAGAGCGTTCGTGCGCGCGGGTGAATATTTCACGCGGACGGATTTGTATTTCAGCTTGGCGCTTTAACAAGAGAGAATTTTTGTTTTTATATAAGTGTAAAACTACTACATATTCCTCCTCCTTTTTAGAAACATCCTCGTTTTGGAAAATCATTCATCTGATTGGACCTGGCTTTTTGTTCGAATGCAGATGTGAAGCCAGGAGTCGGATCGTTCAGGTTGTTTCCATCTATAAAATTTATCCACTGATCGTCGAGTTGATCTTGGTCGAAGTAAACGTTGTCTACGCGGGTACAAGCGGTTGAGGTCGATTGAACTTCCTCTGCATTCCTATTTTGTTGTTCAGAAGTCGAGTTTGTAAGCATTGGTCCTTGAGCAACGCAAAGCTTGAAATTCCCAATATTCAATGAGTTGAGATAGTCATAGCAGACGATTTCTGCTCTCGTTGTCATTGATGATAATTCCGAAGGAGTGATATTCGCCATTGCGCTCCACAGAGATCTTTTTCCATAGAATTCGGTCTCGAAAGACTTGATAATCTCCGTTCTCGATTGCTCTTCATTTATGTTAGAGAATCGTAGGATGAGTGCTTTATAAGACCAGTTGAGGAGGGCTTCAATCGTAGTGGCTCCTTGGACTTGTAGATTGCTCGCTAGAAAAGTGAATTCTCTGTTCTGGGCAACCTTCAGCAGGGCTTCCTCAATTTTGATGAGATACTCTCGTAAAATGCGCGTTTTGGGTTCATTCCGGAGGCAATGAAGGTTAACTTTGAATCCAATGATGAAGGAAAGTGAGAATTGAATATATCTTCGTTTAGGGTCTTCTCTTTGCAAATACGGTATATTTTCAATTATGCCAAATCGGCTGCCGGACATTTTTCTTCGTTATAAGCTCTTTTTTTTTTGAAATATTTTAAATAAAAGCTGACGTTTTTCCATTTTCTGAATTTTCGTCGGTACATTTTGAAGGGGGGGTTTCCCCGTCAGGGTTTTGCTGTTGGGACGTAACGACGGGAGAGGTTCGGTGTGTGTGCTCCTCGCTCGACGCTTTCACAATGGCTACTCCCTTATGATTTACGAGCTGCGCTGCGCTCATCTGTTTGCTTTCGGTTTTTCCTTCCCGGTTTTGATTTCGTTTCGCGGATTTTATTTCGATGTTTTGTATTTGAAGATTTCGCTGAAATTTTCTTCGTTATCACAAATTGTTAATGCCAATTGGAATTCTAGCAATTTTGTTTTCCACAGTCGTGCTCGGCAGTTACATTTTCGCAGATATGACAGAAATTCGTTTGGCCAATTGAATAACTGTATATTCAGCAACAGCGGTAAAGTCGAAGACTGGCCACATTTGACTTGTTTTATTGAGTTATCCAAAAGGGTTTTGACGAATTTGCATTGTTTGTTGAAGGTCCCTTCTTCATGAGCTACAGTTGGATAATTTGGCAAGTCGGACGTCCTATGGTCTTTCATCTTTGGCAACCACTTATTCTTGCTTGAAAGTGGATTTTACAAAAAGGGTTGTTGAGGCCCTTCCTCCCCCTTTATATTCAGATTTGCTTTCTCGGTCGAAGTCGGTTTGACCAAGAATTTTCATTTTTGTCGATTATTGTCTCGGTTGACAAAATCTTATCAAAACAATTTTGCGTTTGTTTGATTGATTCTTTCGCTGGAAGATCATCGTTTTCTGTTTGTGTCACGGTTGACATTTTTACATCGGTTGATTCTGCTTTGTCGGTTTTCATACTCTCGTTTTGATTATAGTCGCTTTTGTCCAGCTGTATTATTTTGCAGGGCCGAATCAGATTTATGTGTCTTCTGTATTCGCGTCCTGTATGCACGTTTTTCACAATGTAGGAATCCTTTGCAATTCGTTTATGAATCGTATAAGGACCGTGCCAAACTCTGCTGAGTTTGCCTAGAGCAGGTTTCCAGATCATACATTTTTGACCAATTTTAAGGGTAGGGCAGCTGTTTTTGTCGGCGGCGAAAAGTTTGCGGTGCTTTGCAATTTGGTGCGCTAGAATCGAAGGGTGAAGTTCTCGGAAGTAGTTTTCAATTGATTTTATCCAAGGTTTTCCATGGCCTTTTGCGTCGAAATTTGTCTGGAATGGTGGGTGAAAACTTCTTCCATAGTAGGCTTCATTTGCGCTAAGTCCATCAAGATTTCTTTTTGGAAGATTGTTGACAAAGTATTTGCTCATTGGCCACGCTGAGGACCAGTTTTTATTTGAAGCATTCAAGCTTTTAAGCTTCATGTGTATTTCCCGGTGAACTCGTTCGAGTTGACCATTACTTTGGCTTCGATAAGCTGTAGTTGTCGTATGACGGATTTCAAAACGTTTGAAGATTTCTGTGACAAGTGGTCCATTTAGCTCGGCTCCGTTGTCTGTAATTGCATCACCAGTTATGCCGTGTGTGAGTATTAGATTGAGGAGTTGTTTTGCAACAACTTCATCAGTCTTACGAGTTAAGGGTATACCATCCAGAAATCCAGTTAATGAATCCATGGCTGTTAGAAGGTATCTTTTTCCATTGGCATCGGGCCTGTTGTAATCAACAAGGTCAAAATGCGTTTTTGAAAATGGAGTTTCTGCGAATCGGCGATTTTCAATCATTGATGGTTTTAGCTTTGGCATTGGCTTTATCTGGATACATGTCGGGCAGAATCGAGTAAGCTGACTTGTTTTCTTTTGAATTTGGTGGATGTAGAACTTTCTGCAAAGAATGTTCAGTTGCTTTGATCCACAGTGTCCGGTGATACAGTGTAAATACTGCAAAAATTCGTCGCTTAGATTGTTAGGCAATACCAGGCGATTATCTTTGTAAAGGACATTCTTCTTGATTTGAAAGTTTGATTTTGAGTTTCGTCTTGCTTTTTCGAACAGGTTACGTGTTAATTTGCACTTCATTTGCAGCTCGTTTATTTGTTTTTCGTCGAATATTCTATCGCTGAACGTAAGCAAGACTTCCTTTTTGCTATCTGGGACAACTGTATGAAGCAGCAGGACAGTATTTGGGATTCCATCGAAGGTTTCAGCATCTTTTTCGAGTTCAGTGCTTTTGTATTCAGGAAGACGACTTAGCCAGTCAGCAGTTGCCATGATCGGTGAATTTCCATCAAAGTGTAGAATTCGGAAATCAAAGCGCAGAAGATAATTCAGGATATTCATCTTCTTAATATCATTTTTCTTTAGTTCTCCTTGCTCTTTGAATAAGAATAGTAGGCTTTTATGATCTACTACAGCGGTAAAGGTCGTATTCAACAAGTAGAATTCGAAGAAGCTGATTGATAATCCCAGTGCGAAAAGTTCCTTTTCTCGCATGCTTCGTCTCAGATCAGGTCCTGTAAGGGCTTTCGAGAAATATCCGATCGGATGCAGTTGATCATCTTCTTTTTGATACAAGCAGCCACCAATTTTTGATCCAGAGCTGTCAGTTACGAGAATCAGTTCTGATCCTTCTTTATAGTGAGCTAAGCATGGTCGTTCAAGCAAAAGTTTCTTTATCGTTTCGAATGCTGATTCATGTTTTTCTTCCCACTTGAATTCCCTGTTTTTCGATGTCAGCTCATAAAGTGGTTGTAGAATTGCTGAGCCATCCTTCACGAATTTGAGGTTGAAGTTTATTGTACCGAGCAATCGCTTGATTTCGTTTCGGCTTTGCGGTGGTTTGAGATTTTTGATGACTTCCAAGTGTTTTTCGGTGGGTCGAATACCATCTTTTGAAATCGTATGTCCAAGAAAGTTGAGTTCTGATTTACACATGAAGACCTTTTTTGGCGAGAGCAGCATTCCGTGCTCTTGACAGCTTTTTAGAATGAATTCGATTGTTTTGTAATGCTCTTCGAAAGTGTTATCCACTGCGATGATATCGTCAATATAGATCAATATACTCCTGTGCTCAAGGATTTTGGCCATACATCTTGAAAATGCAGCTGGACCGGTTGCTACTCCATAAAGCATTCTATGCGCTGCGTAGTGTTTATTATTATGAGAGAAGGCCAATTTCGGTCGATCTTTTTCAAGTGTTTGTAGTTGCCAGTAACCTCGGTGCAAGTCGAAATTTGATATAAAGCACGAGTTTTCGTTAGATAGGCGTTTTCCAATCTCGTAGAAAATTTGCTGCATAGCTGGAAGTGGATATCTGTCTTTGATAAGAAGGTTGTTAAGGTTTCTTGCATCAGCAGAGACTCTAAAAGTACCATCGGCCTTTTTGAGTACCAGTAGGGGCACGTTATTCGGTGATTGCGTTTCTCCAATTACATCGAGTGATTTCCAAACTTCGAATTGTGAATCAACTACTGGTTGCAGATGAATTGCGATAGGGCGCGGTGGTTGATGAGTTGTTGCTTGCTCATCATGGAAAGGCATTGAGAATCGATATCCATGGATTTTACCGAGATCAGTATCACCCATAGAATATGAAAGGCGATATTTACAATTAAGCGCGAAAAGTTTTTGTTTTTGTTCTTCGGTAGTCTGTCCGTAAGAGCCAATCTCCGGTTTGAAGTTGATTTGAGCGGCTTTTTGACTTCGAATTTTTTGAAATTTTTTTAATGATTTTTTTTCGTTTTTGTCGTCATCGTCAATTTCTACAATTGCACTGACATTAACTTTTGTTTTTTCGTTGAGATTTGGATATACAGTCTTGATTCTTTTTTGATTGATGAGAATGAAATCGTTATCTGCACTGATTTGTAGATCATGAAGCTGGTCCAGTCCAAGAATGATTGGGCAACAGAGATTTTTGATGATAAGCGGCTTTGTTCTCAGAATTAGTGGACCATCCTGACTATTTATTTGCATAAAGAGCGGCGTTGAAAGAACATCAGGAGTTATGATCTGGTTGTTTGCGCAGTAGACTTGAAGCGTTGATTTTGTTGTTTTTCCAATAAACGGTAAAGACGAGTTTATACATGTTCGAGAACACGCTGTGTCCACGAGAGCAGGGTAGGTAAGATCGTTGATTTTCACGTTGATAAATTTGAGATTTTTCGGGCAAGTAAGATAATTCGGACATGACAGTTCTGTTTGACCTAGTCATAAGTTTTTCGCGTATTCTTGAACCGAAGCAGGCGCGTTTTCAAGGTCATGAATGTACTTGCATTTTGTTCCATATGAGCATTTTTGATCTCTCAAAAATTTCATGCAGTAACCTTGGGTTTTCTCCTGATCAATTGATGGACGTTTCTTTGCTGGTTGATTCTTTTTCTTACGGTCAGAATCCGCTTTTATCATCTTTTGCACAATTTCAGTCAGGCTTTCGATTTTCTTCTCAAGATTCTCATGAAGTGCAACTTGAGGAATTGCAAAGTTGACTTCTTTCTCCTTTGGAAGACTGCGTTGAAGTTCGTTTGCTCGACGTACTATGCTCTGCATGTTGAGTGATCCCTTTTCGCGTAAGAGGAGCTCTTGCAGTTTGTCATCTTGTGCTCGACAGAAACGTGAAATCAATAGTTCTTCATCTGTTCGTCGAAGCTCTGTTACATCATATCCTTGCTTGTAGTATGAGGACAGCTTCGCCATGCAAACTCCAAAAGAATCACTGCCACGCATGTAGTTCTCGAATTCGTGCTTGTAGTGATCACGTGTCTTTCCCAATGTTTCAAGAAGTCTCATTTTGAAGGAGTTCCAGTCGCAGAGTTCTTCGTTAGTGAGGGATTCTATTATGTGACTTCCCTCCTCTTCGGAAAGCAAACTGCTTAGAGCTACTGTGATAAGAGACTCGTCATCCAAATTAGAAACTCGGCCGTAGATTTCCATATTGCGAATCCATGCTGAAACAGGAAGGCTTGAATCGAATTTCGGGCTTTTGACCTTCACATTTGGTGTTTTAATTGGAGTGGACTTCGAAGTTTTCTTAGTGACACCTTTTCTTGATTCAGGAACACTTGATATTCGGATATCTGGCTCTCGGAAGGCACCAACAAGAAGTCGAATTTCTGCAGGAGAAACTTTTCCCGTGTCAACAAGTTTCTGGATGTTTAGGATGTCAGCAGTGAGTTCGTTTTCACTAAGTTGAGGCTTAGGTTCAACTAGCTCTTCCTTCTGCGCGCGATCATCCTGAGCATTTTGTTCGCGAAAGGCTGTAAGGAGAACTTCCAGCTCGTTCATTGAGATTTTTCCAGCATCAACGAGCTTGCTCACTTCTGAAATTGTTTGGTTGCTTTCGGGTGCAGTTTGATTTTGTCGAGGCTCCTCCTTTTTCACTGTCATTCCACTAGCTGATCTTACTCTTTCAATTGCGAAAATCAATCCATCATTTTCAGATTCGAGGAAGTTTTTCGCTTCTTCTGAATTTGCATTTTGCTGCGTTTCATTCATGGAAAGAAAGTCAACCAATGGATTTTTGAAAATAAAGATCGCTTTTTCAGTGCCAAGTCGACGCAACGGATTTCGGTCCGTTTGTTTGACAAGACTTGGATCTTTTTACAAGCTCGCTGAGCTCAGTTTTGAGATTTGCATCGATCATCTCTGCATCAAGGGTAAGTGGAACCCATTGCTCTTCGATGAGTTTTCTAGCTCTTTCCTTATCTATGATTTTCATTGTGAAACAGGATCTTCCCTCTGTGTAAAGGCAGCAGCTCTCTAGTAAGAATCTCTCGGCGGTGTTTGTTTTTATTCTTCGGGGAGTTTGGTTCGTTTCAAGACTCAGTCACCATTTGTAGTGGTTTTATGCATATAAAAACTACAAGGCGGTTGGTGTGAGCTTGATAAAAAGTGTATTGGTGTTTTTAGAAGTTTATAAAAGTGTGTCGTGTTGTGTGTTGTGTAAGGCAGAAGCAGGTTACTTATATAGTGCTTGTGTTCGCGTGAATAGAGCTTTAGTTCACGCGAACGAGTTGTAAGTAAGGGTGAATAAAAAGTATTCTTTGGCGGGCTATGTGTAGATGGAGATGAGTAACTTGTAGTTTGAGTTGAATTAGCAGTCTGTGCTGGGTAGAGTGACTTGCGCTGTAGTGGCGGTGAGTGTACTCGTCGCGGCGGCGAGAGCGTTCGTGCGCGCGGGTGAATATTTCACGCGGACGGATTTGTATTTCAGCTTGGCGCTTTAACAAGAGAGAATTTTTGTTTTTATATAAGTGTAAAACTACTACATAGCATAATGAAATCCTTATTTTATATTTTAAGATTGAAGATTGAGGCTTTATCTCAGTGATACCCTTATTTTTGTTTGTTTTGAAAAGTAGGCGAATGTCATAATCTTATTTCTGAAATCAGATTTGCTGAGAAATTGAAGATTATTAAAAGAAATAAGGGTGTCATCTCGTAAACTGCGGGTCGCTTCTCTCTTATCATTCGATTCTAGTACGAAGATCCTCTCAAGATCTCTGACGGAAATTTGACAGTGACTGACTTCAGCTGCGGGAATTTGAAATTGACTCTGGCCGATCACTTCAGCTACAGTCACGATTTATGCCACTTTTACACCGATTATCAGCCACTGTTGCGGGAAGAAACGCCGAAAATCGTCCTCGATACGCTGGATCAAATTAAAAAGAAGGAAAATAAGGATAAGCTCCGCGGTAAAAAGAGAGACAAGATAATTTGTTTTATTTTTTTTGTCTTTTAGAATTGAAGAAAGATCTCCCGCCGAAATCAGCATCGGACGGCTTCGCGGATCTGGAGATAATAAAAGCCGACTTCAATCCGTCGAATTTCAACGATTTGATGAAAAAAATGAAGCTCGACAATATTATCGAAGGCGACCCAGAATGCACTTCCGAAACTGGCGACGACTGTAAAAATGATTGAAACTGTATCAAAGCAATAATCCTTAATGTTTGCTGAGAAAAAAATATACATAGAAAGTAACCTCCTCATTGATTTTTCAAATCGGGAGGGGATCCCTTAAGCTCAACGGGAGACTGATTGAGGACTTTATGTCACTTTTTCTTCAAATAAGAAACATATTTTAGCATTTTTCGTCTATCAAAAATAACAGTGAATGGTCTATAAAAGTATTTTATTTGGTTGTCTTTACAGTTTGTACAGTAGTTGTTGTTGTTTTTATAATCGATTCAGAATTGTACTTTTTGTACTTTCGCGAAAACTCGACTCTTTGTGATTAACTCTTACGTTATACGCGTTTTTCTTTTTTAGGTTTGGTTTAGGCTAGGGTCGCAGAAACACCCTTCCGGTAGGCATTTGGAACGCGCGAAATTATGCCCGATTTTCGGTTCTTTTTTGGCATTTTTCTGTTCCAAATCGCGGCCTACTTTTGGGTTCAAAAGGCGGCAGTTGTGGCTATTTACAAGAAAAAATCATAGTTACATACGTTAAATAGTAGAATTAGGGTCGCAAAAATATCAAAAACAAAAAAGGATGAAAATAAAATAAAAGGGGAAATAATAAATAAATCGCTAAAACTCGGAGATTCTAGCTTTTTGAACGAACTTTCAGAAACATTTTTAAATAGAAAAAAAATAAGGAAAAAAGGCACTTTTAGGGATTTTTAGGGAAATTTTAAATTTCAAAATTTGTGTAGTCGTTATTTTTAGAGTTGAAATTGGTAAGAAGAAAAAATTGGCTGCGAATTTTTAGAATTAGAATTTTAGATTCGGAAAGGAGTGAACCTATAACACTGTGAATGAAGAGTAGAAAGGTGATAAGGATGGTTGCTTTTTGGTTTTTGATTTCGACTTCGATTCTGAAATCAAGGAGGAGAACGCCGTTTTCAGCAAGAGACGGGGGAGCCGGAGCCGAGTCCGCTAAGCGACGAGATGTGCTTCAAATTGATGGCGAATGGGTCGGAGTCGAGGCCGAAGAGGGAGCCCATTGCTTGGATGCGCTCCTGGATGTCCTGGGGCTGGAGGCTGTTGAGCGACTGGAGCATCAAGGCCTGCGCCTCGGCCGAAGCCTGGAAGTTCAAAAGGTCTTCGGAGGAGATTTTGCAGATCGAGTCGCGGTGCTCCGAAGAAGCGCGGCTGTTGGGCGAGCTGGCGCCGCTGTCGAAGGAGACGTTCGTCGGCGAGTTCATGCCGCCGTGGTTAGCGCTCACGTGGGAGAGGGGAGCGGCCTCGTCGTCAGCGTGGTAGACCGGCGTTGCTGGTGGAGCGTCGTAGAGAGGATCGGAGCCAATCGAGCTCAACGGGTTGATCGCACTAGGCATTGTTTTAAAATTATTTTTGACTAATTATTCTTAAAAAAATCCTAGTCTTTGTAATTTTTGTAGAAATTTCCATGAAAAAATTGCTAAAAATATCGATTTTGACGAAAATCGAATATTTTTAATCAATAAGAAAAAAAAATTTATCAAAGTTACCCTTAATTTTTTGATCGCCGGTTAATTTTTAAAGGTCTAAAGTTTAGAGTCTAAACTATTTATAAATTATATTTGACGAAGAAAAAAAAACTCGGTTTTCGAGATTTTTTGGTCAGGAGACACCCCCACTTCAACCCTAATTTTTGAAAAATTTCAAAGATCGTCAAATTTTTCATACAAGCAACTTGCTCTGATGATGGAATTTCTGTTCCGAAAACGTTAAGCCTGCAATAAACGAACTCATTTATCTCCAGATGTCATTTAACGATTCAAACCAATAAATCACAAGAGAACTTTTTCAAATGAATAGTCATTATCATATTTTAGTAATTTATTTTAACATTTTAACAGGCAAATTCCTCAAGTAAAATTCAACGGGTTAAATATTCTGTAAGTTTTTGTTAATGTTTTTTTTTTCATAAAATACCCCCGAGGGGTGTTAAAATAGTCAGTTTTTTCGTTAAAGAAATCAGTTGAAATGAATTGAATTCGTATTTGAAAAATACTTTTCTTCTTTCAGGTACTTCGAGCGACCGGTACGTAAGTATCTCAGCGCTCTTTCTTCATCACCATTGTAGACTGTAGCAGCGTATATTACTTTTCCTTTTTCAAACCCCTTCTAAATCGCAAAATTAAAGAGTAATTTCTCATTATTATTGATATTAAATTTTACCGCTTTTAAATTTTCGATTGCAGTTGCTATCGCAGGCTTGTAACTCAAAGTGATTGAATAAGCTTGAGGAAGAAGATACCATGTTCCACTCTTCATGCTGAAGTTTTCATTTACTAATCTTCCTAGGACCATGCCGTTATCAGCACAAAAAACAAAGTCCTTGTACAAAGCATAGGAATCTTCCATCATTTCGAAAGAAGCGTAGTATGGTTGGTCGAGTGGAATTTCGATTTGATTTTTGAAATTTTTAGATCCAGACTTCTTGATGAGAGTATTTTGGAGAACGTATTTATAGTTTTCAACTCGGTCGAGCAGCATTTGGTGTATCAAGACAGTTCCGTTGGGCCTCATAAAAGCGCCGGTGACTGTCAGCGGACGGATAAAGTTAAAATATTGGTGAAGTGGCACTTATCAATGAAAAGTTCTGGAAAACGAGTGATAATGTGACCTTACCTTGTTCAAAATCGAAATCAGCTCGTGATCGCTTTAATTCGTCGATCATGTCCCAGCCAGTTGGATGAAAATAAGTTTTGAACTTGAGTCTTTTGAGAAGCGTTTCGATTTCATTGTGTTGAAAAGACTGCTCTCCTTTTTTGGGATTGAGAGTCAATCCGGCCAAGCTGCGGGGATAAACAATCATTGTGATTGCTGTCAAAACTCTTTCTATAGTAAAAGATTCTTCCATTGTATCATCGTCTATACCCAAGTCATTTTTGAGTGCCCATCTGAGAAGAGTACTGACTGAAATTGGGACACAAAGATTCGTGTCTTTTTGGTCGACAATATTCTGCGTCAGATTATCAAAGTCTTTGTTCATTTGCTTCGTGTATTGAGCCTTCCAATACGCGACGTCTTTCGATGTCGTTAGATCTGAATCGAGAGCGTAATCAAATGAAGTGTCTTTCAAGGAAATTATTTCTGAAACGCTATTGATTTCTTCGATTGACGGGTTTTCTGAGAAGAACCATTCCGCCGTGCCAGACTAAAATAATAAGATTAAAGATATTATACAAGTCAATTCTTCGCTTTTTTATCGAAATATAGTACCTTGAGCTCTTTTTCGATTTCTAATCTTTTTTCCTCCGTTTCAATTGGCATAAACAAAAGACTCCAGGCGGTTTTCCAGTCACAAAGGGTCCAAATGTGCACTGGAAACTCAGGTGTTCCGCTACCACTGGCTCTACTGACCAACTGATGAATTTGCGTAAAAGCCGGTGTACCTGCCCCTAAAAAAATCGGAGGATTATTTTTTTCATGATATGAAAATTAAACCAACCAATGTATTGGGCCAAACTAAATTTGTCGCCTCTCCTTGTATAACCCATTTGTCGAAATTTCTCGCTTTTTGAGTCTACTTCGATGATGCCGAAATCTGTCCACACGGGTACAATACCAGAGTCTCCCTTTTTTAGGAGAACATTCTCCGGTTTCGCATCAAGATGTCGGATCCCTACGTCTTCCAAATAGTTTAATCCCTCCATGACTCCTTTTGCTATTTCTTTTCTCTCTTCTATTTTCAAACTGTTTCCTCTTAGCCGTGTTCTCAAATCACCATCACATTTCTCCATGACTGTTATCCAGCCAAGACAGTCCTGTTTCTCTATATCTTCCTTCAAGAAAATCTCAATATTTGAGAAATTCTTTATGACATTTTTATGAAACGGGATCGCACTGTCGTTTCCATATTTGTTTTCTGCAACTTCGCAGTCTGAATTTTTATTTTTCTAGCTTCGAAGTTCAATTAATTAAATTACCTCCTGAAAGATGAATTTTAAAATGGAGCTCATCCGAGTTCTTAATTAATCGCTCATTATTCGAAGCTTCTGGAAACTCCTTCGTAAAAAGGGCCGGATCGAAACATTGGACTCGAATGGCGACATCCAACTTCCCAAAAGTTTCGTTTAAGATAATTGCTTCTCCGCCAGCTTTTATTTTTTTCTCCTCCAAAGTCGGATCAAGAATCCATTCTCCCTCTTCTCTTTTTAACTTCGATCGCTCAAGTTTTTTTCCTTTTAAATCTGGATTTCGCTCAAGAATTTTCTTTTGAAATTTAGTGACAGTCCACTTTTCTGGAGGGAAATCAATTTTGCCTTCTCCATCCTCAAAAGTAACCTCTTTCCATTTACCACCATAAACATCTTCAATCTCCATTCTCTCGACGGACAAGATAAGTCTGTCCAAATCGTCCCTCGTTGTTTTTCTCTTCAAAAGCATATGAAAACCGTCAAGCCAGTTCTTAATGACCTCTTTTGTCAATTCTTCTGGATGCCCCGTTACCTTCGGCATTTTCGAAAAGTTATATTTTCTTACAAAGTTTTCTGAGAGCTAACTCTTCTGAATAATGTGTTGCCGGGTCAGATGAGAATCCGTGCGCTGCATCGTTAAAAAAAGTAGTTAAAAAGTCGTATTTCAGCATTTTTTATCACAGAAAAGCTCTCGATGGCATTTTTCAAATCGGGAGGGGATCCCTTAAGCTCAACTGAAGACCGATTGAGGACTTTATGTCAATTTTTCTTGAAATAAGAAACATATTTTAGCATTTTTTGTCAATCAAAAATAACAGTGAATAGTCTATAAAAGTATTTTATTTGGTTGTCTTTACAGTTTGTACAGTAGTTGTTGTTGTTTTTATAATCGATTCAGAATTGTACTTTTTGTACTTTCGCGAAAACTCGACTCTTTGTGTTTAACTCTTACGTTATACGCGTTTTTCTTTTTTAGGTTTGGTTTAGGCTAGGGTCGCAGAAACACCCTTTCGGTAGGCATTTGGAACGCGCGAAATTATGCCCGATTTTCGGTTCTTTTTTGGCATTTTTCTGTTCCAAATCGCGGCCTACTTTTGGGTTCAAAAGGCGGCAGTTGTGGCTATTTACAAGAAAAAATCATAGTTACATACGTTAAATAGTAGAATTAGGGTCGCAAAAATATCAAAAACAAAAAAGGATGAAAATAAAATAAAAGGGGAAATAATAAATAAATCGCTAAAACTCGGAGATTCTAGCTTTTTTGAACGAACTTTCAGAAACATTTTTAAATAGAAAAAAAAAATAAAGAAAAAAGGCACTTTTAGGGGTTTTCAGAATTCGGAAATTTTAAATTTCAAAATTTGTGTAGTCGTTATTTTTAGAGTTGAAATTGGTAAGAAGAAAAAATTGGCTGCGAATTTTAGAATTAGAATTAGAATTTTAGATTCGGAAAGGAGTGAACCTATAACACTGTGAATGAAGAGTAGAAAGGTGATAAGGATGGTTGTTTTTTGGTTTTTGATTTCGACTTCGATTCTGAAATCAAGGAGGAGAACGTTTCAAATCGCCGTTTTCAGCAAGAGACGGGGGAGCCGGAGCCGAGTCCGCTGAGCGACGAGATGTGCTTCAAATTGATGGCGAATGGGTCGGAGTCGAGGCCGAAGAGGGAGCCCATTGCTTGGATGCGCTCCTGGATGTCCTGGGGCTGGAGGCTGTTGAGCGACTGGAGCATCAAGGCCTGCGCCTCGGCCGAAGCCTGGAAGTTCAAAAGGTCTTCGGAGGAGATTTTGCAGATCGAGTCGCGGTGCTCGGAAGAAGCGCGGCTGTTGGGCGAGCTGGCGCCGCTGTCGAAGGAGACGTTCGTCGGCGAGTTCATGCCACCGTGATTCGCGCTCACGTGGGAGAGGGAGCGGCCTCGTCGTCAGCGTGGTAGACCGGCGTGGCTGGTGGCGCGTCGTAGAGAGGATCGGAGCCAATCGAGCTCAGCGGGTTGATCGAGTGCGAGGAAGCGGACTGCGGCGCCAGGAACGAGTTCAACTGCGAGATGTTCTGCTTCATTTGATTCAAACTGTGCTCCATGATCTGGTTCTGAGCGTAGGCTTGGAGAGACTGCTGGTACTGGGCGGCTTGTTGCGCCGCCTTCAGCTAGAATTTTGATGTTAGTTTCACTGTAGCTCAATTTTTAGGCGCAAAAAAGTGGTTTTCACTTGCAAAATCGAAAATGAAAGTGCTGATGTTTTTACCTGAAGAGATTGTCTTGGCGACATCTGTGGGCTTTGACTGACAGTAGGACTCGTTCGCGAGTTAGGCGACTGTTCTGGGGAGCTAATCTTAGGACTACTATTCGGTGAGCTGCCGACCGAGCTGCTCTGGGCGGGTCGAACTCGTCTGCTCGTCGAAAACTGCTCCAGCGCGGTGGTGCGAACGCAGTGGTTGGTGTATCGCTTCGACAACTTGGCGGCGGCTAAAAAAGTGTTAAACAAAAAAGTTTAAGTTTCGCCGTCAAAAAATGAAATGAAATGAATTCGTGAAATCTCAAAATATTTTTCGACAAAAGCATCGTCTCAAGTAAGCCCGGGCGGAGGCAGTGAAAGTGAACGCTCGGGAGAATCAAGCTGTTGTGGAAATTGTGCCCCAGCAGCTGGTTTTCTGTGGAGGTGGTGGTGTCCGGCCTTGGTCGGTGTCAGTTCACGCTTTTCCAAAACTCGGACACCGCCACCAAGCGCACAGAAACGCTTGCGATTTTCCCAAAGAGCGAAAACAACGAGGAGTGGCTACACTGGTCCCCGGGCCTCCTATCTAGACGAAATACCACATCGCAGGGATCTCTGGAGTCTCCCACGATGTCGTATGGAATGATGTGTTTTGTGAGTTTTGTGAGCGGGTAGAAACCAGAAATATTGGCCATCATTTGCTGCAGAGCCTTCTCTCCGATCGGCGCCTTGCCGTACCACATGGGCGAGTCGGGGTCGCCTTGCGTCGGGGCTGTTGGAAGAGACGCGGCTGGAGTGGGTGCAATTTCATCAGGTAAAGTTGGTAAGACTTTACTGGACAGAGATCGCCTCCAGTCTCGTACATTCGAACCTAGAAAGAAATCTGTTAGAATCCATCAAAACATATCAATTCAGAGCTACGAAAGGCTTAGCAACCTGTATTGAAATCCTGAGTCAGGGTTTAAAAACTTACGTCGTCAATTTCGCCCCGATTCTGATGCGGTCGCCCTCGAGAAACGTATGCTCTTCCAGATGCATCTCTGTAAATCTACAAAAAACAACAGTTAGTTGACTGTAAGTTGGATTTTTCGGCTTTACCTCGAATGAAGATTTGAGAAGTTTTTCTTGGCTTTCTGATCCTTTGTGGCAGAAATGAAGTGTGATTTCGAACCAGACCTGGAAAAGGAAGAAGTTAGCGGGATAGTGAGGGGGATTTGTTACCTTTCTGAGGAGGGAAAGAGGATTAGACGTGCCGAGGACGCCTGAGTCGTACATTCTTCGAAGATCGCCAATGCTGATCGGTTGCTTGTGCGTGATTGTTCGGCCGATGCCCTTCAAGAGCTTGAGTTGCTTCTCCAGTCGCTCGTTTGAAGTTCGGAATCGCTCGTCAGTCACGATGTCGAAGGGGACACAGTATGGCTTTCCTGAAAAGAAACAAGTTAAGAAACGATCGAACTCAAAGAAAGAAGATTTTTGGTGAAGAATTTTGTCAAAAATTTCGTTTGAATTTGAAATTTTGACCTTCAAAATTCAGAAAAGACAGTTGATGAAAGATTCATTTGATGATACAAAATAAGGGTTTCACTACAATAAAGACTGTTTCGATGAAAAACGGCTAAAATCGGGATAGTGTCTAGAACCGACAAAAGAATTTTGACAAAATTTGCGTGGGCGGCTACTCGGCTTCTGATTGGCCGATGGACCGAATCTAGGCTTCTGATTGGTTGACAATTTCCACACAAAATTTGTCGAAATTTTTGTCGGTTCCAGACACCTCCCCTTGAAATCGCCGAAATTGGCATTCAAACTGCTCATCGATTCTTGTTCTTTTCTGTTACCTTTGAGATGCTTGTTGATCATGGCTCGAAGGTTGAAAAGCGAGTTTCTTCCGTAGTAATCGCCGTTTGACTTTCTGACCTCTGACCAGAACTTGGCGAGGATGTTGTTGAGCTCATCTGGCGGCAGGTTTTCGAAGTCTGACTGCTCTCCATTTTCAATTGCCCAGGCTGAAAGATTATGTAAGATTTATGTTTTATGAAAATATTTGAGAAAGAAAAGAAAGTTAGGTCCTTAAGTTATTTTGGGCCAAAGAAAGAAGCCGAGATTTGGGGGCTGAGGCGAGTAATTGTCATTCAAATGAGTCCAGTTATCTCATCCAAGTGTGGTGAGTGCTCAGGGGGCGCGCGAGAGCAACACCTCCGTGCTTAATTGAAGAAATCGCAAGAAGGTTCCAGGAAGCCGCCCGAGCGATACAACCCTTTTCTTAGAACACAAACTCGGCGAAAATTTTTGATAATCAAAGTCAAAATTTGTCGATTTTTATCCGCCGAGAGGAGTAATTATAGGTATGAAGTGAGAATATTCAAGAAACCGTAAAACGGAACAAAAAGCATTTTTATTTCATACTGTGGATTAATCCTTCCCGGTCTCATGAATAAAATAATCCTTAATTTTAGGCTCATCCAGATTTAAATCCTAATTTCATTCAATTCTATTACTAATTTTGTTCAACAGATTTTTTCAGCCGAAAAATAGAATATCTCATCCTCGCCTTGAAAACCTGAGTCAGGTTCTGAACAGCTCAAATAAAAAGCCGCACAGCGGCTTCTTTAAAAATATAGCCGCAAATCGATCTTTATGGCTCCGATTTTTAAAGAAAAAATTCTTGTTGTATTGTGTTAGTGTCACGAAAAAATGTTTGAACTGTTTTTCGCGATATTTTTGTTGTTGGAATTTCGCAATCACTCAAATTTCCGCGAAGACGGTGGTGGCAGCGAGGTTCCCTTCAGAGAGCAGCGGCGCCACGTTGCGCCAAACGTGTCTAAGTAAAACTGAGGCTAGTAGCCCTCTTTTAGCGCGCGCGAAGGCGTCTCCACCATCCGCCGCTGCTCCTGCATGGCGCAAGCGCTTATCACCACACTCGCAAGCGTCTCCCGCAGCGGCTCCCGAGCGGGAGACTCGTCTAAGAAGAAAAGAAGCGGGGAGGAGGAGGGCCGAGCTCGTGGGAAAAAATGCTTTCGTAAAGAATTTGTTAATATATAAATTAAACGAAGAAGATGATCGAACGGATGAATAATTCCATTATTCAGAATTCATACTATCTTCAAATCGGAAACGCTATGGATGGGGAAATTTAGTCTGAAGATTACCTCTTCACAGAAAGAAGAATACGAGCTATTTTACTATATCTATACGGATTTTGAGATTAATTAAGGGGATGCACCTCGTTAATTTTCGCGCTAAAAATTGCCCTTTTTTAAGAGAACATTAAGGCTCTCCCTCTTTAAATTTGCAGAAATCATGAAATGATCAATAAGGATAGGTAGCCCCTTAAATTTCGGTTACATAAGTTACCCGTTTAAAATTAAGGGTAGCTCTAAGAAAAAAGGAAGAAAGAGCTGCTACCGCGCGGGGGGTTGTAAATTACATCCCCTGCTGAGCTGGACCGCTATCAGTCTTGGCCCAGCGCCATGACATCACTTGTTATCGCATTACACCATATTTGGAACGAGAGCCTTAACCCTGCTCTGAACGTGAAGCGAAAAAAACGAAAGGCAATTGAATTTCTTCGAAAAAGAAGAAAAAAAACTTGACCGAGGGAAAATTGACCTAATCAACAAAAACAAAGAGGGCGCGTGATTAGACATTTTCAGCATGGTTTTTCCACAATAGCGAAAAACTAGCGCCAAAATAGCAAAAACAGTGCGAGTGGTCATGGTCAGGAAGAGGCGCTAAAAGAAGCCAGGTGCTTTGCTAAACCAAAATCACTCTGATTGACAAATCCCGGGTTTGACCTCGAACCTGACGGTGCGAAACTGAAACGAGGGAAAAATCCTGTTTTTGTTAATTACCAAAGTCAAGGGGGGCGGAGGAACGGTTGGCTGAGCAGCTCACTAAGCCTGACTGTAGCTGACTGTATGTTTGACGTTCGGACATGAACAACCGGGTCACCAGGGAAAACCAAAACACACAAATAACGGAAATAATAGCAGAAATAGAAATTCCAAATATCGTAAAAATTCCCAGCCCTTTTTGAAAATTAGTAAGTTAAAAAAAAGTAGCGCTTTTAAAAATTAACTGAGCTGACGTCAATTTTGATTCTCGCCATTAAAATTTCAGAGCGCGACAACCGAACGGTTGAGCTGTCTAAATCAGCATTCTTTCTTTCTTTCTATTTTTCTATTCGAAAAATTGAATAATTTGATCTGGCTTTACCTTTGAGTACTTTGACGCCCCACTTTTCGTTGTACGCTGTTTTCTTGGATCCAGTGCGTTCGGCTTCCGGCGAGCTGGAATGGTTGCTGTAGTAGCTGTCGGAAAGCTGGCCAGATGTTTCGGGCGAGGAAAGGGCGGGCAGAGGCATCCCCATTTGTAAACTTTCAGTGGCTTCTTGCTTGATCGAAAGGAGAGGAGTTGTGTCGGGGAAAGTGGCGGACTCGGGCGAGCTGGCTCCGGCATCGGAGTTTAAACCCGTGGAAATGCCACTGTCGTCATCCTGAGAAAAAAATGATGGTTTTGGCGATTTGCGCAAGCATGGGTTTCCGAGAGGAAAAAAAACTGCTTTGGTACCTTTGATTTGCTAGTTCCAGCTTCGATCTTGAGAGCTTGGCTTTGGATGAACAGATCATCGAGGTGGATGGAATCTGTGTCGAGAAAGCTCGGATCCGGCATACCGCCTATCCAATTGTTGTAATTCATCCTGTCTTGCTTCGTCTGTTCCTAGTTCAAGTTGTTAGGCCAAATCTCTTCCGACTCTTTTTTTTTCTCTTCTATAATCAAAAAAAGCAATCTCTGATAAAACTTACTGTTCGATCGACTTTTGGTGGCACAAGAATTTAATTTAATTCAGGTAGCAGCTGTTTTGATTTAGTAGGGTCGGTTATCTGTTAGCGCTTCTTCGGTAAAAGGATTCTCTTAGACTCACTTTGAGTTTGCTTTTTGCTTTTTGAGTTGTATAAAAAAAAGGGTGAAGATAAAAATTCAAGAAGCTGCTGTTTGCTTCTTACGTAAAGGACTACTTGTCGGACTTTAGGGTTTAGCGGCTGCGACGGGCGGGTATGGTCACGGCGGGGTGGGCTCAGCAGCGCCGCGCTCGTTCTAGCACCAGCGCGAGCGCGCGGCAGTGTTCCCGGTAAGCGAGCCTCGCCGCCCAGATACAGCACCAAACCACACCAACCGAGCCGACCAAAAGAAGAGCCTTCTTGTGCTATACACATAAGACCCTTCTCCCTGAAAATCCACCGTAAGAAACATCGCCATTTCTTGCTCTATCTTCTTTCCAATCAACGTTTTAATTAATTTCCTTCATCGTCATTTTTGTTGGATCATTTTTGCTAAGAAGGGGGTTCTTCTTCGCTGCGATTCTAGCAACGGAGTTTATCCGAAAGACAGCTGTTTGTAGCGGCGTGGAATTAGACGACCAGTCGAAAATAAGTCCCAAGCCCGGATTTTTCATCATTTTTTTCTGTTTTCAGCAGCTTTTGAAGAATTTCTTCGATAAAAAAAAGGATGATGGAAGTATTGATGATGGAAAAAAGGGAGTTTTTCGGGTGTAGGGCGGCCACGGTACAAATTTGTACCGCCGTTACAAATTTGTACCGCCGGTACAAAAATTTTTGTACCGCCGGTACAAGCTAAAAATAAAATCCGAGAAAAAGTGTGCGCTTCGCGCTAGAATTGGAGGAAACTCCTTATTGGTATAGCTAAGGTAGAGTTCTGTCCAAAAATGAGCATTATTTTGGGTAAAAATCGTTTTTTATTGTCAAAAAAATCATCATTTTTTGTACCGGCGGTACAAAATTTGTACCCGCGGTACAAAATTTGTACCCGCGGTACAAATTTCACTTTTGTACCGTGGCCGCCCGCCCCCCAGTTTTTCTTCAAAAAAAATGAGCTAAATTTCGGATTTTTGATGATGAACTTTTTTGGAATAAGAAAAAGAAAGAAGGTTGCCTTTTTGGCGGAAATTTGAATTGTTCCGTGGTGCTGGCTCCACATCCGACAGTATATTCGACAGTACATGACGAAGTGATTAAGCAGCAGCGCTGGCAGCAGCAAATTGAAATTGATGAAGGAATCGAACGGTTGGGTTAAAAGGGCGAATAGTGGGATTAGCGTAGCTTTCCAGCGTTATTGGTTAAATCCAGATAATCGAGTTAGACCCGAGACAGTCAGGTTAGAGTCGAAGGACCTCCAGATCAGCATCTTTGATTACCTCAGCAACGTGGGCTCATTACAAAAAGGAGAAAGAGAGGAAAAAGTGTTTCGAAGAAAAGAAAACGACCATTCTGAAGGGACCAAAAAATGGATATATCCACTCTTGGGGGTCAAAAAAAGGAGTAAAAAAAGAAAGCCCCAGACGAAAAAAAGTGTTTTCTAAGAAAAAGTGACTGTAAATTGATCTTCGAAGAGAGTGTATGTACAGAAATGAGACTCCATCGTTGCTGAAACCGTAGCCAGCCTGGGTAAGCCAAGAAACTTGCTTCATGAGTACCCCCTTATTCGCAATTGCTTTTCCAGATGCTACGAATTTGAATCAAGAATATGCCAATTACTGTCCATTCTTCCCCTGTCAGTTAATTGATAATGGCCGGAAATAACGGTTAATTAGGGAATCGACTTCGATCAGATCAGCTTTTGCGATCGGCGATCAGGGGCTGGAATCGTCCTTCCCAGTGGTAACAACCGCTCGTTTCACAGTCGCTGCTCGATGTACGATTATTGCCCCTCTGGTAAAAAAAATTGAGAAAGTCAATCACTCTGACTTGATGGGAAGCATTCAAGTTTATTGCACTCGCTCTTTTCAAGTCTGTACTTTTTATGGCAATGATCAAATGATGATAATCAGAAATTGAAGAAAAAGGGAAGTTAATGACCATGAAGGTAATGTATCGCGCGCTTGAATCAGTGTTCGCCGCTTTCATTCTTCTCAGCTTCCGGCTGAATCTGGGTCGATTTGAAGGATTGACGTTTTTTTTCATGCTACAGTGGCAAAAGCAGTAGGCCACTTCCGTCTCGGGGGATAACTTGACTTTGAAAACCAATACAAGCAGTGAGGTGCTTCTGTTGTTTCAAAAGAATTCTAGGAAAAATTCTAGGATTTCTTTAAAAAATTTAAATTCTTGCTCACTTAGACGCTAAATAAGGGTTTCACTTTTCTATCGATAAAATGAAATAAGGGTGTCACTATGTTAACTATCAAAGAAACACCCACTTTTTCGCCTATATGTAACTTTTTTCTCAAAAGAAAAAAATTATTTATTAAGATTTTTCTTTGAAAGTTAACATAGTGGCACCCTTATTTTATTTTACAAATAAAAAACTGAAACCCTTATTTAGTTAACAAATTCAGGTTTTCGAGCAGAAATGAGCATGATTGCTTTAAATTTGAGAAGATAAATAAGGGTTTCACTTATCTATCGATAAAATAAAATAAGGGTATCACTATGTTAACTTTGAAAGAAAAACCCAGTTATGTCATATTTTCAAAACAAAAATTCTTTTGAAAAGTAAGATTTTTCTTTGAAAGTTAACATAGTGACACCCTTATTTTATTTACCAATGAAAAGCCGAAACCCTTATTTACGCCAGAACATCAAGTTTCCTAGCAAAAATAGCCATGATTGCTAGAATTTGATTTGATTCGCATCTTTTTTGTTCTATTTTTTAAATGATCGTCGCGGACTCGTGAAAAATGAACGAGTCGGCGGGTGGGTACTGGCTGCATTATAGATGCGCTCGCCACGTTCAGACAAACTTAAAATTTAGCTATTCAAGCAGCTGAGATGAATTTTTGACTGAGCAGTAGCTGGCCCTACTCAAACATTAATTTTGTTCAACATGCTCAACGTGGCCGCTCACTCGAGCTCATCAAAAATTATATTTACATTGCCTCGCGCCTTAAAATTAATCAGCAGAAAATATTACCGGAGCACTTGTTGTTCGCCAAATGTTAATAAAAGACACCTGTTTTCAGACTCTTCAGGTGCTCGTTTTAAGGGGTATCTCCCGAAAAACAAGGATTTTTCTTCGTTCTTTTTTTGGTAAAGTTTTCATAGTTGCACCCTTATTTTGCTTCATCAATTTAATGAAATTAGTGTCTTCTAGTGTTGGGCTCAGGAACCTGCGTAGAAACCTGAGTCAGGGTCCTAAAAGATCTCCACGTCTTTTATTTAAGCCTTTTCCGGACCCTGACTCAGGTTTCTACACAGGTTGCCAAGCCCAGTTCTACCCCCTTAAATCTTACTGGAGAAAAGGTTTTTTAAGGGCCAGTCGCCCTAATGTGTATTCTTCTGAAAATGCGTCTTAAGGTGCCTGGCCCCTTAAAATAATATTTTCAACAAGATGTATTTATATATCGACAATGAGGCACGAACGCTAGAATCAACTGTTTTGTCAATTGCGCAAATGATGTTTCAAAAACTGCCCAACTTTTATTTCATTTTATCAAATGCATAACCAAATGCCCTTTTTTTGCTTCTAGTTTTTAAATTGAATAATTCTCAATTTAAAATTGGAGAAAATGCGTTGTTTCAAAACAAAGATTATTTTGTAAAAGCCGCCGTTTTCGTTATGTCGGTATGTAAATAGAAAATAGACCAGAAGAGTCAGAGTTGCTGTTTTGGAACTTTCAGAGCTGGGTTCGGCCACCTGTGTAGAAACCTGAGTCAGGGTCTTTAAAGAGCTACTCAGCTCTTTTCCGAATCCTGACTCAGGTTTTCTGCATTGGCTGCCGAGCCAGGCTCAGTAACCTGTGTAGAAAAACCTGAGTCAGGGTCTTTAGAGACCTATGCGCTTTTAGGATCCTGACTCAGGTTCCTGACTCGGCAACCTGAGTAGAAAAACCTGAATTAGGATCCTGAAAGAACTTCGCGGCTTTCAGGATCCTGACTCAGGTTTTCTTCACAGGTTGTCGAGCTCAGTTTCAAACTTTCGGAAATTGATATTTCCATTTGAAACTTTCAAATTGCAAATTTCACTCGTCGAAATTCCGGAAAGCTGTCATAAAGTCAGTCAAGGCCGCTCAACCGGAAATCTATTTAGAGCTGCTTCTGCGAACCCAGCTGGCCGTGGATTTGGCCCTTTCCTGTTTTTTTTTCTACTGTGTCCCACTGTGTGAGCATGAACGACAGTTGTATACAGTCACGTGAGACACGATTTTTGTGATTTAAAAAATGTACTCATTTGGCAAAAAATCATTTGGTGGGACATTTGCCTTGTCAACGAATAATGGAGATTTAACGGAAATCCGTTGACATTTTGCCTCATAAACAGACAAATTCGATTGATGGAGCTACACTCTCTTGCTGTTTTAGACCACCTTGGCCTCGTGATCTGGGCTCGGCAGCCTGTGTTGAAAACCTGAGTCAGGGTCTGAAAGAGCTGAAACGAAAAGCCGCTTTCAGACCCTGACTCAGGTTTTCTACACAGGCTGCCGAGCCCAGCTCGTGATAGAGGAAAGAAGGAAAGAAAGAATGGAAAGCCCGTATAAAAATTCTTTACTAAAAACTCGAGAAATTTTCTTTTGAAATTTCAAAAAATAAAGTTTCTGAAAAATCGAAAATCTGAAAATTCGTCACGTTTACCAAAAAGTGTTTTCAGTGGATTCTGCTCGTTCTTTTTAATGTTGTGTTTTCTTTGGCGATGATCGGGTGACTACGGGTGGCCTTGTGCACGTAAGCTCATCTGTGCGTTGCATAAGCTAGCGCCGCGGTGCTGTACCGTCCGACCCTCTCAAGTCTGGTCCCCGCCGAGCTAGGGAGTGCCAGGCTGACCGGGCGGTTGGGTTTCTTCTGATTCTGTACCTCCACCTCATTCGGGCAAAAAATAACTCTTTTTATATCTTCTACCTTATAGTTACGTACAGAATCACATCTTCTTTTGGACTTTGAAGAGAAATAGTAAAAACACTGACTTTCTGTAAATGAGAAAAAATAAGGGTGTACCTATCTTAACTTTTGGCAAAAGAGCCTGATGCGAAATTGAGCCTTGTTTAGGGCTACACCCTTAACTTGTACTCGTTGGAAGTAGAAGTCGACAGAATATCGTTGTATTTTTATTTGAATAAAAAAAGTCTCACTGTGGGAGAAAATTTTTAACGCTACTTTTTCGAAAAACTATTGCTAAAATCATCATTTGCTAAAAAAGAGGTTGATAATAAAATGAAATTAAAACTGTTTTTCGCTTAATTTTGAATTAAAAGAACAGTAATTCAAGTTACAAGAATGAGGAAACTGGGATTCTAGTGCTGATTTGGATCTTTTCTGAATACAAACTAAGCGAATAAATTTAAGTTTTGAAAAACCGTCACTAGAAATGAAAAAGTTAGGAAGGGGGTACGCGTTTTTGGATATTTCACTGTATCGATAGTTAGTATAGTGACACCCTTAAAATAATATCTTAAGAAAGATAAGGGCAAATCTTACGAAAAATTAGGGAGAAAAGTTAACCTTAGTTAGGGTTATCAATCGAGGCAGTTTCTTTATCAAAAATTATTCGCAAAACTATTTTTATCGGCCACTATTTTTTATCATTTACGACAAAGTTGTTTTCGAAAAGTTCGCAATTTCAAATTTGCACTGGCAAAAGGTCAAACTCGCTGTTTTTTCAATCCGAGTGGTAAAAATAAACGCCTTCTGAAAGTTTTTTCTCGTATTGGCGATTTGAGCGGGAGCACCCTAGTCGGTGGTGGAGCGGTGTATGTATTGTGCTGCAGGTGTGCGGTAGCGACGCTTCTTGAATTGAAGAATTCACGTTCGCCACCACCAGCTACTCTAAGAAGTGAACGATCATTTAGACGCTACCGAACCCACGTTACTCCACCAAATTGCGCCACAGCACCATACCGCGGTACTACTGCACCGCCATGTACTCCACTTTCATGCTTTCGCCAATGGGAAGCGCGCTGCAGATATAACCAAAGTCACATAATTGGTAATCCCTTCCTGGAAGTAGCGCGCTCAAGTACTGTAGACCCCAACTCTTCCTAATTCCCGAAATACCGTATCTCTCCTCAATAGGTAACTCGACCAAGAAATCTTGAAATCATGGAAGACAAAAGCGAAAACTTAGAGCTAGGTCCATCTTTCTTTTTCATTTTTGTCGAAATTTAACGAAGTGACATCCTTAAGTTTGGACAAATAAAGGTGTATGAACCTCTATCTACGTCATCCCTTTGAAATAAAGATGGTGATACCCTTAATTTTTGATTCCCTTAAAAAAGAAATAACTGAAAATAAAAACCTCATTTTCGTATTAAGAAATAAGGGTCTCATAATGTTATCCTATCGAAAATTATCTCCCCAGTATAACTCCAATTTAACGTACTCTACACCCTTAATTTTGGGTTATATCACTCGATATAAGCTCAGATTCATTATTACTATGAAAAATATGGGTATCACTAATATAATGTCAACCCTGAAAGAAAAAGGCTTGAAATAAGGATGTGTGCCCAGAAAACCGATTGATTTCAGCTTTCAGTCACACGAGTTTTTTCGTTGCTTGGTGGTTATTATTTTTATTAGATAATAAATATAGACATTAGAGAGTTGATTGTTGATCTGTTGATTTTAGAGAGTTGTTGCCTTCTGTTCATTCGCTTTCGGGAGACAAAGCCAAGACCTTAGCCAGAGCGTCTTCGCCGAAAATTCGGCAGATGTCATCTCGAGTAGCCTTTGAGGCGCGTACGTTGTCGATGCTACAAGAAAAATGCTTAATTTCTAATTTGAAGACGCTGAAAATTAAGTCGAAAAAGGAAGTTCATGATACGTATTTGGAGTCGACAACCTGTGCAAAAACCTGAGTCAGGGCTAGGCAGTTTTGTCAGCTCTGACTCAGGTCCGTGACTCAGGTTCTTACACAGGTTCTCGACTCAGAAACATATGTTTGATAGCCTATGTAACAATCCTGAGTCAGGGTTTGAAGACCCTGACTCAGGATTTATACTCAGGTTACGGAGCATAGATTTCTAGTAAAAATGATTTCTATATGAAAATGGAAGATTCTTTAGAAAAAAACTCCTTTGGGAAATGGCGGAAGAGGATTATTTAATTATCTCAGAATCTGAGACTCAGATGATCTGTTTACATCTCATCATATCCTGTAAATCTGAAGTACTTTTTATTCAGCGGATTAAGCGTCAGAAGAGAATCTGCGCGATTTGAGGTGACTTACGTAGAGACGGAAGTAGACGGCAAGATACAGTTTGAGCTACGTCGAGTGATGTTGGTAGCCGAGATGGGGACCACGTCCAAAATGCAGTGGTACTCGTCTTCGTTCCCGTGGACGGTCATCGTCAAAAAGTCCTGACAAGATAGGGTTAGGGATTAACGGTACTCGCCATTGGGCTCGGAAATCTGCTTGGACCCTGAGTCAGGTTTTGAGGGCTTAGATGGGAAGCCGCTTTGCTCTTCAGAACCTGACTCAGGTTTTCTACACTGGTTCCGAACAGAATCACCATGAATTATTTTAGGAGCTAGCAGGGCAGTCAAAACCCGATTTTCTAGGAAATTTAATAAGGGCGTCACTATGTTATTCCCCTTTTAGGCTGGCGACAAAGGTAACCAATCAGCGGCATTGATGAAAATATTCGTTGTCCCACTATCCCGCTGTAGCCTTTAAAAATTCGCCGTTACCTTCGAAGGAGCAGGAGCAACAGAAGAAAATCGGACGACTTCCTCACTTTGTCGAATCTTCAAAACGCTCGTCGAGCTGGACAACTCAGTCACAGAGTCAAAACCAGAAATCTGATCGTTTCTAAAATTTCAAATACCGTTTTTATTCTTGGCTAAGATTTCGAAGTTTTGCTTACGCTTTTTATTAGGCTTAGCAATTAAAAAATACAAAATCAAATAGATTCCAATTTTTTTAATTTAAAAAAAATAAGTCGAAAAATGATTTGAATTTTCCTGTTTTATTAGGGTTAGATCCTTATTGAGACTCACCCTGGTTTAGATTTTATACTATGTTCTTTTCTAACTACTGTCTGCTCTGTCTGCTTGAAAAGAAGCTGCTAAACCCTATCCTTGTCGGTCCATGTTTTCGCTGAGCCCTCTCGATAATCAAATGCACACCACTCATAAGGAAACAAAGGACACACTTTGTTCTAGAATCAACTCACCAAAATCCAAACAGAGCTGATTGGGTTGAAAATCCCTCATATTTTTGTCGCTCTTCATCTTTTATCTTCATCAATTGATCGCAAACTGTTGCGATGCATATTTAATTAAGAATAGTCAGTTTTTCGCAATTGGCATCTGGATAATCCAGGGATCGAAGAAGAGAGTATCGGAAAAAATGATCACAGACCACGAAAATGCAAAGCCACAAATAATGAAATACATGGAAAAAGTGGACGAAGCTTTAGGGACGCTCCTGTCTTTTCTGCTAGAATTAACAAAGAGACACCCTTATTTTAACATATGAAAATAAGGCTCGATCCTTTATTTTTAGTTTTCGATGTGTATACCCTTAAAATTTTTAAGTCAGAAAACTCAATCTTTGCTTTCGTATGAAAAATAAGGGTGTCCCTTTGTTATTCAACATGAAAAAACAGATGCCACTGCGCTAGGCTCGGCAATCAGTGTTAAAAACCTGAGTCAGGTACTGAAATTTTTAGTAAGAGTAGTGGCTTTCGTTGAAAACTAGAGCTGTTTCAGCTGTTTCAACCCTGACTCAGGTTTATAGGCAGGTTGCCGAACCAAGACCAGAAAAGACTGATTTTAGTCCGATGCCGCTACAGTGTATTATGCTTAGGATTATCCCGGGCTCTTTTTCTTTCGAGATAGCAAGTATCGGATATTTAAAAATATGATCGGCAACCGCATATCCGCAAATAAAAACGCAGGAGGACGATGAGCTGCGGCCCGGGGCACTGCGCAAAAGTGTCTCATCATTATCGACCAGCTCAGCTTGGCTCTTTCGCATATTTTTGACATTTTCGAACGGGCCATTTACACCCATACAGTTTCTTTTTAAACAAGAGCGTGTTTTTATATTTTTGAGAAGTTCAAGACGACTAATTTTCAACCCACAGGTACTTCCTTTTTGTTAAAAAATGAGGGAAATCGTAGAATCTGGTAATTCTATCAACTTATTTTTTTCAATAAAATTAGGTTTTTCATCAAGTTGTTGAATGTTGCTTACTTTCATCAAAGCGGACCAATCAGGGACAAGATGGAAAATTCGTTATCGAAGGAAACCTCTGTAGAAAAAGAAGACTCGGTTATTTACAACCCTCTTTTTTCTTACAGAGGCATCTCCCTGATTGGTCAGGTCTACGTTAAAAATCCGTTATTTAACGGAAATCAAAAAGAAATTTCTTTGGATCGATTATTTTTCCGACCTGAATTTCAAGGCATATTAAAAGTAATATTCTCCTTTGCGGGTGAAAAATGAAACTGTTCCAGCTGAGAAGCCAACCGTGCCGGATTGAATACGGCAAAATAAAACGCCACCAACGAGAAAAGAAAAGAGGAGCAGCTTCCTTTTGAAATATTTATTCAAAAAGTAGGAATTGGCGAATTTTTGAACGACGAAATTTCAAAATTTCAAAATTTCAGGTTGCTTTTTTCAACGACGAATTCCGGTGAGAAATTTTTTCATTTAAGAGATTCCCGATTTGCGAGCTCGTAAGCGCGTTTTTAAGAGACTCTCAGGCAGAGTTTATACCGGAGGCGAATCAGCGTGCCTTTTTTATGACCTCAGCGAGGTCAAGTTTGCTTTTTCTCAAACAAGCCCTGTTCAATCTCATTCTCTCCTCTCTCTCTTCTTTCCAGACAAGATAAAAAAAATGTATGCTGAGCAGAGACATTTTTAATGGGCAAAGACCGGCCCAAGGGCTTCCTAATCGAATTCAATAACAATTCATTTCTAGTGCTCCTGAGCCACAAGTCGAAAGACAGAGAAGAAATAAAACAAAGAAAAATGGAGAGTTCCGGACCAGAGAGTGAGTTACAAGGCCAGTCATTTGGAGATAGCGCCACGGAACTGAGAGATTTTGTTAAGGGATTCATTCTACTAAAGACACAAAATTAGAAATACCTGCTAGTAGAAAATCCCTTGTTTCAGTACTGGTAAACATGAACGACGACTATTTGTTGAACAAGCCAACTCACAATCCATACAAAAGTAAGTCGATTTTACTGTGCTACTATAACTGTACAGTCAAGGGTGGCAAGTTGGATATCCTTATTGCGGGAAAAAGTGGAAATTTCTAAAATTTTCGACCCATTTACTCAGCCTGGGATCAAAAACCTGTGAAAAAACCCTGAGTCAGGGTCCACGTAGCAGTTTTTTTTAACAAAAACGGGAACTACACCTCTTTTGGGACCCTGACTCAGGTTTTCTACACAGGTTTCTGAACCCAGCCTCTAGCACTGACTGTTTCAAAAAGACTATTCTTCTTACTGTAACTGTGTATTTCTAGAGCCCGGACTGCTCGAGAGCTTCGGCAAAGCTTGCAACTGAAGAATTGCACTGAAGATTTGTACTGATCGAACAAAAAATTTGCGATTTGAAAAACTGAAAAAATAAAGCTGTTGCTGAAAGTTGTGCTGATCTTTGCTAGAAGAGCGGCGTTGCGCTCAGTGTTTTATTTTGGGATAACTTGGCCGTGGCTCCGCGGTCGAAAGCAAAAACAAATTATCTCAGCATGCAAAAAATTGATCACTCGCAGCATCAGCAGAATCGCCAAAAATAAACGGAATAAATAGACTCGCAAAGTGACCTTATTCTCCAGCGCGTTTAAAAGTTCACCCACTCTTCTTTACTACTCTAGCTGGCCAGTATCACCGCTGACTTTGCTTCAAATCATCACGATTTTTGGAACTCAGTCAAGACTGAACTCGAGCGAAAGGAGCTTGATATTTGGGTGCCGTTGACTGTCAAATTCCAAAGTTAGCATTCTATCGACCAAGGCGGTGTCCTTGTTGATTTCAAAGGAACAAACGTTGATCAGAGATTTATTTCGAATTTTCAATATATGTAGAAAACTTTAATGACATTTACAATGGACATAGTACTGGCAGCGCCTGGATTGCCCATTTTCCCGGTTTACCCACATCCCGTTTTGCCCATTTTCCTTGATTGCCCATTGTGGGCAAAACGGGAAGATGTGCGTACCGGGATTTCTGTGCAAATCAGGATTTGCAAAGCAAATTTGAAATTTGAATTCTAAAATGAGATGAAAATCATAGGGGAAAGAGGAATTCGTGAGCTCTGCATCTGGCGGGTGACCAAAATGGCCAGACCAAGCGGTTGACAGGCCAGACTGCCCTTCTCCGCAAGGAACTGAGAGTCTCGGTGGGAAATTGCGGAGTTACCGCGCAAATTCCTGATAACAAGGGTGTTCCGATGGTCGGGCAGGGATGTAAATCACCCCACCCCAGCCACCCCACCCTAACACCACCCCAACATTTCAACTTCGCCGTGAGAACCAACCCACCCCACCCTGAGAAAATTGAGGTGCTTCCGTGACCACCCCACCCCACCTCAAAAATATCAAGGTGATATGCAAGCACCCCACCCTCGAGGTGGGGTGGTTAGGGTAATTTACAACCCTGCTTCGGGGTGGATCCCCACAAGGCTCTTTGAATGAATAAATAAGGTTTTTGTTGAGGCGTCAATAAACGATTACCATCAGTGTCGAATTTTTTTATTGACGTCGTAATCATTAATTCGTCGTTTTCAATTACAACTTTCTCGAGAGAAATTTCGTTTTTCGAGCAATGAAAACTTCAAATTTTCTTTTTCTATTTTTCGTTGATGTTCTTTTTGCACAGGAAAGTTTTCTCAAGTTGAATAAGCAAAGGCGAGTTTTACAAAAAGAGAACGCTTTGAAAAGTACTCGAACAGTTGCAGATGCGAAGATGATCCTCTTCTCGGCGATTTGGAGAACAAAGTCGATTACTTGACGAGGAAGTTGACTCGTCTTTCGCGAATGCGAGCGACTAGCTCTGGAAGACAGGGCCTTGGCGGTCAACGAGGGCCTGCTGGAGCGCCAGGAAAGTTACTTGAAAAGAACCGCGATTTTTGAGTGAGTAAATTTTGAGTTCATCAAACTAGTGGTGCATTCGACAATGTTGAGAACAATTGTTACGAAAACTGGAAAAGCCGCTAGCGGCTTCAAAAAACCAAGCCGCAAAACGCGGCTTTCTCGAAGTCGTGAGTGGCTTCTCAAGTTTATAAAACGAATGTTTTGAGCATTGTGGAAAGTGCTTATGATTTGATTAACTCCAAATTTAATCATTCTAAAATGACGATCGTGGTAATTATTTAATATTTTGAAAATATTTTCAGGACGCGATGGAGCAAGCGGGAGACATGGAGATTCAGGCGCAAAGGGAGAAAAGGGCATGCCGGGGCAACGAGGCGATCGAGGACCGAAAGGGTTCGCTGGCAAAGACGGAGAGCCCGGGCCAGCTGGCGCAAAAGGAAATCCTGGCTTTCCAGGGCGAGAAGGACGCGACGGCGACTACGGAGACAGAGGAGTCAAAGGACCGATTGGTCAAAAGGTTCTCTTAATAAATCGTTAACCTTCTCTCGAATCCCTTTGTTCAGGGTTATGTTGGGCGAAAAGGTGAAAAGGGATACCCCGGCGACGATGGAACTGACGGTAAAATCGGACCACCGGGACTGGAAGGCGCACCAGGAAGAGATGGGCTACCTGGACAACACTTTTCCGAGCCCGAGTTTTTTGTACAGGGCACTAACTTCAACGAGTAACCTTTTCTCTGCCGCAAAGTCTGCAATTATATTTTAAAAGCTTTGGAATAAAAAAAACAGTTTCTTTTTTTCAATTTTCTGTGCCTCAAAATCTGCAATCATTGCCTTGGCAGAAAACAAGCTTTGGAATTAATAAAGAACTGAAAACAACAAAGAGAACCACGAAAAAGAGTCCATTTTTCTTTGAGTCCTTTTTAATTAAATTAACTTTTGACTCGCTACAACCTTAAAATATTTCAACACAAAAATAAAAACTCAACGAGATTATCCAAGTCTCGATTTCGTAGATCATTTAAGTGTTTATTCTTTGGCGGTATAAATAGTTTTTGAAGAAGTTGACGATGAAGAATATAACGAGTAAAAGAAAGATGAAGAAATCGCGAACTTTGCAGCTTTTAGCATCTGGTTTCGTAAAGGCCGCTCTTGCCGATGTAGCGGACCCATTTGACGACGTCGGTGTCCGAGTAGTTGAGCTTCGATTCGAAGACTTTGAGATAGCGAACCTTGAGTCCGGAGGGAGAAAAGGGAACCTCGAAGTTCATCGAAATCGGCGGCCGGGAGCACTTCTTCTCCGAAGTCGGAAGAAGCTCGATTTCGGCAGACATTTGATTGTCCTTCATGCCCGCCATTCGCTAAAATTACAAAGTTTCAAGTGCTCAAGATGAAATCAGAAAAAAATACCTTCATTTTCCAAATGATCGCGTTTTCGGCCGCCTTATACTTGGCTTTTCCTTTCATACAGAGCAGCTGAACAGAAGCTGTGTTCTTTGGCGTGGGGATTTTGATCTCGATTTTCTGTCCAAAGAGGCCGGCCGCGAATTGAGACTTGACGACGATTCGGACTTCCATCTTCTGGCGGGAGATCTCGCGAACCATCGGGATCACTTTGAACGGCAGAAACACGTCCTGGAAAATGCTGCTTAGGCTCTCAACTTCAAAGAAAAAAAACTTACCTTCGTGGTTCTATACTTCATCAGGTCGAACTCGCCGTCGGGAGGAATGAAAGAAACTGCCTTTTCGGTGTGCAACTTCGAGAGTCGAACGCATTGATGGAAAGTGCAGTCGTCGATGGCGATCGCGCCCACTTTCTTGTCGTCTTTGTGGAAGTCGCTTGTCTGAAATCGGAATTTGAAAAAGCGGCTTGAAAGCTTTGCCTACCGTATTGTCGGGTTTGCTGTCGCCGACTATTTTGTCGTTCATGCCGAATTTGCACTCTGGCATGCCGGACAAGTAGCTCTTCATCGCGATTCGGCCCGCCACGTGCGAGGAAAGCACCTTTCCGCCCTGGCTCATCAGCAAATTCACGCTCTCCAGGACGTCGAGGAAGATTTCGTTTCGACGGTATTTTATGCCTTCGCGACGCCAGCCCACTTGGCCCGTCACTGCCGAAGTCACGTGAGACGGTTCCTTGCTGGGCGAGCGTGAACGCAACGAAGTGATGCCGAAGTCTTCCATCGCCGCCTACAATCGAAATGGATCGATTCCAGCTGCTGAAAGTACCTTTAGCCCAGCATGAGTGTTGACGACTCCCTTGAGTGCGCCAAGCTCCGCCTGTTGAGGGTAGCCGTAGTCGAGTACTTCGTCCAGCAGCTCGTAGAGTACGACGAAATTATTCTTGACGTGTTCCTCGTTCACTTTGCTCATGATCCCTAAATTTGTGGATGTATTTGAAAAAAAAATAAATGTTATTAATAAAAAAAATTAAATAATTTTATAAATTATTAATAATAATTTATAAAAGATATTAATAATAAATTAATTTCAAAAAAATAAAATTAATTTTATAATAATTAATATAAATATATTCTATTTCCTGTGATAGTGTTATCTAGAGCTACCTTTCATTGCGATAAGGATTTTATTGAGAAGCGTAAAGATCATCGCCACATTTGCGTTCGTCCTCGTCGCCGCCACGATCCAGATGTTGTTGAACTTGATGTACATGAAGGAAGTCCTGGCGATGTTGACGATGGGGGAGCGCACCGCTGAGCGGGAGTGCACCACTGAAACCCTAAAAATCAAGTCGATTTTTCAAGTGCAAAATTTAAAATTTGTTACCTGAATGCATCAATGTGGCCCCTATTCAAGTCCTGTCTGTAGAGGCGAGAAAGGAGAACTTCTCCTTTATGATTGTAAATGAACAATCCTCCGATCATCCTCTGAAACACGAAAATATAGGAGTTTTAAACTACAAGCGAAAGATAAAGAAGGGCGAGTTAGAAACAGATTTTCTGAGAAGAAGTGAAGATTGGCCTGGAGCTTTGGATAAGAAAGCGAATATCACGATTTCCGGTCGTTAGCCAGCTTCATTTTTTTTTCGAAGTCGTAGTTCTCGATCCTCCCCGCTGGGCTCTGCGCAAACACTTGATACACTAGCGACTTTTTACAGATTGTGTTGTTTCGGAGCAATCGATATTCGAATAGCCTAAAACACTCGTGTCCAATTGGATCTGCAAAGACCGCGCCCCAAAGATCAATTCCTTCCCCTTTTCAATAAAAATACCTGTCAACGACAAAACGCCGCTCTAGATCTAACCTAGGTTAGAGCAGTTTAAATTTGAACCTTCAACTTCTACGAGACTTACTGCCCTGGATATTGCCACCAAAAAATCTTAACAACTGATGGAATTTTCAAAATTGATTTTACAAAGCATATACTTAAAGAAGCACTTCGGAAATCTCCATCTGAAAAAAGAAGCAAAGAATAACAACTTTGATTTCCAAGAATAGCATGAAATACTTTTCCTTCAAGAAACACAAGCGATGCGAAAAGAAAGAGAAGATGAACTCTTCCATGATTTCACCCCTGTCAAAAACAGGCACCAAGGACAGCGAGCTCGATAGTGGCAAAGACGAAGCGCAGAGAAGACCCAGCAAATCATCGTCGAAGGGCTAGCAACAAATTTACTCCAGGTATTTTCTCATCTGGGCTTGGCAACCTGCGTAGAAAACCTGAGTCAGGGTCTGAAAGGGCTAAAATGAAATATTGCGTAAGCTTCTCGAAGCCTAACTCAGGTTTTCTGCACAGGTTGCCAATCACAATTTCTTATTATCTGGTCCCGGTCGATGTTAAGTGTTTCTAGTGGCTCTTATAAACAGATACAAATCTATCGTCTCGAATAGAACATAATTTTTGCGAATAAATGCTGCCCTGCCTCGTTTTCAACAACAGATGATCCTCGTGCTTTTTTTATGCATGAGAATCATCTCTTTTTCTTTTTTTCTTTGTTTTGAATTTTTGCTTAATTTATTTTCATCACAAGTGAGTGGTTCAGGGATCTTCATCATTTATTGAATTTCCGCAGCTGAAAGACAATCTTGCTTACAATTGTTAGTAAGACGCTTTTACCTGTGTCAAAGTGACTTTATAGATTGATAGGCAAGCTTGGAGGATCTGAAGCGACCGATTTGTTTTCGTTCTGAGCTTGAAAATCTCATCTTCCGTCTCTAATCTGTCCAATAAGCATGCGTTGGGACCATCTATAGCCTCCACTCTGCAAGGTCGCTGTATTGGACGTGGATCTTTTCTATTTTCGAGAATACCTTCGAGCTTAAGGTATTTTATAGACTCACAAATTACCAGCTTCTCAAACTTACTTGAATGATTCTCTTCTCAATAAAACTTATTGCTTCATGTCGATCACGATCGTGGTGCTTGCGAGCAAGGTCGAGAGCGCAATCATCGAAAGCACACTGGACAAGATCTGACCGTAAAAAACAAAAAACTGTCTATACATAGAGAATTTACGCTTTTATACCTTTATCATCAGAAGAAGAGGAATCATCTTGCTTGGCTTTCTTCTCTGGACGTTTATTGGTTTCCTCTTTGATTTCCTCTTGCTGGGAACCCATCAACAAATTCTCTTAGTTTTCGCGTTTTCTCAAATAATAAAAATTATTTGTGAGTTTTCCTGGTGGGACAGGGCTTTTTATACATCGATATTGACATGAAAAAGTTTTTTTCCAGCCGAATTCCCCGGTTCTTTTCTGACACAACTCGTTGTTTTTTTGTTGTGGACTCGCTTTGCTCATCTCCAAATAAGGAAAGGAGATTCGCCGCACCTGCGAGAAGATCCCGCTAAAAAATCACCGCAAAAGTCTGCAAAATAAGGAGGTCTCTTCCATGATTTCACCCCCTTGAAAAACAGCTTCGGCACCAAGGAGTCCTTGGCAAGGACAGCGAGCTCGATAGTGGCAAAAACGAAAAGCAGAGAAGAGCCAACAAATCATCGTCGAAGGGCTAGCAACAAATTTACTCCAGGCATTCTCTCATCTGGGCTTGGCAACCTGCGTAGAAAACCTGAGTTAGCGTCTGAAAGGGCTAAAATGAAAAGCTGCGTAAGCTTCTCGAAACCTAACTCATGTTTTCTGCACAGGTTGTAGATCCCAGTTTATCATAATCTGGTCCCGGTCGATGTTAAGTGTTTCTAGTGGCTCTTATAAACAGATACAAAGCTATCGTCTCAAACAGATCGTTATTTTTGCGAATAAATGCTGCCTCAATTTCAACAACAAATGATCCTCGTTCTTTTTATGCACGAGAATCAGCTCTTTTTCTTTATTTCTTTTTTTTTGAATTTTTGCTTAATTTATTTTCATCACAAGTGAGTGGTTGGCCGTTAACAGGTTGAAGAAACAATGAAGAAATTTAAACTACAAGCATAAGATAAAGAAGGGCAGGATAGAAACAGATTTTTTGAAAAGGAAATGAATGCTGGAACTTTGAATAAAAAAAAAACTCCCAAAGAAGAAATAAGCGATTTCCGGTCGAGTGAGGGAATCAGTTGGGGATGCAGTTTTTAAAATTGTACAGTAAAATACAGAATGAAGTGAACTCACGAGGCGACTGTCGAGACTGGATTCAGAAACCCTTGCGAGGGCGTAAACAGCGAGGCAGACTTCCACTTGACCAGCCAGGAGATCAAATAGGCGAAGAAGACCGAGATGACGCCGACTGAGAGGATGATGTTCTCGCTCGTCGGCGACTGCTTCAGGAATAGTCTTCCTTCGGCGAGGCCGCCGTTCCATTCTGAGAAAGATCGATTAAATTTTTTCTCGCAAATATTGCTTTTTTGTTTCTAGTGCTCAAGTTAAAACCTCGATTTCGCTAGAACGATTCCGTTCGAGAACTTCGTAGCAAACAAGGCATTTAATAATTCAACTAGGCTGATAATTGAAAGTGAACTCACGTGATTCGCTCCAAAGAGAGAAGCCAGCTTCATTCTTCTCGAAGTCGTAGTTCTCGATCCTCCCCGCTGGGCTCTGCGCAAACACTTGATACACTGGCGACTTTTTGCAGATTGTGTTGTTTCGGAGCAATCGATATTCGAATAGCCTAAAAAGCTCGTGTCCAGTTGGATCTGCATAGACCCAAAGATCCTCGAATAAAAATACCTGTCAACAACGCCGCTCTGGATGTTTTCTTGAGAGCACTTTTCCCAGCAGTCGGTAACATTGCTCGAGTCGCATTCCACGTCTTCGCCCGTGAAGTAGATCATCGTATTCGTAAACACCTGAGAACACAAAATGTTATCAACTACGGCCGCTGGTTGAAATCAAGGAAGACTAATTTCCCCCAATTCAAAACGACAATCAAAGTTAATGCTCTTACGTCAAGCGGGACGGGTGGATTGCTTCCAGATACAGTCGAAGAAAAGTCGAATCGAGGAGGTCTCCAGTGGGGTAAAACCTGAGCGCCTAAACGAAGAGGATCAATGTCAATGAAGATACGACAGTTAAAAATTTCTAACCTGTAGTCGAAAACTTTCGCCCCGAAAACGTCGTGTTGAAAAGTGGCGAGATCAAGTCACATTGCTGGGGATTTCCGAGGAAACAACAGAAGAGTTCTTGAATTGTCTCTTCTGAGACGGAAAGGGATGAAAGCTCGTCCGGAGAAAATTCGGTTTCTTTTAGAGCGAGGTCGACAGCTGTTCGCGCCAAGGACGTCGCATAATTCGCTAGTTTCGCGCCTAAATTTTTGGAAATAAATCATCGAAAAAATCCTCTAAGTTGCTGACCTTCATTTTTGAACGAGTTGTCAGTGCAATAATCTGCCGAAAATCCGAAATTATTGAGGTCGTCAAGCATTGAGTTGTGGAACTTGTTGGTGAACTGGGTGTCGAAGTTGCCGACGTAGACGGATTTGGCGCTGAGTTCAGAGTCTTCCGTTGACGAATCAAAGAAGGCCTTCATCAGGGTTGATGGAAGTCCGTTGCTGCCAGATGCAGGCGAGAAGGAAAGCTCTGAATTTTGGCTCGAGAAAATAAAGCGATATCAAAAAAACGGCCCTCAATAGATATAATATATATACAAGATACTTGAATATGTTCAATTGCTAATTTCTAGAGCCGTTTTCTGGACTAGCTGCGTTGCGCGTGAATGCGTCCAAGACTTGTGAATCGACTACGCTTTCGCCGTGGAGGAAGAGATTTTCAGGATTGGCGTCCAGCTGTCCAAGCTCAATCAAATGTCGCAACGACTTGACTTTCAACTGGACGGGGCCGAGGTACTCGGAGATTTCTTTCTCGACAGTGTAGGATCCGTACGACTTTCGAATGCTCGAGTTTGGACCGCCAAGAACGCTTTCGCCGCTTTGAAACTTGACGGGGATTTTGTTGTAGTTCGCCATATCGAAAACCACCGAAGAGGACCCGATGTTCTTGAGCTCCTCGGCCGGAAGCGTCATCAACACAACATTTCTGCCGTAACTTTCCAGCTTGTCAACGAGGCCGCTTTCCTTGAGCGCCTTTCCGATCGCCAGTTGGATCATCATCGCGGCCGTGTGGGCGCCGACGCCGCTAGTGGTCGAGTGGAAAAAAGCGAGCGAGTCGGATCGCGTCACAATTGCCACTGTCGACTTTTCGGGGAGGGACTCGGGCTCGTTTCCGCCGTTCTGCCGCTTGGGAAACATCGAAAACGTGGCGTAGCCATTGTAGAGATCGCAGCGCGGAGAACTTGTCCCTTCAAGACCGGTGGATCGCTCGCTCAGGTCGCTGCGACGCTTGCAAGTCGGCGTGTCCACGGCGGCGCGCATGAACGTTGCCACCTGATACTGCAGCAGGGGATACTCGGTGTCGCTGTTGTACTTGAAGAAGTCGTCGCGCAGCTTCTCGACGATCGTCTCATTTTTGTAGAAAATCAGGGGGAAGGAATAATCGCGCCAGAAGATACCAGATCCTGAGGGATTCCACTCGTGGGTGCAAGTATCGCCGATGCCAGGGCAAACGTAGTCAGGAGAAAAGCTCTCGAGCTCGATTGAAGAGTTTCTTTTTTGGAGTGAAATCAAGGAAGAGACCTTGATGTTTATTTTTTTTTCAAGATTCCACTCTTTGCCTGTAAACAAGAAGCGCGGCAACTCCGAGGGATTTTTCAGAAGAAAGGACTTCAATATTTTTCTTGTTTAGGAGAGAGAGTTCAAGAAGAAAGACGTAGGGGGCGAAAAACTTTACTTTTTGCGCGTCGTTCAAATACTCGTCGAGTTTGGCTTGATCGTTGCCAAGGTAAATGAGCGTGCCGCTGTTGCCGGGTTCCTGGAGGCTTTGGCAGCCGATCTGGCCGGTTTGATTGAGCCGGCGAAAACAGAACGAGCGTTGCTGGTCATCGATCGTCAGATAGTCGTAGATAATGCTGTCCAGCTTCGAGTTGGGCACTTTTTTCGCGTCGCCGATGACGATTAAGGCTAACCAAAGAACATGCATTCTACTCTGAACACATTTATGCGATTTCTTCTAATTTGTTGTTTATTGCGGAAAGTTTACGAAACTCGGAACTGATTTAAAACGAAACGTGAATGTAAAAATGCTGGCTTGGAATTGGGATTTTCGAATATCATAGAAGATTTTGAAAGATATATTTTTTCAAACCGGAATAAAAAGTTGAGAAACGATGATTTGAAAAATAACAAAAATTGAAGGTTAAAGTCGGGTAAATCAGAATTCGCTGAGGACGTTTGGGATTGTCATGCAGGGATGTTCTTTTTCCATGACGAGTCGTTCGTAGCTCTTCAATTCGCCTGTGTTCTTCGGGTCAAGTTTGACTTTCTTCACGTCTGGCGCGTCTGCTTCCAAAAACGCTTTCGGGACTGCTTGTTTTTGACTGAAAAGCATTTCTTTAGCGACTTACCAAAAAACTAAACTTTACCTTTCCAGCTTTTTTCTTTCTTTTTCTTTTCTAGCCTTTTCTTCTGCTCGCTGCTGCTCGGCTGCCTGTTGCTCCAAAAATTCCTGAGAAATCAATTTTCGAAAGGTTTATGAATTTCTCCGTTTTACTTTGAATTCTTGCTCCTCTCTGGCCGAGGTCTGTCCAGGAGTGACGATGTTTCCTTCGACGAGATCTTCTTCCTCTTCCGAGCTGTCTGGCGATCTTGCCCGCTTTCTAGAGCGCGCTTTAGCGATGTGTTTTCCTGCCAAGACGTAATCGCGGTGTTTCAGCATCCGTTCGTCTTCAAATAATATATATAATATTGAATAATAATGAAAGCATAATTTTGGGGAGTACTGGCGAATTTTCGACTTTGCGCCTTGAAAAATTCGAGAAAACTCTCGAAGATCATTTTCCGCGATCAGGTCGTTTTTTAGATGGCAATCTTAACCGAAATCTCGAGCTTGAAAACGTTATTGCCTCCTAGTTAGCAGTGCAGAAAAAAAAAGAGGTTTAATTTACGATGAGCGAGAGACGAGCGATTAGCCTTCCCGCCTGCTTAGAGGACCTGCCACTCCCAGAGCCTGCATCAGAAGATGATGTTTTCGAAGAGCAGGCTCTGCGGAGCTGGGCTCGGCAAGAAGAGCAGGAAGAGCAGGAAGGAGCAAGGTAATGCGTATATAACTTATATAATATAAGCTATACTAATAAATAATATCATATTAGACTATCCGTCATTGAGGAAGAATCAGCCTCAGGAGTACATGTACTTCGAACAGATTCGCAGAATCTCACGATTCTCTCTTCATCGTCAGACTGTTCTTTCGTCTCGTTCGATCAAAGTAAGAATTTATTAAGTAAGAAATTATCTAAAATTATTTCGATTAGCTGCTGACGAAGATGACTTGGTTGTAGGAAAACGCTTGGATCCAATCGAAGAGAACCAAGGTAATACCATAGCATAAAAAAAAAATTTTTACTAAATATTCAGGCGACAAAAAAAACGAGGAGAACTCCAGCGATCCCGTCATCACCTCCTCCGCCGAAGCCGAAGCGAAAGAAAGCTCCGATGCAGCTCTTGTGCAAGCCTAATTGCCCAATAAAATTTATTTCATATTTGAACCGGGTCTTCTCTTGCAATAAGAAAGGCGCATACAAATCTTGAGAGAAACAGATAAAAACTTACATTCTTTGACGCGTTCGATTCCGGAGAATCCCTTTTTCGAGTATTTTCTGATTTTGTACAAGATGCGCTCTGTATAATGCTTGTTGAAGCCTTCTACCATTCTGCGCGTCCCCTTGTCTTCGGTGAGGCTCTCCACCGGCTCCCAGGTGCTCTGTTCATCTGGAAATCCTCTCCACTTGACTCTGTACTCGATGACTGGCTCATTGTCCGAGTCTTCTTCGCGGAAATCGGTGATCGCTTCCACTTCGAATTCTGTTTCAGAAGTCATTCTAGAGAGAAAAAGAAAACCTGAGTCAGGATCCTGACCTGATCTGTCTTGCAGCATTTTTGATTCTCAAATTTAAAAAAATAGAATATTGTTTATTTAGTTGAAGTAAGAAAATAGAAGATATGAATTCGGAGAGTGCAATTTTCAAGTACAAAAGTTCTGCATATTTTAATCTTTAGCTTTTCTGCTTTTCTTCCATGAGATGTGAGCGCGCCTCGGCAAGAACGCCCGTCGGATCGGCCAGTTTCAATTCGGGAATTTCGTACTCGAACGGCTTGTCAGCGCTGCTGTCGTTGACGCTCTTGATTTCGCCGCATTTCGAAGTGCCTTGGAACCAGCTGCCGACTAGAACGTGCCCGCGCGACTGAAAAAAATAAGAAAAGAGTACAGCTTGCCGAGCCCAGAGTCGAAGAATGCGAGGACTTACTCGAAGATGAAAGTTTCCGTTTCCGTGCTTGACTCCGTGTTCCCACTGTCCATCGTAGACGTCTCCATTTGAGAGATAAAGAGTTCCGCGGCCGTGTTCCTGGTCGTCCACCCAGCCGCCTTCGTAAATCGACCCGTCTGGAAAGAACATTTTTCCGAAGCCGTGGCGCTTGTCGCAGCTCCAGTTACCTTCGTAGTAGGACTCTACTTCGTGGCTAAACAAGCAAATTTAACCCCTCCCTTCGTAATACGCAAAAGGACCGACTCGTAGTAATAGATTCCGTTTCCGTGCTTCATGTCGTCCTGCCACTCGCCGTAGTAGATCGTTCTGTACTCCTTGCTCTTCGGATCCAGCAGCGCGTAGCTTCCCTTTCCAGCGCGCTTGTCCGCTTCCCAGAGCCCGTTGTACATCGCCTGTAAAATGAAATCAGCAACAGAAATAAAGGAGCTTTCTAACCTTTCCCTTGTGATAGTAATGCCGCCCCCGTCCGTGCCGCTTGTTGTCCTTCCACATTCCCCAGTATTCATCTCTGAACTCAAATTTATATTTTTACTAGAGCTTTTTCGGGACCCTGAAAAGAAGAAAGCGCACCTGTTTGTGTAATAAAATGTGCTCCTGTAACCATCCTTTTGCGCCTTTCGGTCCGATTCGTGCCACAGCGGCTCTGTATACGGCAGATTATGCTTCAAAAAGGGCATTCTAAAGCAAGAATCAAGTGTATCGTTGAAAGAATGAAGGATCGGAATTTGGAATTTTCAGCAGGAGCCGAGCACTGGAATATTAACGCGCTCAATCGGGCACATTCTGTTTTCATCTTCTGGAAAAGAATAAAATTTAACGTTTTTGAACTCGCGCATGTGCGGATTCATCGAATAAAACAACTCTTCTTGCGCCGCCATTTCGAACAGCTCGAACACGATGCCTTTGATTTTCAAAAAATCGTCGCTGAAATAACGTTATGGTCAGAATTGGGAAAGATGCTCCTACCGAGCGCATTTAAATCGATTGTTTGGACCCATTTCGCCCAGAATCGTGTTTCGTAAATATCCGCCAGGCTCTTGAGATTCACGATAACTGAAAAATGCAAGAGAAATTAGGCAGAATAAGGCAGGGTTCTGGGATCGGCAACCTGTTTAAAAAAAAAACGGAGTGAGAGTCTTGAAAGAATCAGATTGAGGATGTATGTTCGGCGAAGCCATTTCGCTGATTTCGCTCTTCCAAGATCCTGACTCAGGTTTGGTAAACAGGCTGCAGAGCCCAGGCAGGGCTTATTGAGATCGAGATGCCGCTTGCGGCTCCGAGGAATAAGGAAAAAAAAAGCCGCGCGAAGCTCAGATTGATTTATTGAAGCCGCAAGAATAAAAACATGCTACGCGCGGCTTTTCTACTTATTTAGGCTAGAAAATCTAGCTCGAATTTTGCAGCCCCTTGAAACAATAGAAGCTTACCCCATTCTGACGAAAAGAATCACGAAGAATCCGATATAATAATTAATTTTCCACTTTGTCGGCGCGTGCATATTCGTCGCTCCCACGATCATGCTCTGGTTTTCCTCTAGAATCGTCACGTAATCTCTCGTTTCTTCCTTTTTCGCGATCGAGTACTTTTCCGCGAATCGTTGAACAAAACTCGGCTCATAAGGGCGACTTGGCAGGTCCGAGACTGGCTTGGAGAAAATCCACCGTCTCGGAATAACACGCATCATTTTTATTCTAGAGAGTTTTCGATCTCGCAAGTCTGAAGTCTTCTGCTATTTCCTGGCTCTTTTTAAATACAGTTTTTTTCCTCTTTTGTGGACCCCAAGTTTGTGGACATTTTCTTCATTTTAAGGGGTTTCCGTGGGACACTATTGCAAAGATAATGTTCCAATTTTGTGGACATTTTCCCTGATAAGAAAATTTTAGAGGCAAAAATGGCATATTTTTTTCAAAAATCAAGGGTTATTTTCAAGAAATGAAGGACTAAAGCATTTAAATTTGTCGAAAAAAGATAAACATAAGCAAGAGAAAGGCGTTTCGAGGATGAAATTCGCCATTTTTCCATAAAAACTTATATTTGAAAAAATTTACATATACTACGGCGGGACATTTTTTTGGGAACCCTTGCCCACTTTTGTGGACATTTTTCCGAAAATTTGGGACAAAAAATGTCCACAAAAGTGGAAAATAACTGTATGAATACGACATGAGATAATGAGGGATATTTGCACATAAAGGAAGAATGATAAGTGAAGAACATGGGAACGATTTTTGAGAAATGACAGTATTTTTTTCAGAATCTTTTTTCTTCGAAATTCGAAATCAGAGGATGTCGGGCTCGGGCGCGGACAGTTGCGATGTGGCGGCGTTGAACTCTTAATCAAATTTGGTTATTTTCTCTAATGAAATAAGGGCGTTTATCTGCCTTCGGCAACCAAAGTAGAAAACCTGAGTCAGGTTCTACAAACCCCATTTTTTACCTGGAACATTGGAGCTACTATTTGTCGGCGCCGCGTTGAGATCGAGCTCTTGAGGGACGGAGTCTGGCAGAGAGATGCCTCGCGAGAGCTTGACAAAGTCATTCTCGAGACTTCTGAAGTAAGGCTGTCGGATAGCGGCGGTGAACTCTTCCTCGTTTCCTCCGTCGATTGCCTCGAACACTTCTGAAAAATGGAATTCGGATTGTTTTCCTGCGGCTGATTTTTAACCGTCAAGAACACGGGCGCTGTCGGTGGTGTCGTATCCGTGGATGATCGACTCGCCCTTTTGGTGGCTCTCCCTGGCCTCGCCTTCTTTCCCGATTTTCAAGTAGACGAGAATGAGGATCAAATGCGTTCGCGCAGCCGCTTCGTTCGATTTTGCTTCAAGTCGGAGCTCGCGTTCGCGCTCTAGCGTGCTTATTACCTCGTTGAATCGCCCCGCTCTCGACTTAAAAAAGGGAACACTCTCATTTTTACTTGCGTAAGAAACTGAGAAGCCGCTTGCGGCTTCGAGTCCGAGAAGATTACGCCGCGCAATGGACGCTTGTTTCTTTCTTTCTTGCTCGATTTCAAAGTGATCACTTGATTAGAATCAGAGTTTCCCTTTCCTGAAGACAGGCGACTCTGTTGAGCACATCTGCCGCTTCCCTGACGCGCCCGCCTTCCATTCTGTACATATTCGCCGCTTTCTGGTAGAACTCGATCGACGCGTCGGGCCTCTTTGGTTCGGCATGTTTCGCAGCGCGGATTAAAGTGTGGTAAGCTGTGTCTGGCTGTCCATTACTTCGGAACAGTTCAGCAGCTACAGAAGTATTTTTGTCACTAGCAATAGGCGGCTTGTTACCTTGATCAGCGTAAGCCAGGACTCCGTCGAGATCTTCCAAGTCGCGGCAGCAGCTCGAGGCTGAATCCAGCGCTTTTCCAGCGTTGAAATAAGAGCGGCGACTCTCGTTCATCGCCGCCACTTTGAGGTAGACTTCGATTGCTCGTTTGTATTCGGAAGCGTTCTTCAGCTGAATCGCGGCTAAATAACAGTTTTGGAAAAGGAAAAAGAATCGGAGATACCTTTCTCGTAAGCTTCGATCGCGGAGTCGACATCTGGCGAGAATTTGAGAGCGATGAAGCTCGTTTTCATGTGCTTCTCTGCCTCAGCGATGAGTCTTTCCGCCGCTTGGACCCGGTTCGCGCTCATAGCGCTCAGTTCAATCTAAAAATTTCTGATTGAATTTTTTCTGACAGAGCCGATTCTTGTAGGACTTATTTCAAGCATTTTTCTTTTAGTTTTTATTTGTGGCAGTTGAAACTGATAGACGACGGTTGATAGAAGTAAGGCAAAATTGTGAATATTACAATAGTATAGGCTTGGATTTGGGGTGACAGGAGGTGATCTGAAATGGGTTGGGAATCGGGATTGAAGATAGAAAAAGAATATTTGTAAGTGAAAATAGCAGGTGTTCGAAGTGAGCAGAGAACGATAAAAAAGGGTCATTATTCCTATGATGAAAAAGAGGAAGCTTTCAAAAACAATCTTCTTAGACGAAAATTTGGATCTCCATCAGGCCGGATGGTTTCCAAATAATGCGACCAATGTTGCATAAGGTGAGACACAATCCTGTCTCCGGCACTTTGCAAACGTCTTTCACAAAGCCCTCAGAACGCAGCTTTTCTAAAAAATTCATAAATAAAATAGATGTAATGGCATGTTGTTGAAGATTACCTATCTCAACAATTGGTCTTGTAACAATGCAACCATTTACTGGTCTAGTAAGAGAAGGCATCGCTTGACCCATCTCCTCCAAGTGATTGATGAGGGCCTTAAAAGACACTGTCTTAAATTTTCCTTCCGCTTGGTTGAATTGCAGAATCAAATCCTCTTCCATATAAATTTCCTCGTCGATCGGAAGCTTGAAAAAGCAAATAACTTCGAGACCTATTTTTTCCGACAACAATCCATAGGCTGCAATTCTATGATCGTCATCATCGTCATTGAATGCGGCATCCCAAACAATCAATCCACAACGCTCATCGACCATTCCATATTCAGGAAAATCGAAAACTCCTGAAAGCTCGGGGAGATAGTAGCTTACTATCTTCTTCTTTGCTGGTATAATGAGAAAAGCAGCGCATCCACGAAAATTATCCAGGTCTTCATCGTCAACGAAACAGATTGTTAGTAGAAAATTGTGGCGGTCTAAAAAATGCAGATCACAAGAATCTACATCCTTTTCAGGTAATTTGATCGTTTCCTGCAAAATAATGTCCACGGATAATCTTGTGATGAGGGCAAAGTCGACACAAATGGTTCTTGCATCTTTTTTTCGCACAATTGGAAAGATGACATCGTCAAGAATCTTCCCATTACGACGCACGTCAGCTTGGTAGTATCCTTCTGGCTTCATAAATTCGCCTTCTCCAGTAAGGCTCTTTGGTTGCTCGTTCGGTTTTAGTAGATTGAAAAAATCAATCCTTTTCTCGCTCTCAAAAACGATGAGGAACGGCTCGTAGAGAACGCAAAGGACTCTTCTGCGGTAATTGATCGGAAGACGTAGCCTCTCGAGACGAATTTCAGGTGCTCGAACAATCTTGTGAACGTATACGTTTGGGAGGGTTCTCTGTTGCTCGTCCACACCATTGATCTTATGAAAAGTGACAATCCATGTACTCCCCATTTGACAAGTGTCATGTCTTGTTTCGAAGACTGCTTTTGGAACAGACTGATTTTTGGAGATCTTTTCTCGCTGGGCAGCAATCTTGACGATGTCGCTCAACGAGCTGGGCTCGCGATCGTATTTGACCAGAAACTCGTCTTTCAACAAGTCGATCACATAATCTTCCCGAGCCATCAATTCTAGGATCCAGTCGCATTGATGTGCCCCGAGCAAATGATCGAACGGGCCATGTTCGTTATCTTCGATCGGAAGAAGCTGACTTTTCGCCGACACATAATCGGTTCTCGTCATTCGATTGAAAATAAGTTCACCAAGAAGATTAGCGTTCGGGTGGTCTGAGATGGCATTGAGGGTTTTCTTTCGATTCGGGACATTCACATTTTTCTCGTACAGGGAATATAACTCTTCAAGGCTCATTCTAGAATATTTCGAGTACAGTTGATAATTCTGTTACATGAGGGCCAGCTCTGTAGGATCCTGAAGGAGCTTATACAAAAACACGCGCAAGGGTTCTCTATCCTAACTATCGAGCGGACAAACGGCCAATAGTCACACGCGGCTTCGTTTCGAAGCTCCATTAGGACCTTGACTCAGATTTCTACGCAGCTCGCCATTTCCAAAATATTCACAACTCTACAGTCTGCACCTGCATCAAAAAACAAGAAATGATTGAATTTATCAGAAGGCGTTTTATTTAATCATGGAACTGGAATCATTGAACTCGGCAAATAGCAAAAAGGGTTTTCGGTCTCGCGAATAAAGAAACATTTTTAGCAAGGTATTATTAAAGAAAAAGTGCTCACAGAAAAAGTAGAAAAAAGGGCCACATGGGTTTATCTGTGAATTACGGCAGTAAGGCCTTCTTCGGGGCTTCCGACCAAAAGCACGGTGAAACTCGTTTCGTTCTGGAAAGTGGCCACCATTTCGTCGGTCACGATCACTTTGATATCGTCTGAAAAGGAATTTAAGATTATTTGAACCCCTTTATTTCTCTGGAAGTCAAAATTTAAATCTAATTCATCAATTATGCTTCGGAAATCGAAAAGCCGCTTGAGACTTTGAGCAAAAAAGAATGAAAAAGCCGCGCTATGAGCTGCTCAATTTTGATTGACCCGAGCGGATTGTCGATTCTGAAAGTCTTATTGAGCTATCGAACTTTGGGTTTTTGTTGGAATCAAGGAGGACTCACTGTTGGATTGCGAGGCGGATTTGCGACGGTTGATGACGCGGTTGATCTGCGCCGGGTCGACTTGAGTGACCATCGCCAGGCACTCGGTCAGATTTTGCACAGTCGGAGCTTTCAGGAAAACCGGATAGTGGAGGTCTTCGTCCACTGTTCGAATGTAGAAACAGGTTACCGACTTTTCCGGCCCGTTCGCGGGACTAAACAAAGACTAGTTGATACCTATCGGGACTTCGCCCTTACTTCATAATTGCGTTGTGCAATCGGATAACCTCGGCGACGTGGATTTGCGGCGGCGCGAGGCCGATTTGAAGCATGTCTTCGCGGGAGAGGCTGAGCAAGTCGCTGCCGCTGAAGTTGGCGAATTTCTGCGTGAAAGCGTGAAAGTTGCGCCGTTTGAGCCAGGCCTGAAAGAATTGAGACTCAGGAGCGTCTGCTTGGGCGCTAGAAAAGTACCTGGACGAAGCCGACGGAGGAGGAGTGAGTGATATTGCCGACGCCACTATTTTCATAATTTAAGGCTAGGGTGGTCGATTTTGGCCAAGTCTCAGGTTCTTTTTTTTGACCCGCATTTTTGGATTCCTCGGAAAATTTGGAGCAAAAAACTCCTTATGCACTTTTTGGCTATCTCTACTCGATCTCCCGGAAATTGCGACTAAAGCTGCAGAAAATTAGTGTATTTTGAAAGTGAACCAAATATTTTGAAATTTCAACCCTTTACAATAGTGGCATATGATACATTTTTGGAAAGCTAACTCTAAGGACATTCATTTAGGGTAGGGCTTGTGGCGTCTAGGCTATGCCCGCAGGGCATTTCATAGGAATGAATAGTCAAAAATAGTTACCTTGGTTTATTGAAAAATTTTCTAAAGAAAAAATGATCAAATAAAAAAAATCTTCTGTAAATTTTAAGATTAGGGTCTAAGAAATCGAAAAATAGTAAGAGTTGATAGGACCATAATGCAAACTTTGGAGTTTTGGAGCCTTGAAGATGGGCTATTTTCGCGATTTTGGCCGAGATGCCAACTTTGAAGGCACCGGAAGTGGCTTTTTTCTTTGGATGACGGAAAAAGCTTCTGTAATTCATAAGATCTAGGATGGATCTCTATTTAAAGCTATTATGGGGTACTCTGGCATTAACAAGTCCAGAGTTTATGAGCCCTGCTTTGGGCCAAATCGACCACCCTAGCCTTAAATCTTCGGAAGTGATAGAATTTGTACTTTCCAGAATCCTTTTGCAAGAAATTACGGCTTGAAAATTGATCGAAAGGGGATTTTATTTTTAAAATTAATTTAACCGTCGATTAGCTTGAAAAGAGGAGTTCTGTTTCCACCAGATTCTGATTCGCAAAATCAAAGAAGAGAAATCAAAATAGACCTGCTTTGATTTTGTCAATCAAATATGCCAAAATATACTTCTTTTATCAGAAAGAATAGAATAAAGCTTTGAGGGAAAAAAACTCGATTTTAATCGTCAAGATCGTTAGATTTACAAGATGATATTTTGGCATAGGAAAGTTATCAAAAGGTATTTCCATCATGAATTGAGCTTTTCTTCAGACTATAATCCGTCGAAATAAAATAAGGGCGTAACAAACTAGAGGTTAATTTTAAGAAAAAGAAAACTGAAGAAAAATCAATTCACGATGTCTACCCTAAAGAAGCATTAGGGCTAGTAACAGTGCTTCTGAAATGAGTGTAAACAGGACACTTACGCGAAAACACTCTGATCGACGGATTGATTCTGATCCAAAATCATTGTGTCGTCAGATTGAGTTTCTCGAAAGCCCAAATTCTGGCTGGGCGAGCTCTTCAACGAGGGCGTCAGTGGAAGCCGCGGCTCCCAGGGCTGGGTCGGCTGCAGCCGCGTCCGCTCGTAGCAGGGAATGTATTTGCCTTTGCAGCTCTCGTCCGCCATTTCCTTCGACACGCGCTGGTGGTCGCTTTTCTGCTTTCGGTCCGCTCCGCGGGGCTGAAAATTTCACTTTCTCGAACTCGCTCGGACTCGTTTTCACTCGAACCTTGAAGACGCGGATTTGGCAACTGCTCGCCTGGATACACTGCGACGAGTTAAACTGCATCACCGAGGGGTCCTCCTTGAACGCGTCCAGTTGCAGCCTAAGTTTTCAGGTTTCACTCAAAACGCCTATTACTAGAATACCGGAAAGGCGCTCCCTTTTCGCCGCCGTGTTTCTTCTGAGTGAACTCGGTCGAAATGCAGTTGATTTTGATGAAAACGACGGCGTCTTTGGAACTCGCCCAGACCAGCTCGGAGCAGTTGAGCTCCTCCTTTTTGTTGCTGACGCAGCTGATCTCTGTGCTGAGCTCCTTGTCGATCTCGATGAAGCGTTTTCCAGGATTCGCCTGGCTCCAGGACTCGATCTGCTCCGCTTCCGTATTCTGCAAGCGACGGTCGTGGAAAATCACCCTAATGCATACTTTTGCTACTTGGCTCTCTAACTCTTGTTTTTCGGTTTTTCGGTTTTTTTTTTGCAATCAACGAGGACTCACTGTTTGAGATCTCAGAAACGCATGTTTACTGTTTTTTTTTAATTTCCACTGTTTTTCGTTTTCAAAAAGGCTGGAAAATAAATGTGAGTCATGCGTTGCTCTTTCGAGAAAAATGATGCCAGGTTGATCTGGTTTATCGCCCCTACGTTTTAGGAAAGTGGCGCCTTCGACTTACCTCAAGCAAATTCGAAAAGGAGTGTCCATTTGCAAGCCCATTTGCTTGCAAGCTTCGGGTCTTTTTTCGACTTTTCAAATCAGTATTTATATTAGTGTTGATAGAATCAACAATAATACTCAGAATTCGCATCTTATACAAAGAAAAGTGAGTTATAACTTATAAGCGACAGGTTCTTTCGCTATTACTTTGACATCATGACTAAACAATGTCTAGTAGACAGCTTTAAACTCCGCTTAGTATTAGTCTTCCATGATTTCAAAAGTGTTCCTTCGTTTGAGACGGACGCCGTAAGCCTGCCCCTGGTTGAGATAGGTGAGACTTTCCTCGTTGACTTTTTGTAGCGGCGAGGTGTTCTGGACGAGAATGAATTCCAGCGGCTGGATCTGTCCGTTTTCGATGATCTCAGCCAGCGTTCCCGTGTCGTCGTACGCTTCTTCAACCAACTAATCCAATCAAAAAATCTTTGAAAAGAAGAGGAGAATTTACCTTAGTTTGTGTTCTTTGACCACTGTCGGGATTGTGAATGGTAAACTTCTGGTTCGACTTCGGCTGAATGTGCGTGTTGACGACGACGGGCGAGCTTCCTTGCGCCGAGTCTGGACGGCTGCTTGGCTGGACTGTGCCCCAGCTTTGCCGCGAGCCTTCATAAAATAATAGCAAGAATTGCTTTTAGGTTGCCCTACCTGGAGGGGAGCTTTTGATGTCGAGCGCGGAGAAGTTGATGTCTTGTCCCTGGCTGGTTTGAACGTAGACGCTGTCCGTGTTGTTGAACATGTCGAGCTCGAGCACGTCCGACATCGAAATGGTCTCGTTGTTGCTCATTCCCTGGTTGCTCGAGAAGCAGTGCTCGAAGCGCGCGCTACAACAGTTTTAAAACGCTTGAATATTAACAAAATAGAAATTAACGTTTGGTATTCCATTTCCAGGAAGTCTAGTTCTGGCTTTGAAAATAAAATCTAAAGTCAGCTTTCCTTTTTAAAAACTCGATTATAAACTCAGGGTTTTTCGATGTTTTGAGTGTATTCAAATTATTATTATTAGCCGTAATTATTTTGTTTAATTTTATTGCAAAGCCAGGCTATATCTTCTTCGCAGGAGCTGGCCATGATTTCAAAAAACGGAACCCTCAGAATCTGTATTTCAAAAAAGGAGTCGAAATAGAAAAAGGAGCGCTGGAGCGGAAAAAGAGCAGAAATAAATATAGATTCGTACCTGAGCTCATCAGCTGGATTGCGATGCGCCGCTTCCGTGTCGATCAAAGTCAGCGAGATCTCAGAGTCCGAAACTGACTCTTGAATTTGGTTGCAGGCGAATTGGGTGCTTTTCAAGTGTCGAAAAATTATTTGCTGTGTTGTTCAAAATGAGTAGTTTTAATATCAGTAGCTAGCACCTATCAGTAGTTTCCTATTATTTGATCAAGATTATTAAACATGTTGGCGAGCCTTGGGTGAAGACCTGTTCGTATATATTTTCAACACTTGCGTAAAATTCGTTCGTGGGATCGCCCCGCTCAAGTGCAGCGCATCATCGAGCGAGCTGGTCGAACTGAAACAGCCTCAGATAGTAAATTCAAGAAGACGCTTGAACTTCGAGGTTTGGATTTATTTCTTTCTCGAAGTTGCAAGCGGACATTCGATAAAACAATTGTAAAGTTAGTTTAGATTATCTTTGGCCGTTTTCCTGTTTAGTCGTCGGCTGCCGAGGAGGTCGAGATTCGCCTGGGAAGTTGAGACGGAAGTGCGCGTCTTCCCAAAGTAGTTCTTCATCCGCGACTGTGGACTCGGCACGGCGGGTGGATCCATCGATGAGCGCGGACGCACTTTGTTCGGCGGATTCTCGTCATTTCCGTCTTTTTCGCGGCGCTTAGTCTTTTGCTGCTTTGCCGGACGTTGGTTCGACGGCTGGTAGGGCAAGAACTTCAGATTGTACACTTGCTGCGACTGAAAGAAAAACATTTTAGGCAGGTAGCTAGTAAGATGATGCTTCATTCACTGGAAGCTGAAGCTCACTATTCTCTTGATAATTGTTTGAGCGAGCATACTCACCGGGGCATTTTGCAAAGGCGGCGAATTGTCACTCTGCGACATCTTTTTTGTTTCTCCTACGGACAAGTTGGGAGAGTCTCTTCTAAGCTATCAAGGCCAGAAGTAAGGGAAAGGACTATAAAATCACCAGCCGGAAACACATTCTAAAAAGCACTCTCGTCAAAACAACTCTTCCATCTTGTATTGCTCCTTTTAACAAAAACTCGGCCTGGAGCATTTTTCCCTGCAGCGAGTTTCGAACGATTCTTGCACCAAATTGGGCAGAAAAACTAACAATAACTATCATTATTTCTGCTGATTTCTTTCTGAGAGAGAGGAGAACTCAAGAGCGAATACTTTTTTTGAATCTGTATGTATTTATTTTTATTGAACTGAATAGTTGATGAAGCGCATCACTAAGTTATTTTTCGCAGAGCAGGTAAATATAAGTACAAGTGTTGTAAAGCGAATGAAAAGGACAGAAGAGAAAGAACTACTGGACTAAGGCGTGTTTTCGGTGTACAGATTAATTCTAGCGTTGGCGCAGGAAAGCCGCTGACGCGTTTTTCTCTCGACGGGAATCGGCGAACGCGATTGATCGCAGATTTTGAACTTGGAAACTGCTAGCCTGAAACAGGGTTCGAAATCACCTCACTTTAGGGTGCACTTTTTGGAAAGTGATCGAAAGTGAAATTATCACCTCACCCACCTCACCTTTTAATCTTTCAAAAAGACCACTTTGAAGGTGCACCTAAAAGTGCACTTTTTGGGAAATTTTAGCACTTTCACTTCACCTTAAACTTTTTTGAAAAAAGCATTTTGAAGGTGCACCTTAAAGTGCACTTTTTTGGGAAATCACCTCACTTTCACTTATCACTTTTGTCACTTTTTTTGCAAAAGGTGCACTTTTTATAGAGTAAAAATTCGCGAGATTTCGACTGTTAAACATTTTTAGATAGAATAAATCTACTTAGATTCTAAGATAGAAGCCGTTTGCGGGATCGAGTCTGAGCTCGGCAACCTGTCTAGAAAACCTGAGTCAGGCTTGGGAAGATCTTGGATGAAAAGCCGCAAAGCGTAATTGTAATCATGCGACGCGGCTCTTGATTTAAGATCTTCCAAAGCCTGACTCAGGTTTTCTAGACAGGTTACCGAGCCCAGACTCGAGTTTACGTAAAATTGAGCTGCACGGCATTTTAAGTCTTATTCGAGGCCACACTTTACCTGAAGAAGGAAAAGTCCTCGACGTGAAAAGAACAGACGAAGTTATTGAGTCTTCTTTTGATGCTTTGGACGTCGTCGACGGTTGAAACGGCGATGGAGATGGTGGAGTCGACTTCAGCACCGCCAAAGAGCGATTTCGCTTGCCAGATGCCTTCGTTCGTTTCCTTCTCCATCGAAAAAGAAGCCAGCAGCGATGTTCCGCCGCCGAGGAGGATGGCGTTGACCGTCCCTTCCGGAAGCTGAAAACGAAGCTTCAACTCTTGCATCCGCACGTTCTTCGGAAGCTCGCTTTTGCAACAAATTGACGTCTCCACGATCTTGTCCGCTTCTCTAAAAATTGATTAACAGAATAAAATGTGCACGAAAACACGCAGGAGGAAAACGAACCTAATTCTGACCGTGACTTTGAGTTTGAGAGGACAGGAGATGTTTTCGACGTCGTAACGCGCCAGAAATAGATTTTCGTTGCTGAGACAGCAGTCGAGCTTGGCCGCGCTGGAGGAAGAAGTAAAGTCGATGAAGACGTCTTCTGATGGAACGAGATTCGGCCGCCCTGACAGATCTACTCCGAGGGAACAAGTGCTGAAGCAAAAGATTACGCTTTGAAAAGCGGAATTACTTTTTTCGAACCTGAGCGAGGGCAGCGAGGAGGAGTGAAGATTGAGAGCTCCAGTGACTCGCACATTATTTAGATTTGCGCTGAGCAGAAAAGTCATCTCTTCCTAAATCAATTTTAATTCGTCCTCGAGTCTCGGTTAACATACGTGAAGAAAAAGCATGACATGAGGAGAAAGGGGCGCAATGGTGGTGGTTTGAGCGCCGAACCAGCCGCGCTTGGTCGAGACAGCCGTCGAGTTTGGACGAAAAAAGGAGGAGGCGGCGATTTTCGAAAGGGAGCATTCCTGACGCGCGCCGAAGAGGAAGTACTTCGCCAGGATTTCGTAGGCGAAGTGGATCTTTCGGACGAGAGAGTCGCTTGTTAGTCGCTCTCCAGCTGTTAGCTCGAAGGCTGAAAAAGATGAGTGATTCCGAGAGCTGCCCATTGCTTTGATCTATCGGAATCCAGAAAAAAGGCCTTGAGGAGAGATGAATACTTACAGTATTTGAAGAAGGAGACGTGCGACTCAAGATTGACGAGAGAGCATTTGTTGTGGGCGATGACGAAGAAAAGCGAGTCCTTCTCCATTCTTGAGCAGTGATATTTTGAGTCTGGAGAGTCGAAGCGTTTTTCCTGCGCCGCCGAGAGATCGAAGCAGCCAGAAGCGTCGAGCTCGAAATGAAGGAGAAGCGAGCTGGAACTGCAACTTGAGGCTGGGCTCGGCAAACTGTTTAAAAACCTGAGTCAGGTTCCTCAAACAAATTTAATATGAGTCTCACAGCTTGCCGAGCCCAGACTTGAAGAATAGACACAGAAGCAAATGACGTTTTGAAAAGGAGGTTGGTAGTTGCTGGAAAACTCAGAGAGAGGAAAGTTGTTTCTTGATTCGCTCATCGTGCTCGCGGTCGAGCTGTCTCATGCGCTGGAAGGTGAAATACGCTGAAAACTTATTGACGAAAAAGCCGGAAATCTAAGCTTACCGCAGCCGGTTCCAAAAAGCGCGCAAAACAGCTCAAACTTGATGAATTTCTTTTTCTGGTCTGCTGGCAGCTCGGTGCACGAACGGGCCTCGATTTGGCCACTGTTGCACTTCACCTAAAAACACCTACGTCAGTGTTTATATATTGAAAAGCTAAATTCGCCAGAGTTTTTGATAGAGTGTAATAGTAATATTAGCGAAGCCGCTTCGCGGCTTCGTTTCAAGAAAAGCCGCTGCGCGGCTTTTCATTTCAGACCCTGACTCAGGCTTTCTACACAGCCTGCTGAGCCCAGAGTCAAGCTGGGAACGTAACTCTTGTGGGAAAAAGCGAGTTCAATTCGCCGAGTTGCAGAGACTGAAATTGAAAGAAACCTTTTCGATGAAGCCAGTTTCTGCGCAAATGCGTTGATTGTCTCCTTTGCTGCGGCAGGCACGGCACGCGTTCTCGATTTCGAAGCCTAAAAGTTGAATTTATTTCTAGATTATTTTCCACAAACTTCGAAGAAAATAAATTGAAAATAATTATTTTTTTTTTGATAAATTCGGGAAATTAAGAAATCTCAGAGATGGCATATTCTCCTCCTCGAATATCTGGTGAGTTTTTAATTTGATTTAGAAAAAATGTGAAACCTGTGTGGGAACCTGAGTCAGGTTCTGAAGAGACCTCACTTCGCCAGTATTTAGACAAAGATCCTGATACCGACAGCGGCTTCGTATTCAAAAAAGCCGCTACTAGCCCTTCAGAACCTGACTCAGGTTTTCCACACAGGTTGCCGAGCCGATAAGCTACTTACGTTCAGTTTCCCAGCAGGCCAATTTCGCCTTTCCTTCTCCAAAATTCGTCACTGCCAAAATCACAAATAGCGACCAGCCGATTTTCATAATTTTCTTCTCTTTTCTCTCTTTTTTCTTTCTTGTCTTCTTTTTCCGTTCCCTTTTTCGCGAATTCGCTAAATTCTACAAATTCCCACGGCCGCTTTTATCAGCGCGCAGCTGATTGGTCGCCCAATCGGGAGCCGAGGGAAATGATAAAAATCGAGAAAAGGGAAAAATCCCGGCTTCTCGTTTTTGAAGAAAATGAAGTTATTTCTGTTCAAGAGAAAAATTGATTGATAACTGTTCAATTGATAAATTTTTATCAGAAATTCTAGAAATCGTGGATTATATTTTTATGACTAATTAAATTTTTCAAAGTTCCTCGCAAACTATTAAACAAAAAATATTAAATTATTTATTAAGGAAAAAATATTTATTTTACGTTATTTTTCGTTATTAAGAAAAATAATATTAAATAATAAGTAATTATTATTTGATAAATCACAATTTTTATTTAATAAATAATAATTACTAATTATTTAGTATTATTTTTCTTTATTAATTATTAAAAAGGCATTTTTTCTAAAAATAATTATTTAATATTTTTTATTAAAAAAAAATAAAATCTGATTAAAAATCATCAATAACACTCATTATTTTCAATTATTTTTTAAAGAAAATAAATTATTGAATACTTTTAAAATCGGATAAAAAGAAGCAGATCCGCGCAAGATAAGATCCCCGACTTTGGAAAAAAGGCTGACCGATTCGCTCTAATCGGATTTTTTCTTCTGCAGTAGACTTTTGAGTCTGCCCGCAGGCCTACAGAATCGGACATCTCGCGTACATTTTTTCCTGACCCAAAGATGAAGGCATCTGAGTTGACTCACTTGCCAAATTAAATAAGATTAAAAATAAGATAAAAAACGCGCAGCGAGAGAGAATCCGAAATTGACAGAAAATGAATTCCCACAAAGGTAGCGATTTTACTCGACTTCTGGACTCGGTATCCTGCGTAGAAAACATGAGTCAGGTTCTGAAGAGTTAAATTGAAAAGCCGCGTGGCGGCTTTTTGAAAAATAAAGCCGCAAAGCCGCTTTGCAACACAACTTACTTAATCTATTTTTAGATTAGCGAAACGGCTTTGCGGCTTCATTTTGGCTCATCAGAACCTGACTCAGGTTTTCTAAACAGGCTGCCGAGCTCAGGACTCGAAAATCCGTGTAGAATCCGGTCCCAGCATTTTTAGCCGCACAGCGGCTTTTTTAGAAACGATCTGGCTTTGCCGAATTTTCAGCTAGATTTATTTTTATTTCTGGTAAATTGGACTGATTTTTTATTAATTAAAAATCAAAAGTCAAAATAAAAAATAAAAGAGGCGTGAGAATGCTTCAAAAGCGCTCCTGAATTTTTATTCTTTACGCTTTGTAAAACTTTATAATCGCCGCAAGCTTTTTTCCCTTTTTCGCGCAAAATTAAAAAAACGAGAATTTTGTTTTCAGACTCGAGCGGGATGGGATGGGTCAAGACGCTCGCCCTCGTCCTTTTAGTCGCTCAAAATGCCTCCCTGGTGCTCACGATGCGCAAAGCACGAACAGACGAGGTAATTCTCTATTTAAAAACATCTCCTTAGCAAAGTTTTAGGGAGACAAGTTCTTCAATACCGCAGCAGTGTTCTTTTGCGAAATCTTAAAAATCGTCGCTTCTTCTTTGATTCTCCTCGTCGGCAGCCACAAGGTACCTTTCCAGCCTTTCTCGCCTAAGCTCAAACCGTTCTAGTGCAATGTGCTCTCTTTCTACGGCGAAATCAGCAGCGAGATCATCAACCGGCCCTGGGACACGCTCAAAGTCGCCGTTCCCAGCTTCATCTACACAGTCCAGAACAACCTGCTTTATCTGGCGGTTTCCAATCTTCCAGCAGCTACCTTTCAAGGTACTTTAAACTACTTGATTTTTCGGTTTTTGTTTGAGCAAGTTTATTGCTGAGTGGCTGGGCTCGACAACCTGAGTAAAAAACCTGAGTCAGGGTTCTAAAAGAGTAAAATGAAAAGCCGCGTAGCGTCTTCGCCAGTTACCAACTCAATGAATTACTTTAACTAGCGAAGCCGCTTCGCGGCTTCGTTTTTATAAAAAAAAGCCGCTACGAGGCTTTTCATTCTATTCTTTTAGAACCCTGACTCAGGTTTTCCACTCAGGTTGCCGAGCTCAGCTGGCTCCGCGAGCGTTTCCTTGATCATATAAATAGTGTCACCCGTTTTTTAAATCAAGAAGTAAAAAGTCAAATCGATGTTTTCAGTTTCTTACCAGCTGAAAATCCTGACGACTGCTCTCTTCTCCGTCGCCCTGCTGAAGAAACAGCTCTCGCGGACGCAGTGGATTTCGATGCTGCTTCTCTTTCTTGGCGTGGCGATCGTCCAAAGCCACGAAACGAGCGAGTCCTCCGTCGATCCCGCTTCGCAAAACCGGCTCGTTGGCTTCTCCGCAGTCCTCATTTCCTGCCTCTTTTCTGGCTTCGCCGGCGTCTACCTTGAGAAAATCCTCAAGACGGGACAAGTCTCCATTTGGCTGAGGAACATACAGCTCGGCCTCTTTGCCGCTGTTCTCGCCGGAATTGGAATGATCGCCAAAGACGGAGAACAAATTGCCAAAAAAGTAAGCGACTCTTCTTTTTAGAAAAATTAACAATTCAAAAAGCCGAGTTCATCGTTCTCGGTTTTTCTTCTATTTCTCGCGCTAAAGACTGTTTCAGGGAATTTTCTTTGGCTTCAACGGCATCGCCCTGGCTGTGGTCTTCAACCAGGCTTTCGGGGGCCTGTTGATCGCCGTCGTCATCAAGTACGCGGACAACATTGTCAAGGGCTTCGCAACCAGCATAGCCATCATCGTCTCCACCATCCTTTCCGTCATCTTCTTCGGCTTCCAAATACAGGCACAGTTCAATACACAGCCTTGTGCTCTTTCTGTTAGGGCTTCTCGTCTTAATGAATCCATCTTTTGAAAATGTGTTGAACTGAAATGACAGAGTTCGTTTGTGACAGGCGCGGCGCTGGTAATCTGCGCCGTGTATTTGTACTCGTTACCTGCCAAACCCAAAAAAGATCTCTTGCCAAACTCGTTCGCCGCCGGGTCGCCTTCGAAACTATGACTGTACTAGTCAATTTATTTATCTGTCAAATCGCCGCACAAAATATGTTTTTCGTTTTTACCTAAACCACTTGCCACCTGCTAGAAATTGCGTCTTCAAAAAAAGATTGACTAGCGTCTTTAGCTTTGAGCTCCAGTTCGAAAAAAAAGTATCTGTAGCTTCGTTTTCCTCCCTCTCTTTCACTCTGTATCTCAATACTAAATATATATTTATAAATTATTATTAATAAAATCGAGATTCGAAACTTTTGATTTTCAAGTCCTGAGTGAAACTTACTCAGGGTTTGATAAACTCAGGATAAAGGAAACTCAGGTTTTCTTTTATTTACACAGGCCAGGGCCTCTTAAATCGGGATTCCTGACTCAGGTGGTTTTAACTCAGGAAGGGTTGCAGAGCCAAGTTCCTGCTCAGACTCGTATTTTTTGGCACAATCTATTTCGGCAGGAGAAAACGACAGTTTTGCAGGTAAATTCGACTTCTGAAGCAGTTACAGTTGCTTTCTGATTTGCGCGTTTCCCCGTTTAACGAGACTAATAGTCGGGGTCTTTTCCGGGTCGATTGTTGCCACAACCCTCGTTTCCTCCTTGATTTCAATCACTTATTTATTTCACACTTTTTGGAGAAAAGTTACCATGGGGCGCATTCTCCGTCCGTAGAGCCGGTACTCCCCGAGAAACTCTTTTATTTTAAGAATGGAGAAGGACTCGCTTTTCTTCGTCATCGCCCATAAGTTATGTAGCTTATATTCCAGCGGACCCAAGCTCAGTATCCTTTGAATCGCACCATTCCGCTTTGATCCATTCGCAACTTCTTCGCCGAGGTTTTGATTTCCGCGTTGTTGTCAATGTCGTCCACGTCAGCTTCGAATTCGGCAGGGCTCAAGAGTCTATCGGACGCTTGAAAATGATATCCCACTGTAACCAATTATATTCATAGCAGCATTCATCGAGTTGAAGGACTGTAGGGAAAATGTAGATTTGTGCTCAATCGCAAATCGCGAGAGTAAAAGCCAGGCTAATGAGAGGATCGCTTCCATCGGATTAAGCATTCAGAGCGAAATCCTGTTGATTCCGAAGGCGCCATTTCGTCCTTTGTTTTATTCATGGCAGAGAGATTGACAAACCAACACTCCCCAGAAGATGACCTGTTCTGCTGCAAGCTGTCACAGTTAGAAACGGCAACTCAGATTTGCATTCAGAGGAGATAATCGCCCGACTATGTCGCAGATGGAAAATAAGCCTGCCGCCACTCGCCCGTCTTCAGTAAGATGCACCGAACCTTACTTCTTTCGAAGGAGAAGCTTCTTTTCTTCTTTATTCGTGAGAAAAAGAGAAGAGTTGAAATTTTCTTTTGACCATCAAAATCTGCGTTGACGCTTGCTTCTTACATGATGCAAGAGTAAAACGAAGCGTTTAAGAAAATATACAGTATGGCGAGTTTGAGGTTAATGCGCATTTGTAGCAGTTGACCAACTCGCCGAAGAAGAACAAATGGGCGCACGTGATCAAATCGCGCCATTTTGATATGGACATTATTTCCACCGACGATTACTCAGGTCAGTTTCTTTTTCCAGCTGCACTTTAGTAAGCAAAGTCGCAGATTGCGAGATGAAGCTGATCTTCGACTACTTCGACAAGGACAAAGACGGCTTCCTCTCCTTCGCGGACGTCAAGAGAGCTTTCAAAGAGATCCTGCCGCTCACTTCAGAAGAAGAACTCCAGAGCATCTTCAAAGTCATGTTGCCAAACAACGAGGAGGAGAGAATTCATTTCGAGTATTTTAATTTTCTAGCGAAAGTTGTTTTTAATTTTTAGAGCTTTTGAAGTGTCAATAAAAGAGTTTCTCGGGGAGTACCGGCTCTACGGACGGAGAATGCGCCCGACGGTAACTTTTTTCCAAAAAGCGTGAAATAAATAAGTGATTGAAATCAAGGAGGAAACGAGGGTTGCGGCAAAAATCGACCCGGAGAAGACCCCGACGAACGAGAGAAACGCGCAAATCAGAAAGCAACTGTAACTGTGCTTCAGAAGTCGAATTTACCTGCAAAACTGTCGTTTTCTCCTGCCGAAATAGATTGTGCCAAAAAATACGAGTCTGAGCAGGAACTTGGCTCTGCAACCTGTCCTGTGTTAAAACCACGTGACTCAGGAGTCCCAAGTAAAGAGGCCCGGGCCTGTGTAAAATTGAGAATCACAATAAAAGAAAACCTGATCCTTGATCCGATAAAGTTTATCAAACCCTGAGTAAATTTCACTTAGGACTTGAAAATCAAACGTTTTGAATCTCGATTTTATTAATAATAATTTATAAATATATATTGAGTATTGAGACCCAGAGTGAAAGAGAGGGAGGAAAACCAAGCTACAGATACTTTTTTTCTCGAACTGGAGCTCAAAGCTAAAGACACTTGCGAGCGAGAAACAACTTCTGGATGCGGCGTCAAGGTCGACTACACCGACTACGTCGAAGCTGATGGATGCATCTCCAAGGAGGTCGTCGAGATGACTCTTTGCTCTGGTGAATGCACTTCAACTTCTATCTGGTCAGAAGCCATGAACAAATACCATAAGCAATGCTCTTGCTGCATCTGCACCGAGACCGATACAAAGCTCGTCGATATCATTTGCCCAGACGGCTCATCATTCACATACGAGCTTACAGTCGCCAAGGAATGCAGCTGTATATCTTCAGAATGCACTGACGAAAACTAAGAAAAAAGGGGTTTTCTTCTCTCTTATACCTTTTTTTTACCTCTTTTTTCAATGTGTACGTACAGTCGCCAACTCGCGCGGCTTTCGACAGGCTGATATCGTTAACTACCATCAAGCGTCCGCATTTGTAGTGATTGTCGACGGTTTTTTCAGCCAAGACCTCGTCTAAATTTTTTCTCACGACACGCTTTTTGAGTTTTTTCGAGATCTTCTTGGAGTTTAGCTTTGCGAAATTTTTAATTAACAAATCATCAAATATATTCTACCAAATCAAGGGCAAGACGACGACTAACTGCCTCCTTTGAACCTTCAACAAATTCGATCTCGGGATCAATTTCGAACTCTTCAAAGAAAGATGGCTTCGATTCAAGCGAGGGAATCGAAGTAGCTGTAGCTGTAGTAGTAGTTGACGTAGTAGAAGCGCCAAGCTTCGAAGCTGTAGGAAGAATAGGTGAACCGAATGAAGAATAGGGGACCCAATGCTCAGCCGAAATAAATGTGGAACTCATCGGTTCTTTGGCAAGAAACCTTATTTATCAAATTCAAATTATTTTTTCTCAAAGTTACCGATTTTTATAATTCTCCCAATCTTCCTCTTTTCGAGCAGACACCGTCGCAAGCATTTCACACACACAGACCCCCTTCGTGATCAAATTTCGCGCTTGAGACGGAGAATTCGACCAAAAATTTTAACTGAAATTTTTATTTTACTCGATCATTTTTTTGCAAAAAAACTAAGAATGCTTGCTTGTTTCTTCGGCTTTTCTGGCTTCTTTTGAGGTGCAATTTCCATGGCTTTTTCTGGTTGTTCATCGATTTGCTCGCGATCATCTCCAAGATCAAGTTGCGCAAAATCCCGGGCCATAAGCAGCTCTTCTTCCACTTTTTCGATCTGTTGGCGCTGGAGCTCTTCATCTTCATTATCGATAGGCGCTTCCTAAATTGATAAGTAAACAAAGAAAGTAATTATGTTTTGATTATACCTGATACTTTTGGAATCGAGGAATGCCGGATTTTCGCCAACATGCCCGTATAATATTGGGAGAAATTTCGGAGGCGAGCTTGACTGCTGTTTTGACTCCCAACTCAAGTCCGGGCGAAGTCTTTTGGTGCTCTTGCCGGAAAGACCGCAGCCATTTTCGGTACTTTCTTTTATTGAGAGGATCATCAAAATTTTATAATTTTATATACAATAAATAAATTAATCTTTGATTATTTTTTCAACGAAGTTTTGACTAACCCCCGCCTTTAAGACAGGCAAAGAAGACTTGATCAAGAGGCTGATAAGCCCCAGTTGTCCCGGGTTTGAAAAAACCACGGGTTACGTTCGTAACTCCAAGCGCAGAAGGGTCAACATTCAGATGACCCGAGAAATTATCAAGGAGGAGCAAGTTCTTTTGACCCGGTTTTACCCGGGCCAAGAACCGAGAGAATCTCTTAAGCTCCTCCTTGAAAATTTCCCGGGTCATCCAGCCGTTCTGGTTGGAGTACGCAACGAAACCCGGAAATTTTTTCGCCACCATCGTTGTGCCATTGGACACAAAAGTACGGGAGCTTTCCAGCCCAGACCAAGTGGTCATTTTATTTGCTAAAAATATATTCAAAATTTTATATTCCGGACCAAGGTCTTATGGCCCAGAAATTTCCAGACCAAGTTATCTTATGGCCAAGAAATTTCCGGACCAAGGTTCTTATGGCCCAGAATTTCTTTTTGTTATTTTTCATAAATTGATTGATAAATGCTGTATTTTTCTTTTGGTAAAATAAAATAAAGGAAAAAGGTAAATGTTATAGTTTTGAGTACCTTTGACGATGACCCCTGGTAAAAAGGATCCATCGCCATCAGCGGAAACGATCGGAGTAAGGGTGAAGCGAAGGCGCTCATCTTTCGCTTTTGATTTTCGATAAAATTCATTTTTGCGAATGATTAAACGTTTTTCTGGAGCATACGCAATGAAACAGGCGGATTCGTCTAAGTTCCAAATGTTCCCATCATCAAAACCACTGCACATTGCCATCAGCCGAGCTAGTTCCATTTTCATCTCCCCATCAGAAAGAATGACCATCGTACTAACTGACCGTGTAATTTTCAAATTGAACGACTTGATTATTCGGTTGCAGTAATCTTGATGGAAAGACATTGACGTAATTTCTTCCTTGTCTTTATATTTCTCCGTAGCTGCAAGTTTACGAGCTTCATCTTGCAGGCCTACAACGCCCTCAATGTCTACAGTCGAAGATTCAATTACAGCCAACAGATCATCGTCAAACTCTTTCCGAATGTCAGTCTGCTTGTAGTTTGGTCGGCAACGGTTCGCAATCCTTCCAGCAGCCAGAATCTCATCTGCTTTATTTTTCCAGTCGTAGAATGTTGAAGTAGCAAGCTTTTTCTGTTCTTTCTTCTCATAATGCTTGTTGACTTCCTTGTATCCGGCGCCTGCTTTGATTAATCTACAGTAAAATTGCCTTTGCTTGAATTCTGCATCGACACGGGTGAATCCAGGCCGTTTTCTCTGCTTTTTTCTCGACATTGTACGTTTTGAATGAAAAACAAACATTTTGAAAAAAAAATTTTTTTCCATCTAGAATCCGCACAATTCCGGACATTTTGCCCTTTTTGCTGAAAAAAAAAGTTCCGGAATTGTGCGTTTCGACTGTAAGATAAAAAGTCGTATTTGGATTTATTCTCCGAAAAAAAGAAAATGTGTTTAGGTACGTTCCTTATCTGTTGTATTGTTTATGGTTGAAAGGCGATCGGCAATTATTTGACCAGACAGGCAATTTATTGAATATTATTTTCAGAAATCTCCAGGCAGAAATTGATAGAATCAAGTCGAAAATGGCAATAACTTCCCTGCATGTATATGATATACAGTATATCTGTCTTCTAGCAAATTAGTGCATTTTGTTGTCGCTGCACGTTCCTAATTTCTGGACCACTTTCGGTCCAATTCTCCGAGGAAAATGAAATTTAACGATAAATTCGGCTGAGTATATGATGAGGGGCTGAAATTTTTTGCTGTAATAGAACAGATCATGATGATCATTTTCCGGGGTCAAGCATGACCTCAGCTTTTCTAGAACAAAAACGGCGCTGGTCGGAAAATTTTTGATATGACACCTTCTTATCACTTTTTTTGGCGGAAAATCTTAAAACCATGAGGAGTTTTATATATCATTCGACTCGTCTCGACGAGCTCTACAAAACTAGACAAGAAGTTTTTTGACGATTTTCGGGCCCGCGAAATTTTTTTTTGAAATCATCATGTAATTTGCAAATGCACGTTTTCAAAACCTGTTATACACTATTTATTTTATTTACACTAATATACTGTTCTGTTTATTTCTTTTAAGTTCTAGATTGAGTTTCAAAAGCAATAATTGCAACTTGAAAAATAAGGCGCGTGGGCGGACAAGCGCGAGCTCAGTGGGCGCTGCTGGCTGATCCGCTGCAGAGAACTGAGCCGAAGAAATGAGTGTACACTTCTCCGCCGAAGACTTCGACTATCCGGTCCGGGAATTGAAGCTGGGAAAGCCCGAGTCGCAAGAATGGAAGCTCTTTGTCGACAAGAACCAGATCAAGGTCTACGCCTGGCTCGACAAGGAAACTGGTCTTTTTCAGTGGAAGGTAAGCTATTTTTTTGTTATTTTCGATTAATTGTTTTTTTCGCAAAGAAATGTTTTGATCGACTGCTAATTATTTGACTTAGAGGACATTTAGTCACACAGAAATGTATGTCGCGTTAGGGTAAATTCTAGTTTTCCGTAAATTGAAACAAGGGCGGTTTAAAAAGCAAAATTGTCTAGGTCTTCGGCGAGATCGAGTACGAGCCCGAAGTGGTGAAGAAGACGCTGATGGACGTTGATTACCGGAAGAAGTGGGACTCCTACGTCGCCAAAATCGAAATGCTCGAATCCAACAACAATCTGGACATCATCTACTGGGACGTCAAATACGGCATTCCGATGGTGAGCAACCGCGACTACGTTTACTGCCGCGAATTCAGAGGTTTGTTTTCGCACTTTTCTATTTTTAAAAACGGGGATTGAAGAAGTGAAGGGAGAAGAAGAAGAGGACGAGTACATCGTGATTTTGTCGAAAACTTACGATTCTGGAAAAGAGCTTGTTCCGCCTCATAAAAACAAGGTCCGCGTTGAAGGATTCAAGCAATTCATGGTTCTGAAGAAGTCCAAAAATGGAACGAAAATCTACATGCACAGGTAATTCATCGTTTCCCTACGATTATGACAACTTTATTGAAGATCGGGAGAGTAGAGAACAGGGAAAAGTTAATGATAACAGGGATGTTTCTATAGAAATCAGGGTAAAACTTAGACTGATTTTCACAGACAGACAAGGCCTGGGCTCGGCAACCTGTGTTGAAAACCTGAGTCAGGCTCCTGAAAGAGCTTATCTAAAAACTTTCAGGACCCCGACTCAGGCTTTTTACACAGGTTACCGAGCTCAGCACAGGGCAGAATACAGGGTTACAGGACCTGTTTTACAGGAAAAAAACAGCCAAAAACAGGGATGAAATAGGGTAACTGATCAAAAACTGTCGTCATTCAGAATCACTCAGACTCTGAATTTTACCCTGATTTCTCGCAAAACAGGAGTGTAAAACTAACAGTATTGTTTTAGCATAGACCGTCCTGGCGGGAAGATCCCTTCTTCGCTGATCAACTGGGCGGCGAAAAGCGGCATTCCAAACTACTTGGGCGTCGTGGCGAAAGCCTGCCAAAACTGCCCGAAATGAAAATCAAGATCGAATTCATCTTCTGGTGTCTTTTTAGCCTTTCAAGTCTTCTCTTTTCTAGCATTATTAATCAATTGTATTTCTTATCACCTTCTTTGCCTGTTTCGAATTCTCGAATTTTGGAATTCTCAAATTGAAAAATTCAAAATTCTGAAAAGTTCACTTCGAAAAAATTATACTTCTGGCGCTATTTACCCTCTTTTCGTACGTCTAGTCGTTTTTATAATCAAATTTCTGGAATTCAATTTCTTCGTTCAATGAAAGTTCGAAAATTCTTCAACTGTGCGAATTCACGAAAAATCTTTTCTTTCGTTTTTATTTTCTTCAATGATTCTGTAGTCCTTTTATTTGCTCGAGCATCAATTATAAATTCATATAAACCAAGGAACACTAAAAAACGCGTCTTATTTCTTTTTCAACGACCGAAAAGCAAAAGAAGCCTCGAGCAGGGCTGAGCAACCAGTGTAGAAAACCTGAGTCAGGGTCCAAAGAATCTAAAGATTGTAGAGGTAATTTCAAACCCTGACTCAGGTTTTCTTCACAGCTTGCCGAGCCAAGACCTCGAGAAACCCCCAGAAGTTAAGTTATTTAACGGAATTTGATTGCTTTGTGAAACGCTGGTCGATTATTTTTGGGTTGTTATGTTATTTTGTCTGAATTTGGGCTTTATTTCAGTCTGGGCGATGCTGTCTCGCCGCGTGCTCCAGTCAACTTGTCTCTCCGCTGCGAGAAGGAGCAACGCGAAGCTCTGGACTCTTGGTCAGTCAAAATTCCAAAAAGAGAGACACTTCTTTCCAACCTCGTTTTTTAGGAAGACTGAACCACGTCGCAATCGCCGTTCCAGATTTAGACGAGTCTACTGCTTTTTACCGCGACACGCTCGGAGCCGAAGTTTCCGGCAAAGACGACCTTCCAGAGCACGGAGTCACCACCGTATTCGTCAACTTGCCGAACACGAAGCTCGAATTGCTCCATCCTCTCGGCGAAAAAAGCCCGATCGCCGGCTTTTTGGAGAAGAACAAAAAAGGCGGCATTCATCACATCTGCATCGAAGTCGACGACATTCGAGCAGCGATGAAGTCTTGCGCCGACGCTGGAATTAGACTTCTCAACAAGGTAATTCAAGGGAACTGCTCTTCTTAGAATTAACTTATTGACAGGTGTCAATTAGTGACAGTGTGTTAAGGGTCCTTATTTTTCTTCTTAAAATAAGCTTCATTCTCTTGGTAAATGTCCTACCTTCAAATAAGGGTGTCACTTCATTAAGAGTCTTAATTTAAGGCTAGTATAAAATCGTTTCAAGAGTCTTGAATCAAGACTCTTGATTTCCGTTCTATAATACATTGCATAGTTAGTAACTCGCTGAAACCCTTGTCTAACTCCTTTGTTGGTCGAAAATGAGGTCAATCGCCTTCTACCCCCTTAAAATTCAACTACTCTTTTCAGGAACCGAAAATCGGAGCGCACGGAAAACCAATTGTGTTTTTGCATCCAGCTGACTGCAACGGAGTTCTGGAAAGGGTCGCTGAAATAAAGAAAGCCTGAAAATCCGACGCGTCAACTGAATATATATTTCGATAATTATAAAGTAGAAAGAAATCGGCGGAGCGTAAAAATTTCAAATACGAAATAGCGAGCCCAAAAAAGACAGAACTCGAGGAAGCCTAAAGCAGCTCTCTTCCAATTTCTATTTATATTCGAACGAAACCAACTCCCTTCTGTACCTAAAATCGCATTCTACAGACAAGACTCAACCCCTTTTCTCCTTTTTAGAGACAAAATTTGCCCGTTCCGTTTTTCAAAAATGAAAAAATGAAAAAGAGCTGAGGCGCTTTTTTAAAAAATGGGAATGGACACCGACACAATCGTAAGTTCTTCGTGCTATATTATTGTTGTTCTTACTGATGAAACAAGGGCCCAGTAGTGGAAACTCCCGTGGCGCTGGGAGGAACGAATCCAGCCGAAGATGCAGTGACGAGCAATGGGGAGATCGCGAAGTTGGAGGAAGAGGAGCAGCTCGATCAAAATCAGCACAAGCAAATCGGTTGGTTTGATAACCCTCTATAAACCGTTCAAAAGTGGTCTTAAATGTCCTAAAACGTCCAAAAATGGTCAAAACTTTGGTCGCAGATGTCAAATGATATCAGCAATGTCTAAAAAAGTCTAGATATTATCTAAAAATGTTCAAAGCTTCTCTTAATTGGCCAAAAATCCTCTTAAAAATGTCCAAAAATACAGAAAAAATTTCAGGATCTGACGACTCTGCAATAACATCAAGCGAAAGCGATGGAAACTCAGGAGGAACCTCGTCAAGCGGAGAAAACGACGAGTCTGAATTCGAAGAAGCCAAAAAAGTCGAAGCCGAAAAGTCGAAAGAAGAAAAAGACGAGAAACCGGTGAAGAAGAAGCGCGGCAGAAAGCGAAAAGCGGTGGACGAAAATCAAGAAGCGGCGAAATCGGACTCGGACTCGGAAAGAGACGCCTCGCCGAGGAAGAAAAGGGGAAGGAAGAAAAAAGCGAAGAAGCCTGTGGAACTAGAACACGGGCTCGCAATACTCTTTTGAGCTTGATTTATTTTTAAGATGAAAAAATTTAAAGGTTTCCTCTTGAATTTTTGTCGAGCCCGGTTACAGACGAGAATGGCGAGCCGATCAAGAAAAAACGCGGCCGCAAGCCGAAGCCAAAAGTCGAAAAGCCCAAAGAAGAAGTTCCAGACACGCGTCACAAACTGCGCAAAATCATCGAAGTCAACTCGCTGGCCGAAGAAACGGTGAAAGCGGAGCAAGAAGAAAAAGACCGGCGCCAGCGACTGCTCGAAATCGAAAAGGAAGAAGAGGAAGAAGCAAAGAAACTCAACGAGGACGAAAAAGATGGCGAAAAGAAGGGCGTCGAGAAAACAGGGCTTGTTTTGCAGCACGAGCCGCGCGTAGCAGTCGACTATCGGATAGCGCGGCGGTTAAAAGAGCACCAGAATGGCGGCGTCAAGTTCATGTTCGCCAACATGGTCGAGCGCGTCGACAGGAGCAAGAGCAGCGACGGCCAAGGCTGCATCCTTGCCCACTGCATGGGCCTCGGCAAGACCATCCAAACCCTTTCCTTTCTCCAGGCTGTTCTCTGCTCTGAGCATCTGGACTGGTGCAAAAACGTGCTCGTCCTCTGCCCGATGAACACGCTGCACAACTGGCTTCGCGAGCTGCACGAGTGGCTGGACGAACTGCAGCGGCCGGAGCTGGCCTGCTACTCGCTCAACGACTCGCCGACGCCGAAAGAACGTGTCCAGGAACTGCAGCGCTGGCAGAATCAGGGCGGAATAATGGTGATGGGCTACGACATGTACAGAATGTTAGCCACGGGCAATCGGACCCGCGTGCCGAAATACAAAAAGGCACAGAAAGCGGCCCTCCTCGATCCAGGGCCAGACATCATCATCTGCGACGAAGGACACTTACTCAAAAACTCGGAAGCGGCGATCGCGAAAGTACTCTCAAAGATCCGGACTCGTCGCCGCTGCGTTTTGACCGGAACGCCGCTGCAAAACAACTTGATCGAGTACCACTGCATGGCCAGTTTTGTGAAACCCAATTTGCTCGGAACGCTGAAGGAGTTCAGAAACAGATTCGTCAATCCAATCTTAAACGGGCAACATGCTGATTCTACCAGCGTAAGTTTATTTCAACACGATATTACTTGATCTTCCATCGTATTTTTCTCTGGCTTTTAATTAAGGGACCTTGTCGAGCATACTTTTGCGCAACTTCACGAGCGCTTCATTCGTTTTCGACTTGAGATATTTTGAAAAATCTTTTTGGTGACATAATCTACGGACACTCCTCTTTCTTTTCCAGTTTTCAGCTTTTCTTTATCATTTGTAATTCAGTCGCTATGGCCGAAAAGAGAAGTTCAACTTCAAAGGGATTCAGCACTTTCATTTTTCAAGATATTAAATTATAATTACATTCACTGAAAAGCCCAGACAATTCTCTACAAAACTTCGCTCATGGGGTTTAATGAGAATCATTGAATGAGTGGTAAGAATCAGTAATCCGGAGCTATTAGCGCGCGCTTTGCGGGAATCATGTGCAAATAAGCCAAAAACATCCCTCGCGCCTACACCCTTTTTTATTGCCTCAGTAGAAAACCATATCCAACCCATATCTTAGATATCTACCTCGTAAAAGTAAAAAAACGATGGATACGCCCTTAATTTTCGAGTTATTTAGTACGATGTGACGATAATGAAGCGTCGCGCACACGTCCTGCATAACCTCCTGTCCGGCTGCGTCCAGCGAAAAGACTACCACGTCCTGTCGAAGCATTTGCCGGAAAAGTACGAATATATCATTTCCGTACGACTCACTTCCTTCCAGCAAGAGCTCTACAAAGTAACTAAAGCAAAATCGAGAGCAAAAGTTATTAACTCCCTTCGTTTTAGTTTTATCTGGAAAACGTATCGAACAAGGGCGAAAAAGTGGAGAACCAGCAAGGTCGAGGCGTTTCTGGCCTCTTTGCCGATTATCAAAACCTGATGCGTGTTTGGACGCATCCTAAGCTGCTGGAGACGCATTCGCTCAAACGAGAATTCGCGGATCTTTTCGTCGAGCACGAAGAAGCCGAGTCCGATCTCGAGGAATTGGCAAAGAACATCAACTCCGAGGATGAACAGGTCGGTCTTTTTAGATTTATATCAATGTATATTTTCTATCTAAATGCATTTGGATGCATCTGTAGGTGTTTCTAGCTAATTTTTAAAGGCTCTTAATTCATGAAGATATCTCTTTATGTTTCATAATGTTAAAAGACCTGTTACAGGTATTTACGTGAAATTGCACTCAAAACTTTGGATCATAAATATTTGCTGATGCCTTGATGGAATAAAAGTTTTGATTTTGTCGATTCAGATCGCGATTCTTGAAGACGGCGATCCAGGATTGGACTCGACAGACGAAGAAGGCAGCGACAAGTTCAACTTCGGGGAAGACGCGCCGCTGCAGTACGAGCTGGATGAGCCCGAGGAGCCGAAAAAGAAGTTGAGTCGCGCCGAAAGACGCCAAAAACGCAACGATGATAAACTGCGCGGTCTCGAAGAAGAGGAAGACATCGGCGAGTTTCAAACGCTCGAGAGCGCGCAGCGAAGCAAACTCGAATGGTGGGGCAAACTCAGCAAAGAAGTCGACCTCAACGGACTCCACCACTCTAGTTAGTCACTCCAATTGCTATTAATTCTATCAATTATTCAGGCAAAATCCAAGTGCTTCTCGAACTAATGCGCGTTTGCGAGATGCGTGGCGAGAAGCTGCTCGTCTTTTCTCAGTCGCTTATGTCGCTGGACTTGATCGAAGAGTTCCTTCAGCAGTGCACTACTCTCGTCGAAGGTGGCCTCCCTTCGCCGGCTGGTTCCGGGAAATGGGTCAAGAACGAGGACTACTTCAGAATGGATGGTGCTACTTCTGGAGGAAAACGCCACGAGGTGAATTGCTTCATACTGTCAATAAGTTTCTTGAGCATTATTTAGTTCATCGGGCAATTCAACGATCCTCTGAACCTTCGATCTCGTCTGTTTCTTATTTCGACGAAGGCTGGCTGCTTGGGCGTGAATTTGGTGGCGGCGACGCGCGTTGTAATCTTTGACGCTTCCTGGAATCCGACGCATGACATTCAATCCATCTTCCGAGTCTACAGAATCGGGCAGACCAAACCTGTCTTCATTTACAGGTATAGTTAATCGCTTCGGACTCTATAAAGCCTCAAAAAGAAAGCTCGTTGGTTGCATTCTAGCCTCTAGAATCTAGAGCATCTCTGCTAAATACCCACCATCTAAACTTAAAATCGCAGATTGGTGGCGCAAGGAACGATGGAAGAAAAAGTCTACCGGCGTCAAGTGCAGAAGCAAGGGCTGGCACAGCGCGTGCTCGACGAGCAGCAAGTCGGCCGCTTCTTCAGCCAAGGGGACTTGAAAGAACTCTACATGTTCGAGTGCGAAAACACGCCTGAAACGGAAGACGACGGTGGAAAACGCTTCAAAAAGCCGAAAGATGGCGTCTTCGCCGATTTGCTCTTTCAGGGCAACTGGGCTAGGCGAATTTCTAAGTACCACGAGGTAATTTCAACGAGAATCTAAGTCCAATACAGTAACATTTAAAAACTAGCACGACTCGTTACTGGATCACATCGAAAGCGAAGAGCTGAGCCCGGAAGAACGCGCCGCCGCCTGGGCCGAATACGAAGCCGAAAGAACAAACGGCTACAATTACCATGTCCAGAACCAGCAAGGTAGTTGTTTCTTTCGAAGTGGTATCCTCATCTTTGATTGTAGCCCAGCAGCAGCTGCTTTTGAAACAAGCTCGCGAGGCAGAGCGACAGCGACAGGTTCTTTTGAAACAGGCTCAGGAGCAGAAGCGCAAGGAGCAGCAGAAGAAGAGCCAGCCGACTACCACACAGTCAGGCAACAACTTGACCAGGTAATCTAACCTTTTGAGCGAGGGACTTTTACGGGGTCGGAGCTCGACAACCCGCATAGAAAACCTGAGACAGGATTCTGATAGCTCTAAGATAATTTGCCGAAAGCCGCTTTCTATCAGGCTCTTACAGGTCACTGAATCAGGCTTCTACACAGGTTGCCGAGCCGAAAAACAGGGATAAAACTAGAAGAGTATAAATTGTTATATTTCAGTTTGAACGCGCTGACGCAAATCATTGGTGCTACGCAGGAGTTCCAGAACTCGATGAATCAACTCAACGCGCTGCAACAAGTGGTGATCCAGCGGCACACAGAGCTCGAGCAGGCGAAAGAAGAAGCAGAACAGGCGGGCGCTGGAGATACTTCGCTAGACTCGATGAGCACAGAAGACTTGGTCGAGAAGATGGCTTCGACTTCGATCTACGCCGCGCTTAGCCGAGACGGTAAGGAAGAGACTGGCTTCGTTGTCGGTTAGTTTTGATTTCAGAGCTGCGGAAAATCGCCGCTGCGGCTCTCGCTGAAACGCAAAAACAAAGAGATAGGGCGCAAAAGAAACTACAAGACGCTTACTCGGTAAGTGGCAAAGGAACTGACGATTTGAAAAGGCATCTTCAGAACTACACGATGGTGCAACAAACCTTCCAGCTGCAGGTGATGGTGCTGATCAACGCGAATCCCCAACTAGCGCCGATTTACTTGTCCCAGGTGCGCCATTCTCTTCTAATTCTGACTGTAACTGGATTTAGTTGACGGGGCAGACGCAGGCGATGGCGGACGAAGGCAAGAACGTCCCTGCCAAGGTGATCGAGCAGTTGATGAAGGCGCAGCAGCGGAAGTAGAGCCGCTCCGTTCTTTTTCTTTCTAGTTTTGGTGCTACTCTTTTCTCTTTAAAATCGCCAGTTACCCAGCTTTTCCTTGGTTGTATATTCAAATTACTCTACTGCCGAAATTCCCCAGCTGGACAGAAATTGAGAAATCCTCAAAATTTAGCTTTTTAAAAATTTCAAAGAAATCGATCCCACAAATCGTCCAGAACTCTTTTTCGAACTTCACTCTTTTCTGATGCAAAAAAATGAAATGCTGGATTCTCAACTTTCAGTGTTCTGAAATTAAAATTATTTCCTCCGTCCCGTTCCCTTTTTTCTGTTTTGAATTCGTCTTTCTTCAATTTTCATTTTTTTCTTTCGATTTTTCAATTTTCGTGGCCACCGAAAACAGTCTTTTGGACTGGGCTCGGCAATCTGTGTATCAAACCTGAGTCAGGGTCTGAACGAGTGGACTGATTATTTGGCGAAGGCGCTTTGTTTTTCATTAAATTACCCTGACTCAGGTTTTCTGTACAGGTTGCCGACCCCAGGCAAAAAGGTGCCTCCACTATTTTCCCTTCTTTGCTTTTCAGTTACTTTTGAGTTTATTAATTTAAGTTTTCTCCTTCGATTGAGACATTTTTGTTCAACTTACTTTTTTGTTTTTGAGCTTCTCGCTACTACTAGAGCTCTTTACTGCCATTTCAGCGTCTATTCTTTACCAGAGGTGATTCTTTCGATGCTTGAGTATATTCTACATGTACACATTATTAATTATGACCATTTCGTATTTTTCGTTTCTCTACTACACTTGAAAATAAACGACATTTGCCTGGACTTCTTTTGATCGGCAAATTTTCAGTCTTCAATATTCTGAAATTCGCTGCTGGATTATTTGTTACGATTTATGCAGATTTTGCGCATTTTCTTCCTTGATTTTAGTGCGCTGAATTAATTTTTCAACGTTATTTTCCAGCGGACCCAAGCTCCGTATCCTTTGAATCGCACTATTCCGTCTTGATCCGTTCGCAACTTCTTCGCCGAGGTTTTGATTTCCGCGTTGTTGTCAATGTCGTCCACTCAAGAGTCTATCGAAGGCTTGAATTTCAATTTTAAATGATATCCCACCGTTACCAATGAATCATTGATTAGTTAAGATTTGGAATGACTTTAAGATTGGTTCTCTTCCATGATTTCATTCTGACTGTTTTAAGCGAGAAGAACTGAATGTTTTTTATTGATATTTTTCAAAAGAAGAAAATTATGTTTTCAAATTTGAAAAAAACCGCAAGGACGACCGCGAGGACGCCGGGCTCGGTTGTGCTCGGCTGATTGATTGAAAGAGTGCTCTTCTTTTCTCCAAATCAATACAGAAAAAGTGGCAGCTCCCAGGAGAACGCCGCCTTGTCTTTGATATATGTCTATCGAAAATAGTAGAAACGAAATTACTCGAAACACGGAATTAAGCGAACAGCTTTTTAGCGTTTAACCTTCAAGAGCAGAAACAAGAACGAGCAAAGAAACGGGCGAGAAGATGCATTCATTCTTCTCATACGGATGAGTATGAGGCTTTATGGCAAGTACAAATATCGGCTTATATTTTTCGATGAATATTCAAAGAGAAAGCGGTTTTTAGAGCAGATTCTATTTGATATGAAATTGAAAACTGATACTAAGTGATTGAATTATTGCAGCAGTGTATTTTCAGCAGAATCATATCTGACATTTTTAACGAAGAAAGTTGTTGATTTTCTAAAGGTCGGGCTCGGAAACCTGCGTAGAAAACCTGAGTCAGGCTTTGAAGAGCAAAAATGAAACGCCGCTGAACGATCACTCCTATATATTTTGAAACATTGGCGAAGCCGCTTTGCGGCTTCGTTTTTGAAAAAGCCGCTACGCGGCTTTTCATTTTAGCTTTTCAGAACCTGACTCAGGTTTTCTACATAGGTTGTTGAACGTTTGAAAGCGAGATATCTGGCTGAAGTAATTTGCGACTGTTCCGATCAATTTCGCGAAATTCAGGAGCAACTGTAATTTTAATCACTGGCGACAGAATGCAATACGCGCAAATTGAAGTGTCAAGCGAGAATCGAAAAAGCGTCAAACTTTAATTCAAACTCGCTTTTTCTCGTCTTCGAAGCTGAACTTACTAATGAAGTCGGTAAAGGACTATATTGGCTGCTTTCTTGCTTTCGAATTTGCAGAAATGATAAAGAGCGCTATCGATTTTACAGTCACTCGTACTTGACAGAACACACTACTTGCTTCTCTACAATCTAAAGTGCCTGTACTCTCGGCTAAACCGTCTTTTCCATTTTTTTTTTCAAAGGTAGAAAATGAGTGATTTCGAGGAGAAAAAAAAAGAGAGCAATTTTGGATTTATTTTGAATTTTATTTCGCGAACTTTAAATTTGCAATTTGAAATTGGAAATTGAAAATTGATGAATTCAGAATAAGTCAAAATAAAAAAAGAAAGGAACAAGCAGTGCTAGTTCAAAACTCAAAGCAGCGGCTAAGAATGAGTACCTAGCGGAGAAGTAGCTGGGAAAGAAAGAGAGTTCGGAAGAGGCAAGCAAGGTTAATTGAGCGCATCTGATCCGAGGAGCTGAACTGGGCTCAGCGCGCGATCACAGTCACGTGCGCGCTCTGCCTTCTTCTTTTTCTTCTTTCCCAGCTACTTCGCCAGTTTCCCACAAGAAGTTGCAAAGAAACGAGAACTTGTTTTTTCAGAACTCCCGAAAATGAGCAGAAAATGGGCCAGCACTTGCCACGTCTTCCGAGTCGACGTCGACAACGCTAAAGTAAGAGAGAAATAAAGAAGATGACAGTTCATCTTTCTTTCTAGTCGTGGCAACCTCTTGCAGACAAGAAAACGGGTCTTGACGTGGTCGTTGAAGGCCAAAATGTACGAGTTTCTGATGCTTCGAAATTGATAGGAAACGGATTCAAACTAAAATCCCCGATTCCCAGTCAGATTATAAGCAGTCTTCATAACAACAGCAAACAACTCTGGGCTCGGCAGCCTGAGTAAAAAACCTGAGTGAGGTTCTGAAGTAGCTTAAAACCTGAGTCAGGCTCTAAAAATGCTAAAAAGAAAAGCCGCGTAGCGGCTTTTTTAAAAACGAAGCCGCAAAGAAGTTGAGGAGTTCAATAACGATTAAAATAGGTATACAGTATACCGTATACTTGAGAAGCCGCTTTGCGGCTTCGTTTTTAAAAAAGCCGCTATGCGGCTTTTCATTTTACCTTTTTAAGAGCTTGACTCAGATTTTAAGCTACTTCAGAATCTGACTCAGGTTTTTTTACTCAGATTGGTAATTGAGTCGCTCTGATATCAAAATCGTTTGAATCCACGAACAGAGGAAATCACGCTCCAAGCAGCAACCATCGTCGCCTGCACCTCCTCCAAATTCGTCCAACTGAACACGCCGGAGCCATGCAACGTCTACGGCTTTGGCTTCCGAAAAGAAGAGGATCGAAAACAGTTCCAAGCGATGATCCAGGTAATTTTCAAAAGAACAGTGTTTCGAATGGGAAACGAAAATCGTCGGATTTGAAGAATTGAAGGAGCTCTTTAGGGAATTATCGACGAAAAGAAAAAGGATCGGCGAGGATTTCAAGATCACGCCAAGGAAAACGACCGCCTCCGCCAGAAAATCTCGCTCAAAGACGAAGAGATTAATGACCTGAGGTTTTTTTTTTCTGAAATTAAAAGTTGAGTAAAAATTTAATAATAGAGTGAAAAATAGAAAACTGGAGCTGGAACTGAAAGAAACGCATTTGAAAGTCTCAGAGGTATGAAATCACTCTGGGCTTGGGAACCTGTGTAGAGGACCTGAGTCAGGTCTAGAAAGCTTGTGTCAGGTCTAGAAAACCTGAGTCAGGTCTAGAAAGCCTGAGTCAGGTCTAGAAAGCCTGAGTCAGGTCTAGAAAGCCTGAGTCAGGTCTAGAAAGCCTGAGTCAGGTCTAGAAAGCCTGAGTCAGGTCTAGAAAGCCTGAGTCAGGTCTAGAAAGCCTGAGTCAGGTCTAGAAAGCCTGAGTCAGGTCTGGAAAGCCTGAGTCAGGTCTAGAAAGCCTGAGTCAGGTCTAGAGAGCCTGAGTCAGGTCTGGAAAGCCTGAGTCAGGTCTAGAAAACCTGAGTCAGGTCTAGAAAGCCTGAGTCAGGTCTAGTAGAGCTTAGTCAGGTCAGAAGCAAGACCTGACTCAGGCTTTCTAGACAGGTTCCCGAGCTTAGAAATCACTCTTTCTCAGTTCAATAATAACATCTTCCAAAAAATAGCTGAAGAAGTCGAGTATCAGTTTTGAAGCAAAAGCGGCGTTGCTAGAAAAGAAGCTAGAAAAACTCCAAGAAGCGTCGGAACATGACTTGCCGGTAAAAATGAGCTTGAAAAGCGACTTATTAAATACAAATTTCAAGACTGTTCTGCCGATTCCAAACGTAGTGGGCGACTTGATCCGGCACCGAGACCAGCTGGACGAGATCATTGATCGGCTGAGCCAATTTTCGGAAGGAAAGGGGCCGCCGCAGCGTTTCACGCCGCCCAATCTCAGCGAAAACCACGACAAAAGCAACTCCACCCGCCACACTCACAGCAGCGACAACGAAATTATACACTCCCAATCCGAATTGCTCTGACCCTCTTTTTTATTATCCTTCCAAAATTGTCAAAAATAAATTCTCAATTAATGAAATAAAAAATTGCCGAAAAATAGTCTTCCTTGATTCCAACTTCGCGCCAAAGTCGCTGTAAAAGTGGAAATAAATAAAAAGTAGAATGGTAGAATTTTACCTTTTGAAAATAATGAAGTGGCTGCTTTGATTACTCAGGGCTGATTTAACGAGCCGAGGACTTGGTAGTAAATGATCCGCATCTTATGAAAATATAAAAATTACTAGAGTCCGAGTTCTCCTTTTTAAAGAACATGTTTTCCACTGGAGAGAGACAAATCAACAGGGAAGCTAATGACTTTTCTTCGAGGAACAGATTTAAAAAAAAAACAAAACAATTCAATCTATTTTTAATAATTAATAATTTCCGCGAAAATAAAAATAATAATTTTAGTCCAAAAACTAATTTCTTACTAAGCTCAAAATCTATAAATTTGAGCTGAGCTGAGTATTGAGCTGGCTCAGTTGGCTCAGCTCAGAAAAGCGCAACTTTGAGCCGCCTTAAAAATCTGTCTGCAGTCTTCTTGAATCAGGAAACCGTCTGGTAGATTCAAGTCCGATTTCCAGCCTCGGCGATTTGAAAGAAGAAGACCTGATTCCCGGCTGGAACAACATCTACCAACAGTCAAACGACCTGATCGACGACGAAGACATCAAGAAGTTCGAAGCGTCGATCCAAAACCAAATCACCATCGTCCGCAAGTCCTTTACCGCTCAAGAAGACTCGGTTCAAGTGGAGGCGCTTTTGCCCAGCTTCGTCAAGATGCTTTACTCGGAAGACGCGGAGCAGTGCTCGGCCAGCATGAGGAAGATTATGCACTTGGCCAAGACGGAGAGCTTCGCTACCGTCTTGATCAGCAGCCTCGATCTCTGCCCGGCATTGCTGCATGTCGCCTGGACGAGATCCAGCAATTCTATTCTGGCGCTCAAAGTTAAGGATAACATCATTTTTAGATATAAACTAAAGACTAGACTCGGTAGTTCTGGGCTCAGCAGACTGTGTAGAAAACCTAAGTCAGGGTCTGAGAGAGCTGAAATGAAAAGCCGCGCAGCGGCTTTTTCAAAAATGAAGTCGCAAAGCGGCTTCGTAAATATTACGATAAAAATCTAGAAATTTATTCCGGCGAAGCCGCTTTGCGGCTTCATTTTTAAAAAAGCCGCTGTGCGGCTTTTCATTTCAGCTCTTTCATACCCCGACTCAGGCTGCTAAGCTCAGCGGCAATCTGTTCAGAAATCCTGAGTCAGGATCCAGAAAGACCCTGACTCAGTTGTTTTTAACAAAAATAACCAAGCTCGTTTTCTCTCTATTCTTTTTTTTGAATAAAAAATCGTTATTCTTTTCAAAGTTCTGAACATTTTCGCCTCCTATCCTCTCGGCCGATCTATCATCTTCCGCAGCCAGTTCTTCTACTCAATCACCTACATTCTCAAGCAAGAATACAAGAGCCAAAGCCAAGACGTCGACACGATCAAGAACTGTCTCTCGATTCTCAACAAATTGATGAAATCACTTGGCGGCGAAATAGCAGCTCCGTTGAGAGCCCACGAGTTGATCGAAATCCTAACCGGCTTTTTGGACAGCCTCGACCCCAAAATCCTTCTTCTGGCTTTGAGCAGCTTGATCTTGGTTTGCAGCCAAGACTCCAAGTCGAGAATCAGAATGGCGCGAACAAGGACCGGCGTCGAACGAGTTCTAGTGCTAATGCGCAACCCTGGTCTGGGCAACACGCCTTCGCTGGCGACGGGACTTGCCGATCTCCTGGCGATTTTGTCGACGGAAGACGATCTCAAGCGAATGTTGTTGGAAAAGGGGGCGCAGGAGTCGTGCATGGCCGTTTATGCAGAATTCTCGAGCGTTAAAATTCGCGAGCGCATTTTGATTACGCTTCGCAACTTGTCCGATCGGCAACAAGAGGACAACTGTGATGCTCTTATTCAGGTGAAAATTCACTTTTAGAGGCAGAAATCATTTAGGGAACAAGACAAGTTCAGATTATCAGATTTGCAAATTTTTGAAAATTTTTTCTGAGCTGAGGTCGAAATTCGTCTGAGCTGAGCTGAGCTGGCTTCTTTTAGAAACCACTGAGCTGAGCTGAGCTGTTTTTTTTTCAAAATCGAGCTGAGCTGAGCTGACGATTTCTGAAACTAAGCTAGCTGAGCTGAGCTGGCACATTTCGAAGAACCATTGAGCTGAGCTGAGCTGACCCTCACCTCAAAATCGTTCAGCTGAGCTGTAGCTCAGCTAGCTCAGACAGCTCAGACACCTCAGACACCTCAGATAGCTCAGCTCAGCTAGTTCACAAAATTTGCAACTCTACGCGCCCAACATCCCCGATAATGACTGTTTTACTTAAGATCGGCCGAGCAATTTTGGCAAACAACGACGAAGAAATGAAGAACTCGCAAATCCTTGCCGCGGGAATGCTGTGCAATCTGACCGCGAACTTCAAGCACAACAAACTATGTTTCCTGGAAAAGGACGGGATCAAGTACGCCAGTGCGCTAGCGAAGAGAGTTTTGGCGACGATGAGCTCGGATCATTCAGACGAGCATGTTCGACTGGCGATTCCGCTTTTAGGAAAGGGACTTTTTCTGTTTGAAAGTGTTGTTTAAGAGTTTCAGAAGAAGTCCTAAACAGGCTTGATCAAAAACTGCTCTTCAAACCTGCCCTCCGATGCTCGTTCGATTCGCGACGAGATCGGCGAGTCCGGCCTCCTCGAGCTCCTCATCAAACTCACCCGAGTCCAAATGGCGATTCTCGAGATCGACATGAAGGAAAGCGAAGCTTCTTCGAACCCAGGTCTCGCCTGCGATTTCCTTATTTCCGCGCTGGGGCTTTTGACGTCGCTCTCACTCAACAAGAAGAATCGCGCAATCATTTACCAAAACAAAGCAGTTACGCTTATTCGCGACTTACTTGCTCAGGAAATGGTTTTTCTTCATTTTCTATCCTTGTGTCTTTCAATAACAAATTTTTCCATCAAGCCATCAGGCTTCTGATTGGACGATCGAAATTTCTAAAAAAAGAGCCAAATTCAAGACAATGAATTTATCCGCCGAGTACGCACCGATTTACGCTCATTTGGATCTTCACACTTTGAAAAAACGCGCTCTCGCCTGTTTGCACACTTTCGTCAAGGTACAAAAAAAATAGACGGGTAGGAAAAAATTACGAAAAATTTGTTCTAGGATGAAAATATTCGAGAGCAACTGGTGGCAGCGTACACGAGCCCGGACCGCTTCGACGATCTCGTCCAAGACCTACAAGAGTTTGTCTCGCTCTCTGGGGAGGGAGAGAGGCGCAGGTTTCCAAAAGACTCGCCCATGTGCCAGCGAGAAGCTCTTGGAATCATAGCAGAGTTCATCAAGGTAGTTCCATTCGTTCTCATTCAGAAAAAATGCTCTTGTTCAAGATCCCGGACGTCCTCTCCGTTGTTCGATCAAAAGAAGAGCTTCAGAGCGATCTGAAACGGCTGGTCCATTCGCCTTCCGAAGGAGTCGCCACTTACTCGGCATACATTCTCTACCAGGTAAAGAGCACCTTCTTCGACTCTTCTAGACGGAATTCTAGCTGAATGAAAACGCAAACGACAACTCCTTCGTTCCGATTCCAAACCAGGATGTGACGGACTGGGACGACTCCTCTATCAACTCAAGGATCGAGCTCAAACTAATTTAACCCGTTGTTGAGCGCGTTGCAGTTTCGTTGCTTTGACACGCCCTGGGGCTCGAAATACGGCATTCTTATTGGCGTAGAACGAATTTTTACGCCTACCGCTCGGCAACGGGTTAAACAGCCTAAGAGCTCATTTCAAATAATTTCTTTCCAGCTCGGAATAGTAAACAACAACTGAACCAAATTGTCCCTCCGCGAAAATCCCAGTCTCGCGTTTGAAAAAACCTCAAAATTATTTTCTATTTTTTCTGTTTTTCTTTTTGTTGACCCTTCTCTCTTTTTCTACCACTTTGCATGTTTGGAAACAATATCAGCCTGAAACTAATAAAAACAAAAAAGCCCTTGAATGTCGAAGAGTCTACTGAAATCACAGTAACCTCTGAAATCAAGGAAGAGACCGCGCTGAATGTGAAACGATGGCTTTTTTCTCCAACTGAAAAATGAATTTCTTTTCCGCGAAATACGCAGATTCTATCAGACGATTTCTCGCAAGGGGCGCGTTTTGCAAAACACGACAAACCGAAAGTGACAAAAGCACTTCAGTTGCGAGATATTGCATTCCGAGGTAAACAGCTTCTTGATATTTAATTTTAATTTTTTTCATTTCAAAAGGAACCGTACCTTAAACTCGCTCCAGAGAGAAATTTTCTTTGAAAAAATTAAAAAAACGTCAGAATCGAATTCTAGACATAATTTTAGGTAGGACCTGACTTGAAATGAAAAAATTTTATTTTAAAGTAAAATTCGTAATATCTGATTGTTTAGGGATGTATAGCGACGAGGGGCCCGTTACTCGAAGCATGGCGAGAGGGGCCGTTACTCGAAGCAGGACGAATGGACCCAACGCGCCCATTCTGTTCAAAGGGTTAGAGAGCGTCAGAGCTAAACTTCCCGGAGACAGAAAAAGACTCCATGCCCAAGCCCAACATCGGCCAGTCGCCAGCCAAGCCACGGGTCAAGCCCATCGACCATTTAGGTCGAAGAGATCCGGAAAAGGACGAATGGACCCAACGCGCCCATTCTGTTCAAAGCGATTTGGAAAAAGTGAGTCTCAAATTTGCATTTTCGTCGAGTAATAATTCATTTTAGAGCTGAATCTAAAACACTGGCGCGAGTACCAATGTGACCAGAAAATGATGATAGAAACTGCACTCAATAAGCTCAAGGATATAAACAGTTCTAACATTTCGTAAGTGGAAATTTTTGTAGCGCATTGAATATTGATAAATCTTCAGCCCTTTCTGGGAAGAGCAACTTCGTGTCATTGTCGCAGAGGGCGAGCTACTTGCTGGGCGAAAATCGCGGCTTCACAAATTCAGAATCATGATTGAGAAGCCGGAAGATGTCGAAGTTGGTTTAGGCATTGCCACAGAAGACGATCTCAAGGGAGTATTTTCTTTGCTTTTTCTTTGGACAACCATTCTTTCTAGTCGTACTGGGAAGCACAGATCGGCCCGGTCGTTACCGACTGGAGCGCCAAGTCGAACTGGCTTCTCCGCGCGTCAGAGCTAAACTTCCCGGAGACAGAAAAAGACTCCATGCCCAAGACCAACATCGGCCAGTCGCCAGCCAAGCCACGGGTCAAGCCCATCGACCATTTAGGTCGAAGAGAGTCGGAAAAGGACCCAGAAAAGGTAACACATCTTTTGGCAACTTAATCCAACTTCTTCTAGGCAGCTCTCGCCGCGAAAAAGAAGGCAGAGCAAAAGAAAAAGCTCTTGCAGCGAAAAAGGTAAATTTCTAAAGCACTAAAGCATACAATAACTAACTTAATTTTCTAGGCTGCAGAGGAGAGACGCAGAAAGATGAAGGAAATGATGGCAGAAAAACGTCGTCAACTTTCATCGACTCCAAGCGACACGCAGTACAAAGCATCTCGACTCTTTAACTCACTATTTTTCTCACATGTGTATTGGTCACTCATCTCCATTCCACATCACGAACTGCCTCTTTCACCACAAACAAGAGCCATCAGAAAATATTTCCCGAGTCTATATTTTATGCAGGCAAGCATTGAGTTGTGATGTTTTATTATCAAGGAAGGATTTATACTCCCGTTAGGTAGTTGAGATCGATGTAGTAAAGAAGGCCGGCCGTTCCTCCGACAAGAGCCGCATTGTAGTCTAAAGTTTATCGTGGCGCATGTGAAATTTCATCAGTTTTACTCAGTGTGACCTCGCTTTGTTGATGATTTTTCCTATTGTTTATGAAGGAGTCAAAACGATCAGGTCCTCCAACAAGCGCCCCAAAAAGTATCAATGGATTCGGGCTCATTTTGTCGTCGGCAACATCCCAGCCGCACTCTTGCGGCGAAACAGGGCAGCTAGAAGATCTGAAAAAATGCGTTAAAAAGTACTTGAAAAAAAAAATCACCTGTGATGAGGTTTTGTCGGATAGTTCTTTCCAAAGCCGACTATGTAACTTCTTCCGCCGTCGCCATAGATGTAGAACATTTGCTTCTTTGCAAAGTCAAGAAGGTCGTCTGAATTGTCGAGGTCGAGTTTTGTTGAAATAAAGGCCAAAAACGCATGATTTGCTGCGTGTCTAAGCGGTCCCCACTCATTGATGAAGATCAACCCTTTTGGGGTGTATCTAGCTGAAGAAATTGTCTTCCGAAGTCTACTGAGAGATTACCGCGCAAGCTCTTCGTCCTTCGTCTGTCTGGCTAAGAGCAAACGGACACCTGGCCATTTGTTGTCCCAGTCGATTGGTTTTCTGTTCAACTGGCCCGATTTTTTGTAGAACGCCATCGAAGCTGTTAGGATGACGTTATCGGAGGTAGCACCGAATAGCCAGATCGGCTATTAGGAATGGAGTTATGATAGCTGGCCCGATATGTATCCTAGAATTCAAACAACTCCAGAGCATGTTGCAAGCACAAATCAGCATAATCTTCTTGCTCTTCCCAACGGAAAACAAGGTGCGCTGCTGCAAGTGCAGCACTTGCTTCTGCGGCTAATTCAGATCCAGGGTTATCAACGTCAATAATAAAAGTTGGTGTCTTTGGCGATGTTGGATCTTCTGGGCGCATCCATGTCTTGTGGTCTAAATGAGGATCACCGACGAGTCCGACAAGCTCAAATTTAGAAATATGCGCCTTAGAAATCAGTTCCCCATTTGAGCTCGCGAAGTATCTTCTCATACTCGTCAGCTGCTACAAACGCGTCCTTGAACTCGATTATGGACCAACTGAGCATCGTAATAGTGCACGCAAGAGGAAAGTTTTAACCTGCTCCATCTTTTCCTTCTCGCTCATCGTCTCTATCTCATTTTCTAATTCCAGAATTAATTTTTATCTTGCGATTAATAATTCTATTGTCCAGTTGGTTTCAAAGTCTTATATCTCTTTAGCGAGGGGAATAGCACAAACTACTTGATCGAACACGCGCTGGACTTGGTCGAGAACGGATGCAAAGAGTTTGCAAAGTTCGTCGCTAGAGTCGCAGTCAACGAGTCTTATAGTAGGCAAATTTTATTTTGAAACAATATCAGCCTAAAATAACTCACAAAAAAATATCACGACAAAAGCGTTGTGTATTTAAAAAAGGGAGGGAGATCTTTTGACGAAATAGGGCATTAAAAAGCGGTTGTCTCGGGTCACCATTTTCGGTTCGCAGCATTCCAGAGTCTTCAAAGTATTGCTGGATTCAGGGATCGCTTTATTTTTGATTTTTGATTAAGGGTGTACTCGGCTATATTGTTTTATTTGAGAAGAGAGCACTTCTCTGGGCTCGGCAAGAAAACTGTGTAGAAAACCTGAGTCAGGGTCCAAAAGAGCTGAAATGAAAAGCCGCGCAGCGGCTTTTTTATTAACGAAGTCGCGAAGCGGCTTCGCTAGAACTTTTTATAGATTGTAATGGTAATATAATATTAATAATATAATAATAAATATTATTACTAAAATTAATTAATAAAAATATTAATAATATAATATTACCATTACAATCTATAAAAAATTTTAGCGAAGCCGCTTAGCGACTTCGTTAATAGAATAGCCGCTATGCGGCGTTTCATTTCAGCTCCTTTCGACCCTAACTCAGGTTTTCTACACAGGTTTTCTTGCCGAGCCTAGGTATTTCTTACTCCTAGAAATATCTTTTGCGTCGCTTGAATTTCTAGTCACTAGAATTAAGCAAATTAGCGATCCCAAAGCAAGCACTCATGATGTCGTTCGTTACTCTTGCATTTCGCGGTCCAAGATAATTGCAGACTAAATGAACAAATACTTAGTTTATAGCAGGTTGCTTCTTTTTCCAAGAACAAAGTTACTTTTGGGGACTCTGAATGATTCAAAATTCATGATCGTCAATGAAAAAATGCATCGCATTTTGACATCTAGGGCAGAAAGAGCATTTTCATCAATTTTAAATTAACAAACTGGCCTCCATTAAAATATTTTACCTTTGCAACTTTCGGCGAGTCCGTCTATGGAGCTGCAGGTGAGACTGAGCGCCAGCTTCGCGAGAAACAGCACGATTTTCATCCTCGGTTGTATTTCCTGCCCTGTACAAGCTGCTCTGTTAAGTAAGAAAATAGAAAGTGTGCAAGAAAGAGCTCTTCAGCAATTTTGAGGAGATCTTCTTCTTTATAGCTTTTTTTTGCGACTCCGATGGCGCCGATTTTGTGACATCCGCGATGGCGCGCGAGACCAAACCTCTTTTTCTTCTTTTCCTTCGCGAACTTGCCAAAATCGCTTTTGTCGTCAGCGCCTGTGACTGATGTAATACCTCTAATACACCCTCATTAAAAGAAGAAAACATACAGTATTCCTAGGCTACCTTTTCTCAACCGCTTCCAGGAAAAAATAGACCGTCAACTGCGAAAGTAGAAGCTATGAAAACTGGCGATTTGACGTCAACCTTACTGTAGCAATAATTTATCATTACAGTAAGTTTGAAGCGTCAAAAGTGATGATTCCTATGCGCTCGGCTCCGCAACTTTTGTAGAAAACCTGAGTCAGGTTTTATTTTAGCTTTTTCAGAACCTGACTCAGGTTTTGTGCACAGGTCGCCGACGGGATTGACGGATAAAGACCCCCTTTAAAAATTCATATTTACAGGTCCAGAGTTTTTCTTTCTGAAAAAAGGATTTAAAAACTTTAAAATCATCATCTTCCTAAAAAACAACAATGATTCAAATAATTTCAAGAGTCAAATAAAATTCTTGAAATCTCGGAGGTACCAAAACCGGTCAAACCACTGTATTGTATTGGAAGTAACCTCCTTAAAATCTAAAAAAGAGGGAATACTTTGTTTCGAACACTTAGAACGCAACTTGCCACGTGACAAGCCCAGTAAATAATGAAGCAACTGTAACACTGAATTCTCCTCGATAAACATCCAATCTGATCAGATTTCAGAATATTTTAGACGGAAATGATCATCTAAAGGTCACACCACTGCCGATTCCTCAACTCTAATTTTCTTGAGAAAGTAGCGGCTGCTCCAAGTCATGAACTTTTCCATCTGCTGGTGGTTGACAGCAACTTCGCCATTCGACCATTTTGACCGAAAAAAAAGATGAAGCTCGGTTTTTCATTCCTTCTTTTGAGCAGCGCTTCTGGTGAGATTTTTCTTCATTTTCATTCGAGAAAAAATAAAAATGCTTGTTTTAGCCAACTACATGTTCCATACCAATGGCGAGCAGGAGTGCAAAGGAATCAGCTCAAATTAAATTGTGACTAGTAGACTTGGAGTTGAATTAATTCGCGCTTGGAGTCCCAATTAATTCGGCTTTTGATCTTGTGAGCTTAACTCAAAGCAACTTGCGACTTGAACAGAATTTGCCAGTTCTGGACTTTCGACAACAGACTCCGTGCTGATGGAAAGGCAAGGTTAATCTTTCAAAAAAGAAATTGAATTCGAAAGTCATGGGATTTTGCAAGCGGGCATTTCAAAGGAATAAGCATCAAGAATTACGATTTTCTTAGAAGAGCTAACGAAGTGATACCCTTATTTTATTTCTCCAAAGAGGAACAAAGTGTCACTTTGTCAACTTCTCAAAATCGGACGAATTTACTAACCATTAAAAGCGACGCCACGAGTGCCACCACCACCACATCCACGCCTCGGTCAACTTGATCAAGAACCAGCCCGACTTCCGATGCGGGTCAATGTCGGAGCCACTTTCTCAGCGCTCGCACGAGTGTCGATTCGAGTACTCCACCGATTTGCCTAGCATTCGATACCTCCAGACCACCACCAAGGGCGAGTGCGACAGTAAGCCACAATTGAAAAAAAAAATGAGAAACGAAAACACGCATCTTAGAAATCGGAACTATGTGCCGCGAATGCGACGGTGCTACTTGGTACAGATACCACGATGTCGAGATCGACGGCGATTTGGAGTCGAAGGAGAGGATTCCCGGCCACTGCACCATCAACGTCAAGCAGCCGGAGGAATAGATTCTCTCTCTCCCTCTTCTGCGCACTCGGTTTCTTGCTAATAAAACTTGCATGTGCTTAGTTGTCAAGTTGCCATACTCATACATGTGGCCGTAGTTCTACCTCGTGTCAAATGTGTAGTTACACTTGCTGAAGCTATATCTATGTACCTACAGGCTGCAGCACAGTAGTTCCAACAATCACTTTACATATGCTCACTTTTTTCAGGCGAAAAATGGGAGGATTTTAGATATTCAAAATTTACTGCGAAGAATCTCCGATAGGCGTCGATCTGAGCTCGGCAACCTGTGTAGAAAACCTGAGTCAGGGTCCTGAGAGAGCTATTTCAGGAGCCTGAATCAGGTTTTCTAAACAGGTTGCCGAGCTCAGACAGGGTATCATTGATACCGTATCAACAACGATAACGCTTTTGTTGATGTTTATTTGGGAAAAGTAAGAATACACGCGAATAGATACAGACAGGGGTTAATCTGAAATAAGTAGCACAGGTAAAATCAGGATTTGGGCAAGAGAGTCGAGCAAATGGCCCCCAATATCAGCATCGTGAACAGGCTAAATAGGAGTTGATCCATCGGGCGAGTTGCAAATGCGAATTTGCGAATAAGCGAAACTAAAACCTCACTTTTCTTACCTGAGCACCGAGTAGCCGCAGCCGGATTCGATGAAGACGCCGATCAGGAGAGAGCCGAACAGGCCGCCAAGTCGGTTCGAAGCTGATATGTAATTTAAAGTCTTTTCAAGAATATTTTGGCTGGTTACCGTTGAAGGAGCCGGTGGCGAAGGATCGAACTCGAACTGGCATGAAGGCGGTATTGGCAACGTTGAGCGAGTTCCAGCTGAAAACACTCGAGGCGGAAAACAGTATCGACAACGAAAACGACTGCCACGCCGATGCGGAGTACAGTAAGCCAAGTGTCACCAACGCATTGAAGAATAAAGAAACGGCCAGAATCTTGCGCGGGCCAACTCGGTCCAGAAGCGTCATCGTGATGAAGTTGCCTGAATTAGAATTTGAGGGGAAGAGCAAAACAAGGATGAAACTGCCGATTTATGGCCTTGATCGAAAGCGGAAGGAGCGACAGATCGTCAAGGAAGAATAAATGTTACGAAGTGATACGCCCACTCGCTCTTACTCTCTCTCTCTATCGTAAAAACAATCCTAATCCTAGCACCACTTTTCAACAGAAAAGAAAGAGGATCGAAGAAGGAAAGAATGAGCCAGAAATCACCTCTTTCTGGAAGTGAGCCATTCGTGCGCAAGGCTCGTCACCACGAAGAAGCACTCGCTCAGGTTAAAACAGATAAAAAAAACTGCAGCTTTGATGCTTAAAATTTCAGCTGATGGCGCAGATTGAACTCTCCGCTAACAGTTCTGAAATCAAGAAGAAATTCGAAATCATCAATGTCGACCAGTGGCTCAAAGAAACTCGGTTACGAGAGTAGTTCTATAAGTACAGCAAGAGATTAATGAATCGCAAATGATCAAACGAGAATGCGTATTTCTCCGATCATTTTTTTCGACTTGCGAGTTCGAACCGAGACAAGCGCACGAATCGTCCTTCGTTCCGCCCGTTTGCAACAAACTAATGCATCACACGCAACTCGACGTGATGTTCGTCGGTGGGCCAAACCAACGCGACGACTTTCACTTAGAGGAAGGTGAGGAGCTCTTCTGGCAGCTCAAGGGGGAAATGGAACTCGTCGTCGAAGAAAAAGGCCAGCAAAAGTCAATCCCGATCAAAGAAGGGGAAATGTTCTTGCTGCCCGGGAAGATTCCCCATTCGCCGAGAAGATCCGCCAACTCCATCGGCCTCGTCGTTGAGCGTCAAAGAGTCGAGGGCGAAGAAATGGACGGATTGAGATACTACTGCAAGGAAAAACAGCATAAAATCGATAATAAGGCAATATTCGAATCAAGGGCGAATTTAAATTACCAGCTGAATAATTTAAAATCAGAGAGCGACTCGGGCACTAGTAACTTAGAACGCGGTTAATAAAAATGGGCAATTTAAAATGCTGGAAACAGGACAAAAAGACGATCTTATACCAAAAAGTATTTATGTGCCGCGATCTGGGCAAGGAATTAGGCCGAGGTTGATCATTGACAATTTGATTGATTGGATAAAAAAGACTCCGTTTTCGATCAAGGATGGGGTGAAAACTTAATCAGTTCCTGAAAAAAACCTCTTACAGGACCCATCATAAAGGATTACTTCGCTTCGGAAGAATTCCAAACTGGAAAGCCCAAAAGCGACTCAGTCATGGACCTTCCCTGGGAAATCGACACTCAGCGCAGTTTAGACGAGCCTTTTCTTTTTGAAAAGTTTTACTCGACGCTTTCGAAGGGAAAACACGCCGTCTTTGGGGGACAAAATCAGATGCAAGTAACAGTCGCTGTCGACTGCGCAATTGATGAAAATCCAGACGGAATTAACCAGTGGATTTATGTTATTGTAAGTATTAGTTGTTATCTTCCTTGATTCCAAAATGTTTTTTTGTTGTATTAAATAAGGGTGTCACTATATTATTACGTTACTTTCAACCCTATCTTTGGCGAGTTTTCAGGTAATAGGAGAGCTAAATCATGGAAAAAAGCCGCGGAAAGCGCGGCCTCTTGATTTTAACAAGTCGACATTTTGTTAGACTATGATAAGAGTATGGTTTAGGAAGGAGAAGTGGACCTTTCAAATGGACAAACGATGAAAAGAGCTGACTCGATTCTGCTTTCTCCTGGAGAGACTCTCAAAGGTAAAAAGAGTCTGGAAAGGAACATACGAACGAGCGATGTTTTAAGGGGATGTGCGCGGCAAAGCGCTGCTGATCAGTCAGAAGCGAATTTGCGCAACTGCGTAAACGTTCGCCGATTACCTGGAAGCTGGACGAAGGCGAAGAAGAGCGAGTCCATATATTGCTTCTTGTCCAGATTCGTGCAGCCAAATCTACTTTAGACAAGTTAATAAACCTCTTTAATTCGCGCGTCATTCCGCTCTCTCAGCACTTTTCAGCCGCTTATGGCCACTCGCAAATCCACTTTCCGTTTTTACTCGATCACGAAAAGCCTGTCTAAGAGAGTTACCTCTTATCGCAAAGCAAAAGTTCTATGGGTGGCTCTATATTGAAAATTGAGCTTTATATGACGCAAAAAATAAGGGTGATTATTAACTGTTTCCTTGAATTGCTGGAAATAACTTGGCAAAAGCTTTCTTCTGGCGCCGATTCCATCTTCGCATAAATCGTGGGTAGCCAGAGCGAGAGGCCGTAGAAACCAAACGAGATGCAGAAATTGATGGTCCAAAGTGGAACTACACCAAGTCCATTAATTCAAGTTTGAGGGACGCTGCTTACCGGTTGTTTTGATGAGCTGCGGGCTGAGAAGTTGTTTGAAGGAGGCGGAGAGATTCAGGTTTTCGAAAAGAAAGGTCGAAACAGAAACTGGTGAAGAAGAGGCGAGTTTCTCAAATGGCTGCAGAGTTTTGACTAGAACGAAGTTAGAAATGAATTCAAAGAAGAAGCTGATTCTTACAATGCTTGAACGATTTTTGAGGAAAAAAGGCGGTCAACGACGAAATCACATCGGTCACTCGTCCCTAAACAAAAAGCATTAAAAGAGCTCTTTTGGGAGATCAAGGGTGGCCATGTTTACCTGGGACGCTAACCAATTGGGAGATTCTGGAGCTGTCATGAATAAAATTGAAGAAAAGATGGCAGGTAAAGTGCAGAGTGTGATGAAGATACGCCAGGAGCCAACGACGAGCTCGAAGGGAAGAATTAAATACGCCAAAATCGAGGCTAGAACATTCGCCAGCATCCAGCTCGTCGCCAGAATCGAGAGAAACAAGCCAACCCGCCGCTTGGGCGCGATTTCGCAGACGTAAGTGAAGAGGAGACCAGAGCCGCCGATGCCAACTCCGGCCATGAATCGACAAAGCAGGATTGAAAACCAACTCGTCGAAAAAGCCGTCAAAAGGCCAAAGATGCCGTTCACCGCCATGCAAAGCGAGAGAGTCGCGCTTCTGCCGATTGCGTCGCCGATTGAGCCCCAAACCAGACCTCCTAAAATTCATAATGAATATCTTTTTTGTGGCTTCTCTCTTAAGAGATATTAATTTTTTTTCTTACCAAGAAGAAGTCCAATAAAGCCGACGGAAGAGAGAAGCGAGTTCTGAACAGCGGAGAGCGCGAAGGAACATCTTATGTGCGGCAAGACGAAGGAGATGCACATTAGTTCGATGCCATCTGCCACGCCTCCGACGAAGCATAAAAAGACCATTCTCCATTGCATCTTCGAAAACGGCGTCGCTTCGATCATCTCGGACGTCAGCTTCGGAAGCTCTTCGATCGCCGCTTCTCGTCGTGTTTTCCATTCCAGCGAAAAAGGATCCAGCGAAGGCGCTTTTTCGAAGGTCGAGAAGATCGGTCGCGTTTCTTTGCTTCTTTCCATCACGATCTTCTTGGAGGATGAAGGAAGAGGCAGCGCGATTTCAGGCTCTTCGGAGCAGCTTGAGTTCGGAGAGTCGGCGCGGGAGAGAGAAGTTGAAGGCGATGACACTGAAACTGAACAATTATTCATTAATTTTCGACAAAGAGGACGATTTAAAGAATGATTCAAACACCCAAGATAGTCACATCCTTATCGCCTTTGTCCATCATAAAGTCTAGGAACTAGTTAAAGAACTAGACTTCATATTGAGCGTAAAAATAAGGTGTCTCAGAGTGACGCCCTTAGTTTCCCGCTCAAATGAAGCCAAGTCATTTATCTAATGTCTAATCTTTATTTCCGACAGAAGCAATAAAGAAGTCGCTACCAAAAATGCTCCTAAATCGGATCCAGACTTACCAATGTCGTAGTCGGACGGAACTCGTTCCCAGCTGGAAGCCGATTCTGTACTCATCCCTTTTCTTCTTCTTTCTTCGTTTTCAATTGACGTTTTGCGAGAGGAGTTTCGAAATTCTTGCTTTTCCCATAATTCCCGAAATCCGCTATCGATTCTAAAAAGATACAAAAATCAATCATTTTTTCGTGTTTTTGGTTTCTGAGCACCGTACTGTATCTCGAGCGATAACTGTAACTGTTTTTTATGTTTTGAACTTGAGGAGCATTTTTCGTGCCTCCGTCTATTTTTCTTCGGCGAATTTTAAATTTCCGAAAAGCAGAAAGTACAGCGCGTGTTTTTTAAAATAGGGTAATTTTTTGAACTACAGAAAAAGTGAAAGAAAATGGTCCTGCAAGGCTTATCGGCCGAGGACGACATTTCAGTAAAAAAAAGAGGGTTGAGCCGCGTTTCATTCAAACTGTCAGCAATAGGTGAAGGGGGTAGACCTTAGGATTAGGACTTTCCGAGTGGTTTTTCTCTCTAAATTAAAATAGGGACACCCTTATTTGATTTGGCGATAAGAAATATTAACCTTTTATCTAGATCCTACATAAGTTCAAAGCATAAAGTTTAAGGGGGTTACCCCCTTAAATTTTTGACTTCAATAGGGACTACGGGGGTGTCTTTCAACAACGACCGGGCTGATTTGCATGATTGACCAATCAGAGCACAGAATAATGCTTCATGATGGGAATCGCCCCGGTCGTTATTGAAAGATCCCCCCGTAGATGAAGTTTCAATCAATATTTTCGTAAAATCAAATAAGGGTGTCACTACTTTACTTTCGATAGAAAACCTCCCCAAACATCCTCATCTTTCACCCCGGTTTGAAAAATATTAACTCAAAAGAGGGAACAGACAGGTCCGGTCCCTTACGCTACCAAAACAAAAGGGAGATACCCTTATTGGTAGTTTAAGGGGAGCGGTAAGAGATTTAAGGTAACCAAGCTATTATTAGAGAAAGGGGATCACCTTAGGATAAATTTAAGAAAATATAAGAAACGCGTTTTATCAAAATGATAATTTTTTGGGGAAAATCGACTACAAGAAACTGGAAAAGGGGCAGTACCCAAATGATCAGGGTACGCGAATTTTAGATATTAGACAAGCGGGGTTTTGAGGAAAGAAGAAGAAGCGTTTTTAAAGAATAAAAACAGTGGCGCTTTAAAAATTTTTAAAATTGCAAATTTTAATTTTCAGGAGATTCTTTTTTTTCGAGGTTCGTTTTTCTTTTTTCGCTTTTTACAATTCCATGTCGTCGGCTGGAGTAATGTCTGCTTCGGCGTTGGCTTTTTCGATCTCTTCGGCGCTCGCCTCCGGGATCGTTTTTGTCTTTTGCGCGTCGCCTGAGGCGCTTTGCTCGTTAGCAGCCTCGGGGATTAAGGTGATGCCTCGCACGGGAGTCATGCCCTTTGGAGGTGTCTGAAAAGCAGTTTACAGCTTTGCACTGTTGATTGAGTGCAGAGATTAAGGGTACCCATCGAAAACCGTACATTTCTTCATATAAAAATTTACCACGGTGACACCCTTAATTATTTTACGATAAAATAGATCGAAGAGATCTCTTTTTTCGAGAAATAAATTAAGGGCGTCACTCTCGTGTTGAATTCAAGTCTGCAGAAAAGTGCGTTTTTCGATGGGTACGCCCTTAAAAAATCGACAATTACGTTTGATGCTGGCGACGACTTCATTCGCATCAAATAGAGTCGATCGTAAATGATTTTCGATCCGCCGGGAGTAGTTCCGAACATCGTTCCTCCTGAATTGCAATTTACAGTCGGAGCTAAAGAAATTCTAGCAATTACCTGGAGTAGCAGCGGCGTCGCTGGGAAGATCGTTTTCGTGTTTGATCTGGAGTCGACGGATTGGCTTCGAAGACGACATTTTTAAAGTTTCTTTTTTTCTGAACTTTTTTCGCTTTTTAGTATTTGTACAGTAAAATTGTAAGTTGACATAAAATTTACAGAAATGAAAATTAGAAAATACATTTTTGGCGTATTTTTTAAGATTTTTTATTGTATTCTTTCTCTGTAAATCAGTCACAGGAACTATTTTTCCTTATTCCTATTAAAAAAAAGGGATGAGCGGCTCGAAAACGCGGTGAAAGAAAGAAAACTGGTCTGAGAATAATTTGGGAGCGCTGATTGGCCGCGCCGCTTCGAGTTTGAAATTTTTGAGAGAATAATTCTTGGAAAAAGAGAAATGGAAAAAGAGGAAGATTTGACTGATGGATGGGAAAGGATCATCCAGGCGATTGTCGGAAGCCCGGACTGCGTTTTGACGAAGGAGGAATTGCTGCTTGACGATTGGAGGAAAATTACTGGCGGTGAAGAGGGGGAGGAGAAAGTTCTAGCGCTTTTTGGACAAGCTCTGAAGGAAATCGGCGGGAATCATTATTAAGATTTATTCGAATTTCTAAAAAGACCAAAAAATGAGCCGAAAAAAGAGCAAAATCGTGGCAGAATCAACCGCCGTTGAAATGGCAAGAGAGATGCAAGAGCGAAACTGGGAAGTCGGTTTTTACGAGGCGATGGATTTTCTGAAAAATCAACTCGACGAGCGAGTGGAAAAGAGCTTTCTTGGAAAGACTGGGCTGCGGACATTTCTTGTTCAAAATACGATTTCGGCTTTTGGAGTTGTTCTCCGGACTTTGTGCAAAAAGCACGCTTTCGAAGTTGAGCACAAAGGCTTGGGCTTGGAAAACTGTGTCTAAAACCCGAGTCAGGGTCTAAAAGAGCTTTAATGAAAAGCAGCGTAGCATTTTTTCTATTTTGCGGCTATTTTTGCGGCTATATTTTCAAAAAAAAGGAGCATTTCATCAGAGCTATTTTAGACCCTGACTCAGGTTTTGAACACAGGTTGCCGAGCCCAGAAAAGACTTCATCCGCCTGTTCATTTCTCTTCATGTTTACTGCAACCAGTCGGACGACATCGCCCAAAGAATCAACCTTTTCTCCACTTTTTTCCAAAGCGACGAGTTCGAAGACAGCGAGGAAGATTTCCGCGACGAAGAAAGAATCTTTTTCCTTCAAGAAAAATTGGGAAAGAGACTTGCGAGCTACAGGGAAGTGACCTCGCGGTTGGCGGTTTTTGGCTACTCGGAGTTGCTTGCCATGCATACGAAATACGCTGTGAAAGAAAATCTTAAAAGATTGGTGATTGTCGTGGCTCAGATGTTTGAAGAAAATGTTCTAGATATCCTTGAAGGTAAAATTTAAAAATTTTTAAGGTGAATCTATAGATTGACATTGTTTTTATTCAGAAATGATCGAGCTGCACCTGGACATAATGCTGGAACTGGACCCGAGCGAAGACCGCGATCGCAACTTTGCCTGGATGAACGAGCTCGTCATCGACTCACTGATCGAGGAGCGGCGTCCCGAGCTGTTCACCATGATCCAGTTATTTCCAGACTCGGTTCCGGGCATCAAAGAACTCAGTTTCTGCTTGGAGAAGTCGATCAAGTACACGCGCGACCATTTAACGTCGACTTTGGAAGGGCGCATTCGCGACCGGCTGCTTCAAGGCGGGGCGTTTACAGAATTGATCATCCAGTTCTATTTCTTCACGATCCAGTCGCTGAACCACCTGGACCCGACGGGAACGATGGTGAACATCGTCTGCGCGCCGATTCAGAAATACGTTCGAAAGCGAATCGACTCGGCGGAAGTGATCATCAACCACATCATGAACCAGGTCGGAAACGAAGAGCTGGAAAACAGCATCAACGATTCCTTCGAAGACGATTTTGAGTGGAAGCCGCCGCCGCGAAGCCGCAATGGAAAATGTCGACTTGGCGGTTGATAATAGACAAAATGCGCTGGATCATCTTATTGGTAAGCTTTTCATGCTATAAAAGAAAGTCTTTATTATCTTGAAACCATTTGAAAGAAAGATGCTTTTCCTAATTTTCGATTGGAAATTTGTAATTTTGTTTTTCAGAAATCTTCGGGAACGCGGAGCAATTCAGAGGTCTCTACAGAAAGCAGCTGGGAGAGAAGCTTCTTGAGCAGTTCAAGACGCACGAAGTGAACCGTCTTCTGCCCTCCTTCCTGAGTCGCACAGCGGATCAGCTTCGAAACAAGCTGGGCGACGACGCAATGAGCGATCCGCAAGTGATGATCAAAGACAGTCGCGAAACGATCCGCTTCAACGAGAGATCCGAAAAATTCAAGACGCTGATTTACTCGGAGCAGTATTGGCCCGAGCTGGTCCACCCGGCCGATAGGAAAGAAGAAGGCTTGATTTTGCCAAAAGAAATCAAGGAAGAGATCGAGGTCTCGCAAAAACGATTCGGCGAAATTAGAGCGAAGAGGAAACTCGAGTACGACAATCAAATCGGAGCTGTCAATTTGGAAATCACTGTTGGAGACGCCACGAGCGAATTTACTGTCACTCCCACTCAGGTTGGATAATTTTAAGTTTTTGTTACTAAAACTAATTTGATTTTAGGCTGTGCTGGTGAATTTATTCTCTGAGCACGATTCCCTGAAGTTGGAGAAGATCGCAGAGTTGTCAGGTGTCTCCAGCGAAATCTGCGAAAAGCGGCTTCAGTTCTGGGTCCACAAAGGAATCCTCATCAAAGAAGAAGACGGCTATAGATGCGTGAGGGACGACGAAGACGTGGTCGAAGCCGGCCCGGAGGAGCAAATGGACACGGAAGACAACGAGCAGGAGAAAGCCAAGGCCGAGCAAGAGGCCAAATTCCAGGTGAAATTGAAAAGCGTAAAAAGGCTGACTTGAGTGTTCAGGCGACGTGGGTGTTTGTGCGCGGAATGATCCAGAACATGAACGAAATCAAGTTCGAGCGGCTGAGCAGTCTGCTGAAAATGCTCTCGCTGCACAACCCGGCGCTGCTGATCGAAGACGACGACTTGAAAGAACTCCTCGAGCAGAAGCGAAAGGACAACATCATCGAAGTCGACGGCGAGTGCTACAAACTCAGAAAAGACAATTCTTAAAAACGTTCAGAAAGTTCACTTTTTTTTACTTCTTCACGGTTTACTTCATTCCACGCGAATTATCATTCCTCACTGTCAAATACACGCTAGTAATGTGAAATAAAGAAAAGAAATAATGATGCTTATTATCATCATTCTTTTGAGAAGCAAGTCAATTTCGTTGTTTTGAAATTTTTGTTCTTCCCTTTTCCGATTGAGATTGCAGCCAGCCAGACTTCGTGAATAAATCATCATTGTAGAAATTGTGAAGATTCTTTCGAGAGTCGAAAAAGATCCCATTTTGTCTCCTGATTAATCCCATTATTCCCTGATTGTTGGTCTTCCTGTGTAGAAAACCTGAGTCAGGGTCTGAAAGAGCTAAAAGGAAAAGCCTAAATTTAAGATCGCCGTTGCGATTTTTTCTAACGAACGAAACTCGCCACTTGCTTTTTTAGATCTTAATCATTCGCCTCAACTTGATTTCACAAAAATTTTTTTTTCAAAATGAGAAGAGTACAAACAAAAAGTATCACAGCGGCGAGAGAAAAGAAATTAAGGCGCCGCGCGATTTGGAGGGGTCGACGAGAAAAATTATTTCGCTTTTTCGGCTTTACTCCAAAGAAGATTTGGAGTAAGCTAAAAGGAGCAACTTTATTTTCCGGAAATACTCCAAATTGGAGCAAAATTTCAAAGTCGATTATAATGGTGTTAAGGGCCTCCCGGCCCTTTCAAAACCCGGCGAAAACGCGCCTCGGGGCCCGGGCTTTCTTTTGAGCTATTCAGATACCCTTTAATATTTCTGCAACATCCTTAAAATCGGCTTTGAAATTTTGCTCCGATTTGGAGTATTTCCGGAAAATAAAGTTGCTCCTTTTAGCTTACTCCAAATCTTCTTAACTCCTGAAATTGACCATAGCCCGCTTTTTCAAAATTTTGGTTATATTTATAAATTCCATAATAAAAAAGGAGCATTTTGTTGGTCTCTAGCTTTTTGCGCATTAGTTAACTTATTTTTTTAATTTACGATTTTCTGTCTGGAATTTGAGATTTTTCTCAATTTTTAAGTTGGTGATTTCAACCGAAAACAATCTTTATCCGATTTTTATCTGCTATATATTGCTTTTTTATGTTTTTTAAATAATTAACAGTGAAAAATTCCGAGTCTCCGCGACTTTGGCAAAATTCTCTGTGAAAAATGAGCAAAAAAGACAATTTTTAGGAAAATCTCATATTTTCAATCATCAAAAAAAATTTCAGGAGATGCATCCCTTTTTTTATTGTCGCCGCTGTATTTTCAAGGGTTTAAACTTGCTTATTATTGTATTTGATGGAGAAAAAAAAATCCCGTTTACGAGATTTTTTGGTTACGAGATACCCCCACTTTGACCCAATTTTTTGAAACTTTTTCGAAAATTTTTTTCTAGTTTTCCCCGCTTGATTTTTAAAATCCTTTTCTTTCCACCTGATAAGTGAGAATCTGCTCATCTAAGCAGGTTTTCCCTTTCTTGGTCACAAAATCCCGATTCTCGTCGACCCCCTCCTTAAGTCCTGCCGAGCTGACTCGATATGAAGACGATAAGCAAGAAAGGTAGTTAACTTTGTTCGAAGTTAATGAATACTATTTTGGAACTTTCAGACTAGACAAAGTCGCGCTAGAAGAAGTCTTGATTTTGCGAAAAGAAATCAAGGAAAAGGCCGAGATCTCGCCAAAACGATTCGGCGAAATTAGAGCGAAGAGGCAACTCGATCACGACAATCAAATCGGAGCTGCCACTTTGAAAATGAGTGTTGGAGAGGTCACGAGAGAGTTTACAGTCACTCCCACACAGGTTTGATAATTTTAAGTTATTGTAACTAAACTACTTCTTTTAAGGCTGTGCTGGTGAATTTATTCTCTGAGCCCGATTCCCTGAAGTTGGAGAAGATCGCAGAGCTGTCAGGTGTCTCCAGCGAAATCTGCGAAAAGCGGCTTCAGTTCTGGGTCCACAAAGGAATCGTCATCAAAGAAGAAGAGGGCTACAGATGCGTGAGGGACGACGAAGACGTGGTCGAAGCCCGTCCGGAGGAGCAAATGGACACGGAAGACAACGAGCAGGAGAAAGCCAAGGCCGAGCAAGAGGCCAAATTCCAGGTGAAATTGAAAAAAGGGAAAAGGGTTGACTTGAGAGTTTAGCTGCACAACCAGGCGCTGCTGTTCGAAGACGACGACTTTGAAGACCTCCTCGAGTAGAAGCGAAAGGACAACATCATCGAAGTCAATTCTTAAAAAACAATTCTTAAAAACGTTCAAAAAGTTCACTTTTTCACTTCTTCACGGTTCAGTTCATTCCAAGCGAATTATCAATCCTCACTGTCAAATACATACACTGCCAATTAGTAAAAATATAATCGTCACAAGAAATATATTCTCTTTTGTAATTGACACTCAGGAACAAGTTATCAAAATATTTAAGGGGGACGAAGAGACGTAGAAAATTGCATGAGATTTTCTTGATTGACATTCAAACTAATACTGTGTCTCAATTATCTTCGGGGACGAGAAGAGCTTCATATTGCTTCTGCTTCTCGACGAGTTGACCAATATCAGAAGCGATCCTTATTCAAAATTACTTTTCAAGCTGAGAGTAAAAACTTACTGTTTGTTGTTCTCGTTGAGCTCAGCGGCGGAATGTCCAGCGACTTGATTTTCTTCGCCCAATTTGGAACACTTTCTCGCGCCAATTCTAGCTCTTTCTTGGCACTCGCGAGCGAAGCTAACTGACTTCGGGGAGAGAAAGTTCAGGAAGAATGGAGAGTAACTTCTTTTCAAAAAATGATTCTCGACAAAAATCCAGGCTTCGAAGTACGAAAAATCAAACGTTCTGAATTAAAAGAAGAAACCGGAGAATGGATTCTCGATGAATCTTTTGAATTGATTTCAGCTGGAGGAGAAGCGATTGTTTTGAAAGAAAAATTCGGAGAATTGGAAGTGGCCGTTCGAGTTCAGGCTTTTGACACGGCGCTGTTTGTGGGGAAAGAAGAATTGGGTTTTGAAATTCATCTTTCAGAAGGTAATTTTTCTTATATTTTTTATTATTTTTTAGAATACGCAATCGCCCAAAAGGGGAAATATGAGAATGCTCGAGTGATTCCTTTTCACAAAAACGTGATCAAAAATTTCTGCAACATCGAAGTCTTTTTGAGCAGCGACTTTAGAAAAGAAGACTGTCTTGGCTGGATCACGATTATGGAGAAATGCGACTCGGACTTGAGAAGAAAATTGAAGAAAAATGATTTGAATCTGGAAGAAAGGAAGAAAATTGCGATTGGCGTCGAAGAGGGATTGGAGTATTTGTGGAAAATTGGAATTTTGCATTTCGATGGGAAGCCGGAAAATGTCCTTTTGAAAAATGGAGAAGCCAAATGGATCGATTTCAGCATAATATACGAACAAACTGGACGAGAGAGTTACCGGGAGATGGGTTACTCGAGGAGAGGAAGCAGATTTACAAATTTAACCTGTTTATGTAAGTTTTGAGCTTGATGAAAAATGCTCGTGTTTTATCTCTTTTTCCGTAGATGCGTAGGGAAACTCGATGAAAAATGAGCTTTTTCTGGGATCAGTAGAGAGGGGTATAATACAGTTTTAGAAAGCCCAGAAGCTGAGGATCATTTTGACTATTTACAGTGTGGGGTTTGGGTCATGTCCTGGGGCGTTTTTGGGCGTCTGAAGTCCGGAAAATGGGGGCAGTTCCAGAAAAGGGATTAAAAGTACCGGTAGTCCATCCTAAGAACGAGCGGCTTGGCTAAGTTGTAGAGGAGGCTCTAGCGATTCAGAATCTGTATAGAAACCTATTGGGACCCCCACATTCTAGAGGCGCTAGAGGCTCTAGAAGTTGAGGAAGTTACCTCAAAATCGGTACTTTTTACGAAAAATTGGTCACTTAGGGTCATTTTTTGAGGAAAAATAGAATTTGGCCGATACTCTACCCGAATAACCTCAAATGACCCCAAACGATATTTTTGACATCCAAAAATTGATTGGAACGTTTTGAGGACTATTTCGGATAAAAATATAACCCTTAGCGCAATTTTTCGTAAAAAGTACCGATTTTGAGGTAACTTCCTCAACTTCTAGAGCCTCTAGCGCCTCTAGAATGTGGGGGTCCCAATAGGTTTCTATACAGATTCTGAATCGCCAGAGCCTCCTCTACAACTTAGCCAAGCCGCTCGTTCTTAGGATGGACTACCGGTACTTTTTTAATCCCTTTTCTGGAACTGCCCCCATTTTCCGGACTTTAGACGCCCAAAAACGCCCCAGGACATGACCCAAACCCCACACTGTAAATAGTCAAAATGATCCTCAGCTTCTGGGCTTTCTAAAGCTGTATTATACTCCCTCTCTACTGATCCCAGAAAAAGCTCAATTTTCATCGAGTTTCCCTATAGATGCGGGGTCTCCTGCCTTTTCTCATGGCTCGCAGATAGGCGGAATCTACGGAGAGTATAGATCTCGTCCTCATATTTTTATTCTTTGCGAGTGGAAGACGGCCTGGACTCTTTTATTCAAACCGATCGAAGAAAAAGAAAGAGAAATCATCAAAAAGAACTTGAGGTAAGTCTTTACTTTTTATAAAAAAATAAACGTATTTAGACTTGCAATGCTGGCTGGCTCTCAAACGAAGGAAGACCATCCACCGAAGAAATCGAAAACTTGTCGAAAATCTTTTCTCTCGAAAACGCGTCTTCTGATTTTTGCTTGGACGATCCAAATCTAACGAAATCAACTGCAGTGGCCAGTTTGAAACAGAAACTGACGAAACAGATCGATTGCGACTTCAAAAACGTGACCAAGAATGTTTTAAACCAAAAGAAAGCGATCTTTGTGTACCCATTTCTGTTTCGGTGCTTTTGAGATGGGCACTCAAAAATGATTTGGGAATTGATGATTCTGAAATGGAAAGAGATTTTACTCTGGAAAAAGTCTTCACAAAACTGACGATGATAATTTATCCGCGGAGTTTGGCTGGCTTCAACCTAAATCCGAAATTTGAAGAACAAAAATTTCAAAACAACGAAATTGAAATGCTTCTCAGAAGATTGAAATTAAAGACTTATTTGAATAAAAACGGTTGGCAAATTATAAAAGAAAACAGAGGCATGCGCCGGATAAATGCCAATTTTGATTTCGAGCAAGGTAAAAATTCAAAACTAAAAATCAAATAAAATTAAAAATTCAGTCCTCCTCCATTGCAACTTCGTCTTCTCTCGTCCTCTAACTGTAACCGGCGCCTATCTGAACAGCAACGGAGAAATACTTTTCCACCAAATGGTGCTGGACCGAATCGAAAACTCCGAATTCGTTCTCCAAAACACGCTCATCGACCATTCCGGCTCTCAGATCAGAATTCCTGTTTCCAGAGAATACTACGCCGTTTACGAAATGATGGAAGACTGTTACAATAGCTACCAAGATTTCGTCTATTGTGGAGACAACAACGAGTTTCTTGAGTTAGTGAACGAAGAATTCAACATGGAAACCGAAAAATGGTATCTTCTGCCTCAAGCTTATTCAATTACTCTGACTAGAACTCGATCACTGAAAAAACAATCATTCCTTTATTAAAAACACGTGATCGTGAAAATAAAAATTGTGAAAATTACTTTCATTTTTTTACATTTTGCAGTAGAGCCTAGTCCGATTCGGAAGTACAGTGAAGTATCTGTGCTGAGACATCGTCGGAGGTTATTTTTCTTTTTTGGAGAATTTGGAAAATTTCACGTCGATTCTACCCAATTGTCGTAAATTGGCATGGAAGTGGGGGCGAAGCCGCTCTCCTCCACCGGGTTAGTTAGGGTTACTGAGGGTATCTTTGCATTTACTACCATCTGTGCATTTACCATCAATTAACTCAAATCCAGCCTTACACTTACAGTCAAAACCGCCATCACTGTTGATGCAATTTGTTTCATCTAACAGAAGAGTCGAATTTTCGCATTATTAAATGAGATCAAAGGCCTACTGTAGTTAATGGAGTCTTTCTAATTAGCCGCTCTCCTCCAGCGGGTTAGTAAGGGTTACTGAAGGTATCTATGCATTTACTGCCATCTGTGCATTTACCATCAATTAATATCGCAATCGCAATCATACTCGTAGCCGGCGCATTCAAATGATCTCAAACCTCTTCAAAAGCGCACTCGTCGACATCAACACAGTGAAAGAAGTCTTTCTCCAGAGCTTGCTCGTAAAAATTATCACAGTCACAGATGTAGCTACCAGAAATATTTACGCAGCTAGCGTTGTCTCCGCGAATATCAGCAGCGCACTCTTCTATGTCTTCTTAAGTGTGGCCATCGCATTGAAGAGTGTAGCCTGAGTTGCAGGAGCAGGAGAAGCTGCTTTTTACTATCATTTGACGTCCTACGAATGATTTTCTTTCGTAAATTTGTTGAGTCAGAATTTCTGCTGAGAAACGAAAAGGTTTGTTCAATGCAAATTGCAAATTTTATCTTCCCAGGTGATAGCCAAATCGACTCTGGCTCCAGAAAAAGAAGCAGACAGGCTAGAAGTTGTCTTTATCTCCCTGGCTAGTTTGACAGTGCGAAAACGTGCTCTCCGATTTCGTAAAAGTTGCATACACAAGTCTATTGCCACACCTGGCGGGCAGAGATAACAAAGTGGAAAAGCCCTTTTTTCATTTCATAACTGTGAAAATACACTTCGCCAAAAAGAAAACCGACTTTCCAAGATTCAATTCCGCTCAACGTGAGTCCAAATAAAATCTCAAGAAAAACACAACTCATTGAAATTTCATAACTTCAAAATAAACTACGAAAATATTAAGGAGGTAGATATCAAAAATCGCCATTTTCTGTCACATTTTTCTCCCAAAATTAAAATAGTGACACCCTTATTTTACTTTTGAAACAAAAACTTTAGACCTTTCTCTATTTCCTAAGGAAGCTGAAATTTAGAATTTCAAAAAAATTTTTAACAAAATTTTTCTTCAAAGATCGCTTACTTTGCTAAAATGGTCATTTTGGCGACAATCAAAGGTGCCAGATTTGCATTGTAGCACCTCGAAAGCTCAAGAAATCTAAATTTTTTGTTTCGATAGGAAAAAGGTAATTGCCTGAAGTAAATTTTTAGCAGAAAAAATAAGGAGGTCACCATGTTAAAAATTTGACAAAACTCTGTCAAGAAACCCGATTCTTGGTATCCACCCCCTTAAGCCGAAGCCGTAGATTTCGGATTACGAGAATATTTATTTATCCGACAGATACCCTTATTTTTGCAGCTAAAAATATAGCTTGAAAGTTTCAGCTTGAAACAGTAATTCGATCTTCTATTGAAAAATCTAGGGAAGGGCAACTCCTACGGATGCTGCTTCCCGGGCAAATTTAACTTTCAATTGTTCAAAAAAGGAATATATTCTCTTTTGTAATTGACACTCAGGAACAATGCGAAAAGTATATTTTTCATTTTTTATTAATAGAAAAAAGCTACAGTAGTATTTTTAAAAATGTATTGTTAAGGGTTAATACTGTTCCTGATGACTGTTTAAGGCTTCTTGATTCGAAGTTCGATCGTTGAAGAATCTTTTCTTTTTAGTCTTTGACTTGGCGATCTTGCTGGACCATGGCGCACAGGGTGCAGCAGCAGACGGCCAGGATGTCACTAGAATTTTTAATTCTGATTTTTCTATTTGTGTTTTTCGCTTACCCGAGCATTCCCCCATCAATTCCGTCCCGCGCTCTCAGCTGGCCGCGATGCAAGAAAGTAATGCACTAGAAAAACCATCAGTTTTTTTGTCGAAAAAGATGGCTCACCGGAGCAAAGCAAAAGTGAAGAAGACACATGGCCATTCCATTGCCGCCCAGAGACTCGGCAACTCGCTTTTGAGAAAGACAACTGCAGCAGTAAACGAAGCAGCAGGTTTTTACGTCGCCGCAGCAGCCGAAGAGGCCGTATTTCCAGTCGCCGCCTTCAAGAAAATCGTTAAAAATGATTCGACCAGAAGTTCTTTTATATCATTACTCATACAAAATGCCGGCCTTTGACGAAATCAAAAAGGTTTCAATTATTAAATAAGGGTCTTGGCTTCAATAAAAAGCTGCGCTTTCAGATCCCTGACTCAGGTTTCTACATGTGTTGCTGAGCCAAGCTAAGGGTGTCACTATAATAACTTTCCGAAAAAATGTCAACTCTATGAGTCTACTTCCTCAATAACCGTCGGAATAGTATCGTAAAAACTGATCCTTCTTGTCACCTCTCCCCATCGTTAACACAGTGACACTAATTTTTCTACTAAAAATGAAAAAAAGGGATCCCCAATTAATTTTGAGTCAGGTTCTTAAAAGGCGTTTGATTGGTGGGCTCGGCAACCTGAGTAAAAAACCTGAGTAAGGGTTCTAAAAGAGTAAACTGAAAAGATGCGTAGCGGCTTTTTTTAAATAAGCTGCAAAGCGGCTTCGCTAGTTAAAATTTTGGTAACTTTGGCGAAGCCGCTATGCGGCTTTGTTTTAAAAAAAGCCGCTGCGCGGCTTTTCAATTTAGTTTTTTTAGAACCCTGACTCAGGTTGCCGAGCCCAGTTTAATTAAAAGCCGCTTAGCGGCTTTTTGAAAACGAAGCCGCGAACTCAGTTTTTCTACACAGGATGCCGAACTTAGCAACAAGAATCTTCGTATATTGTAATTGTGCTTTTAGTACATTACTGTCATTTGAGTTACACTGTCATTTTTTTGCCGCTTTTCTGAGCTTACTTTGTGGTTGGGAAGTGACGGTCATATTTTTATTATTTTTCTCTCGGTGTGAGTGAGGCTTGGTCGTCAAGAAAACGGCTCCCGGGAAAGAAAAAGAAGCTTATAAGCTCTTTCGTTTTTGTCGTGGATACAGCGACTCTGTGAAAGGCGCTCGATGAAAAAAGAAAAATGTCGTTAAAATTGATAAAAACGACGAATCTTTCCGACTCAGCGAGTTTTGATTTATTGTTCTCAGCAACGGGCTCAAGACTCGAGTTGTTGTCTTAGCTCACCAAAAAAAAGAAAAACGACAGTGCTGGTTGTTTTAGGCTCAAAGAAAAAAGGAAACCTTGGTTACTTTGAATCTGGGCCCGGCAACCAGTGTAGAGGACCTGAGTCAGGGTCCTGAAAAAACGTGAAATGATCTTTTAGGACCCTGACTCAGGTTTTAAAGTTAGATTGCCAAGCCTTGCTAAGAATGCTGCCTTGACAGTTTCGAAAATTCTCAAGTAAATTTAACTTGGCGGAACAAATCGCTGGCCGATTAATGATAAAATTGATGACACGTTTTATTTTTGTCAATCAATCTTTAGGAACGAGAGGAAGGAAATCTTGCAGCGTGTGATACGCGCCTTATCTGCCTCCTTTGAGCACCTCGACCCTTTTTCTGCGCCTTCACGAAAGCACCACCGCCCGACAGCTAATTAGACCTTCCTCGCCATCCGCTCATTTTCTAGTCTCCAGAAAAATAACCAAGTTCTTCCCGACCAGCAAAAAGCAGACCCTGAGATTAAGGTTTTTTACCGCGATGAGCGCAAAAACTACGAAGTTGGCCGAGGAGAGAAGGCGCTTTGCTGAAGAGAGGTTTGATATTAAAAGTTAGAAGAATGCAACTGACGGTTGTTTTGAATAGAGAACGAATGGAAAGAGAAAGAAACATGTACCGAAGCCGGAACAGATCGCCAGTGCAAGAACCGGTTCCTCGTGAATCCAGAGCGCCGCGAGACCCTTACAGCTCCAGTAACAGTTCGATTAGGAATGCATGATTTATTAATTCAACTCAGCTCAAACTTACTCGCGCTCGAACTCGACCCCACACCCAAATCCGTACGACAGACCTCCACGAGCGATGGTAGACTCGCGGGACCAGCGCCGCAACGAGTACTCCCGCAGCCAGTCTTCGTCAGTCTCCAGCTATCAGAGCAGCAGCGCTCCAGAATACCTCCCAGTTCCATCTTATCAATCGTAAGTCACATTCCAAAGGACGATAAAAATATATTTACTGAGAAATTACAAAAAAGCGTGTTTTGACCCTTCTTGTTTCAAGCTTTTCGAGTACTATCAGTGCTCAACTATGCTTCATAATATACCAATAGAAAGCTTAGAGCCTCTTCTAGGGGGATTTGAATTCAAGAAGAGAAATAACGGACCCGAAAAATTATTTTAATACCATTTAGATACTTTACTTTGACGGTGATTAAAGGGTACTTCCGGCTTCATTTGTTAGTTACACAATTTATTTTCTTCAGTTTTCCATTCGAATCCCCCTAGAATAGGCTACAAGCTTTCTTTTGATATATTATGAAGCATAGTTCAGCACTGATAGTACTCGAAAAGCTTGAAACAAGAAGGGTCAAAACGCGCTATTTTGTAATTTCTCAGGAAATATATTTTTATCGTTTAATGTTTTTATTACTATTTTTCATAGAGGCCCTGACAATGGATACGGAAAGCCCTCCTATTAGCCGACTTATGATACGAATCAGCTCAGTTTTTCCTTATCTGCTCACTAACTGTGCTTTTTTGAACCTTTACACTTCAATAAATAATCAAAACTACAAATTTAAATACAGTCGGAGTCAAGAATTCATCTTGAGCCAACTAATCTATGAAGAATAATTGCATTTTTTATTTTCATTCAATCATCTGAGATTCCCTGCCACTCATTTTTTCCTTTTTAGGAAATACAGAAAAACCCGCATCACCCCTGTTTTCATGTTTATTTATTTCGTTTTCCTAAACTTCCTTTTATGGAAGTTGCTTCGAAAATTTGCCATCTGCGCCATGCCGCGTTGAAAATTTTCAAGTGACCGGTAATTCATTCGCCTAGTTCTGACGTCTCAGGAATGCTTTTTAATTTTTTTTTAAATTATATTTATCAAAAAGAGTTTTGAAAAGCAATTAAAGAAATTGGCGATAATGCAGAGATTTCTATTGGCGTCATCTATTGTCGGCTTCACCTTTCCGGCTCAGGTAGGCTTTTATCAATATACTAAAATAAAAGGATAATTTAGATCCCAGAGAAATGCTGCGTATGTGCGGAGGTGAATGCCGCAATGATGGACCCCATCATCATCATCATTGATCTCCCAGGAGTCCTCCTCGCACTCGGAATATTGGTCTTCACAGCTGCCTTCACCCACTACCTGTACAATCACTTCAACACACGACACACCACCACGCAGTTTTCACCAACGCCAGAGTTCGTCCCTCGACGGCTTCCGTCGAAATTTACCTTCTCTGCCCCCAACCGACCCATCAACAACTCCAATAACTTCAACAACTTCAACAACCACGGAGGCCCAATCAAACCAATCATAAAAAAACGACAATTTTAATCTCTGTCTCTTTATCTATTTTCACTTTTTCTGTGCCTTTATGTTCACTTATTTAATAAAAAATGTTTTAATTAGTTTTTGATTAGTTTTTATTTAGGTTTTTTGACTCAGGTTTTCCACGCAGCTCAGATTTGCCGAGTCCAGTTTACAAATAAGTGAAATCCATTCAACGCCAATTATTTCTATTTTTTGGAAAACAAGGCGCAAGTTAACGAAGAAAAAAAAAGCGATTTAGAAATTGTCTCGTTGATGAAGATTGAATTGGCGCTGGAAAACAAAAGTCGAGAAGCGAGTTGTTGTTTCCCAAATAGGGACGTATATGCAGGAGGAAATTGATTTGATTGACGAGTCGGCGAGCTGTTTAGAAACTCAACCGAACACAGATCAGCCAGTTGCCAAAACCGCAATCCGAGGAGGCATTTTTTCGCCCCGCTCTAGAAATTGGCTTAACGAAACGCTACATTGACCTTTTTGCCACGCCACGTGAGTCAAATTTTCATTTTTATTCAGAAAAAAGTTGCCATTGATATTTTTTTAAAAATTCTTCTTAAAAACTGAGCTCGCTCAAAGTGAGCTGGCTCAAATTTCTTGCTTTTGAGCTGAGCCAGCTCAAATATCATTGAGATCTTTGATTAAAATGTTTGTTAAAAAATATATTCAACTTATGAAATTTTGGCTATCCGATGAACTACAGTAAATCAGTAGAGATCTACATTTAAACCTACTTTCGAAAGTTTTCAAAGTGACACCCTTATTTTTTGCATTAAAAAGAAGGATTAAAGCCGTCTTATGCCCCTTCTCTCTTCTATTAAAATTATTCTAGTGACACCCTTATTTAATTTCACGAAAAGATACTCTTTTAAATGTTAGTTCATATATACAGTAAATATACAGTACATATGAACTAACATTTAAAAGAGTTTCTTTTCGTAAAATAGAATAAGGGTGTCACTACGCTTATTTTAATCAAATCTTTCAGAGGAAAGAAATGCAGTTTTGATCCTTTTTTTAATACAAATATAAGGGTATCACAATGAAAACTTTCGGAGGTAGGTTTGAATGAAGATCTCTACTACAAAAATCAACAATGCTGAAAAATTTTGCATGATGGGCAATTGTTGGTGCATTTCTAACGCGTGAAATATTTGTGTTTCAACAAATGCGGCGCCAAGCTGCTTGATTCTTGTGCAAAAGAGAGTGGTAGAAAGCGATTAAGAAAGCTTAGAAGTCGGAGCTGGCTCCTTCTAGCTGCTAAGGGTAACACACAGGCTTCCAGTTTGTTTTGAGGTGACGGTGACCCGCAGCAGCGATTGCGGCAACGAGTTACGAGAGTGGGATTAAAGCAAACTGCAATTTTCACAAAAATCAACGTCCTCAGCTTGTTGCCAAAAGCGAGCTCAGCCTCTTTTTCTAATAATGATCTGTTTTGAGCTGGTTCGGTTTTTCGCGTATACTCCTCTCTCCAGAGCGTTTTTGAGCTCAAAACTCAGCTCAGCTCATTTTTAAAATGGTTATTTCGGCTAAATCTGAGCCAGCTCAGCTCAAATAGATAATTATTGAAAAGCCGCTTGCGGCTTCGAGCGAAGTAAGGAAAAAGCCGCGCTAAATCTTAGTTTCTGGAAGCCGCAGGTTGCTCAGGTATCTTGCTGAGCTAAGCTGGCTCAAATCGAGCCGAAATAAACATTTTGAAAATGAGCTGAGCTGAGTTTTGAGCTGGTTCAGTTGGATCAGAATTTCTAGGAAACACGAAAAATGAACTTTCAATTTTTTGGAAATTTTTTAGAAAAAGTGTTTCGAATTAGTCTTTTCCCAGGGATTGGGGCGACGGATGTAATCTGCTTGTCGTACAGTGGGTTGCGCAGGTAGTTGCCCCCTAAAGAGCGGGCGAAGGGTCAACCAATCCTGCAATCACTTTGAACAAGTCTAGAAAGGAACAATAGAAAAAGCGCGGGCGAAGGGGCAACCAAAGCGGCAATCGCAAAGGGGCAACTACCTGCGCAACCCACTGTAGCTGCTTTCCAGAAAACGTTTTCCTTCCTGCTCTAAACTCGTCAAAGTCTGACTCGTGTTAAGGTAAATGGAATCAACGTCCAAGGTGTCACTCGGACTTCTTTCTAACGCTCATGTTGCCCAAACCGGACGTGCCCAAACGTCCACTTTCCCACGTGTCCAATTTTTCTTTAAGCTTTTTCCTATTTTCTCACATGGAAGGAAAATTAATCAGGTTTAAAATTATGTCAAAAAATTTATGTAAAAAAATGTCAATACGCATCACATTGAATTCAAATTTCCTCAGCGATCTCTTTTCACTTTCATCCCACGACTAGAATCGAGAAGCGGCTTGCGGCTTCGAGTCAAAAGATAAAAAGCCGAGCGGCTTCTTTTAATTTCTTGAAGCCGCAAGCGGCTCTTCTCGATTTTATGAAAATTAATAAAGTTAACCCGTTGCCGAGCGGTAGGCGTAAATTTGCCTTCTACGCCAATGAGTGTGCCGTATTTCGAGCCTCGGGGCGTGTCGTAGCACCGAAACTGCTAAGCGCTCGGCAACGGGTTAAAATTTTTAACTTAAAAATTATGTTATTGAATATTTTCAAAGTGATTTTTCTCCTTTCTTCTTTCTCCTGTTTTTCAGGAAAAAACGGAAACACATGGTGAGAGTTTGTGCTTGTTAATTGCCGTGCGGATACGTAATGGGTGGTTTTGCTGGGGAGTTTACATCAGTTCTTCGCTTCCTGAGTCGGCGGCGTGTTCCATCGAGTAGGGCGGAAGCACCATCCCTCTGAAGCCCCAAAGCTTGACAACATACTCGAGCGACGTCGCCTTTTATCCCACGTGGGAAAAATTGCGCGCCGGCGAACTCGTCTCCTTTTTCCTGCAACATGAGAATTAGAAGCTGCTTCACGAAATTCCGAATATTCCAAGATTCCGACCAAGAAAATAGAAAAAACCAAAAGATCGAGAGCTTGGCCTAATCTCAGGAATCTGTACAGAAACCTGAGTCAGGGTCGTTGACTTTGCCTTGACTGAAGTCAACTTTTTTCTTCCGTTTTTTGTTTGAAAAATATGATCATTTATTTATTTTCTACAACTAAGACTCATAACAGTTGGACAGAATCAACTAAGGATGATAGTAAATGTTTGGCAAAGAAAATTTCTAGATAAAAATACATATTCGCGACTTGAGATTTCAGACTTATGGTCTTTCCAAATTCTAGTGATTATTTTTGCGAAAACCTGATTCAGGGGCCTGAAAACCGGACTGGGCAACCTGTGTAGAAAACCTGAGTCAGGGTCTAAGTCAGGGTCTGATCCATGGTTTGATAAGTGAAAGATCTTTAATGAAAATTACTTTTAAGGACCCCCGTCAGCTTTTTTCTTCAAAAAATGAAAATTTTTAAAAATGCCATATTTTTTGTTCTGAATGCGTCTTGAAGTTAGATTAAGTATAAAATCTTGATATAAGCAAGTTTTGACCAAGAAAACTCAAAAATTTTACCAAAAATTGCACATTTTCGTCATTTTTCGACGAAAAGTCCAATTTTCAAACGCGATTTTGAGGGTGTTAGAGTCGAGATAGACCCCCAAAAATGAAGCCTCAAAATCGTTTTTTGACACGTAGAATCCATTTCCATTTTTCGAAAAAAGCTGACGGGGGTCCTTAATTCTTTTTTAATTCTTCACGCGGCTATTTATTAAAGATCTTTCACTTATCAAACCATGGATCAGACCCTGACTCAGGTTTTCTACACAGGTCGCCGAATCCGGTTTTCAGGCCTCTGAATCAGGTTTTCGCAAAAACATTACTAGAATTTGGAAAGACCATAAGCCTGAAATATCAACTCGCGAACCTATATTTTTGTCTAGAAACTTTCTTTGTCAAACATTAACTATCATCCCCAGAGGATTCTTTCCAACTATTATGAATGATAGTGGTAGAAAATAAACTAATGATCATATTTCTCAAACAAAAACTAAAGAAAAAAATGTTGATTGAGGGAAAGTCCGGACAAAACGAAGGACTTTCAAGTGCTCGCTTGCAAATAATTGAAACAAGTGGATTAAGGGTCGACCCAGCAGAAACTCAGAGCTCGTCTTTGTTTCTAAAGCGAGAGTGTTAGAGATAATAAAATTAGTAGAAATATTGTTTGCTATTGCGAAATGAAGATTCTGGTCCAATCAAAAAGTAACCGAATCAGATGCCAAATAAATGGAAAATTTGTCCAAAAAGGTTTAACGGCAAGTTGCGATTGTCGATTTTAGAAAGCAGCGTGGAGGACAGAGAATGCGGTCAGCGTTATGGAGATTGCGATATGCAAGAGGGTCTCTTCTTCGTGAAAAAGCTTAAGGGACGACCACAACGCTCGGCAAAGAACCACAGGCCACATGGACAGGACAAACCGAACAAGCACGACGAATGTTACGGATCACGCGCACCTGCAAGTCGAAACACTCAGAGCTTTTTTGTCATTTAAGGGGAGAGGAAATAATCAAATTATCATCCGATTGCAACTTTCCAAATCTTTCATAGTGACACCCTTATTTAAGAAAAATCAAATCCAAGAAAATTTATTTTTTAGTAATAATTGACCAAAAATATGTTTATTTCTCGGGGTAAGGGTTAGGGTTATGGGCGGAGAAATCATCAACCACAATTTTCCTCAAGAATTAACGAAGTAATACCCTTAATCTGGGCTCGGCAACCTGTGTACAAAGCCTGAGTCAGGACCTGATAGAGCTTAAATATGCTTTTCAGGCCATGACTCAGGTTTTGCACACAGGTTGCCGAGCCCAGATTAAGGGTGTTACTTTGTTAATTTTTTAACAAAAATCTCGTTGATGATGTCTACCCCCTTAGCGATTGCCAATTGTCGCTTTTTTCAAAAAGAGAAAGTAGCTTAGCGGTTCTTTTGCGAATTTTTCATTTCCCTTTTGCCGCCGTGATCCAGTTTCCCAGTTGCTCGCGTCTTCTAAGGCCTGGCTCTAGAATCCGCGTCTTTCTAATCGGCTGAGGTGCTCTTGGGCGTTCTGTTTATCATTCTGAGTCTAACGTGACATTATCGGGTGGTTTTCACATTTCAACAATTTTTTCAACCTTTTTTTCTGGCGCTGGAATGTACCGCTCCCGCACCAGTTTATCTAAAAACGTGTTCGACATTTAAAATACGATTTCGATTTCGCTTTTTTCTTTCTTTTGCTTTTTGGAGTTGTCGATCTTAAACGCGGCTCAACACGGCTTTCTGTAAATTATTTGTTCAGAAAGAACAACCAGTCGATTGAAGAGTCGCTAGAAACAGCGAAAGTTCAAATAATTTTTTCGAAAAAATTAAAACTAAAATTCGAAAAAAGGTTGAAATTTTGGGGAGGTGTCTGGAACCGACAAAAAAAATTCGACAAATTTTGCGTGGAAATTTTCAACCAATCAGAAGCCTGGATTCGGCATATCGGCCAATCAGCAGCCGAGTAGCCGCCAACGCAAAATTTGTCGAAATTTTTTGTCGGTTCCAGACACCATTCCAAATTTTTCTTTCCAAATTTTAACATAGCGACACCCTTAATCGATTTCAGCGAAAATAAGCTCTTACCTCTGTCTTATTCTTTTTCTTATTTTGGTTTTAAAAATCGATAAGCCGCTTGCGGCTTCGAGCAAACAAATAAAAAGCCGCGCGTCGCGCGGCTCTAATTTTGAATGACTCGAAGCCGCAAGCGGCTTCTCGATTTTTAAAACCAAAATAAGAAAAAGAATAAGACAGAGGTTAGAGCTTATTTTCGCTGAAATCGATTAAGGGTGTTGCTGTGTTCATTTTTAGCGAATGCCCTAAAAGTACTCTAGAGCTCTTTAAAAGACCGTACACTGCGCCGGGCCGCGTGAGTTCTGGCAACTGGCGACGAACCCGGCGAACGAGCTTCTCGGTAATCGAAAAAGTAAGAAACAAAGCAAGAAAGCTAATTGGGAATAACAACACTCGAAAAAGGTAAACGACTGTGGGAAGTGTTTTGGAGAACGGAAGATCGTCACCCGCGGGTCACCTGCCGAGCTCAGGTCACGTTGATATCACTCAACTTTCTTTCTAAAGCTCGGCAATAGAAAGGAGCTACTTTTTTGTTTTGTTGATGATACTGCGAATATTTTTAAAGACGACTTTTTAGAAATTTCGGGCAAAGTTCGAAATTTACACAAAAACGAGAATTTCAAGCATTCATCTTATTTCATTTATTGGCAGCGACTAGAGATAACGACATGGTCAACTAGAGAATAATTCATCTTATTATTTTATGAAATTAAAAAATTGATGCCCTTATTTTTGTAGTCAAATCGACTGTTGATGCCCTAATTTAAGATTCATAAAAGGCGGATTTTTTCATTTTGATTTTTATTCCGAAAATTGGTTCAAAATTGCCATTTTTTGAAAAACGCCTCCTTCAAAATTAAATTAATACCATTCACCCCATAAATAGAAGGAAAGATGGAAGATTGCTGTTTATTAACGGAGAATTTTAGGAACCATAAGTTTGCGAAAGCCAAGATGAATAAATAATTTTCTAGAGAATTTTAGTTCGATCAGTTTATCTTATTTTCAGTTGTTTACAAATCAACTTCAGCTTGTAGATTTTAACTTCTCCAATCATCTCAAACAACTTTCTCTGACCTTCCTGGCTCGACAACCTGTGTAGAAAACCTGAGAAGGGTCTGAAAGATCAAAAATGAAAAGCCGCGTAGCTCAATCTATTTCTAAATTCTGGCGAAGTCACTTCGCGGCTTTTCTTTGAATATCTTTCAAACCCTGACTCAGGTTTTCTACACAGGTTTCCGAGCCCTGTGGCGTCATAAGCAAGTTTAACCCCTCGACACAATTGAAGCCAAAAATATGAAATTTCCGTAATTTCCCTTTTTCACGAAAACTTGGTAAAAATAATTTTCTGAAAGAAAAGTTCAAAATCTATAAATAATTGAAAATTAAAAAACGTGTGCTCGAGCGTGGGAGTCGGAATAAGAATCTCGTTTTAGAAAAGTTTCAAAATGCTCTTCCGCGACCCCGAAGGTGAATTGTTACATTCCCCCAACGGGCCAGCAGGTACCGCCCTTAATTATGACAAAATCGGGCGATGCTAATTCTTTTTGCAGTTCGCGACGATGACCAAACCGACAAGCGGGCGTTTCTTTTCTTCAAAAGCAAGAGCATGATCATTTTGCCCGAAAAGATTCAAGAAGAGCCAGGACAGCCGGAAAAACACATCAGAATCAAAGAAAAGGGTTTTCTATTTGGAAATTTAGGACTCAGGTTGAAATTTCTCAGGTTCTGGGCTCGGCAACCTGTGTAGAAAACCTGAGTCAGGGTCTTAAAATTTGAAAGTGAAAAGCCGCGTAGCGGCTTTTTTTTTAAACGAAGCCGCAAGGCGGCTTCACCAGAATTTGATATTGAGTAATAAGTTATAATTTATAATAGTTATTATTAATTAATTAAAAATAATTATTAGTAATTATTTAATTTATTAATAATTTTTATTATAACTTTTAATTTATAAGTTATAAGTAAATTATATTTACAATAATAATAATTATTATTAATTAATTAAAAATAATTATTAGTAATTATTTAATTTATTAATAATTTTTATTATAACTTTTAATTTATAAGTTATAAGTAAATTATATTTACAATAATAATAATTATTATTAAAAATTAATTAATTAATATTAATTTATTAATAATTATTAAAGGTTGTAATTCAAGAAAAATAAATTCTGGTTTTCAGGTTTTCAGGCGTAGCGGCTTTTCATTTAAAAACTTTAAGGCCCTGACTCAGGTTTTCTACACAGGTTGCTATGCATTAGATATGAACTTACTTTTTAATAATTCGCCGAAATCATTGCATAACCCGAAAGTGGGTTAATTTATCAGTTTTATCTTCTTGTTTTCAATTCGTCTATTTGGTAAAGTCTAAAAACTCTTCTCGAGAAAGCGAAAACATCATTTATGAATACGAAAGCGCTGAATCGAAGTCGGAAACGCGAGAAATACGAGTTAGTGGTTAAATTAAATCAAGCGAGAGCCTAACTGGCGGCGCAGATTATGATTACCAAAATAGGAACACAGAGGGGCCAAATCCGAAAACGAAATCGCGCAAACGCCGAAAATCAAAAATCAATCCCGCCGGAAATGCAAAATAAAGAAAAGAAACGGGCCTCTTTCTTCTTTTTTCCTGCGACTTCTATTCTTTGAAAAAGACCCAAGATCAGAAAATAGAAACGAAAGATGACCAAGAAAAAGGGATGAGCCAGTTCAAAAATCTCAAAACCAGGTTTTTGCGCTAAAGAAGAATCTTCAAAGAATTAAATCAGAAAAGAAAATCGGTAATTTTTGTTCTTATTTCTGGATTAATGGGGAACCATCAACTGGGCCCTCCTGAGAGAACTTTGCTAAAAAGCCGCATGCGGCTTCGACAGGACTTAAAATTGATAGAGATGGCAATTCAGGCTTTGCGGCTTTTTGTAGGATATTTTCAAGCTGGGCTCGGCAATCCGTGTAGAAAACCTGAGTCAGGTTCTGAAGAGCTAAAATGAAAAGCCGCGTAGCGCCTTTTAAACGAAGCCGCGAAGCGGCTTTGCTAATACTACTATTAGAATATATCAAAATTCTGGCGAAGCCGGGTTGCGGCTTCGATTTTAAAAGCCGCTGCGCGGTTTTTCGTTTTAGCTATTCAGAACCTGACTCAGGTTTTCTACACAGATTGCCGAGCCCAGATTGAACTAGTATACAAAATTTTAGCAAAAGAAGAAAAAAGAGGTTTGTTTATTATTTTTGAACACTCCCAAATTTTCTGCTGCAGAAGATGCAGGAGTCCACGTGAGCGTGGCGATAAACGGAATCGTCGCCACCTTCGACCTCAAAGCAGCTCAATTCGTGCGGCAACTACAGCGGCTTGTGGCGGATTTCGCCAGGAGAAAGAACATTTGGCACGGTACAACTTAAATTATAATTTGCACGAACAAGAAACAACCAATTCAGACGGAGAAGTTGAGCTCTTTTGCGGAGAAAAAAGCTTCAGCCGAGCGAGGAAATAGCGAAAATCGCCAATGAACAAATCCGGGCAAAATATATCCCACCACCAAATTAGGAATCGGGCCAAGAAAAATTAACATAATCACACCCTTAATTTTCCTGCTAAAAATAATTCTGAGGGCCAAAAATCTCTGTCATTGAAAGTTGAATTGAAAAGCCGCTTGCGGCTTCGAGCAAAAATAAAGGAAGAGCCGCGCTTTTTCGCGGCTTCAATAGTTTATTTGGCTCAAAGCCGCACGCGGCTTTTCGATTCGACTTTATTTACAGAAATTTTTGGCTTTCAAAATTATTATTTACAGAAAAATCAAAAATTAAGGGTGTCACTGTGTTAAAATAATCGAGAAAAATGCTTGACCCAAAAAGTACGTGTTGGAATTTTCGCTTCTTTTCCGTCTCGAATTTTTAGCGACTGGTCTCGCTTGGGCGACATTCGCTTCTGCATTCCTCTGGATCTCCGCCGCCTTCAAAAAATGAGCGCTCTCGAATATCTCAGGTACAAAAGACAACGCTGAATAGATACACATCTCAAAACAGTACACATGCGCATGTCGTTTTCTTTAGAACTTCTTTTTTGACGCGAAAAATGTGGAGAGAACATGGGAGCACACGTTGACCAGTTTTATCGAGGTGGCTGAGCTTGAGCGAGCTTTGAGCGGTGAGCGAGCGGAGCGATAATTTCGTGTCGAAAAGCAAAGTCAAGAAGCCGCTTGCGGCTTCGAGCCAGCGATAAAAAGCCGCGCGAAGCGCGGCTATAATATCCGTTCCTCGAAGCTGCAAGCGGCTTCTCGACTTTTCTTTTCGACACGAAATTATCGCTCCGCTTGCTCACCGCTCAAAGCTCGCTCAGAGCCAAGAATAGAGAATGCCGGTTGTTATTTTTTCGGATTCAGGAGTTTTTCTCCTCTTTCGTTTGGGTTTATCGTTGTCGTATGTAACCCTCTTCTTGAGCCATTGAGCGCGTCCGGCCGCGAAGGTTTCGTTATTCCGTTTTAGCGTTTATCAGATTTTGCTGCAGCGCTTCTAAACGCCCCTTCTCAAGTCACTTAATTACTTTCACTTTTTCTTCAGGGAACAAGTACACATCCGTCCTGCAGGAAAACGAAGCCAAACGAACAAAAAAGAGATTTCTTCAAAGATTTCTCCAAATAACGCTTCGAAGCCAAGTCCCTTTTCAAAGGAAAATTTCAAAAATTCTCTTCTGGCGAGGATTCGATTTCGCAGCGCGGAATTCAAGAAGCCTTTCGCGAGATCTTCCACGATTTGTGTTCAGGAAGCCTGGCCAAAGGTTTTTGATGGGTTTTGGTTTGTTTTCGAAATCTGAGTTTTAGAAAAGTTCTAAATCAAATCTGCGCCTCTTTTTTCTTCTTGCGGATTTGCACATTTTGGGCAAAATAATCAAATTTAATTTGGCAATAGTTTTGGGCGCTGCTTTACTTCCACCTGCTTCCGTTTTATCTCGCTCTTATCTCGCTAGTAAAAATCATTTCTTTTCTTGACTAGTAAAAACTATTCTTTATATTAATTTCTAATTGCGGTTCTGGAGCGACAAAAATCCGATTTCGACAGCAAATCACGTGTTTTCCTCATTTGAAAAAAAAAATTCCGACAAATTTTGCTCTTTTTTTTCTGCCAATAAAAAGGGCGTATTTGCTAAGGTAGCCAATCAGAAGCTAATCAGCCGTTCACGCAAAATTTGTCGCATTTTTGTCGCTTATTTACAATAGTTTGGGGAGCGACAGAAAATGCGACAAAATTTTGCGTGAGCGGCTGATCAGCTTCTAATTGGCTGTTTTACCAAATACGCGCTTCTTATTGGCAGAAAATATAAAAACAAAATTGTCGTATTTTTCGGAAAATGCAGGGGTTTTCATGGAGCGACAATTTCTGAGCGACATAGTCCTAAATAAATCTTCAGCCAATCTAAAGCCTGTATTTTGCCTGCCGCCCAATCAGCGGTCAGTCCTTTTTGTGAAATATTTTCACCAAGAAATTGTCGCTCCGTGCCACCTCCCTAAAAATGCCCGAAGGTCGACAAAATTCAGTGTCGCAATTTTGTCGTCGCTTCTCGGTGGTCTCCTTTATTTTGGGCTGAAAACTGGTCAGGCTTTTGGCAGTGGTTTACAAGCGCTCGCTTCCCCTGATCGGCGGCGCCTCTCGACTCGCCGAGTCAGGAAGTGTTTCTCTTCGCGATTCCGTAACGTGACAGTGCCCGAGTTGCCACAACAGCTAAGGGAGTCTCTTTAAAATCACTTTTCGCTGGTATTTGCTTGATTGATATTGAAACAGAAGAAAAAGATTTCGTGGCGATTTGTTGCTACTCCGCGCGGCTGCTCGCAAAGAACGGATGCAGTTTTTGTTGTTTGATGCCGATTTTTAGCTAATAAGGATCATCCCTCCAAAGTTTCAGTTTTTAGAAGGATTGCCCACCAGCGCGCCTCACCCGCAAGGAAAAGCTTCATCTTTCTAAACAAACTACTATTCAAAAACTCATCATTTGAAATTGCCATTTCCGTCAATTTGATTGGCTTAGAACATTTGAAACAGCGCCATCATGCGGCTTCTCAAACTAAAATTCAATTAAAAATTGAAATAAAAAATCGAGAAGCCGCTTGCGGCTTCGAGTTAAACCAATAAAAAAGCCGCGAAAAGCGCGGCTTGAATATTTTATAACTCGAAGCCGCAAGCGACTTCTTGATTTTGCCTCAATTTTTCACGTTGAATTGAGTTTTGATTTGAGAAGCCGCATGATGGCGCTGTTCGAAATACTCTGAGCCAATCAAATTTGCGGATTTCATAGAAGCTCTTTTTCAAGTCTTATTGAAAATCGCAGGTGATTCAAATTCATCCTCGATTATTTTTTATTCGAAAAGGCTAATTTCGACTCGAAAATTTCATTTCGACTCGAAATTAAATTTTTAAAATAGCGCTGGAAGTGGTGGATTTTTACAATTTTCGTCGACGAATGGAAAATTTCAGCCTCTCGGCCGAAATGGCGCAGCTGCTTGATACAATTGAACTGCGCAGTAACCGTCAATAAAGCGTCTCTAGAATCAGGCTCCAAGCGTTTGTGACATTTTCTATAAACTGTGCGCGACACTGATCCCGTGTACCACGTTGTACATCAACCGGATTCGAAGAGATACGACCGAGCCAGAGCTTCCGGCCTCTCCCTTTTTAACATTTCAGACTTTGACAGAGACACTCTTTTTGCATCTCCCGTTTTTTCGCGCTTTTATAAACAACTGAAATTTAAAAACTAAAGGAAACGAAATTTTATAAGTGGTTTTATTGATTGAGCAATTATTTCTTCTATTAAGACAAGGGAGCCGAATAAAGAGATGAAGGAGAATGTAGATATAATAATATTATTAGAATATTCTTGGAAGTTATTATTCGGCTTTGAAACTCGGAAAATCTTTTTATCATGAATGTAGAATTCCAGAGAAGACGGAAAATTCAGTGCCTTTTCTTACTTTTCCATTATATAGATAGGTATGAACAGTATCATCTTTTTTCAAAAGAAGAACCGCAGCAGCTGTTATTGATGTATTGGCATCCTAATTTTTTGTCAAATGATGGCAGTTCACCCTCTAAATATATATATAGGCTTTTCGGTAGATAAAATGCTAACTTTTGATCCTCAAGGGTTTTTACATTTTTATCGGCTCTATGGATAGCTTAGATGATTTCAAGCAAGAATATGAAATAAAAGTAGGTGTATAATTTCGGAAGTTGGTCAAAAATGCCAAAATGTGAAAAAGTACGAATTTTCAACCCCTTTTTTGACCAACTTCCAAAATTATACACCTACTTTTTATTTCAGATTCCTGCTTGAAATCATGTAAGCTATCCATAGAGCCGATAAAAATGTAAAAACCCCTTGAGGATCAAAAGTTAGCATTTTTCTACCGGAAAGCCTAGATATATCTTATTGTAGAATCCAAACTTACCGCTTTCCCACTAACTGCATATGAAATACTTTTGGGCTGCTCACGCATTCCCCCATTCTCAAAAGTTCTTGATCTACCAAATTTCGGCACTAACCAAGAAAAGGAACAATAAAGATAGTACGAGACACCAAACGAGCAAGTAAGAAAGAATCATACATTAAAGAAAGTCATTTTTGGATCCAATAAGATTGCTCTATTTGGCCAATCGGCCAATAAGAAACCCATCCATCAGATCAGTTCCTTTGGTGTATGATACTTTCTTACTTGCTCTTTTATCGTCACTTCATTTTTTGCTCGCTCCTTTTGTGTCTCATCCTATCTTAACTGTTCCTTCTTTGGTTTACCCCCAAATTTCTTGATGCGGAATTTCAGGAAATGCGGGAACAGTCCACTTTTGAATTGGACCGAATCTCTACTCGAGTGTCCGCGACACTGGTCTTTTCTGGTTTTGTAAATCAGTTATTTTATAAAGAATATGTCAATGAAAGGATATAGCCGTTCTCAAGGCACTTTCGTAGCGCCAAAGGGGACGATAAAATTTTTCATTTCAAAAGGAACCCTACCTAAAATTGCTTAAGAAACCCGATTCTTGTGTTCTTTTTAATTTTTAATGGAGAAATTTCTCTCTAGAGCAATTTTAAATCTTACGATCACTTTTTCTCGAGTATTTTCCATTAAATCGGTCGAGTTTTTGATAAATTAAAAATTTGGACCTTTTTCTACATTCCTAGGGCTTACGTTCTAATAGACTCCAAATATTTACGATTCAAGAGCCATTTTTATGAGGCTTACTTGAGTAAGCCGAAGCGTCAGACAGCGCTCTGGTTTGCTGCGCTGGGCGCCCTCCTCCAACGCGCGGTGAGGCGCGCATGTGAAAGAGCGCGCTGATTGGTCGAGCGCCCTGAACTAAAAGCCAAAAAGAAGAAGACACTAGAATGAAAATTTGCTCGAGTTTTGAAATTTTGAGGCCCTAAAAAGCTAGATAAGCAGTTAATCATGATAACACACGGTTTAGTTTTAGCGATTTAATTGAAATTTTTCGAGAAAAATGA